GAAATTTGGGTTTCCTAATGCCCACCTTGATCGCACCCGCAAACCACCCTACCATAATAGTATATTTTTAATTAAAAAAAAAAAAAAAACCCCCCCCCCCCCCCCCCCCCCAAACGAAATTCAAATAGACATTCGTCTTTTCATCTTCTCGTCAAGTCGTAACGCCCATTCATATTACTAGCTTATCCAGGATCTTATGTATACCGGTGCTCTTCCCCCTACCGTCGTCAAGCTCGTCTGTCATCTTTCTCGCCCTCTCAACTAAGATTGCAATTACCTTTTGAGTGTACTCGAAGGTTCCCGTAGTCTCCATGTACTTCACGGCATACCGCTTCACCTCCTCGTTTGTTGTCCTCTGCTTAAGGATGTTTAGGAGCTGGAGGTTCGACGGGTTTGCGCGTATGCTATGAATGATCAGGAACGAGAATTTTCCCTCGGTCAGATCTTCGCAGAGCCCCTTATTCTGCCCGTACTCGGGGCTCGACAAGTTCCTGTAGTCATCTTGGATCTGAAAGAGAATTCCGAGCAGATTGACTAGGGGAACGCAGTCGATAGGGGTAGCTGATTCGGCCTGCATGAGCTTGATGGCCAAACGGAAGAGCCCTCCGGTCTTGTTCCCGACCATCTCGAGATATTCTTCCTCGGTAGGGCAGGTGAGTGTGTCACGCCAGAAGAGATCTAACCCTTGACCGCGGTGGAGGTTTAGCAATTCTTCCGTATATACACTAACCGCCTTCGGGTTCTTCAGTTTCTGTAGTTCTTGCAAGGCACAGAAGTAGACATAATTGGCCGAGTTGATGGTTTGCGCCGTGCCGAAGATGTTGTGGGCAACAGGAAGACCTCTCCGTAGTAAGGAACTGTCCTCGACGTCATCGACAAGTAGGGATGCGGTGTGTAGCATACCAACAACTTTAGTAATGACGTCGAGGCTTTCTTGTGGTACTTCTAGCCACGCATTGAAGGAATTGACCATGAGAGTACGAAAGTCTTTTCCGGGATGGGCAAACAGGTAGTCGAAGGGACCCATTAGTACCTTTTCCTTTTGCTCTGTCCACGTTTTCCGCGAAGTGTAGTTCAAGTCCTCCGTCTCATAGCGCGCAGGGTCTTGAGGTCCGGTAGCATGCATGCCTGTGATAGGAACAGCAAAATTAGAGAATCCTCTTTGGTGACGGTTGTTATTCTGACTTAACCAGTCAGATTCCGGAACAGGGCGTAGAACAGATTTGACAGGCGGAAGGGGAGTAATGTATCCGGTAGAGGAAGTCCTGGGAGGGATGGCATTAGGCGATTGCAGTGACACAGAGCTGTTAGATACAGGACTGCTACTGTTGGCGTTGGCGTTGGGAACCATGGTTTCAAGTTGGAGGTTCCCGAGCTTCCCCTCTTCTTAGAAGAGAAGGTTCCTGGGTTAATAAGGGGTTTGATAAGTTTAAGTTTACTAGGTTAATAAGTTTCCCAATGACGAAGCTCCAGTGGAGTAGAAGGCGGCTGGATTTATAGTTGCCTAGCTCTTCGCCGGCGCAAACTATAAGTGGACGGGACTAACGGGAAATATGTGGGGACGTGCCGAGTGGAACGCGGCGCAGGCGCAAATCAACCCAATTAGTTTTTCTTTATTTGCCGACTTTTAGAAAACAATTATCATGTGAATGTGGGTAGTATCGAAATATATAAAAAGAGTAGAAATATGCGGAAGGCTGTCCAGGTATTGTAGGTCCCTGATCACTGATCCCTAATTATCGATAAGTCCTAGATTCGGGTGATAACCATCATAGACAGCGATCAGCAGAGTCGAGGCGCAGTGAAGGATTGCGCGGCTAGTTGAAACACATAGAGACGGCAGGCAGATATGTGACCTTTAAGTAGGAAAGTAGGATTCATAAATGAGACCTTCAGGGATAGTTGTAGGAATAATGGCAATAAAAAGACGAAAAAGAAATTTGGATTAGCTTCTTTAAGTACCGTGGTCATTCGAGGTTGAAGCTCACCGTTACTATTTTCACATGTGGTGGGATATAAGGTAACAATTAGCGTGATAAAAAAAAAAAAGGTACGGATATGGTACTTGATCATACAATTAAACCTTAATATAATAAATTAAATTTTTTAATATTTTAAATTCGTTATAATAAAAATTTATTATAAAGTAAATAATTTTATTTTAAATAAAAATTAAATATATATATATTAATTTTATTAATAAATTTTATTTATTTTATTATATAAAATATATATTAATTATTATTTATTTATTATTAAATCGATTTAATAATATTATTTATATTATTTTAATAATAATTAATATAAAAATAAAGTTTTAATTAACGTTTTAATTTTAATAAATTTAAAACTTTCGTTAATTTTATTATTATTTTTTATATTTTAATAATTAAAAGTTAAAAATTAAATATATTATAATTAAAATTTAATTAAAACATTAAAATTTATAAAAATTATATAAATTTTAAATTTTACTTTTTTTAAATAAAATTAACTTAATTAATTAAAATAATAAAATATATTATTTTTTTTATAATTTTATAAATTCCTTTTATTTTATATAATAAATTACGTAATAATAAATTAAAAAATTTAATAAATTTATTATATAAAAAAATTTATTATTTTATATATAAATTTTAAAAATTCTTAAAAAAAATTCGCTAAAGCGAGGATTTATTATGTTGTAAATTTACTATAAATAAGTCTAATTATATTTGCAAATCTCGAACAAGAGGCAACCCTATTGGCTTGCATAATAGCCTTAAGTTTACGAACAAAGCCAAGCTGCCAGGCCAGGCCAACCGATTGATTTGATTGGTTGAATCCCTAATGTGGCCGCCCTGCCTCGCCGCGCTGGGGGTCACGGGCGCTCGGCACGTGCCTCGCACCCGTGACCCCCGCGCGGCTCGGCGGGCGGCCATACAAGCCAGATAACAAGCCCCCTAGCCACACACAACCCCCCCTAGCCACGGTTCGAGTCCTCGACCTCGCATCCCTTTTTTTCTTTTACGCATTACTACGTAAGCAAAAGCGCGGCGCTATTGCCTGCTGCGTAAGCGGGGCAAGCTCCGTTGACCCCTTATTAGCGTTGTTGCGGCCGAAGGCCGAAGCCCGCAACAGCGCTAGGCTAAAAGCCCTATGGCTGATTACGTAGCTGTGGCTCATCACGTGGCTGTGGCAGGTTGTGTGGCAGTGGCTAGTCCAATCCCATTACATAAGCAGCTTTCGTCGGAATCTCGATTAAAACCCACTCTATTCCAAGATGCACCCAATCAAAATCCTGACCAAAAACCCACTTTATTGAACGAGGCACCCAATCAAATCTCGGCCAAAATCCACTTTATTTCAGGATGCACCCAATCAACACATGAAAAAATGACCAGGGCACTTCCATTTCCAGTAATTTTTGTTGACCTATTTGGGCCAAATAGGAAGGTGATGTGGGTCCCCAGCGAAAAAAAATGCGATACAATAACCCTTCGTAAACTCAGGGCATATGTCAGTCATATTTACCCCGCATCACCTGCCATCCCTAACCTCCGGTCTGGTATCGATCTTGTACCTTATCAGTTGACATGCGTCAGGCACATTAGGTACATACGGAACTCCTACACATATGTTTCCAATTGTCTTAGACTTACATCATGAATACCTCCTTGCCAGGAAATGACCAGCTTTTAATGCGTGTAATGTGTAATAGGTATATGATTTAAATGCAATCAAATTCTATCTCAATTAGATGTTGTTATGTATAAAAGGATTCTTATTGCTTCAATGCCGTTACATATTTCCTTCTGTAAGGCATGTTACATGCATGCTGATGCTATCTATGTATTGTACCTAGGTGGTAGCTAGCCCTAAGGAAGAGCGAACCCAAATGCACTTAAGACTAGGGCCGGGATGGTTGGTTAGTTGGATTTGATAGCTGGATGGCGGGATACGGTAGCTGCCGAAACTACCGCCGTTGCTGTGTTAACGATAAGCTCCCCACTTAAACACTCGGCAACCCTTGTAACTAGCACTTATCAAGTTATCATACGGTATGAAGAATCAATCACTGATCCAACAACGAATTACCAGCCTTGCATGTTGGTTCTTTTCCCTTCTTTTTTGATTTTTTTGAGGTTAGGTGATCATTCCAATGCGATGCCCCCAATAATTCTCTTCGTCCTTTTGTATTAACATTAACAATCTACCTCCGCCGTATCTGACAATCATCTTTGGCGTACTTTTTATTCTTCCTCTCCAGCCTCGATTCTTTATTTCGCATCTTTGTGTCGCATCGCATACATCATTGCCTATACCCAGTCGAATTAGCCTCGTCATCTTATCTTACCGAAAGCCACTACAGCCACCAGAAGCACAAGCAACCCTAAAAAATGGAGAACCTCCTATCCCTCGCGTTCGACAATCTCTCATCTTACGATAGCCTTAAGATCCGCAAGGGTCTACGTCAGGTCGAGGGTCTACTAGCTAATATTTGCCTGTCGCGGTCGCAGGGTAAAGAACGTCGCGGTTCTGTCATTACGCAGCAGCAAGATGAGCAGGAACCGCTTCCCCCGAAGACCCTCGATGAAATCACCGACGACCCGGCCTTTTACGAATTCTTCAAACTGCAGGAGGGATTCGAATGGAACGTCGCTATGCGCCTGGTTAACACTCTCGACCGCCTCTTAGCCAGGGGCAGCGACGGCTCTAACGACCTCCTAATCTTAAGCGCACTAGACTTGGTTCAAGGTGTCCTGTTGCTGCACCCGCCGAGCAAGGCCATCTTCTCGCGCGAGATGCATATGAACGTATGTTTAGATATCCCTGTTCTATTTTCTATTTAGCTGCCTCAATGCTAACCAATAACCCCCCGACAGCTCCTCCTCGACCTCCTCGAGCCAGACGTTTGCCCAGCAATCCAATCCGCCACCGTAGTAACCCTAGTCACCGCCCTCGTCGATGCGCCGCGCAACACGCGCACCTTCGAAGCCCTCGACGGCCTGCTAACCATAACCTCCCTCTTCCGCAACCGGTGCACGAGCCGCGACGTCAAGCTCAAACTCGTCGAGTTCTTGTACTTTTACCTCATGCCTGAGGTGCCCTCCATCCCCAGCGCCCGCGCTGCCCAGGACCTCGGTGTCCCACCCTTGCTCCAACGCAGCCCTAGTAAGCTTGCAAAGGCCTTTGCGTTTACCGGCGCGGGAAAGGGGGCAGCAGATGGTGCGCGCCCGAAGTCTGCGGAGGATGGCGAGACTAGGTCTCAAGAGGAGAAGCAGGCGCTGCTTGGTCGCCATCTGAGCAGTGTACAAGAGCTTGTGGAGGACCTACGACAGAACACACCTTTTGGGGGTGTTGTGATGTAGCGCGAACCTCGGGCCTCGTTTCAAGCTATCAGATTGCTATTACGTTGCAAAACGTTTCATTTTTAGGGAGTTAAGGAGTGATCTACTATACTAAGTTGGAGGATACTTGAGCCGGTTCTCTCCTTGCCAGGGAAATTTGGTTAGGGCAGTGGAATACATGAAAGGCAGACGATAATAATGTCTAGTGCAGTCGCACAATGTTTACGCTCGGCGTTGGGGGTAAAGGCAAGGAAGCCAAGGTGAGGCGTTTATCCGCAGACTGAAGGGCATCCAGTCGTATTCATTTAGATTAAGTTCGTATCTACTCGTTACAGTTAGGATTAGGGTAATATACCACAAACGTCCATCATATGTCATCAGTTACTCATTCATGCCCACTCTTCTCTACTTTCTGATTCGGGTCCGGCGGGGGAGGAGACTCCTGAGCTCTCTGCCGCTCTGCTTCGTCAAAAGTCATGGGTATTGGTGAGGTTACGGGGCTCCCATAAAGTTCGTACGCCTCCTGTCTCTCCTCTTTGGCCGCCGCAGCACCACTCGCAGCGGAATCATTTTCTGAAATACTGGATTCATTGTCACCCAGCTCCACCCGCGTTTCCTTCTGCGTACCAAGCTCAACAGGCCGGACGATGTCTCTCGGAGCGTCCGGGTAACGGTTGGCAGCCCTTGCGGCTTGCTCAGAGAACCCGGGATTTGACCTAGACTCGACGCCTTGAGCCCTGCTAGGCGTGCTGTTATCCTCGCGGTCCGTATAAGGTCCGGGGACGGCATCAGCTCCAAAATAGGGGTACGCAAGCCCGTCTTCGTGCAGACGCGGCCTCATACCCGTCCTACTTGACGGGCTCGTGACGTCTGACATGGCAGCACCCGGAGGGATAAAGGGTCCCGTAAGATCCGGCTCGTCGTGCCCGGACCCCACCAACGTCCCGCCGTCGCGGCGCGATTTAGCCACACGCCGGCGGTGGATCCAGAACCATGTCACACCGCCGATGATTAGCGATGCGGCTACGGCGACACCGACTCCTATGCCAACTCTGGCACCTTCCGAGAGCACCCCCTCGTTTCTAACAATGGTCAGGTTGGCTGCGCAGAGTTGTGCCGTCGACGTCGCGGAGACTAAGCTTGACGTGCAGGTGCTGCCAACATTGCAGCATCCGCCGCCGGTGGAACAGGCGATGCAGCCTGACGAGACGGGGGTGATTTGAGATTGGGACGATGTGGGCGGGTATAAACATTGGCTGTTGGAACCGCAGCTCGCCCCGAACGGGCAACACTGCCCGCCAAAGCCCACCTGGCAGAGGAAGGAAGTGCTGCTGCATGCCCGTCCGCAGCACGCAGGGGTTAGGCTAGTCTGTTCTAGAACCGTCGTCGTGGGCGACGTTGCGACCGTCGTAGTCACGGTTGCGGTGCCGTTGCAATATAATAGATCTTCAGCGCACGGCGAGCCGCACGGCGCTCCCACGCCGCAGCATTTCGGCTCCCAGTTCTGGTTCAGGAAACAGTACTGGTCGTTATCGCAACACCACGTCGCGCCTATGGGGCCGAGATCTAGACAGCTATGTTTGCCCGCCGGACATTGCGCCGCCTGGTCCTGACGCTTTGCTTTGCCGGGAAATGGCGGCAGCGCGGGGATCGCGGGCATGCCGTCTACGAATTGGCGGGGCCCGAGGCCGGGGTTGTAGACGCCGGTGGATTGAGGGAATAGAGCCGCATTGTCTAATATAGCTAAGTTCTCGTAGGCGGCCGCACTGGCGAGAGGGACGGTGGCTGCGATGAACAGCATGGCGGCGGCGGCGATGGTAGGATGAAGATGGGACGTCATTGTGTAAGATAGACGGCTGCCAGAACGACAGCTAGCCGTGTAAACCTATGGTCGGATACGCATGTAGTAAAATTGGTATATAATATAATTGTACCGATTATACACGCATGTATACGAAAAACCACCGCCTGGAGAATTCAATCGTCAAGAACGAGAAGAAGTTTAATTCAATACATTTCATGGTAATAGGTATGCACAGCAGACATGACGGACAAAGAGAAAAGTCAGCAACGATCACAACATTTTATCAATCCGAACTGGAATGTAGATAGAATACGAAAACTGAAGCTAGCCTACCTATCGGCGGCCTGCCCACACAGGCTTTGCAGATTTCTTCTCATCTGTGCGGAAGCCCATTGGGCTAGATGCGCAGTGAGATTTGAGGGGGGTTGGTGGCACCAACAGGTAAATAGTCCGTCATATACTATGTAGAGTAGGTAGAGGGACCCGGGCGAGTGAGATAGCCTGCAGGATATGGTTACATCGTATCACAATCGGGTTAGCTAACGAGCTGTGACGATGATAGTGCCTTAAGAATATGGCCAATATAGCCTTGGCGAATGGCGAAAACGACGAGTTCCGGAGTTGATGTCACTTAAGAGTTAGGTAGTTAGGGGTAGCTTTGCAATTACTGGTACATAGCCGTGGTCGATAAAGAACTTCTAAGGGCGGTCTAATGCAAGGTACCGCATAATCAGTTAAATATGTATGTACATTTAAGAGGTAGGTATTTAATAGCTGTGCATTATTCAGCTTATATATTACATATTACATAGTGGAACTTGATTAGCTCTCTTTCCCTCCCTATGTGCGACAACGGGTACGATAAAACCCGTGCGGCAACTTATATTAAAGAATCCCAAGATCATAGTTAACCTGTAGAAAGTTAACCCAGACACCCAGGTCTTAGAGGTTATTACAAAGGGAATATCTGTTTAAAAGGATAGAAAAATAAAATATTATGCCGGCAATGTTTTCTGCCTCCCCTTACGCCCCTGGACCGCAAAGTTCCAACACACTAAAAGATATCTCATACAATAGATGTATCTCCATCTCGCGTTGTCATCTTAAATTTATCCATTTCTAATAATACGATCGCACGTTGGCTTTCACCGTCCACCGCGCTACAGCTCTCCCCGTCTCTTCCGTATACTTTATTTATTCCAGTATTTCCTGTCACTTTTCCGTTCTGATTACTGTTGCTGCTCGTGCCGGCAACATTAAATCCGTTAGACGAAAACCTAATCCGCAAGATTGCTTGTAAAGCAGGGAAGCAGCCGCACCATAAGCCGATATGGCTCTCGAGGTTTGTCCAAATTCCTAGGGAGGGCAAATTATACGTTCTGTAGACCATGCGGTATTAGCCTCGAGAAATGGGGTTATGGGTTAGGGAGTACGATTCGGGGGAGGGGGGGAGGGATTGGTACGACGCACGTAGCTTTAGAAAAGTCCAGATTCGATATTATGACCACACGCACAACCCCTATAACCACCGCAGCCAACCCAACACTAAAGACCAATATAATCTGAATCATCTTCTTCGACCACAGCATGTTGGCGCATATCATCCAGATAGGTAGTATTAGGAGAATGGCGTCCATAACAACGCCCACTATGGCGTGTCCCACCATCATGCTGTTATGGACATTAGGATCGATACAATGAAGTCCTTTCGTAGTCGGAGACTTGAGGATATCCCTACACTAACACGTTAATATTTACCTAGACAAGTCTCGAAGTTTTAAACATGCGACCTACGGCATTGAGTCACACTCGAAGAGTCTGTATAAAAAAGCGCCGAGTGTTTGAGCGAGGATTAATAATGCCACGACCCATGAAATTATGGTAATATTCCCTAGACATCATAGTTTTAGTATTGAGGAGTATGTTCGTGAATCATGATTCGAATACTCACTATCTCGGATGATTCGAGGCAAAAAAGCAAGAATTGCAAGCCTCACTAGAGCAACCGTCCAAAAGTAGACCAGTGTCTGAATCGTCAACGACTAGCAATCGATCAGTATTAAGGAACATGATATGGCATGGCAGCTCTGTAAAAGCAGAAATACACACCTCGAAGAATGCAGCCACGACGTCCTCCGATGCGGTGCCTAATTGGATTTCTCTACCAAGGAACTCAGCTTCCAAGTACCATTAGCATCGCAGTCCAGTACCGTGCCATCATGTATATGTAAAAAGACGTACCTTTAATATCCATCCCACAATGCGTGACGAGCAACATCTAACCCCTACGAATTAGCAGTCGTCCCTCGAAGCCGCCCAACCGGTAGTCGTTAGCGAGTAGGTAAGACAGCAAGGCTTACATAGGCAATACCCGCGAGCGCGTCGTCGACGCCGGGGGATTTCGTGATCGATATGCGAACGTAAAGCCTGATCGCGTAGAATATAGTCGAGAACCCAATCAGCCACCCGTTGATGCCGATCTCCGTGTTGATGCCGGTCGCCGTCTGACCGTGAGGGTCCGGAACGCCTCTTGACTCCATCGTCTCGGGCCTTGGAGCGTAGGTAACAAGTGTCCTTTGCCCAGAGCCCCCTTAGAAGTGACTACATAAAAAAATAAGGCTTCTACCCCAAGCCTATGGACAAAAGCAGCTTTGTTACCGATATGTATGTATGGCTAGGATGCAAAGGCGATCCCGTCTTTCCTGTCCAGTTAACGAGGCTTGCGTTACGCCTAAATACGGCTACGGCTCGCCTTGGATGGAGCATTTCAAGGGGTCGACTAATTCCGTTTGCTAGTTTCGTTTTGTTTGTTGGTGATAAGATGTGCGGGAGTTCTTAGGTGCCGCCTAGCCCGCTGTCGTTATGTCCGAGAAAGCCGACCCGCCGCCTTGGTACGGGGTGTCTGTGTGTGGAACACCACGAGGCGTGCTAGGTTCGGATCGACACGGCGTCCTCGTGGTAGTGGTACCTAGGTGGATCGAGGGTCCTAGCATTCGGAAGGGAGAATTTGCTTTTTTGCCAGGGGCGACGTGCGTTAGTTGAAGCTAGTCTGTCTATCACAAAGGGGCCCTTCAAGCTGTCACAGGGAATTTCGCGGCGCTTTATCCTTCGGCGTTTAAGGGTCTGAAACCTCGGCCTTGAAGTGTATCTATATGTTGCTTTATTGCTACCATCTCGTACTATAGGTCTTTGACTTATTAGGTTAAGTTCGGGATATCAAAGTTTTTGGTGAAGACTAATACACATATGCCGCGTAGGCAGAGTTGTGTCGATATAAGCTATGAAAACATGAGATCCGGTAAGGTCTTATCCGTAGAATCGTACATATTTTGATTATTCGTCGCTAGTTAGTTTTTTAGCTAGTGCTTGGGATTGTTCGGCCAGATATCCCTTGCGTTACTGCATAGCATATCTCTAGTAGGTCAGTGCAAAGCAACGGACACCCGCGGGGTGATTTATGCGGTTAGTCTAAATGTGATGGTTTATATAGGGTGGCTTTGTTTTCTAATTCCCAAGAGTCCGGGTGCTCATTATTCCCAAATTATCCACCTGCAGATCGTATCACCATGCCGGTCCCTACTTCGTTCGTTTCTATCTTTTTTATGATCATAAATATGGCCTTAGGCCGAATACGATCGGGAAGATCTGAAGAATCGTGCGGGGCATCTTATGTTCGGAACGAATGGTCTGTCCAGTCGTCCACTGTCTTCGCTGATTGTGGCGGGGCGAACATACTAGCAGATTACCGGCTAACTGGGTGGCAATCTAAAAGGAGAACACTATCGAAAGACCAGAGGCTAGACTTCATATCGGCTGTAAGATGCCTTCAGTCTAAATCGGGGAAGACATCTGGCACGTTCGCTGGGGTTAAATCTCGATACGATGACTTCGTAGCATTGCATATTACCCAAGCAGACAACGTCCATTGGGTCGTGAGTCCTCGTCTCAATTATCATGTTTAAAGCCGGGCATTAATAGACTTTAAGGGACATTTCTTGCCGTAGGGTTTATTGCCTTCCTATGACGGCTCCGATGTATCATTAACACAATCAGCTGGCACCGATACTTCTTATGGCTATTTGAACAAGCTCTTCGAAACGAGTGTTCATATGACGGATCTGTACCGTAGGTATTTCCCTATCAGATGGATTGAATATGGGCTTGTTAACTTGTGAAGATATTGGGGTCTGTGCCATAAATCTTCACCGTATAGGAAGAGAGATGGCTGATGAATAAGACCAATAGATTGGACACAAGATGCCGTTGACGAGGCATCACTCTTAGGCTCGCCGATTTTCGACCCAAAATATGGATTTGGAGGTAAAAGACGAAGCCTCAAAGTCCCTTGGAGAAGCTATGCTGAGCGAACATAAGGTAACGGCGATTACATAGAGGACATTAGCAATTTCCCGGACGAATGGGTAACAGACATAGATATACCTGGAAGGACAGGAGGCGGTGAGTAATTTCGTCTTTGAGCATACACACATCTTTATAGCAGTTGATTTAATAGACTAATTCAAGGATGTCTTCCGAATGGGCCGTTTGCCGAAACCAACGCGTCGATGGGACCTGGGAGGCATACCGAGTACACCCCTCATTGTATTCGACGAGACTTTAGCCCTTGGCTGATGCTGCGAACACTAAACACTAGCACGATCAATTTCGTCTTAAACGCCAGTAGCTATTTTGAGTTCGAACACCGGATCGAGGGTCTCACCCTTGGCATTGAGGGAGTGTCGGTCCACAGTGGTGGACATCTAGGTATCGGGGGAATGATTGGCGACGTAAGAAAGCCATTATCATTATCAATATCTCTCTTCATACGACTTATCATATATTACTTAGATGGCGAACACTTGGTCCTCGACGGTCGATCCGGTCTTTTGGGTTCATCATTGTGCCATAGATCATCTATGGGATACCTGGCAGCGAGAAGGTATGCATCACTCGGATTGAATGTCCTTGTTGCTAATTTAAGGAGTAGACTGGAAATCTAGGAGGTCGGATATAGGGGGTCCTGATACACAATGGGCATATCCGTACAACTATTATGGCGACAAGCCTTATACGAACGTCACCCTGGACTTTGCAATGGATTTGGGTGACATAGGAGGAATGGTGAAAATTCGCGAAGTCATGGACGTACATGATAGTCCATTATGTTTTGCATACTCGTGAGCATAGGAAGTTGGTGGTCTAGAATAAGGCGAGGAAGAGCACCCTTCACGATTGACTCTCATGAAGACGAAGAGTCTTCGTTTGGGAAAAGAAAATCTGGGCCGGTAAAGATATTTCTGATTTGAGGTTTCCAATTGGAATCTAATGTGTTGTTGGCGTATGTGCAAACTAGATAGACGATGATAGTAGCATGAAGGAAATAGTTAAGCGGTCAAGCTGTTCTTAGACCGCAGCCGGTAGTCCACTGGAAAAGGCCGCTTCTTCATCCCACCACTTGAGGAATTCTTGCATTTTCTCGGTTTTTGCTTTGGCAAGTTCTCGTCCAACATCCGTCTTCATCATGCTTTCGAGTTTTAGTAGCTTGTCGTGGAAATGCTGGATGGAATCTGCCATGGATGCTTTAGTCCGAGCACCTGTAAACGTAAAGACTCTTCCGATCCCAATAGCCCCGATGGCATCGAGTCGATCAGCGTCCTGAACAACTGCTAGTTCAGGGTGAGACTTGACGAGATCCTGGACGCGAGCTGGATCTTTGATCTCGCTCGAATAGCTAACGCCTAAACAGACCGTCTGAACTCGGTTCGCAAGTTGCTCCGCTGCACCTAGAGATAGAAGGAGCTCATATACCAGGGTTGAAGCATCTTCGCCCGGCTTTAGATATTTCTTGTCTCCTACATCGTGCAGAAGGGCGCTTAAGATGACAACTTGCGGATCTCGCGTAGTGCTACCGGGGGAGTGATCATGGATGAATTTGGCAAGTCCTACAACACGTTTGATGTGGTTGAAATCATGAGAGCCGTCGTAATTCGACATGTAGGACCTGACGTACTCAGTGACCGAGGTGACGAGGCCTTCTTCTACGGAATGTCCCGTCGCAACCATGATGACGTTCTATCGGGACGCCCGGTTAATGCGCTTCGACTTGTTAGCCTATGTCGATACGCGCTTGTTGATACCCTACGTACATATTCTTCATCCACGGGACAGTTCCAAGGTTTACTATGTACAGTCGAGATCGTCTGCTCATAACATTTGGATGAATTTACAAGGACTAATAAGCGCCAGAACCGCGCTAGAGACTGCAACCAGGAACCGACCCGCGCAAGACTTGTTAGCCGAGTTAGCGAACTTCCTAAGAGAGGAATAAACTACCATTAGTGTCCACCCTTGCTTTGAAAGGAAGGGCGGGAACCGATGGCAGGATGGGTAGTGGAAAGTTCCAATCTAGGGACGATCTCGGTGGAGAGCCGGCTCGTGTGGACGTGGGTTCGGTGATGGGTCTCAAAGAGGAATCAAGAATTCTTCCAGGTTCTTCATGGTGGTTTTTAGTGCGTGATCACCAAACTTGCATTTGCGATTTTGTTGCTTTGCATCGACGCGCTGTGCCAAGGGGGAGTCATGTGATTAAGGTTGATCATTCGGGCCATTCAGAGGTTAGGACGTCCCATGTCAGTTATTGCATACCTTGGTTATGCATAACGCTAATGTATGCACTATGGTATTAAGCGCTATCCGGGATTTTCCCGGCCGCGGATCCATCTTTTTCCTCCACTTTACTATGTACCTATGTACTGTACTTTGACCAGGTTCAACTTGAAATTCCTATTTTTCGATTTCCCCCCTCTTTCTGCCCTTCTGCAGTAGGGCTGTCAGCATACATGGAGCCATCATCCCACCAAGATAATAATATTGATAAACAAGTCCGAGATGGACCGTTGCTTCGGACTTTCACGGCCGCACGGTGGATTTTCTTTGTCATTTATCCCGCCTACCCGCCGGAGCTAGTAGTGACATGACCTGCATGAAGTTCAACCTGGACTCCGTTGCCGTCGCCCGGCTAAGCAGCAACGTAGCGATAGCTAACCGAACTATTTGATATCCGCTAGAGCTTGTTGAAGTTCTAGACTTACTACCTAAATCCTTCCCGAAAGACAGGGTATCATGGAGAAGTGCACTTACCTATCGATCCTTCTTGCACATCCGTCATCGCTTTGGAGGTGATGGAAGTGATGGAATCCGTTCTCTTTTCCCTAGCGGGTGATCATCCTGTCATCCCAGTCGTGGCCTCTATCTAGTTGTGATATGCCTTACCTAAGTACTTCATATTATATTCGATATTATATTGCCAATTCGAATATTACCTTGTCGAATTTCTAGATCAACAATCCACCTCTTTGAATGGCCGCTGTCAATTAGCGAAGCTAACCTAAGCTTAGTAGGTGGAATTGCATCACCTCACCAATGAGGCCTTCATGACGGCCTGCAGATGAGAGTGCAGGAAAATCCACGCATTCGTTTACATGGACCACATGGATCTAACCATGCTGGTTTGTTGAGTCCGAAGTTGGCTTCTTGAATAAACAGGAAGAATATCTCGATGGAGAAGAGCTTTCTTCCTCTCTGATTCGTCTGCTGCAACACCTCGATGTGTGATATGTGACTGGCGAAAACTGGTATTGGCTGCCGGCATGTCGCCATCGGCCAATCATTACAGGGGTTTAGACGCCCACTCGCCTTTTCCCGACTAGCTTGGCCCTGTTTCCCGTCCAGTTTCTATTTATTCTTCAAAATCGGTACCCTTGTACTTACGCTTCTATCAGTCCCTCCACTCTGGGTTAACCGCCAACCCATGCAGTCCGGCACACATCATCTTCGTTGCACCGAAGACTGGAATGGTTTAGGGCGGGAGATGAATGCTCAAGTGACATTATGTCGAATTAGATGTGTGCTACCGGCCAAACAGAACCTACGATCCCATCCCTGATGCTGATGGGCGGCCCCGCACATCCAGCTGCCGTGGGCGGCGTCTTGTCCGCACCGCAGACAGGGAAACAAACCAAACGTGTTAGTCTCGATATTAAGTCGCACCCTTAGCTTCTCTATACGGCCGCCGCCACTCATATAATACGACACAGCCTGCCTCTGTCGTTTTCCTTTTCTTCTCTTTCTTCTTCAGCAAGCACTCAAACACCAAAAGCTAGTTTCTAGTTTCTTCTAATCCTTTTTTTTTCTTTTTACCATTCTTAATACACAAGAGCTGTGCTCTTACAACTTAATACCTACCTAAAACGAGAAAATCTATACACAACAGTAGTTGCCGGTCAACTATACCCCTAATTCACTACCGCTAAACCCCCTAATAGAACGAGAAACTAGCTTTTCCTTGCTCAGAAAGCCCCTTGAAATTTTTTTTAAAAACGACAATTTTTGCAATAGCATATTAATCACAATGTCGACCATCCAACTGTCATTCTCTCTTCGCGTTTCTTCTGGCATCAAGTCCGTCCACCTGCTCGGTTCTTGGGACAACTACGTTGGCCAGATCCCCCTCTCCAAGGACAAGACCTCCAGCAAATCAGGTTCGTGGAAGGGTACTTTCCGATTTCAGGGCAATCTCGAGGCTGGCCAGCGATACTGGTACTACTACATCATCGATGGATACCATGTCTCGCACAACCCCAGTGAGCCGTCGACCGTCGAGCCCACTACCGGCCGAGAATTAAACATCCTTGACGTGCCCAAGGACAAGTCCGGCAAGTCTTCATCAAAGTCCCACAGCTCCAGCAAGAGCTCGTCTAAGCACACATCATCTTCGTCGTCATCCAAGGATAAGCACCGGTCTTCCAAGCGCCCTTCTTCCCTTGACATTCCTAAGGGCCGACCTCTCTCCGTCTCGCAGATCGTGGCTCCCAAGCCCATGTCTCCCCACGCAACCCGTCACATCCTAGATGCTGACTACTGCGACGACGAGACCATCGAGGAACTTACCGCACGCTTCGGTAGCGCCGGTTTCGACGAGGAGGATATCGTCACAGACTTCTCCAGCTCTCCCGTTTCCTCATCCGGTTCCAGCCTGTCATACCGCTCGGACAGCTCATCGCCAAGCTCATCGCTTTCCGGTTACAGCACACCCGCCTCAGACTGCAGCAACTGCACTTGCGAACGATACGGTATTACTCGCAAGGGCGACCGCGTCAAGATCGACTGTGGCGGTACCCGATGCGGCTTCAGTGACGACGACTCCTCCTCTTGCTCCAGCGGTGATGAAGAAAACTACATCCCGCGCAACTCCCGCCGAAACGGCATTGTGGTACGCGCGTGAAGACTTGCACCCCTTGGGGGGTCCCACCAAGCAGCACATAATAATACGCCAGAAGGCCGAAGATACGAGATATCGAGGCTGTTCGTTCATTAACGGGCATAGAGCGGCAAATTTTCTCTTCGCTCTGCTCGTCCAGTTGTTCCATTGCATCAGCACGGGTTTTTTTGCGGCAGACCCGGTCATAAGCTGGTTCTTATTGATCAAGTCCTGCCGCACCCGATGCGCCCACCCATCAGGGTCGATGCTACGGCCCCCACGATTGAGACCGTCGAGAGACGAAATCCGATCGTGCGATCGTTTCGTATGTTTCCGACAACATATTTGAAGCAGTAGTTTCTCCCCCGAGACTAGCCTGCTCTAGCGAAACACAGCGAGACCGTCTGCCGGGGAGCTGAACGGCGACGGCTTTTGGGGATGTTAAAAGAAGAATTAAATGGAGTGGTCTCGGATTCGGCCCAATATGAAGGTCTGGGCAAGCCACACTGTAAATAATCATTCCTCTGCCTTTAAAAAGGAGAGACCTACGGATGGATTGGGAAGGCAGAATTTTGTCAACTATAGCTGCCACCGCAAGGTGGATAGAGGACTATTGAATCTATCCATCAAACTTGAAACTACTTCTTATGAATCGCGACATTGCGATTGTGACTGTATTAATTGCCTGGATGGCTAATAAGCCTGTAAAGGTCATTCCTTATAAGCTAATGTGCTGGCTATCTTAGGGCTGTGGAATAGTTCTACGTGGGCGTCATGGAATATTGAAATATTAAGGCTATGTTAGCATGAGGTCAACGGTGGCATGAGGAACCCTCCACTTTAGAGTAGAACGGTAGCTGATGGTAGAATAATACGTCGTCATGATTAAAGAGTTGTTACTTCTCGAAAGGGAAAGGGATGGCAAAGTTAAGCTAACTCGTGGATAATGAGAATGGGCGACTAAACGCATATGAGGGTATGACAATAGGAACAAGCCACTTTGTGTAGGAAGGTAAACAGGGGCCAAAATATAACTCGTAGCCTGGAACAATGCGATTCAAGGCAGAGAACTTCTTTATGGACTACGAATACTTAAGCATGTAGGCAACGAATCACATTCATGTATTGTCAGTAATCTACTAAACTACGCTCTCACAAACACACCAGGCGGGGGATATCAAACTCGAGGAAGACCATCTTTGATTCGTATTTTCTAGTTGCGAACCCTGCATCCTGCATCTGGAGTCTTCTCTACTGTAACCTTTTTTCTTATTTTCCTCTTCCCTTCTCTAACTCGAAGGAAAGTAAGCCTGTACCATACCGCACCCAAATGAGACATTGTCATGATCGTATCGCCTAAAGGCTTCATGCAAACCCGGCCCTGAAAGAACCACCCCCCCTAAAAATCAGCACCAGTTCCTACCCCTGCCTCTTTACTCTCGCCGATGCTGCTTGCGCAGATCGAGAGTAAACATGATAATGATGAAAACGCCGAACGCCCTGATGGCTAATCCTCCCTTCTTGTGTCCAACCGTGGACCCCTATCGATCTAACGCCCGTGACTGATCCCTATCAATCAAGATGCAATGAAGTGTGGTTGTGTAATGTACAGTCGTAGGAGTGTCGATGTGGCTGTAAAATCTGTGGCCATATTCGTCGTGCAAAGGGATGAAATATGTTGTACTCGTATGTGAAAGGGATTTTATAGCTCCCGGTAGTCACTGGGACGAACTCGGCGTTGCTTGTTCTGGTGTCGTCCTGGGTTGACAGGCTTACGAAAGTAGGCGTCGTTGTCATTGTTCGGCGTCGTAAAATTGGGTCTGTGTGGTTGAGGGTTGTTGTAGCCACCATTCATGCCCATGCCATTCATATTACCCATACCAGCACCGTTCATGCCTCCAAAGTTACCCCCGAACATGCCGTTACCGTTCATGCCTTGGAAAGCTGCCGGGTTCATCATTCCATTCATACCCATCATGGGGTTCATCATGGGGTTCATGCCCATCATCATGGCCATATTCATATTGTTCATGTTAGGTTGGCCAAAGCCATTCATAGAGTTCATTGGGTATTGCATCATATTAGGCATCATACCAGGCATATTCATACCTGGCTGCATCGTATTTTGCATTTCCGTAGCTTCTTGCGCTCTCTGCATAGCCTTGGGTCCCTTCGGAATCTTGGGGTTCTCTAATAAATCCTCCGCCGGCCGTTTTTTAGAGGCTACCTCCTGGGGCTTAGGAATCTCACTAGAACTAGATGATGGGGCAGGGGTAGACGACTTCTTTGGTGCCTCTGCAGAAGGAGATTTAATAGCCGTGACAGGGGGAGTAGGTGACTTAGTCTTCTCTAGGGCAGCCTTCTCTGGAACTGATGATTGGTCCTTGGGTGAGTCTACCTCAGGCGTCCCCTTCTTATCCGATGCCTGGGATGGAGAGTTTACCGCGGCGGGGCTCTTTGATCGTTCCTTAATTCTAAGTGATTCTTTTTCTTTAAGATAGCTTTGAATCCTATTAGATGTTTCATCATCTAGTTTGAGGTCATCAATTAGCACCCCTTCCGTCTGACAACCTGGGCAAATGAAGTCGCTCTCAATGAGAGCATTGGTGATGCAATCATTGCAATACGTCTTCTCACAACATGGAGTCTTCATTGGGTCTATGAACATCCTTTTGTCGATGGCGCACAGCAGGCCTTTCTCTTCAAGATCCTTATCCCCAGCAGATGCTGCTTTCTGAGCAGCTGACGACGACTTTGTCTTTGCTTGGTACTGCTCCCATGAAGCCTTGTCAGGCTCTGCGATCACGAATTCACCATCTGCATTGACCATGACACCAGCCGGTGGCTTGACTTCCTCGCCATCTGTGCCAGTCTGCTGGAGTGCTGACTTGTCTACAGTCTTCAGGAACGAACGAGGGATTCCTGTGGTTCGCTTTACACGAGGACGGTTGTCAAATTCAGGGTTGTCGTTAGTAGGACAGACTTGAATCCAGTGTCCCTTCTGTCCGCATCGATAGCAGATATAACCATTTGGGGGTTCATGATCAGGGACATTGGCAGGCTTCTTTGCGCCTGGCTTGTATACTGCAGTTTGACTATCATTCGTTAGCATATATATAGAACAAGATCGCGTTTTACTAGTAAACTTACTGAGACATCTCCTCTTGCTGGGCAGTCCACTGGTCTGATTGAGCTTGGAACATGGCCATCATCTTCTCTTCTTCGGTTAATGCCGCACTCATCTGTGTGAGTCCAATGGTGGCGGGTTTGGCGGCCTTAGTCGCGTTCTCGCGTCGTGACGAATTCTTTGCGCTCGCTGGCATCTTTCCCGATACATAACGAGCAGCTCGACCTGCGCCGGGTTTCTGAGGTGGAAGTCGGCGAGCAACAACTGTGGTAGATCGAGGTATAATAGTTGTATCATCGTCGTATTCTACAGGCTAATTAGTACCATCATCAAGTTATCTAGAAAGAAAAACATACCTTCACTTCCGTCTTCAGAATAGATAGCTAGATCGAAGTCCGTTCCATCGCCCAGGCCACTCTTTACGATTATGTCACGTTTGAGTTCGAAGACTGAGATACCAGTGCCGTCAAATTCGACACGCGACGGCTCCTTTTGGGACTTGAACTTGAAAAACACAGAGGAAGTCATGATGAATAAAAATAATACGCCTAAAGCGTGTCACAAGATGTGTAGAAAGGGGAAGAAAATCGCAATAAATCGCGAAGTGTTGGGCAACAGACGATCCTAGAGTTGGATGTAATATATGATGCAATTGATGCAAATTTGTTGAGAGTTGTGCGCAAACTTAGTGAGAGTTTTGTATTTTCGTTGGTTGTTTCGGAACAATTTTGCGTGACTATTGTAACTCTCGCTTTCTTTCCTGTTTTCTTCTTATGGACCACCAACTGGCAAGAGGAAAAAAAAAGTAGATGGGTATCAATTCAGTCTGTACCTGGAAGAACAAGAATGCTCATGCTCCAGTAAAGAAAATGGAGATGTACAAAGCCAAAGGCGGACTTGACCACCAAATCAGCTCCTGTGATGAAAAGGCAAAAATGCCACCAGAAGTCCACACCACGACCCAAGAGTACCGTCAAAATCTCGTTAGCCTAAGACCACCAGCCTATCCTACCAGAATTTTACTGATTGTAAGTTAGTTCACGACGGATCAGCGAACCATTGCTTGTCCTTTGAGTTGTATAGCGGCGCTGCTGAATGAAGGCGATCGAAAGAGACGAGAGAATGATGGTTAGTCGATCTTGGTCAGAATCTCGGATGCACGGTCGCAGAAGGCGGAGACAGCAGCGAGAACGATGGCTGGTCGCGATACTAGAAAATCGTAGCAACAAGACGTATAGCTTGATGCAGAAGTGATAATCTGGAAGAAATAAGTGATGGAAATGATGGGGTTTGGGTGGGAAAGAGTAGGTTAGTAAATAGTGCGAGAAGAGGAAGGAACCGTTAGTTAAGTTTGGTGGTTGTGAATGAAGAGAACTAGCGCGGGAGGAGGTGGCCTTAGAGGCGGATATATTAGTCAGATCCTTCCGTGCGGTAGCCGTGCTTGTAGAAACGTTTAGGCATTGAGAGATAGGTATGTAAATTGCGCACGTGACAACATATGGACTTTCACCCCACTCTCTTGCTGTTCTGTCTGTTTCTCATCTCGATTGCAAAGTCTTTAGTTCCCGAGCACCAGCCGAACCTTCCAACATTTAATCTACCTTGAACCTGTCACATATATTGCCCGGTAGAAGTATATGTATGTATACATGTACATATACCCAAGTCACATTATACAAACAAGCAGGTACATAACACATATAGGCCAATCAGACATACTGCTCGCGCCATCATATATTAACTATTTGTAAATTGACTGATTGATTGATAAAAGTATGCTACTAATGATTTTTCCTGGAATGTCCTTCCAATCCCAGTCCCCTTAGTCTATAACCACTACCTATCCTAGTAAAGATTAAACACATGAAATATTCTAGTTCCTCGGTAAGAATCTCCGTAGAAATGTCTGCTCTATCCAGTGGCTCGAAGGCCTCCCACCATTAATCCGAAGCGGCTGCTGTCGTCCTACCTTTCTTCTCGTTCGATGTAACCTCGTTAGCATGCCTTGCGGTCCTTCGCCCAGTACGGATGTCCCGGCGCGATGTACAGCAACAGCATAAACCAGCATGGATAATAAAGGAAATCAATGTAAATCCAGTTGCTATCCACATAAATGCAAGCATCTTATAACCAACATCAGCATTGACGTTTAGGTCGGTCTGTGATGTCAAGGCGTATTTAAAGATAAGGGACATGGCTGTGCCAAGGGCGCTAGCTATCAACACCAGCAGCGTAGAAAGTAAGGCGAGGAAACCTAAAGGACCGCTCCACCATCGCGAGTACACGACAACTGGAGCCAGGCACATCAAAACGAAGTTTAGAAGCAACCCAGTAATGAAAAATCCGAACATGATATTCGAGGCGATGTGTAAGATGTTCAAGATTTCGTTCACTTCGGCAGGTAACGCGATGGAAGCTCCAGAAAATAACTCGCCAAGTAGGATCTCTACTGGGTTGAACCAATAGAGAGTAGCCGGGGTTGAACAATGTGTGATTCCACTAATATTCTTGTTAGCTGGGGGTTTTTATAGGTAAGGGTTTCCACATACTCGGTATTATATCCTTCGCAAAAATTCCAGAGGCCAACCTGATAGAAATCGTGCAAACCTAGAGTCCGTGCGATCGAGTTTTGCAAAGTCAAACTTGTCGGCGCAGATTGGGGAAGAATGTCGGAAAGATCGAGTTTGAAGAAGTAGATGTCACGTATGACCGGGGAATTTCTCGTATTTCCTATCTCAACCTAGAATATAAATAGGTGGTTAGTATTGTCCAAATGCAAGCGAAGAATTGGGTCTTACCAAAATCAAGAAGATAATAGCTATTAAATAGCAGAAGCATGATATCCCGATAAAAACACGACGTGCTCTAGTTTCCCTCTTTAAGACGGCCGGGTTTTCAATGCTAGGCTGGGGGTTTTCCTTTTGGCCATCGCTGGAAGACGTCGCTGTCGCCGGTCGCCTTCGAAAATTGGGGAGAGATCCAAAGGGCATATTCGATAAATCCTCGAGTGTAAAGTGCGCCGCCGGGTTTCTCCAATCTCCCAGGACTTAGTCGCAGCAGCTTATGTAGATGTAGTTTACCACAGATTTCATAAACTGGTCAGAAGATATAAGTCAGATTGGAATGCGGAGATTGAGAATAGTCGTTGAAAACAACTAACGGGCAAACGCAATGCACGTTAGTGCATGGAAAGAAAATAGGGTAACATAGAAGATGAAAAAGTACACTTTTGAGTTGTCGTTGAGATCGTCAGCTAGTCGACTAGTCAGCAAGGTCAATTGGGGGGAAAGCCTGATCTGAGCAGGCGATCATTGCATATGAGGTACGAATCCGTATTATTGATTGGTCAACATGATTGATGCTAGAGAGGTACCAAGTAGGTACAACTGTACATTTACTCCTTTTTGAAGCTTACATACTGTGTAGAGTTTAGAAGCTTCCCAAGGTAAGGTTGACCCACTCAAGGAAGTCAGAGGACCCTTGCACATCTTATGTCGACTGCCGGGTAACGGATCTTGCTGCCACTCGCCAAGGCCCTTTGTGGGCGCTGTAGCAGTGAACCAGATATTGGGTACCTATCAAAAATTTGAAACAAGCTTATTCGGGTTATACGAAAGGCTATGCAATAAGCCCTTTATTTTGTGTCAACCATCCCTGTTATATTCGTGGGGTTGCGCTTAATTTCGAATCCTGCGTAACTATTTAGGAAGTTTATTCAAATACGTGAAGATCAATGCGATTCAGGTACCTTTGCATAAGTGTCCCGTTAGATAATGTTAGATACGTGCTAAAGGCAGACACTAAAAATGGTTTGATACTGATCGACTTGATAATGAAAATTGGGACTTTTCAGCTTGACTAAGGTTTATTAGTTCCGCCCCGTATTTCTATGCTCCCGCTGACATCACTTCACTCCCTAGCGCGAACGGAAGCAATAGCCAGCCACAGACGCAATGTAAACCCTGTCACTTTCCCTGCAATCTGCTTCAGAATGGCTCGTTATCCACCACTCGACAGTTCCGCTTAAGCGGTATCGTATACACTACAATAGCCTTTTACTAATCATAGTAAGGTACATGTAGCTCAGCCTTCCTTGGAACTTAAAAGTTAGCTCACATGTATCTAAAAGTACCTACAGCCCACCACACCAAGTGCCCAGACTTACCACCAAGTGACCTAGTCACCAGGGGTGGGCACGTTGCTGGAACCCGTTGCCGAAGCAGAGACATTATCATCTCAATTTCTAAAAAGTCTTTTCTTCCTTCGGGTGATTGGAACAAATTCAAGTCTTCTCAAATGACTTTCTTCATGCCTAACTACACTTAATCCTCTCCCTACAATCCCTAGGAAGCTATGGCACCACCATTCGGAAGCCTGGCGCTGTTAGCCACGGTCGCCGGAGTTCTTGGACAGACTACTATCAGTGACGATAGAACTACTATGACCGGCTCGACAGTCTCATTAACTAAAGTCACAACTCCAACCGATGCATATCAGTCTTTTACTACCCAGATTACTCTGGGCACCGACCTTGGCTCAATCGAGACCGAGACTGATGGTACTTCTATAGCTTCCAACAGCACAACAAAATCTACAGTTAAGTCCGAAAAGAGCGAGACAGTGACGTTCCTGACTGGATCTGTTGTAACGTCAACGGCATTATCTGGCGCGAACATGACTTCCTCTACTACTTCACCCACGCCAGAAGTGACCAATACGCAACCATGCAATAATTATCCCGAGTTTTGCAGCCGAAAATATAGCAACCTTACGCAAGTTGCTTGCCACAACTCCCCCTTTATCACGCCAAACAATTTGGCAGCAAATCAACAGTACGATGTTACTGCTCAGTTAAACGACGGTGTACGATTTATCCAGGCTCAAATACAATGGCCCACTGGAGGAAGCGAGCCTCATTTCTGTCATACGAGCTGCGATATCCTTGACGCTGGCCCGATCACCGACTGGCTCACCCAAGTGAGGAACTGGGTCGCAGCTCACCCCTACGACGTAGTCACCATACTACTAGGCAATGGAAATTAGTAAACCTAGCCCTAAACTTCTTTGCAGAGACGGCAGCTAACGTATTATAGTTCGGTTCCCAGTTTATACGTGCCATATATCGAGCAGACTGGCATACTACGGTATATTTACACGCCACCCTACGTTCCTATGGCCTTGGATGATTGGCCGACTCTAAGCGAAATGATTCTGAAAGGACAAAGAGTCGTGATGTTTATGGATTACATGGCAAACCAAACAGAATACCCGTGGCTCCTAGACGAGTTCTCGCAATTGTGGGAGACACCGTTCGACCCGGTTGACCAGACATTCCCTTGTACGGTGCAACGACCACCGAATTTGTCCGAGGAGGATGCCAAGAAGCGGCTGTACATGATTAACCATAACCTAAATATTGAGCTCTCCATCCTCGGCGCTGATATGCTAGTGCCCGCCCGGACGGAGCTGAACGTAACGAACAACGTGACAGGAGTTGGTAGCCTTGGTCTTTCCGCCAACAACTGCCGCGCTGAATGGGGGCGACCGCCAAATTTCTTGAACGTGGACTACTACAACATGGGAGGGTTTCCAGGGTCCGTCTTCGAAGTGGCTGCTCAAATGAACAATGTCACCTACGACCGCCAATGCTGCGGTAAGAACACGAACGGAGCGGGTAGACTACTTAGCAGCGAATTCGTATACCCATTGGCAATGCTAATGGCATTTTGGGCGTTTCTATGTTAAATAGGCTTTGCATTCATGGAGTCATCGCGTGGGCGGCATATTTATAGAGGGAGCGTATGTTGCGTTCAAGCATGCGTCTCGGATCATGGCATTGGACACTGACGCGATTTATCTTCGGGATTTAATCTATAATTTAATAGGAGTCATCTTTCCGCAATGCGTATCGGGTTTACGAAATATTGTCGCTATTTGTGTAAGGAGAGTTCACTTTAGAAAGTTTGTAGGTATTGCACAAGAGGACAAATCCACAGACAAATATCAACTCCTATACTCGGAACGTCGTATTAAGGCTTACGAGGTATCGTTTTAACGATAAATATGTGTTATAATAAATCATCAAGACAGTGTCTCCTACGTACCGTTTTTAGCTTAGCCTATTGCGAGACAGCCACACAGTTAACCATATAAATAAATTCCTAAACACGTCTCAACAATTTTCCCTCAGATCTAAACATCCGTAGGCCATATACGCAACACGACAACAGATGGGGATATAGCATCAATGTTCTCCCGTGTTAACAGCCGACACCACATCATCACGCCTCGATACCATACGCCTTAAGCGCCGTGCCGCCCCAAATCATGCGCTTCTCCTCATCCTCGAACGAGGCCATCCAGCACAGGCGATCGACGATCTTCTTCCACTTTCGCCAGGCGTCGTCGCCGACGCCGACGGTGCATACGGGCCAGTCGCTCGCGAACATGATGCGGGAGGCGCCGAAGGCGGCGAGCACAACGCTCAACCAGGGGCTGATGGCGTCGAAGATGTCTTCGGGGGAGCGCTGCCGCAGGGCCTCGGGCATCTCGGCGAAGCCGCCTGATAGCTTCATGTAGGTCCGGCTGCACTTGCTCAGGGTGAAGATGGCGGTGCGCCAGGCGATGAAGGACGGGCTGGTTTGGACGTTGTAGATGCCGAGGTCGGGTTTGCAGAGGTGGTCTGTGTGGGGTTGTTAGTTTACTTGGGGCTTTACACTAGGTAGGTATGGATGAGAAGGGGGCGGAGGTGGGCACGGACTGATTATAAACGTGACTCTCTGGTCCTCGGGAACGCCATCATGTGCGCGGTCGATCATCTCGACGACTTCCTCGAGTTGGGTCCTGCCGCGGTTATGTTGGTCGACGCCTAAGTCGAACACGAAGCCCCGGCGGCCGAGCAGCTTCAAGCTCTCGATGAAGTTATTCTGAAGCATGGTCCCGTTGGGCTTGTCTTGCAGCAGGTATCTGAAGCCCCTGACCTTGGGCCAGCTCTCGCCCGCTTCCTGCTTCACTAGGTCAAGATACTTTTCCATAGCGGCAACACCGCTGGGTAATGGTGCCCAGGGTATGTAGGCGGTACATAGCGAGGCGTCTTCCGCGGTATGGCCCTCGCCCGGCTTTGGTTGGCCGGTGACGATACGTTTCAGCCAGGAGACCTCTTGCAGCGGGTACTCCCAGCCTTTCTCCCCAGCTTCCAGGTCATTCTTCCGGTCCGTCTCTACGAAGATGAAACCCTGGGGCGTAGAGCCGTCGGTGGCAGCTCTATATTCTTCCAGCGAGTGCTGTTTATTCAATGGGTGGTCAGGTGTGGACCATGCTAAAGTTGAGAGCTCTGATTCGGGATAGAGGTGAATGTGTGCGTCGATGATAGGAATATCGGCAGCCATGTTTGAGTATTTTTCCTTGGTTTATTTACCTAATCTAATTGGTCTATTCGGGCTAAGCTTCGAATAGTAGAAAATAGAGATTAGAAGGGTAAAGTTTAAAAACAATTGTAGTGTAACCAAGTAACCAAGCAAGCTTCATCTAAAGCTTCACGCGACTGCCTCTCTCTAGTGTATTCTCCCAAGCTACTCCCTGCCTTACCTGTTGTACTACCTTACCCCGCCATGACCTCCTACTGGAAACCCACTATTTCCCCTGAAATGGTCTGGTCTGCTCGCCCCCACATGCCACTTCGAAGCATTGTCCGTCATTCGCTCTGAAACCCGATACTTCACATATTTGGAAATACGTTGGTGGATGCGTACCGACCGATGTGGTGGTCCGTTTGGGTACGAAGTTAGGTTAAACTATCTTGTCTGCTTGTGTCAACTGTGTAACTGGTGGTTTATCACAGGCGTACGAAGTAGGTAATGTACATACATACATAGGTGATGAGCATGGGGAAAAGGCGGTATAGCACCGTGAAACATAATATTTATAGCACACTGTGTTGCCTTAACCCAAAACGTTAGACAAGCTTCAAAAGATTTAACTACTCGATTTTAGGAAAACTACTATCGCTCGTTGTTTCTGAGAACACCTTAAACATCTATCTCATAAGACCATTTATCAAAATTCGAGATGATGGACTAAAAGAGTTCCGAATAACCAAGCTTGAAACTAATTGCCAACCCCCAGGGATTTCTCATAATTCGGCAGTTTCCTAGCATCCTTCTGCCGCTCAACGACTTGGCTAGCCGTATCTTTCATCGACCGTATACCCTCTTCCCTAAACTCCAGGACTTTCTTCGTAGCAGGTCGTTTCGCCATGTTCGCGTTCCAGCGGTAATACTCGGGGAATTCCTTCTCCAGATCCAAAGTGCCTCCGGGGAAGGCAGTGCCGAGGAGAGTGTTCCATGACACGAACGAGAGGTCCGCGTACGTACACTTGTCGCCGACGAGCCAAACGGGTTCATCAGAAGATAGGCCTAGTTTCTGCCTCTGCTTGCCCAGCGAATTGTTGACTACGCCCATGATTCGCTTGGCCTCGGCTCCGTAGCGATCTATTGCCGTCTGCAAGTTTTGCTCTATGTGGATGTGCGTGAACCATACTATTCCGCGGGTAAGTCAAGTTAGCCGAACGTTTTCTACGAGAATAGTAAAGAGCCCTAGAATCGTAAATACGCACCCTTTTGGCCGAACATGGGACCTTGGCCGCTCATCTGGAACATGAGCCAACTCTGAAGTTGCCACTTCTCCTCGAACCTGTCATCTCCATACGTGAGCTTGAGGTCCTTGTCGTAGGTGGCGATGAGGTAGTTGATGATGGCGCCAGACTCCCAGAGTGTCACGTTCTTATTCGGGTCGATCATAGCAGGAAGCCGTCCATTAGGATTCAAAGAAGTGTACGGTTCGGATTTGATCTCGCTGTATGGAATCCAGACGATATCATATAGTATACCGAGCTCTTCGGCCACAATGATAGGTTTCCAAGGGTTAGGTCCTTGGCCGTGAGGCCCATTATAGATCTTGATAGGCTGCATGGTGAATATCAATGTCGAACTAGAATAACTTGATAGCTTAACAGGCTTATGGCGCAAGCTGGCTTGTCCTCGTCTTATACTTGTGGCTTCTTATATACAGCCTTATAGAACAGAGCTAGACCAACGAATCTATCTTCTAGCTCTCGAGCTTAACATCGGGACCGAGACTAATAAATCCGCAAAGCCCGTGAACTTGCAGTTGATTAACTAGTTACATGAAGTACTACACCATACTTATTCCCTGCGATGACTCTGCGAGCTGAGGAGACTTCCGAGAACCGGCAGTAATAGCGATGATCGTCGGAGATTGACTCTCAGTTTATGCAGATTAGGCATCTTTGAGAAATTTCACCTGTATATAATGTCCTATAGACGTAGAAACTTAGCGAGCAAGTATACTCTATGGTAAGTCCGATGTTTAGGGGTCATGGCATTTGTCATCTCATAGCGATCCTACGGCCAAATTGGCCGATACTGAGAAGAATGGTGGCTTCTGAACCAATCACAACTAGTAGAGTGTAACAAAGTTGGCATACGGAGATAAATACTGGCTACTAAGGTAAATAGAGTGAGTAGGTAGTCGATGCTGTATTGGCCTCAAGACCCAGGGGGTTCTTGCAAGATACAGCCGGGATCATGCAAATACATAGAATTGTGATAACCTAACGACTTAATAATGTGCCCCTGCATTGTAATGATATATGTGGACATCTTATGATTGATATTAACTGTATTACATGCCTTCTTCCAATGCTAGAGCTATAAATGGGACGATCATAATACGCTTAGTACTGATGTAATATCTTCCCACTGTAGTACATATGCCAATAGCACTCCGGTCTCATTTGAGCCTCTATTTCCCTCGAATGACATCCTTATCACGGCCCAAAGGCATCGTAACGCCACGCTACCTAACCCCAGACGACCCAACGAAGTCCGTACATGCCTTACTCAGGGGGCACATACGGATGGATGAGCATTTCGCTAAATTGTTCCAGCTTCTCCTTGCCCCGGACTTCCTCTACTAGAAGCGGCATTTTGACCACGTTGAATTCGTCATATAGCTCCTCGATTTGATCTAGGTATTTCTTCTGCATTTTCCGTCGGGCATTGCATTGCTCGCAGTTGCTGCCTTTTTTAGGGAATAACAGCTGGTTCACGACAATACAGTGTGTGTCGATGTTGTAGCTAGCTAACTCCTGAATCATACGTTCCGTCTCGTACAGACTCAGGAATTCAGCTATACAGACACAGACAAACGTAGTTAGGTTCTCGTCTTTGAATTGTGTATTAACCTCAGAAATAGTCGCGCGAAGACTCTCCAGCTTTTCCATCATCTCGCTCAAGTTCTGCCCGTTCGGGAGTGTACCTTGATTTCCGAGGAAGCCGTTGAGTAAGGGCCCATATTGGGAAGAAAGTTGGGAGACCTTAGCGAGAGCCTTCTCGAGGACGGACGGGAATTGGAGAAAACGGAGGGTGTGACCTGTGGGTGCAGTATCGAAGATGATGACTTCGTACGAGAGTGATTTGACTTGTTTGAGAACCTCTGCGAAGGACATGGCCTCATCTATACCGGGAATCTAGAATGCCGTGTTAGCTTAAATAGTATGCAAGGTCATGCCATATCGTAGTACTCACTGCAAATGCTAAATCCTGCATCATGCCCCCCATGCCACTGAGCGGATCGCTGTTTTCCTCACCCTGTCCGGCTATCAAGTCCTGAATGCTTCCATTAGGGTCAATCTCCATAGCGCTCAAATTAGAGAAGCCCTCTATTAATCGCGCCTCCTTGCCGAATTTCTGGGAGAAGGCGTCGGACAAGTTGTGAGCAGGATCAGTCGAGATGAGCAGAACCGAGCGGCGGACTTTAGCCAGTTGTATGGCAAGAGAGCACGAAGTTGTCGTCTTGCCCACACCTCCCTTTCCACCGACAAAAATCCATCGCAGCGTCTTCTGGTCTAGGATAGACTGTAGGGTCGGCTCGAGGCCATCATCAGCGGAGACCACAGCAGAGGACATGGTGGCCAAGGTTGTAAAAGTTGGAGGGGAACGGTGTGTGACGAAGAGGGTTCAAGGAGAGTATGAGTTCCTATGTGGTGTAGATTAAAAGAGTGTAGTAATTAATTGTCGTGGCATAAAGTTGGAGGTGGGTTCTGGAAGATCAAATGGAATCGCGTCGAGCTTCTGAGCAAATCAAAATTGCCCCGCGATTAATCCCCAATAACGAACGCAGAGGTACGTATATTTTGGCGGGGGATAAAGTACATGTATTGTACCTAAGTACCTCAATTTTAGGTACCGCGGTCACGATCCATGAGCTCACAAGCCACATAGTGTAAAAAAGGGGCAAGTCCAGGTAAACTTATCGGGTAGATCTTGTCGAACAAAGCGCTATACCATTAAAAGGTTATTTGGTAACAGATTGATTTTATTCTATTACATTTTATATATCGGATAGATAGAAATATCTGACAGATCTTGAGTCTTGACATCACTATCATCACTTTACAAAATACTCTTCAATAACACCATTTACAGTCATCTCTCAATGTATTGTAGTTCAGCAGCATGATGATTTTATAGGAGCATCCTCAAATATTGAACTACATAATCCTCCCTTAATTAAGTCATTCGGCTTATACTGTAAGCGACACCATCATACATCTATGATGCTAGTCTCATTTATTCCCAGTGTTATGAAGGGCGTTGGGCACAGCTCGTTCAATGCTCTCAGGGACCTTCTCCTGGACCTTCTTTGGTAGAATTGATTCCTCTCCTCCGCCCTGTGCGTGAGTCTTGCTGGCGGATTGGCCTGCGTTCCCGCTTGTGGGATGGATCTTCCGAGACAATCAGCAGAAGTAACTATGAATGTTTTGGATGCTAGGTAGTTGGACTCACGCTGTCGGGAAGTGACTGTTCTACATCCTTGGGTACCTTTTCTTGCATCTTTCCGGGCACTTTGGACTGGCCTGTGGCGTGCGACTTGTCTGCGCTGGACATTCTTACGGAAGTGATAGAAATAGATCTGGTTCTGAATGGGAGCTGTTTTAACCCGGAGAATGTACGTAGTCGAAGTGATTGTAAGTACATTGTTTATCGAAAGCCCGATAGATATCTTGGAGAGATGTTTCTCGTACTTATAATGCGTTCCGAAACAGATGCAAACAGGAGAGTTTGTTTTCATGATGAATCACCAGTATTAATACTCTAAAGTGTATGATGGCTATACTATTATATATGCTACTATGACGAATCTCTATGACGGGTTGTAAGTCATGGACGTGATGCTGCGGACATCCTAGGAGCATATACACCTAGATTTTAGTGGATGGATTGAGCTTAAATTTTGCTAAGCTGTAATTCTACCCATGTGAGCTCTTTATAGTGGAACAATTGTGAGTCCGTAACCTAGATGATACAGGTAGATTTATGTGAGATCTCAACTTTGATCAAATAAATAGTCACTCAATCCCGAGGCCAGGGGTTTCCGTACATTAGTTATCTTCCGCGTGTCGTATGATTTCATACAAGTTCTATGAACTCTTGATCATATCATGTAGATTACCTAGGTACCTAGGTATGCAACCTTACGGGACCATTAACTAGGTAGGTTTAATATACTTTCCCATAATATACCGAAAGTGTATTAGGAGAACATCCCGAGGGCGAAATCAAGTACATCAAGTTGTAATCGGTGACCTAATCTGGGATTTAGTCTACAAGTTTGATAAACCTGCTAGCACGAAAGAAACGACCGTCTTAGCTACGACTAACTGATCTATACCTAAACCATTTCATTGAACCCAGTGGAATAATCCGGCTGACATTTTAATACCACCCATTAAAATGGTTCAGCTAAGTACCTAGGTAGGTATATCAAGATATTATTAGACTTCATTTCTACAGTACAGTACTTCCATGTGGTGGGGTAGCACTTCGTCCATCTCTCATGATTTTTATTAGAGAAAATACCAGGGGGTTCTATCATGAGCAATCCAGTTAAAAGCATGCATAATTTTTATATGATCGATATTCTCATATATGATATCCTCTATGAGTTCAATATTGTATCTGTCTCTTCGATTTGCCATACTCTCAGATGCGAGGCTTTATGTTATTTTGAACTCCAACATGTCTGTATTGAGGAAATTTAAATGATAGTACCCTATTATCATTAAATTCCGTTACATGGTTGCTTTTTTATAAGAGACCTACCAATCTACTCGCGTAAGGCTTATGCCATATCTAGTGTTGCGTTCTATTAATTATTTCACCTGTGCATTTGGGCTAAAGCAATCCTTCTTTCAAATGGCTGATAGTACCTAGTAGGGGGTTATGTTACTTTGAATGAGAATGATAATCCTGCACGAAACCGAAGCAATCAGACATTTCTAATTATAAGCTTCCTAACCCCCCAAAGCAACCATCATAGAGGACTTCAAACATTCGTTGAGCGAATCAGAGGGATCTCATACGGCGAGAGTGTTGCACAGCAGTTCAACAGCCGCGAATAGCATCCGCCGCGGCGATTATTAGTAAACACGTTCGTATATAATGCAATTGTTGGATGGCAGAGGTTGGAATTGGAATCCTCTTGTAGGTTACCCCCAAGTTGCATTGCAGACCGTTTGTGCAACACAACTATGGTATATTGTCGGTGAATGATGAACTGTTACCGCTGTCGACTCAATTCATAAGGTAAGCCAGCCCTACCACGTAAAATTGGGACATATCGATGTTTCCTCTTCTTATCATTTACGGCCTATTCTACAGTTTATTTTCCTCCACATCAGTTTATCATCAAGACATCCAAAGCGTAAGATAATGAACGACCATACAAGTAGAAAATCCACAGAAAAAACATCTATTGTATCCGCGGAATAGTTTCCGTATCTATCTTCGTCTCGTCTCGAATCATCGTTCCATCGACTTACATCGACCTGAGGCGGGTGTGAACGGGTGTCGATAAATCTTTTAATCCTATACGGGGAGTCTTTTGAAGTCGTCTAAAGAAATGGGGTGGATACACAACACTCCAGATAATACTGCTACTAACGGACCTACTACCGCGGCCGTCGCAAGCGTTCTATCAGGAGTTTCTTTTTGCTTTATATGCCTTAGGGGCTATGTTCGAAGTCGGCTTATCCATGCTTTAGGAATAGGTATGTTGCTTGTGGTAAAGTTAGCTGGAGCTGGTATACTGAACTTGATGTATCTAGATGACTGGATCATCTTCATAACTTGGGTATGGGTCTTCCAAACGTATCTACTTTCGGTTACTCTTGACTAAACTATGCCTAGATTCTAACGTGCGGGTTTACCGTAGTCACAGCAATCCGTATGTATCACTACTTTTGCAATTTAGTAATGTTTGTCATTAACATAAACTTGATAGAAACAACATGGGGTTTAGGAATGAAACATGTTGACGATATGCCTCCCCAAAATATATATCCCTTTGGCCAAGTAAGATAGAAGCTCTTATCACATAGCGGTCGTACCTAACACCAAACAGTTGGAACTTGCAGGCTTTTCTTTGTAAGTGTCCAAGTAAGTAGTCACTGGTATTTCCGACTCCTAATGGCCATACTTAGATATATCCTTAGTATTCTCGGATTTAAGCTCAGCTTGCTGGTATCATACTTTCGATTTGTCCCTCAGGGGATGTGCAAGTATGGCGTCACCTGCGTATTAGTTTCTTGCACGCTATTCCACCTATCGTGTCTGATAGTTCAACTCAACCAATGTCACCCGGTATGTTAGCGGACTCACTTCAGTCTGCGATGTGACTAACTTGAGTAGATCGCAAAGAAGTGGGATCCAACTGTCCCAGGGAGATGTATTAACCAAATTCCTTACTATATGGCTTCCTCGGCATTGGCTGTCGTTTTCGATTTTGCTGTGTAAGTAACTCAACTTCTATTCAAGCAATGTAAAGCGAGCTCTGACCGATTGCAAGCATGTTTCTTCCATTACCAGTAATTCTTAAAACGAAGATCCAACTACGAAAGAAAGTCATGTTACTCGGCCTTTTCGCCCTTGGTTTCTTTATCACCGGGATCCAAATCATCAGAATCCAGTTCTTAAAAGACCTTAGTAACCCCCTCAATTCCGGGCCTGTCGTGCTATGGTCGACAGTCGAAGCAAACCTAGGTGTAATAGTTGCATGCATACCGGTCCTTTCACCTCTTTTCAAGCAGAACCGTGACAACTATAACAAGGGCACCCCCGAGTCGACATGGGGGAATACTATAACGCCGAGTATTACAAGCCACTCTTGCATGGTTGCTAGAAATCACATGTCCGAGGATGACTTACTCGATAGAGAGAAAGATAATAATAACCGTCTAACGAGCACCAATAGCCGGGAGCCTATTAATATAGGGAACGGTCACATACTTAGAGAGACAGATGTCGTCATTGTCAACCAACTCGCTCCCGCTCATCTGACACCCCCACACGATACCGAGCTAGGAGGACGAATGAAGGGTAATTATGAGTGCTGGGCAAGGAGTACTAACATGACAATTCACGACGGATTTTCGAGTCACAGCCTCGATCGTATTTAGATGTATTTATATGGGATATCTAACACGATAGTCTATCGCGTATCATATTGGATTAAATTGATAGAAGGGGTTGGGATATGGTAACTAGAGCCAAGATACATAGGTAGTAATGATAATTCGATATTACCTATCATGGTATAGAGCCTCAAGCTAGGGGTTGAATCTTAAACTCATCTCACTCTAGAACTTTGTGTGAGGGCTTACAAGGCTCAGTCTTGTAAGTATAGCCTCTCTGGTGCTACACACCATGTAGTCGAAATGCATAAGGCTCAGTATTTGCGTCTTCAAATGCCTTATACGGCTTCACCGAATGTAACGATGTTATAAATATCTGTAAGCATGTGGAAAAGATTGCTGAGGAAATAACTACCTAACTAAAAATGTAAACTTGCTGCTAGTTAATAAGTTATTAATTTATCTAGGCTAACCAGTAGAAAGCCTTGAATAAATAGGTTAGGTACATATAGCATCCAAGTCTCTCGGCATGAGATTTCAACGCCGCCTAATTACTTACACTAAGATTTGATAAAGAATTGCACTGTGCTGCCTTTGGTTATCAATGGGAAGTTTGGTATCATAAAAGATGTAAAAAGCCTCGCTATGTAGAAGCTCTTAGAAATGATGGTCAAGGAATGCGAATCTATCAAAGAAGGATATTCCTCTGCTTGTTATCTAAGGCAAGACGTTATAAGTTAAGGCTAGCTAATTTTGGCAACTTAACCGTACTTACATGACGCTCAATAGAATTGACGTTTAACGTCGGTCACATAATTAGAAAAATACCTGCTGCCACATGGGAAGTAGAGGAAGATTTCAAACTTTTAATACTTATCTAAGGAATCTAGCTCTGAATACGTGGTTAACCCCTATCTACCTAGGCAGTCGGACTACGAGCTTCTGTCCATAAAGCACAACATGAAAATATATGAGGATTGCCGGAAAGATGTCATGAATGGCCAATAAGATTAGTTCCCACATAGTATCTTTTGTGCAAAAGATGTTCGATGGGGCTTTCGTTGCCAAACGAACTGTCACTCATAGTCTCTTGGGGTCATCTAAGGGGTTTAAATCCCCTATTACAAGACACAGACGAATAGGATATGAGATACCACCGGCACTCTCGATCGAACTGAATATTTGTTCTTGTTTACAGGATTAAATGACACTGGAGCTGGTCCACATTTATGAACTTATGTAGTCTAATATAATAAAGGAGAGGAAGGACTAAGACACATCAGCCCCATCAGAATGACCTACACGGGGCCTTTCGTATCCCTTTCAAATCCCTTTCGAAGTACCTTGCATGAATTAGAGTCAGTGACTGTGATAGAACTAAGAGTGTTAAAGGTTGGCTATGGAAAGCTATCGGTAGATCGTAGCACTCGGTATACCCGTAGGGCTCTGACTTGCAAATTACCTCCCCAGGTAGGGAACTTGGGTAGCATAGTAGTTATATCATCCTCCTAGGCCGTCTCATTCTCTGTATTAGGTCTAGATGCCCTAATAATACCTAAAGGAGGTACTTGATATAAGTCTACCTCTGGTGTAAGGAATGCAAATGCCTGTAGCTTAGCACTTACCCCGTCTAAGGCTACTCGCATGCACCTTCTTGTATATGAATGTTAGGCAGCAAGAGTACCCGCATTATCTGACATAACACCCTTCATACTGTTAATGCAACAGGGCAGCTTCTCTTCTTAGGCCTTGAAATAGGTAGTCACCCAAGCAACTCCCCCAGGACGCAGCCTCAGTTTTAGCCTTGAAGGCCCTACTCTCTCCCCTGTGCACTCCTCGAATATTTGGTATCTACCTACCTTCCATTCAATCCACCTCCACTTACTTAATCTTCTTCCCATCTCTCAACTTCATCCTTTCCTTCCAATATCAACAACTTCGGCACCCTCACCAAGGGACATCAACTCACCAGTCTCTTCCAACGAGACAACCTACACTGACCAAGTCAATCCTAACTCGCCTCGTTGGGCTCTGCTACTACACCTACTTGTCTAAGACACGTAAAGGTAAGTCATGATGTTTCGTTTGGGCAGCTGCGCTGCCTTGTTTCCTCCGAATTGAAATGTTTGCACCAAAACGCGTCGCACTTTGCCATTATCCTTCTACCCTTCTGCTTCCCTAAAACCAATCTTTCACATTTTCACACTACTTTCAACTCGTTTATGCTCCTCTCCTCCAACCTTCCCTCTGCCCTGTTATTATCCAACAGGCAGTGTCTACACCTACTACTACGCGATCCATACTCTGATCGTAGTTAGTAAAGCTAGGGAAACCCTCACCCTCCTTCAGTTTATACTACTCTGATATCCTATACTCCTCCATCTTACGGCCATACCACCGCATTCTACCGTTTAGCCATTACTCATTGGTGTCCTGGGGCGTAGGTGAACGTACGTGTTGTACATTCATGTTTTGTCCTTCATCCAACTTCATATTTCGCTCATTTCATACCCTCCTACTACTTAAATATAGCTGTTCGCCTAAACTTCTGTTTTTGTCGGCTGTTATACTTACTTATAGCTAACCACGTTTTCATTATCTATTTTGTGAAATCACGCTAATAAATCCTTTAGGACTTCCTCAAGGTGCCAAAATGTCTGACTGGGACAACGTTGTCATCGACCACTCTGGTCCCCAGGATGGTGGAGGCGGTCGAGCCTGCTTCAACTGCGGCCAGGAGGGGTAAGTTTAATTATCGTACTGAATATGCGTAGCTAACATCACATCCAGCCACAACAAGGCTGAATGCCCCAATCCTCGTGTCTTAAAGTGCCGACATTGCAACGAGGAGGGCCATGCGATCCGTGACTGTCCCACTGCTCCTCCCCAGGAGTTCACTGGAGAATGCCGATACTGCAAGAAGGAGGGTCATATGGCCAAGGATTGTCCGGAAAGACCCCCCATGGCCTGCAAAAACTGTCTGGAGGAAGGTAAGTCAAAACCAAATAGAAGTCTAAATACAGAAAACTAAGCGCATTGATTCTACTAGGGCACATGGCTGCCCAGTGCAAGAATCCACGCAAGATTGACCGCTCGTCTTTTGGCGAGATCCCCGCTGAAAAGGCTTGGGCAAAGATCATGGAAGGAGCCAAGGAGAAGGACCTGGACAAGGTCAAAGAGGGTATCCAGGAGTACCTCAAATCTACTCCAGGTATCACCTACGTCAACCTCGAGCAGGCATTCCGCTCTCAGTTCATTGAACTGTACTTGATCGCGTTGGAGAGTCCTTCACTGCTTGCGACTCACACTCACATGGACCTTCAAGGAAACCTTGACAAGAAATACCGTGTTCACTATCGCTGGAGCGACAAGCCTCTCCGTCCCCGAGAGATCCAGCAGTGGCCTCAGTCGGCTGCAGAAAACCTCGAGCGTCTTAAGGATGCCGGCGAAACCGTTGAACGCGGCGTGCCCAAGTGCAGTAACTGCGGCGAGCTTGGTCATATTTCGAAGAGATGCCCCCAGGAGAAGATCGAGAAGGAACACGTTATCATCAAGTGCTTCAACTGTGACCAACCAGGTCATCGCATCCGTGACTGTGAGTCTGGCTAAGTTTATTCTTGGGTTTGTCGCTTGCTAACACGGATAAGGCCCGGAACCTCGTAAGAACAAGTATGGCTGTAGAAATTGCGGGTATGTATATACCTATCCATATCTTATTACTCTCCCATCACTAACCACACATCTTACTATAGCCAAGGAGGTCACATGGCAGCAGACTGTAAGTGATTACGCTGCTAACTTCCTGCTTTCAATTGACAATTATATAGGTCCCGAGCCTCGCCGAGCTGGAGATGACGTTGAGTGTCGCAAGTGTGGTGGAAGTGAGTCGTAAACCATAAATACCTGGAGATCTATGAGTGTTATTAACTATATGCTTCAGCTGGCCACTATGCCAAAGATTGCCCTCAGGAAGGCGGAGGTCGTAGTCGCGCGTGCTTCAACTGTGGCGAGGAAGGCCACAGCTCTCGAGACTGCCCGAACCCCAAGAAAATCCAGTGCCGCAACTGTGATGAGTTTGGACACATGTCCAAGGAATGCCCTAAGCCCCGAGATTGTAAGTGAAGTCGGATATCATGCCTATTAGGTATACTCTATGGAACTACATGGCTAATATCCTAAAAGACAGCCGGGTCAAGTGCACGAAGTGTGGCGAGATGGGCCACACTCAAGTTCGATGCAAGATGGAGTCTGCTCCTGTTGACGAGCCCACCTTCGACGAGCCCACCTTCGACGCGGCTGGCGGCAGCAGTGGTACTGTTGGTCACCATGGCGGAAATAGCTTCATGGCCGCCCTAGCCGTACCCGAGAGTGGTGGTGACGGTGACAATTGGGGCTCTAATGAGAATGTCGACTGGTAAATACTACACGACGATCTAGATTCATTGAGTTTCGGGATCTTGGCTTCTTCAACGCTTTAGTTTACTTTTAATCTTTTGCGAATGTTTGTTGACGATGAGCCTGGAGAGGACAGTTTCTCATGATAGCCAATTGGCAGTCGTGTATTCCAGGTAATTATTGCGAATGAGTTTTACACAGGGGTGAATTGCGAGGTCACGACTAAGTTAGTAGCATAATGGATGGTGGCATTTGAGCTTATCTAGCAATCCAGCAATCTCATGAGCCGTTTTGCACATGGATAGGTCGGTTTGCCTTGTATCCGGAGCTTAGTCAATACATCATCAAATTCGTTGCGAAGTTCAAATTGGAACCCCCTATTTTAGTCTATACCTGAATGTATGTACCTAAGGTAACTAACCGTACCTTGTAACGCGTGGCGTTTCAGCCACAAGGAAGTATCCTATCAGAAGCTTGGAAGCTTGCCTTTGCAGACTTAGGTCCTGAGCATCAAGCTAGCTAGCATCAGGCTGCCCCGCAGCTATTAGGTAGAAGGTAAACAGCCCCTCCATAAACAATGCGTCGTCGGAAGCTCCTAACGTAAAGCTCGGCGAACCGAATCTGTTCTCTTTGGAAATATTCTAATGACGAACACTACTTAGACAAACTAAAGATTTTTATGAGAATATTATAAATATTCAAGGAATCGTATTATCAAGCGTCGGAATGTCGATAACGATCGAGAAGATACTCGCTGCTTCTCCTGTGACAGCTCGAGGGCAGCCGACGCAGCTATCGACCGATGCCAAGGGGGAAAGGATAACTTATGCTGTAGGTGCCCTGGAACTCAGTTATGATTCACAGGATGAGAGCTATATCTAACATTATATCAGTCCGGAAAATCAATATTCGTTCGATCTATCGACAACCCTTCCGCCAGCAAGCAATACACGGGTCACACGGCCCAAACGACTGTTGCCAAGTTTTCGCCAAGTGGATTCTATATTGCCAGCGGTGATGTATCGGGCTCGGTTCGAGTATGGGACTCGATAGAGGCTGTGAATACCAAAGGTATCAGCTACTAGATTGAAAGTGTGCTGGTGGTATCCATGTTCAACTAACATAACCTTCCAACTTAGGCGAATATCATATCATCTCGGGTCGCATCAATGACATAGCGTGGGACGGCGATTCGCAGCGCATCATCGCGGTCGGTGACGGGCGTGAACGGTTCGGGCACTGCATCACTGCGGACAGCGGTAACAGCGTTGGCGAGGTATCTGGACATTCCAAAGTCATCAACTCGGTTGCTGTGAGGCAGATGAGGCCCCTTAGAGCTGCAACTGCTAGTGATGACATGGCCATGTGTTTCTTGCATGGTGCCCCGTTCAAATTTGACTCGAAGTCTACTGGCCTCCATAAGGGATTCGTATTGGGCACGGCCTTCTCGCCGGACGGGAACACCCTTGTTACGGTGGGTGCAGATAAGCGAATTCAATTGTACGATGGGAAAACTGGAGAACCTACAAAGTCTATTGGCGAGAACGAGCATACAGGAAGCATCTTCGCAGTTAGTTGGTCAAAAGATTCGAAGAGTTTCGTCACAGCCAGCGCCGATCAGACGGTTAAATTATGGGATGTGGAGGCAGGTAAAGTCACACAAACGTGGAAATTCGGAGGAGACGGTGTCAGCATCCCAGACCAACAAGTCGGCGTGGTATGGCCACATGGCCGCAGTGATGGCTTGATCATCAGTCTCAGCCTTGGCGGAGATCTTAATTATCTGGTAGAAGGCAACCCGAAACCAATCAAAGTTATTCAGGGGCACAACAAGAGCATCACAGCCCTAGGAGTTGGCTCGGATGGCAAAGGTCAAACACTATGGACTGGAAGCTTCGATGGTCGGGTCTGCAGCTGGGATCTCAGCTCTGGAGCGGCCACGGTTGTTGACGGACAAACTCACACAAACCAAGTGACAGAATTCACATCCAGTGCTGGGCGAGCATACAGCGTCGGATGGGACGACACTCTTCGCATAGTCGACGAGTCCGCTAACACTTTTGCCGGCGAGTCACTAAAACTGTCCGCACAGCCCAAGGGAGTTTCTTCTGCGGATGGGCGAGTATACGTGGCAACCATCGCCGGCGTCGAGATCTATGTCAAGGATCAACTTGCAGGCAAGCTAGAAATTGCCGAAGCGCAGCCAACAGCCATCGCCGCTCAGGGATCACTAGTAGCAGTAGGCCTAAGCAATAACGCGGTGCGCTTATACAAGGCGGACTCGGATAACAAACTTACACAAGCACATGAGGTAAAAAACTCAACGGCACAAATTTCAACTCTAGCCTTTTCGAAGGACGGCTCGCTGCTTGCCGCGGGCAACACGGCGGGCAAGATATATGCGTATCGCACGTCTGGCCTGGAATTAGCGACGGATCGGTGGTCGGCACACACGGGCCGCGTAACAAGCATCGCATGGAACGAGGCGGGCACGCACGCGGCCAGCGGCGCGTTAGACACTAATGTGTTCGTATGGAGCCTCGCGAAGCCCGGATCGCGCGTCAAGGCGCTAAACGCGCACAAGGACGGCGTTAATGGCGTCGCTTGGGTGCATGGCGGGACGAAGGTCGCAAGTACGGGTGGAGATGCGGCGATCAAGATTTGGACTGTTGAGGGGTTGCAATGAGAGAGACGAAATGACATTATGAAGTATTGATCATGATCATGATAGCCTATAAGAGCAGATAGATATTTGAACGAGACTTGGGATTGTTTAGCTAGATAGCCTTGGCTTTGACAAAGATGACTCGCTTCTCGTAGATAATATCCACTCTGAAGTGGCCTTGCTGGATGATTGAACATACCTAGCTTATGTGTAACCCTTGAAGTATATATGTGCTTCGGAGGGAACTGCCTTGGGGATATGGCACCATAGGATCACAATGGTAGACTATGATAGATATTTACTACACGCTATACCCAGGCAATAGGCACAGTATTATAGTTGAAGTTAAGCACGGCAATTATAGTATTATATAACTATGCTATAGGATAGTCATTGAAACAAGAGTCTATTCGTAAATATTAGTCGAGTTACCTAGCGGAAACTAAAACAGTCGCAATTGGGTATCTCCCTTTCCTAGTAAACGCCAAAACCAAATAACCCCAACCACCGGTTGGTGGCCAAATATAGGATTAGCGCCCCGGCATCAAAGCGCTAATGACATCCCAGAGACCACCGGGCCACTCCGACTCCGGGTCTGGGTCCGGGGGCCACTGCTTCTTGGGAGCCGTGAGGAGGTCTTCGTTGATGATATCAACGAGCGAACTGTTTATAGCCCGTTAGTACGTCTTTACGAGATAGGTTGATGCGAGAAAGAGTTACACGTGAGTAAGAAAAAAAAACAAGAAAAAAACAAGAAAAAGAAGCATACCCAATCTTGCCCTGGATTAGGTGCCCCTGGCTATGCATCTCCTCGGCAATCTCCGATTGGTGGTTGTCCATGAGCGTGGGGTTAGGCACTGCGATCAGCGCCGAGTCGAAATCGAGTGCTTCCAGGATACTTCCGGAGCCTGTGGCAGAATTATCAGCACAAGAAGTATCTAATTTGGGTAGCTACCTAATAGGGCTTGGCTATCACGACATACCCGCGTGAGTAATAATCAGTCCGCGGTCCCGCTTCGACGAAGGAGAAAAGTGGTCAGCAGTAGTGAGCTCCATGAATTTCCGAATGTCGTCGTGGAAAGTGAAGCCCGTAACAAGAAGCTCGTCGGGGTCGTCGGGGCTCGGCTCCGGCGGCTCGGCATCCAGGAAGTAATCGTAGTCGGGCCCGCACTGGATGATCAGGTGGGTGAAGTCGAGGGACTTGAGCTTGGCGAGGAAGGCTTCTGAGAGAACTTCCTCGATGAGAAGTTTGAAACTGGCGCTGGCGCCGATGGTGACGAAGGCGTATCTGGATTTGGTTCGGGCCATGAGGACAATTACTTCAAGTTAGATTATCTGATGTAAGGAGCGTAGGATGGAGAGTCAAGACAATTGGAGACGAAACGTGGGCACAAATTGATTGGCTGCAGGGCAGAGTTCTTTACCAGATTAGGCGCTTTTAACCGCTAGCTAGCGTCCATTGAACCCTGTCAGCTGCCTGTGACAACTCCATAGACCCATGCTTAGGTAATCTAGTGGCGCCCATGTGGCAGTGTGTCAACGACAACTGTGGCTAGGTGCTCAGGAGTGACCCCTATTCTCCACGCGATACAACTCGAGCCTATCTAATAACTGTCCCTTTTACTAGGAATAAATACTGGGTATTACTGATGGGTTTTATTTAGGTATTACAAAAGGCTAGTTTCTAAAATATGATAGCTTTACGACACGGTAGATAATATTTTATGGGGTGTTGGGGTGCATCGTTTTATCACCGCATATTACACAGATCGAGACAAATCATAAGGCTATTTGAGTAAATTCAACAATTTATTTCGTGGCGTAGCTAATAGGCCAACTATGCTATTGCACGTTCTCGTATACCCGCATCTATGCGGACGTATTAGGCCAAAGCAGCAGATTTCGCAAGTTGTTCCCCCCATATCCACCTCGTACCGGTTTCTTGATTGGGGTCATGCGGCTGCTCGTTTAGAGCTTATTTCTTCTCGCGGCGGAACCGAATTACTTCGTAGCACCCCTCAACTTGCTCAAGGAGGCCTTCGTTCTGCTCTTTGAGGATCTTGACCTCCTCGCCCGCATGGTTGTTCGTCCAAATAAGATGTGTGTTCTCGCTGGAAATAGCTTTGATCGCCCTCCTGAGACTCCTGACCTCGTTGGCTAGATGGTAATTCTCCTGGGTTAGATGGTAATTCTCCTCGGTGAGAGCCCTATTATCGTCTTCTAGCATACAGACTCTCTTTTTCAGACTGGTGATGGTCCTTGTGGAGGCTCTAGTTTTTAGCTGTATACTTTGCGCGAGTTCCTTCTTGGTGTACAGTGGTTCGCCGTGGCTATCAGTCACTTTCTCGTTGGCGATTAGTAACTGATTGCGCGCCCGGTTTCGCTCTTTGGTAAGCCTGCGGATGGTCTCCTGGGGAGTTTCTTCAGTGTCGCTAGTAGACATCTTGCGTAAATTGCTGGTGTGTCTTGCGTAAAGTGCTGGTGTGTCTACCTAGTTATATTAGTAACGATTTTAGAAAATAGAAACATAGCGGTTGTGAGTTACGTCGTACTTAAGTTGAACATAAAGGTATCGTGCGCGGGAGGCAAGAATAGAGTGAGGAGATGTTGTCAGAACTCTATATGAAACATCTAGAACAAAGGACATGTTCAGTATGGATAGGTATAGGCTTCCATAGTTAGGCTAGAGTTCCTCGCGGAACAATGGTATTGTTTCCATGCTATTTTGGTTCCACCTCGTGACAGATGTGGGGGTTAGGTATGGTGTCTCGTATAGGTAGTTGCTGGGGGTAGGGGTAAGGGTAGGGGGTGCTGTGTTAGGGTAAAGTTGAAAGGTATATAGTGCAAGGATGACCTCAAATAAGATTACGAGACCTCTAATATTGATAAACCCCCCTTGGCATTGAGTGTATTCTTTTCTTGTAGCATATTGCACAGATTGAGATAAATCATAAGGGTACCTTTCAAATAAACTTGACGATTTATTTCACGGCGTAACTAATAGGTCTACCTAGTTACCATGTTGTTGCACGTTCTCCTCGACCTGTATTCGTGCGGACGTATCGGGCTGATGTAGCCGATTTGGCGGGTTATCCCCCCGAACTGGCCATGCACTTCGTACTAGTTCCTTGATATAGACCACACGATTGCTCTCTTAGAGCTTATTCCTCCTTATGGTGAGCTTCGATCGTGTCGTAAAGTTCCTCGATCAGCTCAACGTAGCCTCCAATCTCCTCTTTAAGGTCCTTGATCTCTTTAACTGCATCCTTGTACTTCTCAGCAATGGCGTCTCGCTCTTCAATAACAGTGTTGTTCTTTTTGGTGAGATTTTCAACAGTTTCCTTCCACTTGGAGATACGATCATCCAGCATGGTAGCATTTGCCTTGGCTCTGTTAAGCTTGTTTCGGTAACGCCTAATTATATCGCTTTTCTTGTCAACCATAGTAATGTATTTCTCAGTTAGGCTTTCCAGAGCTTTCTCTTTCAGCTCTAGTTGTTCGTCCACGCCATGGTAGCGGCGGAGTAGTTCTGCAACCTCCTGTTCCGCGCTCTTCTTAGCTTTGATGGCGATATGCTTCTCATTGCGCGCCTGAGTTCGCTCTCTAGTAACCTTGCGGATGATCTCCTTGAGAGCGATGATCTCAGCACTATCGGCGGCAGACATTGCTTGCGAAATCTGAGGTATGTCTGGTTATGCTAAATTATCGATAAATCAGCAAAAGCTTTAGGCAGCGAAAATACAAGCATAGGGGTTATAAGCCAAGCTGTTGTAGTCGGGCTGAACATGATAGTACCATACAGAGGATTAAAATAGAGTAATGCGATAAGGAGCAAGATATAGTGCCTCGTAAGGGACTGTCACGAAGTGGAACCAAAGAGCATGGAAACAACTTCGCTGTTGCGCGAGGAACTCTAGCCTATCTGGCGAGCCCACGGCTCGTATATACATACATGTTATTTATCCTAGATATCTCATCTAGAATCCTGACAGGGACTTGGTGGGAGGGGGCAAGGAAGTATGATACTAAATAATATCTATTACTTACCTGAAGAAGCTCGGTAGTGTAGTGAAAGGCAGACCAAGATACTTTTTCTTTAATCGTGGAAGCGTGAGTATTCACAGTCGAGTCACGATAAATGCGGAAGAAAAAAAGGTGTTATAAATATAAACACAAAAACTTCGTAGTTAGGTATGCCTCTTGAAAATAAGTATTGTAGGACTACAACTTTTTATTGTTGTGTTGGGGATTGGAAATGTCGGGAAGGAGAGAGGGGCTGAAATAATTGAGGTAGAATTTGCAGAGACGAAGAAATAATAAATTTCAAGTTGAAAACCTCAAAGTTGGTTTGGTGGTTGGATTTACAGAAGTGGAAGCTACTGCTCAGTGGTAAATAATTTGAATAGGTACATGTAGTAGCCTGAGGTTAGGGGGATCGCACGTTGGCTAATAGGAAATAGTGGTGGGCCGATAGAGAGCATATAAATAATTATAACTGCAGGAACAATCACTAGCCCGAAATGGTGCAGTGGTTGATTGTGTGGTCAAGTCGGTTCAGGGGGACGTGATCTATTTCACGTGGGCACCGACATGGGAACTCGAGCTCTAGGGTTCGAACCCATGTCATACTCAAGCATTGAATCAACCTGCTGCTCGTTCAAACTTGGACTTTGTCCAGACCGTGACGTAGGGCCTGCTGTTTGGGGGGTTCGGTTGCCTACGGGGGCAATTTATCTATGAAGTCATTAATAGAGCCAGGGCAGCAGCAGTCACCATAAGACCACACGCCGCCTTGCTTGGGATGTTTTTTTTATTATTTTCTTTTATTTTTTTTAGCATCTTCTTGCTTTCCAGTCTATCTATTATTATCTATCTCTCACTCCTGTCTATATATTTCCGGGGCTTGAATTGCTAGTTAAGCAATTACGGCGTCGTTTTTGCGAGAGTGGTCATCAGAGCTTAAAATATAATGAGGCTCACGAGATGGAACCAAACAGCATGGAAATAACCTCCTTGTTCCGTGTGGAACTCCAAGATAGCTACGGGAGCCTGTGGCTATACATACTGACAGTGTCCTTTATTTTAGGTGTCTCATCTAAAACCCTGACAGCAACCTCCGATCCCAAATAGCTCCCTTACTCTATTTCACAAACTGGTAAATGCTGCTATTATATGCTTGGAAAATAAATATACGGGGCTTTCTTTTTGCGCCAACGAAGTCTAGAGCAATGTACTCCTAGCTATCAGATACGCTCGAAGTAGTAGAGCTAGGTATTGTCTCTATTGCTGTGCCCTGTAAGAATAAATCCCCTACACAATAAATTTCATAGTTAGAAGAGAAAATAAGTGGTTTATACAACGCTTTAATATGTCGCAATTATAGATCAAGCAAGCCTTCACTGCCAACGACAGCCAACGACAGCCAACGACGGATGAGGGTTAGAAATAAGGAGTTATATCGATCACGTGGACATTCGTTAAGCTCTGAGGTACGAAGTACATAATACATATGGAAATGTGTGTCAAGGTACGTACCTGGTACTAATACGCACATGGCATGGAGTTGAAGACCTGGGAGCCAATCAAAAAAAGCGTTTAGGTTAATTCAAGATCCACCGAATTTTTATCTTTTGCGCATGCAATCGACGTCAATTAATCAATCAATTAACTTCAGCTTAGGAAAAAGCAAAAGCCTTTTCCTTAACTCGACTCTTGCAGTTTGAGCGGATGCTGGGACATAGCCATTAATCGCCATGGCCTCTGGAGTACAGTCGGTGCGATTGTGCCTACGGGCTTTCCGACACCCTCCAACTCCTCGAAAAGTTGCCCCGCGAATACCACCAATATACGTTCCGGCCCGAGCCTTATCCTCAACACCTATACGATGGAGTCGCGCATCTAAGCGGGAAGAGGATGAGCTCGAGGAAGACGAGGAAGACGATGGCAGCGTATCCGTCGCTGAAATGGAAAGATCTCTTCGTGCTGCGTTAAGAGACCCCGAATTTGAAGCGTCGACGCGGATCCAAGAACAAATGTTAAATAATGCCAATGCTATCATGTCGAATGCGCAAAGAGTACCCAAGCTCAAAAGACCTTTCTGGCATGACGAGGAGGAAGATACCGACTTGATTACGGACGAGCGGAACGAGGACGAATTCGACGAGGATGATATTATGAGCATGGCGCACGGCAAGTTGGAAGAGTACCGCGAGCAGAGAGAATATGCTCGCATTGCTGCTTGGGAGATGCCTCTTCTATCTAGTGAGTGCTCTCATATTGTCTCTCGACCAAGAAGCCATCCATTAACCCATAAAATCAGAGCTGGCACGGCCCTTCGAACCACCCACAGCTCAGGAACCCTTGCGATTCCGATACACGAGTTATATGGGTGAATTCCACCCCGCGGAAAATAAAGTGGTTCTTGAATTCTCGCCTAAAGATATGCCACTGGACGAGGCCCAGCAACTAAAACTAAAGAAGTTATTGGGCCCCCGCTACAATCCAGAAACGGATATAGCCAAGATGAGCTGCGAGCAGTTCGAACACCAGGCGCAGAATAAGCGATATCTTGGTGACTTAGTTGAGAGTTTAATCGCGCGAGCAAAGGTATATTAATCCTATCGTGTCCAGTCCCGACTAATTCCAAACATTGCTTACCGTATCCTTCAGGACCCCTCCGACATGTTTGAGGACATTCCTCTCGATACGAGACATCACCCAATTAAGATCAAGCCCAAATTCCCAAGGGAATGGAGGATGACTGAAGAGCGGATGAAATTTCTCGAAGAAACGAGGCAGAAGTCACTATTACTCGATCAGACGAAAGAAGAAGCCGGCGCATTGATTGATGGTAAAGAGAAGATCGAACAATTCTTCGATGTCCCTAAACCTCAAGTTAGAGTTCCTGAGTATGCCCGGGCGCAGCTAAATGAATTCTCACCACTAGGTAGAATAGCGCAGCCTAGGCGGGTTTGATATGTATAATATCATGTAGATAAATGCCAGCTCTTGGGAGCTCGCTGTATGAATATACAAATACAAACACTACGAACTAGGATGCTACTGAGGGAAGTTATCTGGTTCTCAGACAGCAAGTCTCACTAGCTAAAGAGGAAAAAACAATAATCGTGGAAGAGGCAAGTCTTTCGATACCAGGAGTCAGCCTACGTATTAAGATATGGTTCATTATAATTGGAACTCATCATGTTAATAACCCTCTCATAAGCGCCAGGGAGTTGATCCAGAGCTTCCACTGTTAGTTATAAAGTATAATGTAAGTTTAAGAACTCCTAACAACTTGAATGAGGAATCCGCGTATATTAGCACTAACTAAATTTATTAGCGAGTGACTTCGTGGCTACTTGCTTCCCGGCTAAAAGACATTCAAGTGGTGAAGGATCGTTATTGAGAATAATACCAATAGCGAAAATTTCCCGTCTTTTCTTCACGTCAACAGTTATTATCTCGGCGTCGCAGCTGTAGTAATATATTGTCCAGTGTACATCCCCAGCCTCGGAGCCCCTTTTCTACGACATAGACAAACCCGGCTTCCGGAATCCTCGGTTTCCGGGAACCGAACGAGACGAGCGGATCGGTAAGGATATTTGGGCAGTAGTGGTTAGCTGCAGGTGTTGTCGGTAAGTGCACGGGAGGCGGTGCATTCACCGAGCATGTGTTACGGCGTTTAGTCTACCTAGCTCGTCTACATGATACTATTCAAGGACAAGAGCAATCAGGAGATGGAAGTACGGGGTTCCGCCATCTCAGGACTCGCAAGGCGAGCTGCATAACAGGCGGGCTGGTGAGGGAGCGAGGAATTATCTGGATTACTTTTCAAGTGTGCATGAACATGAAGTGATTTTGTGTTCTTTAGAGATGGCGCATTATGTTAGACGAGATAGATGATATCCCATCGATAGTCTCCTCATTTAAGAATTATGCGGATAGATCTGATGAGTTCGTACCACATCCCACATTCGCCGGAAGCATCATACCAATCATATTATACCCCTTTTCATTGCAATATAGAAAGTTTCTTATTTCGAATAGTTACCACTTCGACTAATACCATTATGGATTCACTTGTCCAAACTTGTAGGCCGTCTATGGAAGCCAATTACTAACGAAAATGGACAAAGTTTCGGCGCTACCGATTGTGTAAACAAATGACTGATCTTTTGGTAGCACATGTACGTATGTACATAAGTGACTTGCCCTGTTGCTTACATGCAAAACTAACGCTATCGATGTTCCCGAATGACCACTCGGTTATATTATATCTCGGCCTGAGGTCCTGGCCGTGGAAGTTTAGCTGACAGCTCTATGGAATGCGTGAGAAAGCTTGCCAAGACGGCATCTCGGCAATCATGTAGGCCTTGCAGTTATGAGTCCCGCGCGGAAGATCGGCTGCGAACGACGGTGCTGCAATGGCACCTTGTTTTGTAGGGAATTTCAAGTATTAAGATGTCGTCGTCTTCTGCTCTGCGCTATAGAATGTGCTATGGATTGAATGGTGTGGCGGTTTGATATTGCTAGGTACCAAATTACATCACATTGAGGCTCACGGCTATTGCAGGTTCAGCAGCTCCATGGTGGCGGTGTTAAAAATCGTGGGGCTCCATGTTAACGATTTTTCGCCTTTGTACGATCATGCGCCACAACTTTTATATGAAGGTGTGGTCTAGAAGATATTACCTAGCCACGTGTCGACTAACTTGGCGTGAATGTTGATAAGTAAATTCGTCTGAGATCTTTTTAAGTCTTGTTTCCCAATCCGAAATTCTAGAAGCTAAAATTTTCATACTACCTAGATTACCTAAGGTACCTATGGATATTCTCATATGTTAGAGGCAATTCTCTTAGAACAGATGATGTAGGCACTAGCATCGACTATTGGAACTAACGGTCGAAATTTTAAATTTTGATAAGATCGAGTGTGTCAAGCCACAATCATAGTGCAGCAGTGCAGACACACCAGGCCACCGCCGGGTCGCGCCACAGATCATGACGTCATTTTATCCAAGGCTATCCTCTGGCTCATGAGGAACGGTGAGGTCACGAGCAATACACCTCCGCCAGGATGGTAAGTGTAGGTGGGTAGAATCTCAACTAGGTTAGAACGTGTATCTGCTTATCATAATGCGTACATATTGGAACGTGTCAGATATTTTTAAATCGAGAAGTGACCTATTACAGACTGCTAGATTTAGAAAATTAGGTAGATACTTAAAATAGTTTTAGGTAAATCATATAAATTATTCAAAAAGGCTACCTGAAAGTACGACTTGGATACTTCATAACGTGTGCCTACCTCATATTGTATTGTATGTGCCTGAAGGCTATGTATGCAATAAAGTGGAAACTGTGGAATTGTCGCAATTGCAATTCGTAGGGGCTGAGGGGTACGTATTGGCGCGTACCTTCCCGTTACATTAGAGCGTGTTTGTTCGGGTCGAGAATGTATGACGCAGCAGTTGAAAGCAAATTCGGTTCTTGTTTCGTTGGATATGCATCATAGTTCCGGGGCCTGCGTCCAAAGAATTCAAGGAACGGCACCTCTTTCCCGTGTACAAAGGCAAACCAAGCCTAAAACAACCCTTACACATTTCTGCATTGGATCAGATCATCAATCAATACCTTGCCGTGGTAACTCGATACCAATCCTAATCCATTACGAGACCTTGTGGATATTCCTTATTTAAACTGTATTCCCTTCGCCATCTCGATAACTCATTCCAGTTTCTACCTCCAAATCCAATCCAAGTCTAAAATCAACTCCAAATCGAAAAAGAAAAAATTACGAAAGCACAAGCTATCGATATTCCCACATCACATACCACGAAAACAAACATATCATCCACACGCGTCCAAGTCGACGACCGAAATCTCACATAATGCCTTTCACCGCAAGGTAAGAAGCAATTCCCAACCGGCATTTCGCAACCGGTATTATAAGTTTCCACCTGCTGACCTGGTTTGATTCACATTAGCGATATCTGCAAGATCATTCTTGCCATCCTCCTACCGCCTCTAGGTGTCTTCTTAGAGCGAGGATGTGGTGCCGACTTCTGCATCAACGTCCTGCTCACCATTCTGGGTTACATCCCGGGTATCCTACACGCGCTGTAAGTTCCCGATACACCATCATCTTTTCGGGTAGACGATAGATTGGACGGTAAACTAACATATCCTCCCTGCAGGTACATTATTCTGAAATATTAAGACGCTCGAGTAACCTGCGGCTTTCCTTAATTTTTCGTAATGCAGCGACAGCATAGCAAAATTCAACCATAGACGACATCTGAGAGGTTGGACCAATCGTGTAGCAGCGCAGGGGTTCGTGATTTTCCGGAGGCGTCTGCGTGGATCCAGCCATTGCTCTGTCTTTTCAAGCTAGTCGCGGGGGTGCATCGCATGATGCTGGTTCTTGGCTCTTGGCTTTGACAGACGTCACTCGACTTCTTGTCCATGCAACCACATTCCAGCATTTCGGCCCGCCTCTTAATTTCGACGACTCGAATGTCTCTTGTTTCTTTTATAATCAAAACCGCGATGATTTGCAGAAATGACGGTTTGGAGGAGAGGGGGATGGATTGAGGATACGGCTCAGCTGAGCATTGATTGCTTGCTATATGGCATTCATGATGATTTTTAGACTCCCTACTAGCATTAATGATTATGAATTTCGATACCCCTCAACAATCTGTTTATTGAATTTGCGCCGAGGTATTTCTACCATAATGCGTGTGCTCCATATCGTAGGAATTTACTACTGAACGTCGTAAGAGTTAACTATGTCGCTGTAGCCGGAGACGATAATAAGCAGATGCATTATTCCATACGGGACGATATTATAAAGAGTCTTGATCAACGAAATACTCTGTGCTTAGGAAATTGTTAACAATAACTCAATACTTACTAAGTCAAATCAGAATAGCCTTTTTGGGCGGAAACTTAGAAGAGTTGTAAAGACGGCAGCATCATGTGATAATACAGCGCATAAATAACTTCACTTAACTAAAGTCCAGTTTTGAGTCCTTGGGACTTTCGTATAAGCACTATATGAGAAAGAGAAAAAAATAGATCATTCAATCAAGTGGCTTTATTTATTACGCTCGACCTATCTTAAACGATAAAACCTAGAAGCCATTGTAAGCACGATTCTATTGTCTGATTGGACGGATACTTACGTCGTTTTTGCCTGCGGTCACGACGGCGTCTTCCGAGACTCGAACGCCTCCCACCCCTTCTACGTAGGCAATCGGCGCATCGCCCATGACTTTCCTCGCAACGTCGCCCACAGTTGAATTCTTTTTCACGAGGACGCAATCCCTGAATGCGACCTTCGTGTCTGAACCGGAACTGAAAGTCGATACGTTTCGTACGGGGAAGACGGGTACGAGACCGAGTATTTCGGCCGCCTTTGAAAGAACCTGGACGACGCCAGTGGACCCATACCGGAACAAGATCATATCTCTATATTCCTCGATGGTGTTCTTATTCTTTTCATCCAACTCCTTCAATCCCCCGCCGTCTGGGTCGCCGTCTGCTATTAGATCTTCGCGTGTATCCACAAACTCAGTTCCCTCCGTATACCTTATGTAACCTTGCTTGGCCATTTTTCGTAGGAATAGTTCGGCTTTCGCGGAACATGCGACCACCATATTGGGGTCCTGCATCTTAGTGATCTTCATGAGATTTGTGTAAGCATCAGGGTCATCGATTTTGTTTAGCGCGATCACCGTGGGGAACTTCTCATCGGTGAATGCGCTAACAACACGGTCCACCGTCTCCTCGGTCCAGTGCTCCAGCGGTTCTTTCAGGTTGAGACGGTCCAGGGTGCGTGCTACTACTGCTGCCGTACTTCCGTAGCCTGAGAACTGCCCTTGAAGGGTTTCGACAGCAGTAGCCTTGACAGCAACATGTCGCCTCTTGATGGAACCCCATTTCTCCCACAGATTCCCTTTAATCCAGGCGACGATCTCACCACGTAACCATGCTATATCCTGGGAGGGGTCGTATCCTCGTGTATTTTCGCCCTCAGCATTCGTCCTCCCACTAGCATCCACGACATGGATTAGAGCATCCGCGTGTCGGAGGTCGTCTAGAAACTTATTACCTAGACCTCTGCCCTGATGTGCGCCGGGAACAAGTCCAGCTACGTCGAGAAGCTCGATTGGCACGGAACGGCGGCCGTCAACACACGATCCATAGTTAGGCTTGCATTTATCTTGTACACCGAAGCGTTCGCAGGCGCATGCTATTTGGAGATAACCGATGGCTCGTTGCGGGTCAATCGTTGTGAAACTAAAGAAAGCGCATTGTCAGTTGGAGAATAAATGAATATATTACTGCGGACACATATATCTCTCGTCTTCTAGGCTGATGCATAGGCACCTAAGTAGATACTACGATGCGCAGGGGACAGGCGTACGGATAGTTTCCTATGTGGCATCGCAAATATCAGTTCCGAAATTCGGGTCGATAATGTATAAAATAGCACAATATATTTTGTTGGATAGGTTCGACCCACCAACTTTGGACGTCGCATCGGTTAAGCTGTTTAGAGTCGTGCTCTTGCCAGCAGAAGGCTTGCCTACAAGGCCGATCAAGGGATCCCGCGGCATTTTGCGCTTCTTGGAGTTCTCAAATAAAGACGGATTATGGCACTTGTGACTTAGGCGGGGGATGCAAGGACGAGGTCGAGGTCAAGATGGTGGGGTGATTTGCACCCGATGCCCCCGTTGCCCGAGTCTCGAAGAAAACTCAGATAATACAAGTTTCGGAGGGTGAGGCCCGCCGTAACGGCGCCGTAGCTTTAGGTACTGACGTATTTTAGGTACCTGCCTTAGGTACCTAAATACGCGCTATAAAAGAGTACATGTACCTGTAAGTGCTAAGATTAGGTAGCAGCTAGCCGCAAGCTTGCTCGGGAGTTACATTGCATCATTAGCTTGATTTCCTGGACCGTTTACTCTTTTTCACCCATCTCATAATTCTCCTTAGATATTCACGTCCTCAACGTTCAGAATGCGACGAGGTCACTTTTCGTTAGATGACCTTCCTGCCTGGTCTACTTTGAACGGCGTTAATTTTGTCGATGTTGCAGTTGCTAATATCGATGGCCGAGGCAATGGCCTTGTAGCTAAGAAAGACCTAATCAGTCAGGATGGTGACTCGGAACCCTTAAAGCTTCTGACAGTCCCAAAGGAGCTTATTCTTTCAGCTGAAAGTGTAGAAGAGTATGCTAAAGAGAATAAGAATTTCCGACAGCTTCTGGATACGGCAGGTCGCCAAGTTAGTATATACCTACCTGTTTTGAAGATGGTACGATTTATACTAAGTATTATACAGTCAGCTAGAGGAGATATATTACTATTTCTCTTATATCAACTAGTGTTATCTTCCCCTGACTATCAAGGTGGCCTGGGTCCATCAACACCTTGGACTCAATATTTCAGTCTCTTACCGTCACATGTGCCGACTCCTACAATGTGGACTGAGTTAGAGCTTTCCTACTTGAACGGTACTTCGCTAGAGGTAAGCTACTAATGGGACTTGATATCTCACCTAAAGGTACTTATAATACTTAAGTGCAAGTTGACACATTTAGATAGTCGGCGGTAGCCGCCAAACTGACCGTACTAACTAAGGAGTTCGATGGTCTCCGCGAAAACCTGGCTACCTTGCCGCATTGGAACGAAATCCTCTCGATCGACGAATCGATCACCATCCGAGACTGGATTCTTCTTGATGCCCTATACCGGTCCCGCTCGCTAGGCTTACCTAAGTCCGGAGAGTCGATGGTGCCTTGCCTCGATTTAGTCAACCATTCTGGTCAAGCCACTGCTTATTTTGATGAGAATAGTGAGGGCGAAGTAGTCCTTTATCTACGTAAGGGGTGCGTAGCGCCTACTGGCAGTGAAATTACTATCGATTATGGCCTGGATAAGTCGCCAGCAGAAATGTTATTTAGCTACGGCTTTATCGACCCAAGTTCGGCTGCTAGGAGTATAACGCTACCATTGGAACCATTGGATGACGACCCGCTTGGGATACCAAAGCTCCATGCTTTCGGTACGCCACCTAAATTAAAATTAGAAGAAGACGACAGTGGTGTCCCGCACTGGACTGCCCCTTTTGTGTATCTCATGTGCTTGAATGAAGAAGGTGAGGGGATCCAATCTTCTAATATCTCATTTATTGCTATTCTAGCGAACGATATTACTACTGTCACGGGCATAATTAAGCTATCTAAGGATTTTTCTCATTTAGCATGATCTCAGTATATTGACATTAACCGCTAAACTTGCAGATGGGCTGCGGTTCAGGGTTTTGCAAGAGACAGACGGCTCTCGTCATCTAGCAATATTCTGGCAAGATATCGATATTACGAACGTATCAAATACTATGAAAGACCTTATTCACGACCACGAATTACACCAGGTATTTGAACTACGGGTTGTGACCGTTATTATGGGTATCATTCAACAACAACTCGAGCAACTTACCAGCACTCAAAACGGAGACTCCGTAGTAGGACTGGCAAACACAGAAGTCCGCCAAGCCATTTCACAATTGAGGTCGCTCGAGACTGGCATCCTCCAAAAGAGTATACAGGTTTTGGATGAGAAGGTAAGACTGAACCCTATAGTTTACCTAGATGCCTACTCAAGGATGATCTTGACTTGAACTCAGCCTTGGGAGATAAAGCTGCCTAACCCATCATGGCTATGATAATTTGCTAACCCATTTCTAGAGAGACCAGCTGCTTCGGGATGACACTGTTGTAGAATACTTGACGATGATGGGATCCGATCAAAACAACCCTGGCACCGACACCGCCGCTGACGAAGAGGAGGACTTCAGCTAATGCACATCTCCGAATACCGTCCTCGCCTCTGCTACTTCGGATTCTACCACAGTCTATAGATTATTCTTGCAGACAGGGTGTGGCCCACACTAGCAGCACAATTAATGTGTTTGCATGGCAAGACTGGGATGCAGCTTAAATGCTACAGACGTAGGCAGCTTCTTGCAGATGTGGCATGACATCATGGGGCTAGCACTTTTGATGAGCTAGCTACCTCTTTGGAGAACCAAGAGCAGCATGGTTGACATGGTCAATCCGTTTATATCGAAGGACCGTTGGGCATCATGAGAAGTTCGGAGCTGAACTTACTTACCGTTGATCAACTGTATAATGATAAAAATCAATCTATGAAGTGTGATTATCGGACGTAGAGGGCCCTTTGGGCTTATAATTCGGACCGAGAACCCTGATCCAATCCCCAGTTGCATACGGTCGGTACTCCCCTTATACAAGCAATTCCATCTGCGTATGGGTTTTGTTCCTTACATGACAAGGCCCAGCATTCTGTACCATGATCTCCCTCGCCGATTTATCCACGACGTGAGTGCTTTTAACCGGTGGTAACTCTGCTACAGCCGCACGAGATACCCCCCCATATGGCATCCCCATGTGGAAAAGAATTGTCCCCTTCAAGATGAACCCCTAAAACGGGCCGTATGTTCTGATATTGTTTAGGTGAAAATTTTATCGCCTGACCGTCTCACGCCTATCACTGTGTTCAAACCGACCATAAGCGTGGGGTTGGAATGCCTTGTTAGTCCCTTTAATGACCGGGTTCGAATTTCGCTCATCTTAGAGCGGCTTTAGATCGACGGGGTGCAGACTCTTCCACAGGAGCCATTTACATTGTAACCATGTTAGAGATCGTGATAGATAAAGTTCCTGGAGAAAAAAACAAGATCTTTGACTTGTATGTTTGCCGATCGTTTCCTCCGGGAGCCTAGGTATAGACTGAGCCGCGCATTCCAGATAGAAGGGTCGATCCAACAGGCCTCCGTTTGCTCTACCAAGATATCACATATCACTAGGAGATCGCGGCTATTAAACAACAAGACGAATCATAGGGTTCTCCAGCACTACTTCTCTACTTTAGAACAACAGACCGAGGATTTCGAAGCTGATTTGGCAAGCCGGCAGAGATCAAATATTACTATGGTAGATAGAGGCTAGTACGATGTCTCTAACGTATAGTCGACAACTGAAGATTTTTCTACTATATTACAGTAAGAGGTAGCCTCTAAGTACCATCTAGCTTTAGTGTTACACTCCTTGCACTGTCTTTATTTCTGGGGATAAACTACGAGTCGCTAACTAACCGGGTTATTAACGTTCGCAACATGGCCCTGGTACATTGGCGCCTACTTCAAGCGTCGCACTGCATATAGGTAGGATATAGGAACTAGCCGGCAGACGCAGGGAGGATGTCTTGGCGGCGGTCACGACCATTCCGAGAGCTGCAGCGATCGAGCAGTGCGACGGGGATGGCGTAGTAAGACTCAAAAACGTGGTTTATATCTACTCTCTGAGTACCTCGGTACTGAACGGCGCCGGCCTATAGTTACGGGAATATACGGGTTCTATAGAAAGCTGCACCTCACTCATTGAACAGCCCACAACGAAGCCTACTATATCTACCTAGGTACATATGTATTAACTAGTTGAATAGGGAAGTAATTTACATCTGTATTTTGGAGTACCTAGAGATAAGTATGTATATGATTTGCGACCCTCCATGATGTTTTTATATTTTAGGTGCGATGGTGTACAGAACCTATCTAACCTACTACTTGGTATACACAACTTACGCTATTATACATAGGCTAAGAATAGGTGGACCGTCGCCATGTGTGAAATGGCTTCGCGTATCTGCGAAACATCGAAACCTGGGGTAATTCCCCAGATAAAAGGGATTGGGGATGGCAGATATCCTAGAATTCCAGAAGCATTGGCCTTGCTGTGCCTCTCAAGCTTGGGGAGCTAACTACGATAGTGGCAGAAGTGGTGTCATTCTTTCGTTATTTGGCCATGGCGTGCCAAGCTCCAAATCTGAGAATATCATGGACTACCTAGTTATGTTAGATTATCTTAGGAGGTTTTATGTATTAGGGGCTTAAGAACTTAAAAGTTAAGAATGGAACATTGAAACTTCATAAAACTTAGCGTCTACCTGTTAATGCATGTTATTTGTAATATCCACACCAATATTGACATCTCTAGCCAACCATTGTTGCCTCATTACTTCGTCCCTTTCATAATTACGCGCGTGATGGGCCTTTCTTGCATGGCTAGCGCACCAATGCCAGGATAGGGTAAGCGTGTGGAGTGAAGGATGATGTAGGTTGAGTCTCCCAACGTTTTGTCTTTTACCATGTCAGTAAGTAAGCCCGGGATGCCTACTCTAGCTTACATAGTACACGTATATGGACATAGTACGCATTTATGCACCCCGATTCTTTTCGAGTTCGGCATTCAGACAACTTTTTGTTCTAACCGGAACGCAACAGCAACTCGTGTTCAGTCTTGACATATTATATTCCGTAACTACTTCGTATATGTAAAATAAAACTTCCATGGAAGTTGCCACTTTCAATATTTAGGTAACCTTAAAAGGTATTCTCCTTAATTACGACATTACTTAATCTCCCCTCGGGATAATAATTATACCCCCCGCTTCTTTCCCTTTCATTCATCCCATCTAGTGTACTATACTATTCTAGCCTCCCAAGCTAAAGATTATCGGGCATAAAAACTAAAAACCTGATGTAATAGTTTTCAGTTATTGGATGCCACAACACCCTTTTCAACGTGTACTTTCCTACCCTTCCTTACCCTGAAAAAGTAGTTTCCCCTTGTCCCCCAGATTCATTAGCGCACGCCAATTTAGTACAATACCCCGCCGATCTCTAAAATCCATCTGGAGTAGCGGGCATTGGTGCCTCCGTTTCTCGCCTTTTCCTCCACTAATCTTGCTGTCCCCACGCATCCTCAATCCTCTCTCACCCTTTGCTTTCCCTGCTTTTCCATATCTTTCCGCCTATTCCTCCCACCGACGAATAAATCTACCACGCGACAACTTATACTACACACGAATACTAGGCTATACCGAATTTGCGTCCGAGCGGGTTTCACTACGACACGGTCTCCCCTGGACTTGTACGCGACTAGGCAGCAAGAGATGAGCAAATTTCGCGATTCCTGGTAAATTGCTGACATACGCAATCGGCGTTAACGAGACACCGACCGATACCGATATACCCATATGGGATGGGGAACTGGGTGCTGGATTTGACGCGAACACATTCTATCGACGGAATCGCCTTGTAACAAGAATATATATTCACCGCCAAAATGCCTGGAATTCTACCTATGAAGGTGATTAAGGTGGGCACGAGCTCACAGAGCCGCATCGCCCAAGCCTGTGATAGGTATGTGAAGTGTGACGTGTGACGTGTGAAGCGGAAGAGGATATCCCGATATTCTCTTATTCTCTGATATCTCTCGCTAAGACTATAGCAGGTGCCGAAGTAAGAAGATCCGCTGCGATGGCATCCGTCCCTGTTGCTCGCAATGCGCCAACGTCGGATTCGAATGTCGCACTAGCGACAAACTTAGCCGGCGTGCATTTCCTCGAGGTTATACAGAATCGCTTGAGGAACGAGTGAGACAGCTAGAATCTGAATTGAGGGAAGTGAAGGATTTGTTAGACGAGAAAGACGAAAAAATCGATATGTTGTCGAGAATGCATGATCATCGCCGATCATCTATCGGAGCCGCCGGAAGCCCGAGGGCGACGGAACAGAAAAGGGATCCTAACTCGCCACCAAAAGAAGATACTTTCCGTGTGCAGGCCTCTCCATTATTACTTGGTGTCGAGAATTCGGACTCATATTTCATGGGGCCATCGAGCGGACGCGGTTTTATTGGTAAGTATATCATTTATCTATTGCTAATGAGAAATATCTATCTGACTATATTTCTAGAATCTTTTAAGCGTAAACTTCAGGAAAACGGAAAGCCATGTTCTGACTTCAACCCCGAGGCTTTCCTTCACATCCAAGGATGCTACCTTCTGGTTGCCAAACCGCCCCCTCAGTCGATGAGAGTGCCACCTCGCCTATTTTCGGACAGATGTGTAAATGTTTATTTCCAGGAATGGGCGCCACTCTTTCCCGCGCTTCATAAACCGACATTTCTCCGGTTATATGAAGAATTTGTTGCCGATTCGGAGAAGGTGAAAAATAACCATAAGCTCGCGCAGGTCTACCTCGTCTTCAGTATCGCCGCTCTTTCAAGTGACGCACCAGATGTAGAGCAGATAACCGCCTGCGAAGCCCAGTGGCAAAGGGCCCTTGACGCAATCATTATGGACAATACGATGATTACACTGCAGTGCCTAGTATTGGCTCTGATCTATTGCACTATCAGAGCCGATTACAAGCGGTTGCAGCACTACAAAGGTGTTGCGGTTGGTCTATCCCATAGATTAGGGTTACATCAAAGCCAGAAAAGATTCTCATTCGGCGCTCTTACGATCGAGACACGAAAGAAGGTCTTCTGGACGTTGTATACACTCGATTGGTAAGTCGTTATCTAGCCGATGTCGCTTGGCGGTTGACTAATAGCCCCTAGCTTTTCTGCTGCCATGCTTGGCCTTCCTAAGTTGCTGAAGGAAGATGATATCCACGCTGAGTATCCGTCGGATACCGACGATGAATACGTCACGGAGAAAGGATTCCAACCTACTCTACCAGGAGAGTATACGAGATTATCGAGTGCTTTAGCGTTATTCAGAGTTTCCCGAATTCTTGCAAATGTGCTTGAAAAGATATACCCGGCCGCTACATCTTACGAATTATCGTTACAACAAATTTCAGCGCTAGATGCAGATCTCTCAGATTGGTATGAGAATCTGCCTACTCACCTCAGGCTAACCTTTGCCCAAGACAAACCATCAACAGATATCACTGGGAGTAGATCCCCGATTCTGGTATGTAGATGAAAATATTTGCTACCTAATGGAGTAAAGGCTAATCTTAATAGGCATTGGCATACTACTATGTCCGGGGACTTATTCATCGCCCTGCAGTGGGCTCTACCTTGGGAGTCAAAGCTGCGTCAGCTCTAATTATGGTCGGAGAGTCCAGCAAGCACATCGTGCAGATCATTGAACTCTTAGAGGAGCGAAGTATGTCGTTCTCATTCTGCCTAAATAAGACAGATGTTCTTGTTCTGTGTGGGACGAGCTTACTTTACCAAAGCTTGGAATTGAAACACGAGAGCAAGATTATGAAAGATGTGGAACGACTTGTCAACAGCGTTCTCAAGATGCTATTAAAAGCGAAAGCTCCCGGCTCCGACGACCTGAAACGAGTCGCATCGACGCTTGTTACCATTGATGTACCATCTCAATCTACGTCAATGCGGACTAGTCCTGATACGACCATGGCTGCTCCCCCAGCGAGAACATCACCGTTATTGAACGTTTCGAAGAAATCGCCTTACAGTGCTGGCCGACTTGGCGGCGCGACTATGAGCGAGACAGACCTGTTATCTCAACCAGAAAAACTACAAGAAAAACTACGCCGTATGGCCGTGCCCAATACTCAAACTACCCGGCAAGAAGTACATCGCACGCAATCACGCGCATCGCTCGATATGAGTGCAGAACAGGCAATGACCCGGCGCGATCACGGATTCTCAATATGCCAATTTCAAACGGTGATGCGTATGTCGCCGAGTCACAGATCCAAACAGCGAAATCTAGATTACCTCTCACTCAACGATGCGCAGGCTGAGACACAGCCTGCGCCGAATCAAACCCGAAATCCATCACAGACGCTGGCTCATAGCCAACATCAACGCCCCCAGCCATACAATCCAAATCAAGTAGTTAATAAGGGCGGCTCAGGTGGTGGTGTGTCGATATCAGAATGGGAAGCATTGCTTGGCGCAATGGACGGAGGCCAGATTAACGTATACGACGCGATATACGGAGGACCAGCCTTATCACTTACAGAGACGCCAACCAGTGCAGCCACCATGGGTGAATGGTCTCCAGAGTCATGGGACCTTTCAAGCTTCAATATTAACGAAATAACGACTAATCCGGGGGCACCTCAGAGCGTACTCAGCATCAGTGACGAGAGTCTCAGCTCTGGGGATGATCTCGCATCGAGCGAGATGTACCTTAGGGTGGGAAGTGAGGACTACCAAGGCGGGTTAATGGCGCCGCCGCGGACGAGTCATGACAATAACCTAATTCTGGATGGTCTTGAGTTGAATTTAGGGATCTGATTTCTTGCGAGAGGATACGAGCATGTCAAATACCGGGGGCGGGGTAGCCGGCGAGGATTCTGTTATCCGCGATCTGTAAGATCCTTTTCCTTGGTATGTGGCGTCGATGTAGAGGATGGTTATATTTGTGTCGCGGGATCGGTTACGAGTTGCGTGGTCATAAGAAGCACGCGACTGCGGGACAATGGCTTCTAGGTGTTCAAGGCGACCAGACTGCTTCTGGTATTGTTTTATATGCGGCATCTGGGTTATCTATAGTTGGAGCTCGTGCCTACGGGGTATATTGGTCTATAGTTGGTCTGTTGATCTACTTATCTGTCTACACTAGAGGTTACCCTCCGGGCAACACAAAAGCCTAAGGTTTACACCGCACCATATTTCTATACTATTTTATTTTTATTACATATTAGCGACCTACCCCTTATTGAACTGGAAGGCACCCTTACGATAGCCCGGATTTACTGCTATTATACGGCTGGACAATACTTCCAGTACCCTCGAGACCTAAGTAATAAAGAAGCCTTAAACATATGCATATTGCAGAGCGATTCCTTTCACCTTTTACTGCTTTTTATAAGGCAGGAAAATTATCTATAAGGTAGCAAGGCATGTGTCCCAAATAGGAAATTTTTACTCGCATTCAACACAACATCCTAAGGTAAACCTTAGGCATACATTGCCTGTTTTTCTATGTATCTTTCCACGCTTGTTGTAAAAGCTAGTTATTTATAAATATGTAAGGGGTACGACGGAGCAGGTCGATCCCATGAGTTAAGTTGAGTACCTAAGGTAGTTGATTAAGAAGAAGAGAAAACGAAAGATAGAAAGTATTGTGCATCTCTTGCATGTGATAGGTAATAATATTTGTATCATACAGGTATACAGGTTCCGGCGTGGCTAATAAGGAAATAGACGAGAATTGCAGGTAAACCACGTGTCGAGCAATATACTTGGTATAGGGTGGATTCAGGCTGAATGGCGACGAAGACGCTTCGAATAAATTGAAGGCTTCGTGGAGTTGGAGATTCTCAGGGCGCACATGTGCATATATTAATTAATATAGTAGGGCTGGTTGGATGTAGGTACGGGTACACCGATACCTTGGTCAGGTCTCATTCCGGCATGGGTTACGAGTCACTACCTTAGCTAGGTACCTACAGAGGTACGTAAAAGCCGCTGTTACGGTACGGTAGGAGATTACCTAAGGTATTGTACAATACGGATTACCGACTTTAGAAACGGGGATTCGGAATTTAGAAGCTGTTTAGATAAGTTTAATCCCGTAATCTGCGGCCAACCGCAACCATATTCTTTCCGAACCATACACATGCTACATGCTGACATGGTGCCTACGAAGTGCGTGTTAGACAAAACAATCCCTCACATCGCATTCGTGCCGCATACTGGCCTTTACTCGGATTGAGCGGAATCCTTTCCCCGCCCTCCGACGCTGTAACCCACCTAAGACCTAAGAGAAAGGCCACTTAGGTAGACAACCGGCCGCGCTTCGTTTTGTTTTTTTTCTTTCTAAAGCCTTTCGGTAACTAGAATTACATAGCAGACGCCGGTCACGTTGATTACATGCGTTCCTACTCGCTATGCTGTCCTTATGATGTGAAATTAGATATTACCTCCTTCGTGCTTCTTTGGTTTCCCTTCTTTGGCAAACGAGCGAGTACCTTTACATAGACTTAGACATATATAGCCCTCTTCACTCTCCGAACAGCCAATGGCTAGGAAGAACGCCAAACCAGCTGCTACCATGTCCAATGAGCAGACCCCGCTGTTAAAGCGCGACGGCGACGTCGTTGGGAACGGGACACCCGGTATGCTTTTATCATAAAGGGGGGATACCGAATATACCCCGAGTCCGCCAAGAACCCCGACCCGTAACCAAGTCCTTGCTAACGGTTCCCGTGCCCGACTAACAGCAGGTATTCCCGCGCCCCGGTCCCGCGATGCTACCTCCGAGCCACGGCGTCCGCCGCAGGCCATAGCTCACCGAGGCTACAAGGCTTTGTTTCCCGAAAACACGATGCTAGCATTCCGGGCGGCCGTTGAGGCCGGCGCGCATGCTATCGAGACCGACCTGCACTTGTCCAAGGACGGCGTCGTCGTCCTGATGCATGACCCTAAGCTCAAGCGCTGCTTCGGCGACGACTCCAAGGTAAAGGACCACGACTGGAGCTACCTGAGCAAGCTGCGCACGGTGCGCGAGCCCCCGCAGCCTATGCCGCAGCTCGTCGAACTGCTCGAGTATCTGAATCAGCCCGAGCTGCAGCACATTTGGATCATGCTTGACATCAAGGTAGGTAAATAAATAACTTAGTTCTTACCTTGTAGAACTACTAGGATCGTAGCGCAAAACGTAGAGTGCCTGTCTTGTCTGATACAGATTTTGCAGAGGGACGACGACCCAGCCACGATCATCAGGCGAACGGCGGAAACACTAGATTCGGTTCCGGGAATTCGGCCGTGGCATGAGAGGGTACTGCCTTGCTGCTGGACTGTAAGCATACACGTCCTCCCTTGATTTTTAACCTCGTACCCGGGGTCTTTGTAACGACGGTACTAAAATATAGACAGGCGGAATACGTAAAACTAAGCAAGGAATTCCTACCTAGATATCCAGTCGCACACGTAGGCTTCTCAACCACATATGCCCGGGCTCTAGCAAAGCACGAGCCCGGCCTATCAATCAGTCTTCTATACTACTCCCTAGCGCTACCGGCCGTCGGCGCGCGATTCATCCGAGATGCGAAGGCGGCGGGACACCCGCTGCATTCCTGGACCGTCAACGACGAGGACCGCATGGAGTGGTGCGTCCGCAATGGACTCGACGGCGTGGTTACGGATGATCCGAAGCTATTCCTTGAGGTGTCTGGACGCGTCGCGGAGGAGGCGAAAAACGAGGCCGCGGCGGTTAGTAGGAAATTGTCTGGTGTGCCCTTGTCTACGCGCGCGTGGCGCGTTTACGAGTGGACGCGATATATACTCGTCTTGTTCGTCATTGTGAATATTTATCTCTTCAGGTACGGGCTGCCGCGGACACAGGTGCCGAAAGTGTTGGGCAAGTAATGGTTGTCGACTCTACTAGGTGCTACGCGTGCGTATTTGGGAGTCGCTTCTTTGGGCTATGTATAGATGGTAATGACAGACAGAAAGAAAGATGGATAGATAGATATTTGAGATGGGATCGGCGATATACGTTGGTATACTTTAGGTAGACTTGGTAATGTGGGATGGGGCTTAGGTTCGGCTTATCCCTTGGAGTTACTGGTAAGAGTTTCGTAAGACGTGAGGACCTGGGATGGAAAGAAATATAAGGGAAGAGTGTTGGTGGATGAATAGAATATTGGGTACTTATCTCGTTAACAGGATGTATGATAGAGTCATCTATTTACCTTACCCTCTTCTGGAAGACGTTCGTAGCTAGCTAATGATTCTATATATGTCGATGATATATATGTCAGGTAACACTAGCGCCGAAGACGAGCTCAAGATCTGGAGGTAACGGAAGCGACTGAGATACTATATACCAACTGCCTATATTCTACTTTAAAGTCAACGTAACTCAGCAACTTCAAGGGAGTTGGACTAGCATGACGTGATATGACAATCCCGCGTATATAGTTATCGTGCATACAACCTTCTATAGCAGTTAGATAGTTGAACGGCACTTTCGAGATCGATCGGTGCTGGCAAACTAGTTATTATAAATACTAAATATCCTCTTACGGTGATATCCTTTCACGCCCTATGTCTCTCGAAAGACATAGTGGTTTCCTATACTCGGCGCTAGATGTGTAACGTGCTAGATGATCGACTCAGGGATAGTCTACGCGTTGTACTTAGAAAGAGATAGGAATGTACGTAGGAAAACATCAAGCTTGCCGAGGAATAGAAATCTTCAATTAGCCTACCGACTGTCTGCGTACCTACGTGTCTGGGTATCTTGATCGTGCATACGAAGGGGAAAAAATAAGTTACGATGACAAAGCCTTCCGCCCCTACGTACGAGTCATCATCATCATCATTATCCCCTGATCCTCCCACCAGAACCGCAACATCTACTACTACCGCAACTAACGCCCCTCTCTAATCAACTAAGCCTAACGACAAGAACGCAAAAATTAACGAAACCGGTTTCCTCTGAAGTCGGATGTAGTAGTCGACGTTCTTAATTCGGACTGGGTACCTATAGGTGGTAGTCTAAGAACGTGAAGTTCCCAAGCCACCAGCGGCAGCGCCATCATCGTTACCATCAGCGTCTCGTCGGGCTTTCTTCACGGCCGAACGGCTCATCAGCGGCCTTGCGTTTCCGTATGACCTCGGATTTTGTAGGAGACTCAACCCACCCTTCTTCGCCAGCACTCTTCACAGTCGAGGCCGTGGCTTGGGCCTGGGCTTGGCGGTGGCCTTGTTGCGGGTTGGATTTGGGTTCGTTGCTGGCGGGATCGACTGAAGGACTAGCGATAGCATAACCCGAAGCAACGGGGCTGGTCGGGTAGCCAGGGTTGACAAGTCCAGAATGAGCAGGCGGCGGGACGGGCGACGATGCCAAATTCGTCCAAGAAACCGAAGAAGATGACATTCACGAAATAATCACTACGAAAAAAAGGAGTTAGTGACGGAATTCTTTGGAAATGGAGAAAACAAATACTAATTGGTACTAGTATATAAGTATGAGTGTTGATAAGGAGTGAGAGCGGGCCGGGGACGACTTACCGTACGGTGTCCCCGGTGAGGCCGTAGTTGTTGACCTTGTTTAACATGTCCGCCACCTCCTGCCATTCGAAATGGATCTCGGACGTGATGTGGCCGTGGTAACGGCCATTGCGGTATGAAATTTCTTATCGGCATCCTACCTTTCAGCTGACTTGAATTCTGTCGGTACGGTTTATGAAGCGATTGGTAGGGGCAATACGCCTAGTGAATTTATATTGGGGTAGAGGGTTTGGGGCGGATGACATTGATTGGATAGAGGTTATAGGGTTGGTAGAGTAAGGGTAAGTCATAGTGAGACCAAGCAAAAGAGACGTAGATCGAAGTGTAAGAGTATAGACGCTTCGTAAGTGCACGATGACGATAGCGATGGTAACGAAGAGGTACACGATGTAGATTAACTTAGGAAAGCCATAGATCAAGGCCTTACCTTTGGAGGTGAATGTGTGGTATTGCGAGGCCAGAGAATACGCGTAGACGATGTGGTTCTAGATTGTGCTAGCTGCGAAAACGAAGATGTTGGACAGCCTATGCGACGTGGAGAAAGTAGAACGCCAACGAGTAACTAGAACAGGGACAGTGGAAGAAATTTGGAAAGTGGGATAAAAGAAAAGGTAGGTAATCTTCAAGTTTAAAAAGTGAAGGTGGTATGGCTGAAGATACCAAGGTAGAGATGAACAGAGTAAAGATGAACAGAGTAAAGCCTCAGGATCAGTACTGATTAATATTTAGTTGATTGGGTGGAAAACTAAATACGTCCCACGAAATATCGACGCTGAGCTCTCAGACGCTATGATATAGGTGACAGCGTATAATCGTCGTGGAGCACGCAGTGTGCCTACCACCTCTGCCAGTCTGATGTTAAGAAAACCTCTTTGCGAAGGCCACGGTGCCTCCTAGTAATTTTCCAACCAAGTAACCCGCATAAACCCCACAAACTATAGTCACAGGCCACTTCTGCCACTCCCGGTCCCAGTCCAGAGGAATAGGGACAGCGCCGAGCCAAGCTCCTACACAGGCGCCGATGAGACCGCCAAACGCCTCGTCGAACGGGGCACTGGCACTCAGGATCTCATGCCAGTCGTTGCTCGACACACCACGTGTGTAGAACAATGGGAAAAGACCTAGGACGGACAGATGCGCCGAGCATAAGAACGTATTCTCTACGTGGGTTAAGAAAGGGGCGCCGAAGAGAACAAAGACGACATGCACCGCCAGACTTGCTATGGCTGATAGTATAAGGGCGACAAGTGTTGTCTAAGAACATTGTCAGCTATGAACGAAGCATTCGCGGAAAACGAGAACATACAACCGCTATGTTTGGTCCCGCGCTCTCCAACCCAGCCTTCTTCTTCTCTCCGGGCCGAGCCTTCTTAGCTGGCTTTGCAACATGAGAGCCTACGGCGGGCAGACACACGACGGCGTATGTGATTTGTATGGCTACAACTACGGGAAGAGAGCTCGACAAGGCTGATACCGGATCTGCCACTAGAGCCTCGAATCGGGCGAGGAACAAGGAGATAAGTAAGGCTGGCTGGAGATGCCTAACAACCTGGGCCTGCGAGGATGCTATGATCTGGACGGGTTGCGTCTGAGCATCTTTTAAATCCTTGTCCTTGGAGATCTCACCAGCCTTAGCTTTTTGAGCTGGTGGTGGTGAGATTGCGACTGAATCGGATGAAGGCATTATGAATGCGATTAGACGTAATAAGTCATGGAATGAAAAAAATGTGGGTTTTACTATGTAATTAATGTGATGAATGAGCGTTTGTTGCCGAAAGCATTTATATACAATTAAATGTCGAGTTAACTTTGTCAAGTCGCGCTTCTAAGTTGATGCTACGGATTACCTTCCATACAAACGGTTGACGCACGGACTTTAGTGCGGTCACGTGTGACAGATAACGTTGCTTATCGCGACTATTAGGGCACTTAGATAGACTTGAAGGATGTTATGGTGGATATGCGCATCTGTAAAATAAGGGGAATCGTGTTACTACCTAGGTAACCTAAGGTAATTGTTATGAAGTCTCATGTAACTATGGTTATTATCAAACATCAACGCATTGCCTATTGCTCATATTAGGTACTATGTATGACTGCCTAGGTAGGTAGCCAATTATTTGGCTGTACTACTTTGAGTTGACAGTCAAGTTGACATATTGTCAAATCAGGAGCTAGGCTCATGCTTGGGGATCAAGTTACGAAGCGACAGGTCGTAGATAACATCCTCAACTTTCTTAACGTGGTACTTGACAGCATCAACTCGCTTTCGAACTATATCGTTCTTCAAGTTGAGCAGCTGGAAGCCGGCGAACAAATCCTTGATGAAGCTGCTGATTCTGACCGTCAGATCGATATCACCTAATGTTACCGAGTTCATAGCTAGCCGACTGAGCTCCTCGGTGATATCTGTCAGGGCCAGGATGTATTCCTCAATAGTAATGTGAAATGCATCTCTGTCTTTGAGATTGACGGGTACTAAATATGAAGAATGAGTACTGGCGACAGTGTGACAGCTAGGAAGTAAACGTACCTTTCAAAAGCTGCCCAACCTCTTCGATAGTCAGAAGACGACCAAGCTCACCCGGACGCGACTCAGTCCCCAAACCACCTAACCAGCCGGTTAATAAGATGGTACCGACAACATTCTGGATGCTTCGGGACCATCTGTTGTTGTACTTGTAGTAAGGATAGTTAGAAGCAAATTGGGCTAGCTCGCCAACGCTTTCGATCTCGGGCTTGATACCATCCTCCTCAACCTGCTTCAATAGCGGCAGCACTACAATAGCTATCAGCGATGCACGAAACTTCTCATAAGCATATCATGTTAACATATTAGGTACTCACGCTTAGAGCTGGGGGTCGAATGGATGCGGCTGAGAAAGCCTTGGCAGGTTGAGATGTGACGATTGAGAGCAGAGGTGATGTGGTGAAGCTTGTCACCGACCTCGAGCTCCTCCTCGCCATGAGCCTTGAGGTACTCGAAAATGGACGGGTCGATCAAATCTGAGGAACCGTTGCCAGCCATTTCGAGATTCGTTGGGTAGAATGTGAAGAGTCAAAAGTTTTTTTTTTTGATTGAACGATTATGACGATGAGGGGCAGGGCTAAATAACGAGAAGGCCCGATGATGCTTGCCTTGCTTTGCTTTACTTTGCAATTCAATCAATCGTCTTCGGTGATCAAACAGCGTGAAATTATGCTGTCGCTGAACCCGCGTATTTATTTCGAAATAGGTAGAGAAAACATGTATATAGCAGGTAGGCTACCGCGACTTCAATGATCGAGATATTGGATTACTGCTCTAATTTACGGATTACAGCAAATATTTACGCCTAATTCAATTTCACCATATGCTGAAAAATTAGCATGTCAAAAAACAGCACTCGGCTTCATCGCGCTTCAAAATTTTATCGCCATTTATCCTACGATGATACGAGCATTTAAATAATTATTACTACCGCCCACTAAGCGCAAAACATGAACACTACTGCTGAAACTCTTCCTCACGTCTCTAGGCGAGCTAGACATCGCAATGAAAAGTATTTCGCGTCACCTGGAGGCAGTGTAATACCAGGGACACGGTGGGAGCGATCATGCGCAAGCACAGAGGATGCGCTCCCTCGGGACAAAAATTAGAATAATCACGATTGAGTCCAAGTAGGACTCTTTCAGAGATTAAACTGAAAAGAACAGATACTACACTTGATCTAAGCCAAAAGGCAAAGAGAGCTGAAGAAGAAAGGAAGAAAAATTCTAAAGCGAGGAGGGGAGGCCAGTTATTTATACCTGCTGGGAGGCGGTTAGCGGTGGCAGAATTCCTAGGCAACAGCAGTGACCCACCCAGTCACCAACTCCACTCCCCCACTTAAGCAGGCAGTGGCAAGCAGCTGCCAGGTGCATTTTGTACAGTCAGCTAGTCGAGCTAGGTACTTAATCCACTGTGCGTATCCCTCTTAGGGCAAAACAGGAAGCAGCAAACATGTCATGATAGCAGAGTTAGCTCTTTCTGACTCACACCAGCTATTATAACATTGAAGGTAGGTACCTAGCATAAGGCAGTCTCTACCAAACGCTCCTAACACTCTTAGTACAGGGATCTTCATTTCTCGCATGTCCTCTCTCTATGTACTATGTCGCCCCTGAAAACAACTCGTCCATACTAGATTATCGAATCGCGTACATGCCCATCAATATAAGGTATCTGCCAAATAAAAAAAATCCTCGTCGATTCGTGGCTCATTTTGGGTCGCGTTATCTTTCCGAGATATTATATTTCCAAAACTCCAGGATCAACACACTCATACAGGTGCTAGACATAAATTATGCCTTCACGAAGCAATATGACGAAATGCGGAATTATGATAAGTTCCAACCGTTCCGTCTGTCTAGCCGTTTAAGCAGGAAGCTCCCTACCATAATATCCCGATGGTAACTCATGGGCGTTGGTTTCGCGGGAGTTGGCAACGCCATATAATTCTAAAGGGCCAGGGGAAGTCGCCGGTTTGGGTGTATTGCCGTCGGGGACTATAAAGCCACTCAAGACGCCCTGATACGGATCTTTTTCCCGTTCCGTCTCCCCCGTATGCTCTCGTTTAGACCGCCAGACCATGAACCAGAACCCCCCAATGATAGCAGCGGCTACGGACAACCCGACGCCCAAGCCTGCGCCCAGTGCGGTCGATATATTAACATTTATAGATGAGCTCCCGTTCTCTATATGACCTGCGCTGTCACCAGTAGGTTGGATTGGTATTGATTCGGTACTCGTCGCTTTGACTGTTGGAAGCCCTGTTGATGTATCGCTGCCCGTACTGACGATTAATGAGGAAGACGACGTCGATTCGACCATGGTAGTTGATACCTCATTAATGGGAATCGTAGCGAGAATAGTAGGTAGTGTGGTAATATTGTCGTACGTGAATATACTCGACTCGACGCTACAACAAGCGAACGATCCAGCGCCAGTTAACCCATCATCGCAGCAGTATAAATTACTTTTCTCAATACCGCCACAAGGCCGCACTCCCACTGATGGATCGTCTATGTCTAATATCATATTAATTCATATGAGCCTATATGAGAAGTCGTGCCAGCACTTACACCATGGACAGACCTGAAAACATGCTGTATCATTCCACGACTGGTCAGTACGCCCTTTTCGTAAATAATCAACAAGGTGTTCGTTTCCGCCCTGACAAACTCCATTGGACCAGCAGATTTGTCCTGCGCTACAACAAGCTGAGTGGCCTGTCGTGCTATTATCACATCTGACCGCATCCGGAAGAATAGCATCGTTGAGTTTATAGCACGTAGGACTGACTGGCAAATCCCAAGCCCCTTTTTAGAAATATACAAAACCTGCAGCTAAGGTTGCATTACCTGAACGCCATAAACTGGAACTACCTAGGTTGAGTAGCAAGTCTGATTCGAAGGAATGCAAATGTTGCATTACATGTGTTTTTCATCTAGATAAGAATAAAGGGGCTGCTACCTAACCAACTCTAATATTCTTCTTTAATTATTCTTCCTAGTCGTACTTCCTACACTACAAATGCTGCCAGGTGGTAAATAAATACGACAGCTGTCAAAGCTCACAGTAAGCGGCTTCAATTATGTACCTCCACATGGAGAAGAGGTAGTTAGAGCTCGTCTTACTTTTGCACCATCGTCTACATCATCCAGTTTGAATACATTGACAATGGCTCCATCACCTCTACCTGAATTCGTATACAAGATCGTGCCTTCGGCACCCCCATCGCCAATCCCATCTGAGTATCCCCGTTCGGAGCTCGACCAAAAAGATGGGTTTGTCCATCTGAGTGTCGGTTCGCAAGTAAGTGCTTAGAGCTGCCTACTACCTACTACCTAGATCGCAAACTACCTCCTCTCCCTTGCGCACCAACCTACCTACCTACCTACATTAGATATATCATAAAAAATACCTACTCCTCAATAACCGCGCCGCACTTCATGCTTACACTAGGTACCTACTTCCCAGATTCCCATAACGGCAGACCTCTTCTTCAAAGAGGCAACGTCTATCTGGGTTCTTAAGCTCCGGTTTGCTCCCAAGTTTCACTCTGCGACGACGTGGGAGATCGAAGGGTGCCCGCATCTATACGGCAACTTCGGCGCCGAGGACGTCGACAGTGTTAAGCAGCTCACGCGATTGGATGGTGAGAGCTGGAAGGAATCGTTGAAGAAGGAGAGTGGCTGGCTGGTTTAACCTCCCCCCTTCCCCCTTTACCAACAAGCAAGTTTAGGACTTCGGTACCACAGCGGCTATTATTTGGATAAGACACATGCGCTATTCATCTTATAGTTTATGGCTTGGCGCTGGCAGATGTCATTTAGTTCCTGAAACGTTCTCATCTAACGAATTGATGTTGTTAAGCTAGCCGTATATAAGTCTATTGTCAGAAATCAGCAATAAGTCGCTAGTAGAAACCGTTTACCTTCACGGCCTTTAAGAAAAATTCATCTCATACGTCTAAGAAAGTTCCCTATTTCGTCTTCATATGTGCCGTACCTCAATCGAGTCCCTTTACGAGTCACATGGCCACGAATACATGCGATACAGGTTAAGACAAGATACCACGTCTTGACAACTAGGTTATGGTACGATGATATGCCACACTTATCTTATTAGCATTACGACTTAAGGAGCTACACTACCTAATGTAATCACTTATCATACAAATATCCTGCGCAGCAAAATCCACATATCCTAACGCAGTCCTAGAACACGCCCCCTTACATAGCAAGCAGGCATTTCCTTCATTCAAGGCTGCTCCGACGTTAAGAGGAAAATAGGTCCTTTGTCTTACAGGGGTAAACAACGACACACTCGACGCCCTTGTTGATAAATACGTCCAGCGCCTCGAGGAAACTGTCCGAGACCTTCTGCTCCCACGCCAGAACGTCTCGCCATGCTTCCATGGCTTGAAGGCCGAACTCATATCTACCGGGATCTGCGCCGAATCGACTGCATCTGTCTCGATACGCCCGAAGGAAGCTGCCGAGGTCGTCGTACTTCATTCTAAACTTGCCGCCCCGAAACTCGCTTAGTTCTATGAATGCGCATACTCGGCTGTCGTAGTTGCTTTCGTAGTTGAACGGCCACGTGCCAAGGTGCAGGCCATCCACTTTGATGTACAGTTTCTTCAAGTTTCTAAATCGAAGCAGCATTGACAGACGCGCTCGGTTGCATTCGAATCGCGCGAATGTCGAGGCGGGGATCGATACGTTCATGACCGAGGTAACTTCTTCCAACTGGCCTTCGTAAGCGGCTTGTAGCATCGGAGGATATTGGACACTAGGTCCGCTTGCAATTTGGCTTCTTAGTGCCGGCGTCGATCGCTTCGAGAACCGGATAACGTTGTCGAGCGAGAATAGTCCTAGAGGGAATATATCAACGAAATTGAGAGCGAGTTGGGGCGCCATTTTTCGTTCGTGGAACTTGGAGATATATCGGCTGACGATTGCATAGCTATGCTTATTCGTTAGGAAGAGCGGCCAGAAGAAATCTCGCAAGTCCCGCAGAACGGAAGGATGAGGATCCCCCCTATTATCCATCGTGTGCGCCGCGAAAGAAATATAGGGGGGTTTATGCCGAGTGAACCAGAACCGATTGAAATCGGGGTATTTGTGTCTGAACGCGTCTGCAGCCTGCTCGGCGGCCATTATCCACACCATCTCTCGGAGCTCAAAAGGAAAGTCCTGAAGCGGGAAAGATACGGCGTCGCTGGGACATTCCGGCGCATCATTTTCCATCGCGGATGAATCTGTCATGTTGACGTGCCTAAGATACAGTTAGATGTAGATAAACTTGGCGTATTCGAGACGATATTGATTTGCGAACCGATCGAGATATTGCTGGATGCGCTGCAGGATTGTACGGGAGCGTCGACGTGCAAGTAAATATAGGAATTAGTAGCGCGTTGCAAAAGGAAAGAGAGATTAAACTTGTATTGTGACGGTAGCTTAAGCAATCTGGTTGTTAGGTATATTCAATCTTGCCGACGTCTCCTAGGTGATATGCAGCTAAGGTTGTACTTATTCCCAAACTCTTTTCTAATCCATTGTTTTATCAAAACCTCTAAACTCCGCCATGAGCCATACTCCATGCTGAGAACCCAAATTTTGAAGCAAGTTCCTCGGCGTCGAGCCCCCAAATCTCCCAAGCCGCAAATTATTAAGTTACCTAATAGCCCCAACTCCTAACAGCTGATGGCGACTCTTTACCCGTGATTCAATAATTGTCGCAGTCTATCGTCGACCGTCCGCCCCAACTCCCTTAGTCCTTCTGAGTGAGCCATTTTCGGAAGAACTTGTTTCTTTGCCGCTCATCGTCAGCGAGGTCATCTTCATCTGTGGGGGAGGATGGAGAGCAATCCCCGTTAGTAGATACCTCCATGCGGTCGATGCTCTCGGCCCCATCCTTAGACGAATGTCCAATGCTTCCGTTCGTGCCTGTACGTTTCAGATCACCCACGTCCACAGCACTGTCGGCTGTAGGAATGACCACGACCGAACTGCTCGAGTGTTTTTGGCTTGTATTCTGACCGATTCTGCCGTGAGCGATGGTACGCTTATGCTTCGCTAGGAAGGATTTGTGCGTCCGGTGTAGTGTTTTCGATGGATCAATATCCTCGGCTGAAATACAAGCCCCTGGGCCAACGTTTGCGTCTGGATGACGCAGAGAAGTGGTATATTCAGCGAATGCATCCGGAAAGCCGGTATCGTAGTTGCGACTTGTCCGTCGACTGCTGCTCGAGCCCGACATGGTGACAGAATAGCCTATAGCTTTGTCTTAGTTCTGTGGACCGTGGACCGTCGAGAGTAAGGCCTTATATATCCAATGAATTGTACGCATACGGCCACCTCGATTTAAGCTTTATTTCGTGATGCGGGGGAGACCGAAGACTTTCATAGACAGGTATTGCGGCACAAGGAAAGGAGTAGAAACAACAGGAAGAGAAGACAAGATCGTAGATGTAGATATGTTAGATCGGGTGGTACGGATGGTATAATAATGAAATCAGGCTCCTTGAGCGATGGTGATGAATATCATCATAATAATATCTAATCCGCTTCATCGTCCTAGCCCCTGGCTACTCTCTACTCTCGGATCGCATGGGGTTCAGGTATACCATGTCCACCCACGACAGGACAGGCTCGGACGGAATAGCGTCGATAAGCGAAGACACCCGAACTGGCTCATTTGGAAACATAATTGGACAGCGTCACTTGACGTAGTTGAAGATTTTGGGCGGCTTTGTTCTAGTATTTTGATAGTGTTTTGGCAGCCTAGGTACCTAGCTGCGCCCCAGCTGACGGATATGATTGAACGGATAGAAATGCTTGCTCACCTGAAAGGAGGCAACCTGAAAACAATGCTGAGATTCCAGCCGGGGCTGGTACCAATGCCAAGAAAGAATGACAGGGTTCGGCTCTTTGTATTGAAAATTGCTTGGCAAGCAATCAACCGCGCGCTTGAGCAATCCCAGAAGATGAAGACGGTAGGGGGGTCTTATTAATTTGGTGCCGTGATCCGTTCCACGTTCGCGTCGTCAGGAGAAATGTTGGTATATCTCTCGAGACATACATAGAGTGCGGTACGATTTAGGAGAAAGTTGCAGCAAAGTTGCAAAGTCGGCAAGAAGATCTAGGAATCGGATAGGACCGGGGGGGGGAACTTGGATTAAGAATATGTAGTTATACCTACATAGTAGAATATGTAAGACGGAATATGTAAGAGTTCGGAAATAGGTACGCCACGCCGAGGAAGTTAACGTAGGTTGATGTAGGTAAACGTAGGTAAATGTAGGTTATTATTAAACCTAAACCTAACGAATAATCGTGGATAATACGGCACAAATATGCAGCCACTTGCGTATGCTCCGGCTTTGATGCAGGTCTCTCCGTTTGATGGGCGAACGCCTCGGATTTTAAGGTATTTTGAGTTTTGACTTGTCTGCTTAGAGGCTGAGACGGCAACTTAAGTGTGTACTTATGTAAACGCAGACTTTCATGCCGAATTACATAGTACACTAGGCTAACCTTGTGGCGATCATGAAGGTAGGGAATCCATGTGGGCAAACGGAAATCCGATGCCGTGGTACGGATAATCGGAACGCCAATACATATGTACAACTAGTCAGCCAGTGAGTCGACCACGGTGACGATGATGATGACCATATGTACATTGACCAACAACTGCCACGGCAATCACGGCAACCTAGCGGTGGCCATGCAAACGGACGAATAGAAGAATAGTCTGACGATCTGACCTGGAACCCATCCTGTTAGGGCCACCCACGCGATTAAAAGCCATTGAAACCTTCTGCGTGTCTCAGTACGCTGACGTAATAGGTTAGCGTAAGGAACTGGAGCTGGTTACATATGTAGGATTTAATTGACTACATAGTCGACTGCTTTCCGCATCTTTCAACTTCTTAACGCTTCAAGGGCGCTTTGTGAAAGAAGTGATTGTCAGGGTCCGATTTCAACTGATGGGGGGTTAATGGGGCAGAGTTCAAATCAGACAGCCTCATTTGGGTTAATTATCGTTTATTGGACTAATAGATCCACGTGATATGACCGGGATGATTCATTGCGTTCCACAATACATAGAAATAGTACCCGCACTTAGGTACCTTTTATGGGTATCTACCCATGACCGAATTATTCTAGCGCAAGTCTAGAAAGAAGAAAGAAGAAAGAATACATAATGGCTGACCAGTCGCACCTGGATACTTCAAAATATGTGGCCAGTAAATAAAGCTACCTATATTCTCCGAAACTGCATGTAGGGAATCTCGGACAACGGGAGTTCGTGACTAGGGGAGGGCTAAGGCAACTTTCTACTTTGAATACCTAGTAACTAGCCCCTATTAGCAACCTTGTTGATTACATAGTTACCTAGGTAATTACAACTAAAGTCCAAATCTAAATGATGATAATTCCGTACTTGGGCACGACACCAAAGATAACAAGATCGAACTCCAGATAAATAGTACATGCATTTCCCCTCAGTGGCACGTAAAACGTCGGGCTTGCTATAATGAGACATAATAGGGATAACTGCATCCTGTTTATACACATGTAACCAAAAGACCTATATAGGTTGAAGTTAACATATATTATTTACGTTCGGCTATTATAATATCGCAGGTGGATTAAGTACTTATAAGGTAAGTAGGTGTACAGTTCTTCGTGTAACAATGGAATGCTCTTATATTACTTGATCATAATAGGCGGCTTATAGCATTGGGGCTTGCTATAGTCTTTAAGGCGGCGAGAAGTCTGAATCATAGATCATAAGCATCCACTAGAATATAACAACATAGCTGCATGTAATTACATATTTCTAACGTTTTCTTGTTTGTGAAAGTTACACTACTTCTGTTTCTTCTGTAGTGACACTCGGTGGAAAGTATTTTGTAGTTCTTCATATAACTATACTCTATAGTGAAAACTTTGGCATCAGCGAGATTCATATCCCTAAACCACCGTGCTACTACTAAATCGATAGACCCAAGATTTATGCTTAAGGTTTACCTTGGGATATTGTGTTAAATGCGAGTAAAAATTTAAAGATTCCCTATCTAAGATATATGTTTTACTGCTTTATAAAAAGTTTTTCCTGCCTTACAAAAGCAGTAAAAGATAAAAGGAGTAAACGATAAAAGAGCTGGAATCCTGTTAGTGTATAAAGGGGTTGGGGGTAAATTTAGGGGTAAATACATTAAGATTAAGTATATAAAAGCCGTTTAACGCCTTTGTAAAAGGGTAAAAGGCAAGCGTTAATAGCTTAATCTATATATTTTAACACTATATATAAGTTATATATAATAGTTAAAAGATTTTATAAAATTATGGTGCGGTGTAAACCTTAGGCTTTTATGTTGCCCAGAGGGTGACATTTTGTAATATATTTAACTATATCATAAAGCTCAATGATTTAACAGGTACTTAAGGTAGGCTTCAGAAAAACGACAGAATCTAGTGGTATTATACTATTTGGCGCCACCATTACGTCTAGCAGTGGTTGGACACCTGGGCACCTAACCTAAGTAATGTATAAACGATTTAATATGCCATAATTTAGAGCGTCCGTTTCGGCCTCGAAGCATAGTCGCAAGGCTTCACACCATCAACCCTCAATTCAATGTAAGCCCCTAAAATACCGGGTTATTATCGTAGCTGTGTTATACCCATCTTTATTACAGCCTTGAATGTAGATAAGATGACGCAAATATCGGAACTATGATGGCTGCTTATTGGTAGCATTTATAAATGAAATAAGGCATAAATCAGATTCTGCAACCGGGCTCTAATATCTTGCTTAACTCGCATAACTTACCCCCCTTTGCCAAATCCGTGAAATATAGAGAGTAGCTCCGCCCCGTGGATTATTGATTATGAGCGGCCATCCCTCTCTATACCTCGTTATACAATCCTCTACCCATCTCACTTGCTCAAAATCACATAATGGCCACCATCCAGGAGGTAAAAGTAGCAGCTCCAGATATCCAGCCCCTATTGCCCCCAGACGACCCACGAGAGCAGCTTCTATCGAGTATACGAGGGTCTCGAGTGTTTATTCCCGATTTGCAAACAATGATCAGCCACTGGCCCCGGGGGAGCCATCCGGACATTGAAAGGCTAGATAAACACGTCCAAGAGATAATTGCAAGGTAACTACCTGGTATGGTTCACTCTTGGATCCTTTACTAACTCACATATTGCAGTTTGTCGTCTTCTACAAATAGTACTGCCCGGCTCCGTAAGTTGAGAGCAACTAATATAACCTCCTTCACCGCTGCGTGGTGGCCGTACGCATCGTACGAGGCGCTGGAAACCGTTGCGCGGTTGACTATCTGGGTAAGGGGTATAGAACCACCATCGCACCAATTCTAACTAACATTGCTATGTAAAAGCTCTTTGCTTGCGACGATGGTATACCAGTCATCCAAATCGCAGATGAATGGTTTCTCTGTTACTAAATGACTTATCCAGAGATAGACTCCACGGAGGTTTCGACAATCATCAATGACTGGGATATAGCTTCCACGTTCCGGCAGAGAACGATCGACTACGTACAGCAAAGCTTATCTAGGATTCCGAAGTCGAGGCAAACCGAGACCAATCCCCTAATCACCTGTACCGGACCAATTGGAGAAGCCTTATTAAAGTCCTGTAACGACCGTACGTACATTCCCCTCCTACATTTTGCTACCATATCATGATCTCATCGGGGTCTAGGTCAGATCAGCACGTATCTTAGCGAGGTGTTGCTCTATGTCAATATGGGTGGAGAAGAACAAAAATATCAAGTAGCTCGCCGTCTTCCTACAGTCGAAGAATACTTAGGCTATCGCTCGGGCACAAGCGCTGTGCGGGTTTGCTTCGCCACCATTGAGTACCTAATATAAATTCCACATCCGTTTATCTTAGAAAGGAAGCTAAATAAGTCTTATAGATACGCTTGGGGGATGACATTACCTCAGGAACTATTCGAGGATGATGATATGCGACAGCTTTGGTATGAAATAGGTGTTGCTATATACGTGTATGTCATTTATGATTGCTACCGTTTATTGGTCCTCCCCCCCCCCCCCCCCTCATAGACTAACGTTTTAAGGACGAACGACATATTGTCTATAAAGAAGGAAGTGGTTAGTAAACCTACTCTACTTAAAGCCATTTGCCTTTCTAACGCATCAATCCACTACAGGAGGAATCGCAAGTCAATTCGCTAGTTCCTTTGCTATCTCTTCAACTGGGATCCGTACAAGCAGCTATCAACCGCGCCGTAGACATCGTGTACTCATCAGTCCAGCGATTTGAGTCCGTAGAGAAACGGATCCTACTGCGCTACTCGACCATGCCCGAGGTCCAAGAAGATATACGGAAATTTATCGACGCTTGCAAATACGCCGCCACAGCTAATCTCAACTGGAGGTACGTGCTAGTGACCCCTTTTATAAGACATATCTAACACATTTTTCAAATTAGCCTGACCACGGGAAGATACAAAGTGCACTGCGAGTCTATGAGTAGTGGGATATACCTAACCCTTTGAGTCGATTTGTAGGGCTTGGGTATATGGTAGATGATGAACGAAAGATAGTATAGCATAGGTAGATCTTTATATTGGCCGGTATTATTGCAGAATGAGATTGCTCTCCTTTCTCAAAGTTTACTATCGTTTTGCATTCGAAGTGAAATCCCAAATGAAGCACTCCGCTTGTAATTTAAGCGATTATTTTTATAATTTCTCCCGGGTTAACTCTGCGCGAGGGAGCCGGCAAGGGTAGTGATAACGTTTCCTCGTTGTGGAACATGTCTGAGATGTCATATTACCAGGACAAAGATGACTACACCTCGTAATAATGGCTTAATATCGCACGCTTCTATACCGCTACACGTTTCGAATAGTAACTCATCATATGGGTAGGTAATAAATCCAAGCGATCATCTATCGAAGGCATCTTCCCGAGATATAACGAAGGGAATGGCGATAGATAGCCTAAGCCAAAGGTGTATATAGAACTTCCCCGTATAAGCTAGTCGTTTCTGACATGTAACTGCTTGAATGTAGGAAAGTCTTAAAATCTCGAACTTCCGCTGCCATTCACGACTCATTCTTAGAATATCACATACCTAAGTCATAACTTTTACTTACAACATTATATATGGCTTCCCCTGAGAATCAAATCCCGCAACAGAAATATGGACTGTCCTGTCCCTTCGGAGGCTCCTTTTATGTATGCCTATCTAGCCAAGTTCGCTTTCTTGGGTGTTGTGAAACGGATCCATGCTCCAATGGAGGCCAGTGTCAACTTGACGAGCTCCGCCCAGTCAGCTACGCCAGCTATCCGGACCATCATCAGAGTTGCGTCGCCCCTTACGACGAACGTGAGTGGTATACATGCGACTTTACGACGCCTAGGTTCATGGGTTGCGTATGTAACGAACAATTTCCTTCCTCTCCCCAACCACTCCCCCCCTCTCCTAGGGATCAAGATCTCCTTGTGCAGTCGAGGACACTATCACTCTATCACTCCCAGACAGTGCACAGAGCTTAAAACTTCCTATTATATCTAACTAGCTTATGGGTTTCCTGTTGACCAACAAATCATAGCCTAGGCTTGATGTAATGGTAACATCGCGAGTGGTACTTGGGTAAATCCAAAGCCTCTTTAAGGGCCGCAGCTCCAGAACCAAACCCGAGACTTAGGAAATATCCAAACTTTTTTTAATCGTTTATATACCCAAACTTGCAGTATTAGAGGCCTTTACGCCGCGCAGAAATTATTTGTACGTAGAACTAAAGCAATTTCACTAATTTCCTTTTCTACTTAGTGTTTACAAAACCCATGTGATCAAGGTTGTCCGGATTGGGATCTGATTCCCGCACGACTCGACGACGACGAGAACATCGCAGCGTCATTTCTTTCCTTGCCACATAATTCTTCAGCGGGCACGGGATGTATAATCGCACTTAGCATATCGGGCGTAGCTATACTTCTCTTAGTCCTTGGAATCGTGCGCTGGTGGAGACCGATAAAGAGGAAGATAATGGATGTATGGGAGTCTTTTAAGAGATATCGTCGCTCTAATGATTATCTAAGTAATGAGGCGTACGATGATTTGCAACCAGGTAGGTTTGCTTAACTTACGATACGTTTTGACGTGTTTCTTTAGTACCTAATTAACAGGAAGGTAGATATTTTAAATCACAGTACGTCTGCAGCAGAGTCGGAACCGTCGTCGACAAACTCTAGTGGCACCGCTCGTCCACACCCAACAACGTATGAGAAGCTCCGAGTTGTAAATCCGTAGCCAGTAATGTGCACAGGAGCTTAGTGCTTATTAATTCCTAATATATGAATCGAACAAGTTAACTTTTCTATCTTTCTTAGAATCTAGTGGTCACATATGTTTCATCTCATACGCAATAGCATCTGTATTCACAAATATACTGTCTATATTTATAGCAAAAGTAACTCTAGTTCTTACTCGTACTTACGCTCGGTGGTACATCATCATCCCCTGTACCCCAACTGGTGCTCTCCTTATCGCCCAATGTGAGTTCCAATGTACCGCCCTCGAGGAAGAAGCTGTGCGTGAGATAATTCTTGGTGTATTCCTTTCCGTTAAGCTTTGCGCTTTGTATGTAGATATTCTTATACGCGGTGTCAAAGTTACTGGTCTTGATTGTTGCCGTATTACCTGTTATGCGATTGGTGATCGAGACGGACGGAAAGAAAGGGGCCGTGATAAAATAGATGTCCTGGCCAGGATTTGGGAAGATGCCCATCATCGCCAAGGCTACGAATGATCCCATAGCACCTGAGTCGTCGTTTCCAGGGATGCCTGCCGTTGTGGTGTTGAACTGGCTCGGTATGTAGTAATGGACTCGCTCGGCGGATTTACCAGGGCGGCCAGCGTAATGGTATTGGAATATGGTTAAAAATGCCTGTTCGTCACCGATATAAAGGATACCGCTCTCATGAAGATAGTCCAAACGACTGACAAATGTATCAGGTCCGCCAAGAGTGGTGATTAGGGTTGCCATATCGTGAGGTGCGAAGAAGCTGTAAAGCCAGGGGCTACCCTCATATGTCTCATGGCCACCCGAGTTGAGATAGCAAGAGTCAAATGACATAACGGAAGAGCAAAGCGTTGGGTCCTGATACCCAAAGGTACCGTTTAAATACCTTGGTTGCAGATAACCGGTGAAGCCAGTGTCCGTACCATTTATATCCGAGGCCTGATCGGCATTGTATAAGTTGACCCAGTTTCCAGACCGCTTGGTATACTTCTCGTAATCATCCTGCTTGCCTAGAGCTTTCGCTATTTCAGCGATACAAAAGTCGTTGTAAGCATACTCCACAGTTCTAGACACGCTTCTTGTGAACAGGCCGTTGCCGTACGGATCGAAGTCGTCTGCGGGAATGTAACCATACTTCTTCCAACTATATAAACCGCCACGGCCTTCGTAGTCCCACACCGGCGGTTCATCTTCTGCATCCTTTACCAGTGCCTCATACCCAGTGTCCCAGTCAACGCCCTGTGTAATGTTCTTGAGAAATGCATCTACCAGCACGATATCAGCGTTAGACCCTCCTTGAGTCCATCCTTTACAGAGGGACATCCGACAGTCTGGTAGCCACCCTTCGTGACGATAAATGTCGATGAGAGAGCGGATCATCAGAGTTTGGGAATAGGGGTCCACTAGGGTAATGAAGGGGTGAATAGATCGAAAACTGTCCCAAATACAGTACCATGAGTCGTAGTACGGCTCATCGCTTTCCCAGAGATAATTTTCACCAGTATAATCCTGGGGACTCAGCATTGCCCTATACACGCCACTCCAGAAGACTGTCTGCAAAGAGGTGTCCTCAAAACCAGTGGTGTCAATGTTTAAGACTGAGAGTTTATCTTTCCAAATATCTTCTGCGGCGGCCAAAGTTTTTGAGAAGCTGAAGTCTGGCACCTCCGCCTCAGCGGACCCGCAAGCTTGCTCAACACTCTTGAACGAAAGCCCGACGCGAACCGTGATTGTGGTGCCTGTTTCAACCTCATTGAGCCAAGTGTAGGCTCCTGCTGGCAGAGGGGGGGAATTATTGTCTTGTCCTAATACGATATTCTTGGGCTCACTGCCAGCCCTAGTATTCGTGAACACTCCCGTTTCGCGTATAGAAGCTCCTTGAGGAAAGTCGGCACAGAAATGCAGCATGTATGTACCGGTTCCAAAACTAGGCAGAAAGGTACCGTTTCCAGAAATCCTACCGGTATCTGGATCGACAGATGCACTGCCGTTGAGGCGAGTATCGGGCAGATCCGTCAGATCGAAAATGAACAGAGGGCTTAAGGGTGCGTCTACGGAAGCATTTCCTGTAGCATTGCCGAAGAATGTGAAGTCGTAAAGAGCGGTGTGGTTTGTAGCTGTAATCTCGGCCCTGATACCAGAGACGAGATCAATTGTGAAATATCCAGGACGAGCCGAAACACTCCCATCAACGACCTGGACGCTACGCTGAGTCTTAGGGAAAATGCATCCGTTCACGTCGTCATTCGCGCAGCCTGGATAAACGAAAACCGGAAAATTTCCAAGTGATGAGGCACCACCAGTACCGGAGTCGTGCATATGGGAAAAGCCTGTAACTGGGCTTCCGTTTGAGGCATACCCTCCCTGGTTATCGCTTGTGACATCCGCAACTGCTTTCGCCATTCCTAGGATTCCATTAGAGATGTTCGATATACAATAGGTAGACATTCTAATTATTGATCCTGCTTACCAAATGGCAAGGTCGCTCCGGCAAAGACATGACCTATAATAATGATCAGTTAGGCAGTCTGTAATGGTAACAGAATACAAACGAGCTCACCTCCGTTACGAGTGCCGATTAGAGGGTCTACGAAGTCATAACCGCCAACAGAGCTGTTAGTATCCCGCCAAGATAGGGTTGCAGAAGTCGTTTGGAATAATGTAGCCACGATAAAAGACTGTATAAATAATTGAACGTTCATCTTGGGCAGCTATATTCTCACCGAGCCCAGTTGAACATACTCTAATTATTGAAACGCTAGGTAGCTATTCATAGCCGTGATAGCTATGTAAATGAGGAGGAAAGCCAAGCTCGGAATACAAAGGAAGAGTAGCTGATGATACGTAAAAGGCATGTCACAAGGTAGACCCGAGTGACATCGCATATTTCAAGGCGGGGCGCAAATACCCCGGATTCAGAATAGCATCTCGTATACTCGGCTACGACCAGAGGAGCTCAGAGGTCCATTGTTGGCCACTGCAGCATGGAAAAGTCAATCAGGATCGCCATCCCTTCGATTGAACTAAACCTTTTCGGTTGCAGCTGGGAAGTATACCTACCAAGATAATAATATCTTGGCGGCGGTCTGATATTATCGAATTACCAGCATGGTTTGGCAACTTCTATTACTCTGGCATAAATGACGTTGGGTCGCAGTAATAGGGAAGTCCTGAGAAGGCAAGGGTCTAAGCTGGCAGAAAGTGTAACCAATGCGGCTCGAGTTAATTCGGATTGAGCTCGCGAGATAGTTGTCTAGGATGGTACTGCTCTAATTGTCTTATCATGTTGTTGTGAGAGCCAAAATAATATCTTAACCGCGGAAGAGATTCAATAGAATTCCAACGACTTATTTCGTGAGGCTATAATGCACAATTTATAATTTAAGATTTAAGAAATGCAACGTTAACGCAGAGAGATAATCTAAGTAGTATGTGCCTACATGCCCATAGGTAGGAAATAGGATAGAGTGTTTGTGTGATTTGAAGGAGTGAAAGATGGAAGAGTGAGCTCCAACTAAGACTTTGGACCCACATATGTATGCACTAGCCCCTGTCGATTGGAGACTAAAGCGGGAATACTCCAAGCCACCAAAGCTTCTGATTGGTTAAATTTGCTCCCCGCCAAAAGCTGCTAAGATTTCCCTTCCTATCGATCAGGAAAAATTTCCAGCTCGAAATTTTATTTTTTGTTTTATCGGTCAATTGATACCATTTGAAAATTGATCCATTGAGGTCCAACACCCACCCGCTACAACAAAAAGTCCCCCCATCCTGACGACCTCGTACGTCTGGTCAAGTCGGTCGTTCAAATAAATAAAAAGCCGCGCGTGTTTTTCTCGAGAACGCGAAGAGACAAGATGGGGTCGACGAAGCCAGAGAAGGAGAAGAAGGAAAAGAAGGAAAAGAAGCGTAGCGAGGCCGACGGCGTGACGAAGTCCAAGAAAGACAAGAAGGACAAGAAAGATAAGAAGGAAAAGCTTAAGACCGTCGTCAATGCTGCTCTCGACGACCAATTAGAAGTTGATACCTCGGCGGCGTCTGTCACCGTCGTGAAGGAGGAGAAGGCCGTTAAGGTCCTGGTTCCCGTAGTGGGTGCTTTGGTACCCTTTGCGAAGCCATTGGCGGACGAGAAGGGCACCAAGAAGATTATGAAGACCGTGCGGAAGGGTATGTCCATCTAAGATCCTTGTCTTTTGCCGCAGCTGCAGCATACATATTTTTCCGTGTATTCTTTATCCGATCAACGAACAGCTAAGCGCTAACGTGATTTTAAAAATAGCTGCGAAGCACAAGACCCTTAAGCGTGGCGTGAAAGAAGTCGTCAAGTCGCTGCGCAAGTCGCCCGCCAGCGGACCGGGCAACACCTCATTCCCAGGCGTCGTTATCCTGGCCGGCGACATCAGCCCGATGGATGTTATCAGCCATATCCCCGTGCTATGCGAGGACGTCAACGTGCCCTATATCTTCGTCACGTCGCGTGCCGAGCTAGGCGCCGCCGGCAGCACCAAGCGACCCACCAGTGTTGTGATGGTCACCGAGAAGCGGACCGGAGGGAAGAAGGATAAGGCCGACGAGAAGATAGCCGAGGAGGACGGCGAGGACTTCGCCGAGGCATACAAGGACCTAGTCAAGTTGGTCGAGAAGGAGAGCAAGCAACTCAAGTTCGCGTAGGCTTTACTTTACTGCGGTCGTTATCCCTGCCTCGGGGGGGTATTTGTATGAGAGATCAACATTCGACGTGGCCATTTATTAGCCAGCCTAGGAATATCGGCTTTGGTCGCGGGCGTTCGTCGCTGTCCTTTCAAGCATCCAAGGTCTTCGGATCAAAATGTATGTACTGTTTTGGTTGGCTAGGTACACAGGCGTAGCCTCTGGCGTTGGGGAAAACACTTCATATTTGCGTTGGCGGATCAATTAATATTGGTTCAAAATGAAAACTGGCTCTTGTCGAGTCGTGATCAAAATGTTGACAATTATTTGGCTACGTGTTTCTCGGGTCTACAGTTCCCCAGGTGAGGCTGATAGGGCGATACAAGATGATTCTTCGTGAACGTTTATTGATTTATTTATTATACAACTAGTAATAGCTCGAGGACTCCATACGACTTCCTAGCATTATATCAACCCGTAAGGAAACTAATAAGCACAGGCCCTTCAACCTCTCCTACTCTCCTAATTTAGTCGAAAGGGTTGGTTCGGGTTCCCCACCAGGTGAGGAATAGAGACAAGCCAACAGTCTCGAAGATCTTTGCTGTGGCACCGACCGCGACAGTGTCAAGAGGTCGCTTCTCAGTGAAGAGCTGTGTAAGGTACTTTTATGATGTTAGTTCGAGATCTCTGGCATTTGAGCAGTAAGATAGACGTACTGTAGGGGCGGATGAAGCCGCGAAGATAAGGGCACCTAGGTAAGCGGCGCCCTTGTAGCTAAGAGTACCGGTTGCGTTGATGAGGGCACCCACACCGTATGATTGCAGGGCAGAGCCGACCAGAGAGGTTCCTATAGCGGCAGCAGTCGACGCGGCTTCTTTCGATCGGATGAACTCTTCCTTAGTGTTGGCGGCCTTGGCTCGCTGGTAGGTCTGGCCGAATAGCGGGGATAGAACTGCTAGTTCAATACCGTGGTTGAAGACGGTGCCGAGGGCGATGGCCGAAGGCTTAACAGGAGGAAGATCTGAAAATTGGTGTTGTTTGTCAGCCTTTGGAAGCCCATAACTAATAGCTAGTCGATGGCCACGTCTTAGAGATCTGAAGACTCTTGAGACGCCTACGAGACCAATAACTGTATTCTCTCAGAAAGCAATGGGATGAGGTGCTCGTTACTTACAGTGAAGAGACATGATGAGTGTGTTCAGATATTACAGTTTGATAATTAGATGTAACTAGGCGTATAATGACGTTTAACTAATTAATTCGAATTATCGTCTGTACTGTAGATGGTAAATATGGCTGGTGAAATTCTTAATGATTTTGCGAGTAAAGAAGAAGGAGAGTGTTGAGAAAAAGGTCTTCTTATAACGTCAAGCTAACGGCACCGATGACGAAAACAACATTTTCATCAGATGGCGTAACTAGGAACTTGGTATAATCCGAGGCTCTAACCTAGTGTAGTTGTATGTACATTACGTTACTTACATAGGCTACATGGATCCCGGTTTCGTAACGGCAAAAGTAAAATCTAAAGCCTCTCTCCTCCAAGTATTCTGGTATTGTAGCCTCTCAAGCACCGAAGTCTCGGTTTGGCGTTCAACATGACGTAATAGACATTTGTAGATGTCGTTAGATGCCACCAGGTTATTGATTGGATCGCGGGGCTTAAATGGATCATGAGTCGTGGACCTAAAAACAAACGGCTCATCTAAGCTCATTAATTTGTGGCTGGAGCTTTTCTATAATGTTACGAGCTTTTACCTAGTCTAATAGTTACCAAAAACGACTCGTTTTTTATTCCCTTTTTGAATTGGCGTTGTTGTCCCTAGGTAGTTATTCTCAGGATAACTACTATTTCCACAATTAAGAGTCTACCTAATCTCTTATCTCCAATGGTACCTAATCGAGATAGTGTATATAAATACATATGTATTATGCATGTAATGATTAAAGCAAACTGGCAAATCGAATTGAGTTTCCAAATTCGCGGGTAGATACGGTTGTTATCAACCAGGTGCTAAATACACACAACTTAATTGGAGGTTGCAATTATCTAAGTTACATTCCGGACCCATGAGGTTACATTCCATGACCATGGATAACAGCTAGACCGGAGTACCTAGGTACTATCTCCCTGGTGGGACACAACAAGACCCGCTTTCTCGGCTGTGGCTTGAATGTTACCGGAAGCAAATAGATGGAATCTCTTTGTCAGCCTTAACCGTCATAGCTTCGGAAGCTCACGAAATGATGACGATGTGACTTGAACGAATACCCCATTTTGCAAACTGGGTAAGTCCCATCTAGGCATAACTAGGCACATACATACATACCTAAGGTACCTATATAACTTTCACATATTCATCATTCCCCGCTACGCTGGGTTGTTGTAACCGTATTGGATTAGGATACGTCCCCAAATGTTCTCATGTTGCCTTGCTACAGAACCAGCCTCTTCCGCAGTCTTCCGCAGTCTCCCGCTCCCTTAGAAAAAATGTACACTTATTATATTAACGCCATAACGTAACGTAGACCTGTACAACGAAGCACGTAATGGTGGAAAGTTCCTTGGAATGCTAGCTCGGTATATCGAGTCTCTCTCCGCCCAATACCAATTAACACCCGCTATGTTCTTTTGTCTTCAAAAGGGTTTCCTTATTTCATTGTCTTCACGTCATCATATGCTGTCCGTCTTCTCCGCCCCGTAATGCAAGTAATGCTCTAACATCAGAAACGTACTGCAATCCCTCTAGAAGAGGCACCAAATGCAACAAATCATTATCCGTAGGGTCATTGATCCAACCTTGAATGGGAATCGCATTATCTGCAAATGTAAATTCTCTAGTTAGCAGACTAATAGCAGACAAACTTATTTTGATATGAATGTTCAGGGGATATCCTACCTTGGTGGAACATGTAGCTTAAGGGACTATTGTCTAGTATGATGACCTTGCTCAGGTCTGGTTCTATCGAGCTCAGATCCTTGATAAATGCGCCGTGCCTGAATGTGCAATGCTGCCGGTAGTATCTCCCCGAAAAGAATTTCCTCTCCGATTCCAACCAATCGATGACCGGGTCTGCGTATTCCTGTACCGATGCTGTGAAGACAACGAGATTGAACCATTTACAAACCTTCGCAGACCACGGTTAGTATGATATTCTAGTGTTATCGATAGATTAATCTTCTCACCTTTCGAAGAAACTCGTCGCAGTGCGGCCGCTTATGAACATAGTACAGGATAGGATGCTGAGGTCCAAGAGCCTGTTGGCCTCCACTTCCAACGTACGTCGTATTCAGCCGCACTTCGACCATGTGTCCCGAACCCATTCTACCTCCCTTCGACATGCTGTGTATCAACGTCTCGTCCAGATCCAAGATCAACGTTTTCAGTTGCTTCGGATCGAGGGGCTCGTAGGGTACGTATGAAGGTTGCCGACGGGGTATTAACGGCCTTGGGGGGGCAGGAGTCTTAGGATACCTCGTCAAAGCCGCGATAGGCGAAGTAGGAGACTTCAGCTGAGCTGATAAATCTGCTGAAGCATCGCCGCTGCTAGTGCTACCACTAGCACTTGTAGACTGGGCCTTCCTATGTTTTCGCTGCCGCATAGCCTCATCGTTATTCAACTTAATCCTTATCGATCTCCTTGTTGGCGAGCCTTCTTCGGCGGGACCAAGAGACTTAGACCGAGCATGGCGACCGGAAGAACCGGAGCCGCGGCGGACACCTGGATTCCTGCTAACCATATCCGATTCCGATTCCGACGATAGACCCGACGATGAAGTTCCCGACGAGGGTGACGGTCGGGAGGCTGCAAATGCATGCTTTCCTCGAGAGCCTTGGTTGGGACGCTTAGAGGAGACTTGCTTCTCTTCATTAAGCGCGACGCTCTCATGATAGTCAGCTACTAGTTTGCGCGCATCGCCCCCGTAGATACCGAAAAGATTCCCAAATTGTCGCAAAGGGGCGAAATTCCCCCGTTCATCATAAAAGCAAGCGACGAGATAAACTCCAGGTGCGGCGATGGTAGACAGAACCCAACGGATGGAATTTATCAGATTGTTTGCTATGCGCCCGGGGATAACATGCCACGAGTAATAACGGATATTCGCCTCCTTGACATCGCTTTTATCTAATAAAGGGGTCTTCTCGTCTGCGCTGGGAAAATTGCCTAGGTGATTTTCCCTGCTGAATGTGCTATCGTTCGATTCGGAAGTGGTTGCGCATTTCTCGTTGGGCGACGCTTCCTCTGGAGGCGTTGGGTTGTCATCAGACTGAGCGACGGTTAAGCTGATGTGGCTCAGGGAGTTTGATCGCGAAGGGGCGGGACTCGAGGTCGGGGAGACGCGCGCGGATATTATATTGAGGGAGTTCATCTTCCGGTTGACCTGCAAGCCATGAAGAACCGATTATGCCCGCTAAATAACAAGCAAGATAAGATTTCGCTGATTATTATGACGGTTAAATATTAGGTGGAGGCGACGGCGGGAAGGTGGGAAAAAAGGGACAATATAATTCAAGGTCGGTTGGTCGGCCGGGCTGAATTGCCCGAGTCGCGTTTGCTCCCGTGCTGGGGCTGGGCTGGTGGACGAATTGTCTGTATGGTTTGTATGCTCTGAAAATCTGTGGATGTATTGTACAAAAAAAAACCCCCCAAGGATTCGGATGAGAGCGATTGGGGATTTTTTCTCTCTTTTCTCTTTTCTCTTTTTCAAACCTCGGTTGGAATATGGTGGCTGAGAAAAGCTACGCGCAACAGTGATGGTGGAATCTACCTGCGTTTTCCAAATATTTCATTCCTGCTAGGTAATAGAATAAGGTAATGGTATGTATTATCAAGCTTTGTCGCTGTGGTAGGTCAGATTTAAGAAACACGCAAGTCGCAAAATGTTGCTAATGTTACGAAGCGTCGTCTTTGTTCAGCCAAGAGAGCTCCGGAAGCCTCACTCTAAAATATTAGGGGAGGTAAAGTAGGGCAGTATTAGGGAGTTTATTGCGATAGCGTTTCTTTGAACAATACGGAATACAGCTGCGCCGGGGACCCAACAGAATAGAACTAGCCTCTATGTAGGTATTGGAGCCAAGACCACTGCACCCACAGGACCACCACCGTACCGCTGGAAATTAGTGACATTGTCCCGCTAACACATTTCTAGGTATTCCGTACATCCTCTTAGAATTATAAGTATCTAAGTACCTTTTAAGGAGCAAATTAGCTATCACGTGTTAAATGCCCGTGCCCATAATGCAACGAACCCCGCCATGCGACGAGATACCCTAGTAAATGTCCTGCACGTACATACGGGAGGTACATCGTTAGGTTAAATTGTACGTAGATCTGGTCCATCTATGTACCTCCTAACGTACCTTTTTTTTCTTATGATCGTCGTTGACTCACAATTCTCGCAAAAGACTCCATATCGATAATTCAGCAAACATTTACAATTATCTCCTATCTCCTATTACAGAGACAATAGGTACGAACGAGTTATCGTGTCTTCAACTAACTACTTGATTTACCTATCGAAGCCTTTGGATTCTAGAATTTTATCCCCTTCCCTCCCCCAGCAAGATTTATACGTTGCTGATTGCGTTCTATTTGCGCCGACCAATACTATCCTCAAGATCGCCGCACTAGTTTATTGAAGCTTCGCATACAGCCAGACACCCCTCCTGAGCAACTCTTAGACTACGAGAAATGGCACCTCCTAAGGGGGGTTATGCGCCCGACTTGGACAAGTTTCTCGACACGTTAAAGAGTCGACCGGTAGACGCTTCTGTGGAATTTTTGATATCGTAAGAACGAAATTTTATGCCGTGCCGTCTAAGGTTGGGACTGATATATGCGGCATAGCCTCTTGAAACGGCGGCAGATACGAGGCTCCGAATCTTGCGCGATAGCTACAGCACATATACTACTTCAGGTCGTCGCTAAGGATAAATGGTCTGACGTTGATCAACTCATTGGGCGCATACAGTTGGTCGGTAGGAAACTTGTGACAGCGCAACCTCACGAGCTGGTTATTGGCAACGTTGTGAAGCGAGTCCTGGGATTAATACGAGATGAAGCCTCGGAGGATCGAAACGACGCGGGTAGCGACTCGCTTACTGACAGAACTCCTTCTTTACCTCCCGCAATAGAGCCTATCCCCATCTCAAAGTCAACTCGACTTCCCTCACTAGTCGCCCTTGGGTCCTTTGCCCGCACGCAGTCAATGTTCAACCTTCTCTCAGATCCAGACTTTGTCCCCTCACCGGGTTCTACGCCCAAGCTGGGCTCGGGAGCTTCGACGCCACAGGGATTCTCACAATCTACAAACATACAAGCACTTAGGTCTGAAGTGATTGACGGCATCGAAGAAATTATGGATGAGATAAGGCAGGTGGACGAACAGGTCCAAGCCTACGCCGAGATCGTCATCCACCCAGGAGATTACGTTTTAGTTCACCAGCCCTCGAGAACAGTTCAGAAATTCCTGCTACGAGCCGCATCGAAAAGGAAGTTTACGGTATTTCTCGTTGTCGATCCATCCGCGGCCTCTACCGACGATGACCCGTATACCTCCCTACGAAAGTCTCTGTCGTCCTCGGGATCGACTGTAGTTAATATCATGAACATCGGCCTCATGGCTTACATGTCAAAAGTCAATAAAGTCATTCTCGGAGCTCGAGCGATTACAAAGAAGGGCGGAGTTATTGTCGACTCCGGTGCTGCAGTCATCGCTCGCGCTGCTCGAGAGCAAGGTCGGACAGTCATTGTCCTAGGTGGCGTCTATAAGCTTAGTCCTGATAGTCGTTTCCACCACGAAGGGCTTGTTGAATGGGGTGACCCTTCTAAGTATGTTAACTTCGCAGACGGTGAAATGGTTGGACAGGTGAGAGTTAGGAATGTTATCGCTGAGTTTATTCCTACCGACCTTGTCAATACGTATATTACGAACTTGTAAGCGATTTCTTCAAAGTATGCGTTGTTACAAGTCGGCCAATTATTAACTCTTCATCATAGGGGCGCGCACTCTAAAGACCACTTGCATGGTCTTATAGCCGATCATTATAAGGAGGAGGACATCAACTTTGACCTCTTTGGAAGAATCCAGAGATGATTTACCTAGATGGTACGCCGTCATGTCTAATTGCGACACTCTATGATAGTCATATAGGCAATGTGAAGGTGGACGTTTCTAGCAGGAAATATTTCCCCCGAGTAAGACCGGCATCTGTCTCTAGGATGCCTGGATGCAAAGCTCATTCGAATACCCCGGTAATTTGACTCATATCTGAGGCAGCCTTGTGTAGGCAAACGTGTGTAATCGTGGCAGTCGTGGTGGCCGCGTCACCTTTAGCACAATAGCAGGCAGCTTCGGATGCAAGTGCAGGGATATTTGGCGAGCAAACGCTGACGGAACTGCGGAACAATTCAATAGAACGTGGGGGTGGGTTGATTGACGAAAAGCTTGACCCTCCTCCACTCGGGGATCGAGCGAATCTCGAATCTTGTTCAGGGATTCCGAATTCGTCCCCAGGGCTGAACAGCTCAGCCGCCAATTAAAACACCTTCCATAGAGGCGCGGACCAGACCTACATACCTATGTAATTGTCTCTCCTAGAGGGATTTGAATACCAAGGTCGGTCTCGTAGATAAATAAAAAAGTATCCTCGAGACCATCGGATGTCTCTGGTTACGTTTGCTTTTAAAAGTTAACTATACGCACGTTACACTTGTATAATATTAATACAGTATACTTACCTACTTACATAACTAACCTATACTTCATCCGAGTGGTTACCTGCACGTAACACCGTTGAACCTTGATACCCAGATATCTTTCATAAGTACCTAACCTTAGGTACATAAGTTCTACATAAGCTCCCGTCAAACCTGCTTCAGTAGAGGTAGCTACATCCTTCCTCTTCTCAACAACAAGAAGAACAACATATTTCTCTATCAACAAATTCGCGATGGACGACATCCCGCCACCTCCGTATACCGAAACTGATATTCATTCACATTCAAGTCATTCACCTGTCGCTCAACCCGGGGTGAACGATGACAATGTCTCTGTTACTACATCATCCCATAGCACTACAGTCTACACCCCACCGGAGACCCCACGAGAGTCGCACTTCAACTTCTTCAACTTCCCTAGTAGTGACGATCATCATACCATAGCTTCTGCTCATTCTTACTTTGAGTCGCGCCCTGCTCTTAGAACTGCGACCGGCAAAGTCTTGGTGATTTCATTAGCTATCACAGAGGACGCTTCCCCAGATAATTTCCCATACCCGGACTGGGCAAGAGAACATGATACTACCGAGCAAGACTGGCAGACATTCCTTAATTTTCTCTTGCCGGACCATGCCTCGCGGACGAACTCGAATGTCATCGAGCGTAAATTACACGCTGAAGATGAGAAGCAATCGTCAAATACTGGCAGAAGCGTTGCCGAGGCGCAACTAGGCCAAATCAAATCATCTACTAATCTGGCAACGCAATCTTCGCATGACGTTGATGCTGTCATTCGAGAGTGGAATGATGGCTTCTTTGGTCCTAGAGGCGTGACTATTGAACGAGCTACGCCTCAACCATCTAGCACATCGCGAATACCCGCTACCCAACAAATCCCCCCTGTTGAACCCCAGCCTCAGCCTCAACCTCAACCTCAACCCCAATCCCAACCTCAGGGACAGTCTTCCAGATCGTGGTGGAACCCGTTCAGACCCCTCGAGGCAAACGGTCGAGGCCTCCGCATGGGGCGTCTCACTATCGACAATGATCACGTCTCGTTCGGCAACTCGTTCGAAGTAGATCGCAACGGCGTACGCTGGGGCGGTCAACCTGCCGATGGCAGCTCTCCCTTTGCTGACCCAGGAACGCGTGACTTTCCTACCGGGCCTGGTCCCTTTGGCGAATACAGTATAGGGCGTGGCCGTGGCCGTGGCCGAGGGCACTGGCCGCGTGACCGCCCTGGCCATGGTCATCGAGGATCGCGCGACCGCTCATCCAGCTCGAGCTCTAGCGGCTCTTCTTCGTCAGACTCGGATTCGGGCTCCAGCATCGGTAGCCTCCCGGACTGCGACGACTTGAATGACTCTCAGCTTCCTTACGCTAAGCAGTCGATCTGCGCATGGCTCGATCACCCGGAGCAGCCCGTAACGAGGGAGATGCTCAAGGCTCTACGGTCTGAAATCAAGGCCGCGAAGAACGTTCCTCCGCCAACCAACGACCCGGCGTGGGAGACTAACAGGCAGGTGATGCGCCGAGAGGTGCGAGCGTTGTTAGCGCGATTTAAAACCTTGAAGCGGGAGCAGAAGCGATACGCGAGGGCGCTGCGTAAGGAGAAGAGGGAGCAGAAGAGAGCGCATAAGCGCGAGCGTCGGGAGCGTCGAAAGGCCGAGAAGCGGGAGCGAAAGAGCCTACAGCGTGACGTCAGAAGCTCTGAGCGTGGGATAGAAGGACATTCTGGACGCGGTCCTGGTGCTGCCAGCTCTTCCTGCCCTTTCCCACCGGTATTCGGTGATACGCATATTCCTGCTATGCCTAGCGCACCTGGCCACGTCCCCGTTAATCACCCAACCAACGTACCAAGCTTCCCCTTCGGTGGCCGCGGTTTCCCCTTCGGTCGCGGCGGAAGAGGGCGAGGCGGACCCTTCGGTGGCCACCATCCGCGCCCCTGGGAAGCGCACGTCCAACATGCAAAGCAGCAGGCCGAGCAAGCAAGAAATCACGCGCAACAGCAAGCAGACCAAGCGAGAGCCATTGCGCAACAGCAGGCAGAACAAGCCAGAGCTCAGGCACAAGCACAGGCAAACATGGCGCGGGCTGAAGCACAGAGAACAGCGAATGCAGCCCGCGCCCAAGCTGCAGCCACGGCGGCTGCCGCTATCTGGGCCTCTGTTCCAAGGGGGTATTCGCCCTGGGGTTCAGCGCCAGCGCCGCCGCCGCCGCCTCCCCCGCCAGTACCAACATCGACAAACGATAGGCTTCGGGCAGCGGAGGCCCTAGACACGCAAATCACAGGCAAGACGTACTTGCTAAGGGTGCTACGCGAGACGATAGAGCTGGAGCGGACGGAGGCGGCGCTGCGTGAGGGTGAAGAACGAAGCGAGGACAAGAAGAGTACGAGCAAAGAGGTAGAGGCTTCGGTCCTGGAAGATGAGATTGAGAGGCTACGACGGGATGTTGAGAGGTTGCGGTTTGAAGGCTTACAGTTACAAGCTGACGAGGAGCTTGCGAGGAGGTTGCAGGAGGAAGAGCATCAGCGCGGGTAGATGAGACGAGAACCGCGGCGTTGAAGAGACTAGAGGGAATGTTTAGGGGCTAAACTTTTCAACGGATATTTCAATTTGCTCTAGGTATAAATAGGCAGGGTTGAAGGTATATCGGACAGGGGGGACACGAAACCGAGCCATTCATGAAAGGCGTCGGGAGTTTACTGGCTATGGCGGTTATGGCATGATTTCCCCGAGGCTCGAGATTTCGGTTAAATAACGACGCTTATGTAGAACAATTTTCAAGAGACGATGATTTCACCCAAGTAAACAGATATAAATCCCATAGAACGCTGTCTTTTTTTCCGCTTCAACACCCGTGCCTTATACGCAAAAAAACATGAAGTGTCTCTGGGATATGTGCCTACACATGACATGATTCTTAAAGGGAACCTATAACTGGCCCCTTTTTTTCCGAACCAGGAGCAAATGCTATTCAACTGAAGCCATGCCATGCCGTGCCGTAAGAAAACCAGTCCCCAAAAGAGCCTCTGCGACTCCCTTGAAGAACCGAGTAGTCCTTCTATTTTCCGCGACGTACCTAGCCTAGGTACTTAAGCTTGCGCTTCATCTTGACACACACATACAACCTCTCTATCTATCTAAGAATGTTTACTCTCATCCTTCTCCACCAACGCCTGGACGCCCAGCGCGCGCCCAACTTTAACCTTGCGCTTCGTCTCCTTGGGCCGAGCGGGCAGGGCCTTCTTGTTGTCGTCGGCCTTGCCGGCGTCGCCGACGGGGTCGCCCTCGTCGAGGGCTTCGTTGGCGTTATCGTTGTCGTCGTCGTCGTCGTCGTCGTCGAGCTGGGCGTCGCGGATCTGCTCGCGGATGGAGGACAGGTCGAGACGCATGCAGTGGGCGTCTTCGCCGTCGGCGTAGTACTTGGGCTCGGTCTTCTCCTGGTCGAAGCCGAGGGTCTTGGTGTAGAGGTGGATGGCGGCCTTGTTGGAGACGCGCACGTGCAGGCTTACGTATTGCGCGCCGAAGGTTTCGACCATGGCTAGTTCTGTTCGTTGTATGTGTTAGATAGAGCGCGCGCACACACAGCTGACCAAGTATCTATTTATTGCGTGGGATGGGAGGTAATAGAAATAAAATAAAATAAATGCTCACGGCTCTGTCTCATGAGCTTCTCGGCGATGCCCAGGCGGCGGTGGGTGCGCATGACGGACAGCGAGGTGATGTGGCCGTGCTGGACGCCGTCGGAGGGCTCCTCTTCCATCTTAGCGAGGACGTAGCCTACGATCTTGGGGTAGTCGTAAGGGGTCTTCTTGGGCCGCGACACGTCGACGGCGACGTAGCTGAGCTGAGGCCACGATAGGGCGTGGTATAGGTAGTATTTCATGAAGTAATTCTCGGGTAGGTTTTCCAAGTTCGCATGTTGGATTAGCGGGATGTCCCGCGCCTCGAGGCGCCTGATATCCATGGTCTGTCTGTCTGTTTGTTGTCCGCCCGTTTACTTCTTGTTGGAGTAATTGGTTGTTGTGTTGCGCCCTTTGCTCTTGTTATACAGAAGATGCTCTGGTAACTCGACGGGCTTGTCGTCTAGTGTAGTTAGTGTGTAAGGTGAAGATGAAGATAAAGATAAAGGTAAAGGTAAAGTAAGCTATACTTAGTAACTAGCTTATGACTACCTAACTTTCGTACCTGAGCCAGGGCCCAGGGTTAATCAATGAATTAATTATCTTAGTCGCACAACCAAAGCTTTATTATTATCGATAGTGATAAAGTTTGGCGGGGTTACTTCCGTTTGTGCTAATATTCTTAATATTCTTAAGAATATCAGGTATTCTCTTTCTATTGAATAAGTTCTTTAAGTGCATACCCAAAGCTATATCCTGCCCCACGTCTCTGCCCCTCCATTCCGATTCGGCCATTTCTACTTTGAAGTAAACTTATAACTATCAGATCTATCAGATACTCGGAGCTAGGATATATCAGCGGCAACACTGGAATATATAAAAACAAATATGCCTTCAGACGACCTGTTTGATGATATTCTGAACTTAGAAGAGCAGTATTACAAGGAAGGCTACGATGAGGGTTACAAGGATGGTGCTGAAGCCGGCCGGATCGAAGGCCGCTCTGTTGGTATGAAGACGGGGTTTGAGAAATTCTTAGAAGCCGGCCGGTTACAAGGAAAAGCTATAGTCTGGCAAAGCCGGTTACCCAATCAACAAGAGCCATCTACACTCAATATCAATTCACAGCAGGAGGCGGCGCAGCCTGGGCCATCGTCTAGTTCTCAAGATGAGAAGGACCCCGAACAAAAAAGGTTACCGCCTCTCAACAGCAACCCGCGACTGGAAAAGAACATCACTATGCTGTATGGCATACTGGAGCCTGGGACGCTGTCGACTAAGAACGACGACGAGTCGGTCAATGACTTCGACAGCAGGTTGAAAGGCGCCCAGTCCAGAGTTAAGATGATCGAGCGAGCCATCGGTGAAGGAGCTGGTGATAAAGGCTCAGCCAGCAGGAATCGCCAGCCAGCCCAGAAGAACGAGAATATCGAGGATATCGGGAGGATACCGCAGAGGACAGAAGTTGTAATGGGCAATATATGAATACCCTTAAATCAGTGATTAAAGGGGGGTGGATTAGCTACTAGTATCTTCGTATAAGAAGCCTATAAATACCATGGCATCTAGAATTAGGCACACGCCAACGAAACAGTCAGGCCGGTAATATAAACTCGGATAAACTATTAATTTCAGTAGTACCGTCGCCGCTGAATAGTCTGTCCATCGTGAGGAAATCTGATATTAGGAGCTGGCTTTTCTCATATTTACAACTTGCTCCACCGTACACCTGGCATGTCTAAGTCTATTTGAAACTCCGGCAAGGGTATCTGCGCTGCACGTTAGCATCTCTCTCATCTCATACTATCCCACCACGATCCATAGAAATCCACAGTCGACGGGGAACTTACGATTCGGGGTACGAGTTCTCATCCAGCGCGTACTCATGCACCTTCCAGGTGCCATCGCTGTGCCTCCTCTCCCCGCTCGGAAGCGGCGGCAGCCCATTCACGAACAAAGTCTGCCTAGCCGCGTCCTTGCTCTTCTCGAAGTACGCCGCCAGACCGCCCGTCTTGCCCTCCTCCTGCACGGCAACGAGCTGCTTCTGGCCCTCCTCGCCGATGAGTTCTTGCTTGGGAGCGGCGGCGCTGCCGACGGCTAGCAGGGCCACGGCGTCGCCCTGCGTGACGAAGCTCAGCTTCGGGTACGCGCGACGCGTATCTCGCTTCCAGTACGGGTTGTCCGCGATGTCACCCGCCGGTATCGTCACCGGATCATCGTAGCTTAGCGGGTCCTGGGCACCGGGCGGCGGGTTTCGGTAGTACGGGTTAAGCGGGATGCCGTTCGAGCGGTTCGGGTCGACGGCAAAGGCACGCCGGATGCGCTCCCATATACCGGTGGACTGGAGGGTTTGTTTCTAGGGACATGGTCGTTAGTGAATGATAACTCTGGTGTTGCTAATTGCCGTCAATTCGACAGAGAAAGGGGGGGGCGTTACATACTTGGCTAATGCTCACTACGCCTCCTACAGCTTTCGCAACCGCATTGGAGGCCATTATGGCTATTTAGGAGGGGAGAGATCTACTCGGATGTTGTCGCTTGGTTGTTGAAGTGAGCTTATTTCGAGACGAGATGGTTCTGGTTAGGGATTTGCCGAGGAATCACCGGTTGGATTACCTTTACGTCAATTCTGCTTGGTCGGTAAACATGCATGTACCTAGGTACCTAAGAAGCAATGGCGCATATTAGACTTTGGAATTACAACGAAAGTGCTTGGTAGTAAGTTGCTTTCTATACTCACTATAATTGAATAATCGTCTTATGCTATTATATCCTTTACTACAGTTCTGTATGAGACCACATACATGTCGGCCTTGTGTACTTCACTTTATCGAGCACCTGGCGTATGATATGGAATACTTCCGTAGAAATCACAAGGCATGTATCTACAGCTTCATCTTAAAATATACCATCGACCACCTATGAAAGGTAATAAAAGAGAATTTGTATATTTGTAGCTCTCGCGCTCTAGTCTATTGGTAGTAGGTCTACAAGGTCTTGTCTATACGCGATAGAGTAACCTCCGCTGTCTATAATCCACGAAACCCATCTATTCGTCGGCGAACTCCTTGCGACCAGCCTTGGAGTTCAGGTAGTGGTTTCTGCAGGCGGTGTTAGTCTAATTCGAAAAGCTATTCGGTTGTACCGTTGGAGTCCAAGACAAAGCATACCGGTCGGTGGCCCACGACATAGCGTAGTAGAAGAAGATCATGGGGGGAGCGACGTAGAGGACCTGTGCGCTGAATCGTCGCCAGGTGTTGAAGATGGCAGCGTGCGCGGCGCCGGCGAACGGGTTCTGCATGTTTGCGCTTAGGGTGTAGCTGATGATACCCCTTTGCGGCATGCCACCTGTAATCCTCCTCGTCAGTACATCGTTCTAACGCCCATAATCTGCGAAGTATCCGAACGGTTCCAGATAACTAGCCCATTGCCCCAGTGGCATCATCCGTCCTTTTTATAGACGCATTCCAACTCTTTCTAACGTTTATGCTCATCCCAGCTCGAATTCGAATATAGTCCACTCACCGAAGTTACCCCAACCACCTAAGAACCTATAATAACAGAGTTAGCAAGTCTGCAAGAAATGAGGTTTGCAAGTATGGCGTGCGTAGGTAGCTAGCTCGTTGCGAAAGCTAGGATTCAGAGAGAAAAAAGACGCAGCCCAGTCTCGAAGAAAACTTACTTTCCATGCCTGCCGATGGGGCCTTCGCCACCAGCCATAAGAGCTTGAGTAGGTCGCATCGTGGATATCGGGTTCAATTGACACGCGGGTAGTTCAGTTGCGGAAGATAGAAGGTGAGGAATTGAGTTTCGGTTGAAATTCGCGACGTCGAAATCCAAGATGTTACCTTGAAGCCGGGTTCTATTTAGCAGTCACATTAGTTTAGGTAAGCTAATACGCATCGCCCCATGTGGCTTGACTTTCCAGGCAACCTTCGGTACCTAGGTAGCTCCCGTCCAATTAAGTAACCCGCATGAGATTAACTTAGGTAATCAGAGCCCCTCCAAAATATCTAGTTAGTGCACAGACCATCTTGTTCCCGTCCAATCCGCAATCCGCAATCCACAATCTGCCCGCTACATTCGTGACGATTTCTCAAGCTAGAAGAAAGCTCCCATCCAATATCATCCAGACTTTCGGAGAAGCTTAAGAAGCAGCGGATCACGAACGAAACGCGAAGCACCCCGAACCCGCAGCAATGGAATACGGTCTCAGGCAGATATACCGATTTGCGGTCCCCGCGGTTGGCGCCGCGGCTCTTCTCCAGGCCTCCATATACGACGTCCGCGGCGGCTCGAGGGCCGTCATCTTCGACAGGATACAGGGAGTCAAGGAGACCGTCGTCAACGAGGGCACCCACTTCCTAGTGCCGTGGCTCCAGCGCAGCATCATCTTCGACGTCCGCACCAAGCCCAGGAATATCGCTACCACGACCGGAAGCAAGGATCTGCAAATGGTCAGCTTAACGCTGAGGGTGCTGCATCGCCCTGATGTCAAGTCCCTACCCAAGATCTACCAAGTGCGTTCGTCCTTCTTCTTATTCTTTGCTTAAGCTCCTCTGAAAAGACGGAGACAAGCGCAAAAGAAATCTACAAGAGAAAGAAAAAAAACAGCCAGAGCTAACCCAACTCCCCCCTCCCCCAGAACCTCGGCACCGACTACGACGAGCGTGTGCTCCCCTCCATCGGCAACGAAGTCCTAAAGTCCATCGTCGCACAATTCGACGCCGCAGAACTAATCACGCAGCGTGAAGCCGTATCGCAGCGGATCCGGACGGACCTGATGAAGCGCGCCTCCGAATTCAACATCGCGCTCGAGGACGTGTCCATCACCCACATGACCTTCGGCAAGGAATTCACCAAGGCCGTCGAGCAGAAACAGATCGCCCAGCAGGACGCCGAGCGCGCCCGCTTCATCGTCGAGAAGGCCGAGCAGGAGCGCCAGGCCAACGTCATCCGCGCCGAAGGAGAAGCTGAGAGCGCCGAGACTATCTCCAGGGCTATCGCCAAGGCTGGCGACGGCCTCATCCAGATCCGTAAGATCGAGGCAAGCCGCGAGATCGCTCAGACCCTGGCTTCGAACCCCAATGTTTCCTATCTGCCGGGCGGCAGCAAGCAAGGGGGCAGCAACGGGCAATTCTTACTTTCGATGGGCAAGGCATAAGGCTGGCTAGGAGAAGATATCCAAAAAATAGGGTTATGTGTATATTAGCAATGAACTGCCCGATTCTCCACTTCGGGGTACGAATAATGTATTACAACTAGTAAAAGCACGGAGTTCGTTGTTGATGATTAAATATTTATTCATTCCTGCGTTCCTTATCGTATTCAGACGAATCTATCAACGTAATACGCCCCAAGCAAATGACACGATTCTATAGCCCGTCCAGGAAAGGCTAAACGAAACTACCAGCGCCGTGCGGTATAGTGAAGTAACCTTTAAAACCCTTACATGGAACAATGGGCAATTTCCTCCATCGGACGGATGCCTTACTTCTTTGCCCCTACTACTGTCCATGCTTCATCCGGCGGAACGATTTCTCCATCTTGTAGGGACCAACCCTTCATTCTAAAATCCTTCCACTCATCCCGCACCTTTAGTCTAACCAGCTCCCCTGCGGCTCTGGCATCCTCTGCGCTGTCGTGCCCCTCTGGTGTAGTCTCGTCCGCTTCCTTCTGGATCTTCCGGTTTAACAGTGTTTCCATCAACATCCTAAGACCGTTTCTATGTGGCAAGCCTCGCTTATGCGGAAATAGTAGGACTGAGTCAACGCAGGTATGGTGGATAATTCGGGAGGCGTTTAAGTCGTTCTCGAGACCATGCCCTATGAGAGGGGTCTCGGGAGAGATAAGTGAAAATAGGAGGTCCCGTGCCGCCTTGGGGGACGGAACGAGCTTAAGTTTTGGCTTGTGCTCAGAGGTAGTGGAATTTGGTTTATGATCGTCTCCTGGAGACCATCGTTCGGCAGAAACCATATCCTCGGGAGTCACGCCAGAGTAACGAGTATTCAGATCCAAAACTTCCCCGAACGGCTGAACAAGGATATCTAGCAACAGCTCGTAACTAGGCCAAGATACTGCTGTCAATCTGATGAGCTCAAGTCCATAAACGGTATAACCCATCTCGCAGTCGAAGCACACGGCTCTGTCCGCGGGGATATTCGGATTAGGGGGAGTCTCAGCAAAGTTGAGTAGACTCGCAAGCCGGTTGGGATCTGTTGTCTTGAAAACGTGAGTAAGTGCCGTAGTACATCCTCCCGAGTCATCATCAACATTTTGGTGGCAGCAACGATATTTCTTCTGGCTTTTCGCTAATTTACCAGGTCCTCGCTCCGTAAAATAAACCTTGCCCGGATGATATGTGCAAGAACCATTAGATGTCAAAGCTCCATCCTCTCCTCTACGACCAGGGAAGACCTGGAACCGTCGCGTACATCTGTCGCATACCTCCACGTTACCGGAAGCTTCGACGCTTTCTTTGGCTTTTTCGATGTCCTCAACTGACGGGATCGAAGCCACATAGCCATACTTCTCGAGGCCATCGAGAGGCCAGACCAGCCTATGCAAGAAATCAACCTCCTGAGCCGGGGTTAAACCGGTAACGACGGGTTCGGGCGCAGCTGGTGAATTCCCTTCGTTCTGTGCGTTATTATCTTTAGTAGCCAGCATCCTTTCCTCTTTCCATTGGGCAACGGTCATGCGCTTATACGCCATGATTTTGTTTCTGATGGCGTTAGCATATATCTGGAATCGCTTGATTGCTATCTCTTGCTCGTCATCGAGCGTCTTCACGATTAGTTCCTGGTCGGAAAGAACCAGCTTCGATACTGCTTTATCGGTATCCTTCCTCAACCCGGTGTTCAAGCGGACGTATTGTTCATGTAGAGCCTTGACGAGTTTCAATCGGGTGTCGTGCTTAGCTGGCGATGACTTGAGGAGGCGGGGATTTAGTGCTTCTGGTTTCTTAGGGGTTGGTTTGGGTACTGGTTTAGATGATTGCCCAGTAGAGGAAGGTGTTAGGGTATTGCGTGTGTGTGTAGAGTTTGATGAACTCTTTAATCCTTGAGCTTTAGAAGAATGGTTACCAACCAGGCCCTCATTTTGTCTACTATCGAGCTGGCTGGTTTCTCCAGTTGAGATACGGTGCTTTCGGTCTGTAGTGAGTGAAGGCTTGGGCATTTTACTAACTGCCGGTTCGTTTTGAGGAGACATAGCCCTTTGGGGTTTTTTAATCTGAGACTGTGCTGACGCAGGTTTCCCGGATGCTGTAGGTGACCGCTCTTTTGGTTCTAGATGTGACGATGTTGAGTCCAGTTTAATCCTTTTTCTCGGCAAGGCTTGATCCAAAGATGGTGTAGCGGTTGCATGGACGAGCTGCTGCTCCGAGCTTTTAGCAGTCGGAGCTATATTGGCATCTTTATTATGCTTGAAAAGGCACTGAAAAGCATCACAGTTATCCCCCGCCGGGCAAGGCAAGTTCTTAAGCGCCGCCAGGGAGCCAGCCATTATGAAAACACGCCAGGATTCTACACGACGTAGCGGCGGACGAACAGATCAAAGGGCGAAGCGGCGAGAGGATAAGATAGGACGATAAAGTCGATGAGTCAAGGATGAAAGCAAAAGTGGTGATTTCCGATATGGTTGAGACGGGGAATCCTAACAGATGAGTTGTCACTTGCAGCTGTTCTACCCGAGTCTCTCCCTCAATAATCGATACGTTAAACGCGAGAAACTCAAGAGAACAAGGCCCGATACGCGTGTATCACGTTAGGAAATGAATCTCTCCGTTGTTATCAATGTGATATTTAGGATGGCCGGTCCTAAATCCTTTAGTTCTACGTATCTAGAAGGCAGAATGATATGATGTAGTTTGGATTCTCATCAAAATTGGAATCGGAACTTGAACATTCAAGTCAGTGTTGAATGTTGAATAGTGGAATACAAAGTAGAACGTTGTTGCCTTTGAGGAAAACTGGGGCATCTTATGTAAGGTTGTAAGGCCGATTGGTGCATGCATGTGCCAATCAAACCTTATTTGCTGTGAAGTAACTACGAAGTACAAACATATCCCTATGAGCTTTATCGTCTCGAAGATCCGTATGCAAGGTATCGTACCTTATCAGTACTAACGAAGCCCTTACGTCAGCCTTGGATGCCTGGTCATCCTACACGTACATACACTGATACAGCAATATGTTCCAGCACTAAAGCTCTGTGTGGTTATACTATCTTATGTACTTCGTACATACATATCTCCTATATCGTCCGGATGAGACGGGGTTAGCAGTCGGAATACAAGGACAAGGACCACCGATAGCTACCTTTTTAGGACACAAGGGCAATCTCATCTGGCCGAAGGCGTTCCTTGGTTTGATTACTTGTTGCTTTACGATTAGATCCTTAAAATTTAGAACTTTGTCCACTGTTGCTTCACAATAACGAATGTTCGCGCAATATAGATACATTTATTATGGAATATACCGGTGGTAGTTTGGAGGCAGATCACCTCTGCGTGCTTGTTCATGGGGTATGTTGGTATCATCGAATCCCTGCCACCACCACCACCCCCCTTTACGTACTATGTACGTAGTACAATACAATATAAATACAATAGTGTAAGTGCATTGTATATATGCACGTCATTACTGACAATTTTACCAACCCTTTAGCTCTGGGGCAACCCGAACCATATGAGATCGGTCGCGAAAGCGCTGAGAGACGCCTATCCCGAAGAAAAACTCTACATCCTAGTCGCCGAACGAAATGCCGGCAGCTTTACATACGATGGCATCGAACTCGGAGGCGAGCGCGTATGCCTCGAGATCGAAGAAGAGCTAGAAAAGATTAAAAGTAAAGGCGGCAAGATAACAAAGTTCAGCATTGTTGGATATTCTTTAGGAGGCCTTGTTGCCCGCTATGCCGTTGGGTTACTCGAGATGAGAGGCGTGTTTCGTGAGGTAGAACCAGTGGTACGCACGATCCGTCCAGTCTGGTTAGAATCTCGTTTTTTACTTACCAGTAACATCTAGAACTTCGTAACATTCGCTTCGCCGCATCTTGGTGTTCGATCTCCTCTAAAGGGGTGGCTTAACAACGTTTGGAACGTCCTAGGCGCACGTATGTTGTGTATGTCTGGAAGACAATTGTTCATAATTGACAACTTCCGCGATACCGGCCGACCGTTGCTCGAGGTGCTTGCCGATCCCGAATCGATCTTCATATCAGGATTAAAGAGATTTAAGCGTCGAACGCTTTATGCGAATGTAGTTAACGACAGGAGCGCAGTATATTATACCACATGCATAGCTAAGACGGACCCATATACAGACCTGAGTAAAGTCAAGGCCAATTTTGTTGAGGGATACGAAGACATTATATTAGACCCTCTAAATCCAGTAGCGCCTCTGGTTTCCAAGAGCGCCGGTAAAGCCATGGCTGACATCACTACGGGTAGCCCTTGGAATCTACGGACTGCGTTGTTTATATCCGCGCTAGTTGTTTTTCTCCCAGTTGGCATTGTCGCGTTTATAGTCAACTCGATCGTGCAAACGTTCCGTAGCTCGAAGCGCATCCGATTACATGAATCGGGGCTCGCAGGTATTCAGGTCAAGGACTACCGAAGTCCAATTTGGATCAAAGATATCCGCGGTACTGTGGAAGATGTCTATGAAAGTCTTAATAACTTGCAAGGGGAGTCGTACCTACGAGCATCGGACGACGAGCGCGACGACGGTCAACTGGACAAGGCTGAGACACAAATCATAGCCTTGGAACGGAAGAAATCACATCCGCAGTTCCCAACTCTAGCTCTAGCACCCTCTCAGTTTCTGATGATTGATGAACTAGACAAGGTTGGCTGGCGGAAATATCCTGTCTGGATTCATCAAGACCGACATAGTCACGCTGCTATTATCGTCCGATCCGACACACCTCGATTTAAGGAAGGTCTTGTTGTACTTCGACACTGGCTTAGCGGGGAGTTCCTGATCTAATCCGTAGCTCATGGTTTCTTCGGGTACCTAGAGTCTAGACTACTAGATTATACCGATATAAGGCGTTGGATGGAGAATAGAGAATAGAGTTATGAGTGTATATTGTGTTGGAATGTGCTTTTGAAGAGATATACATGAAGCGTTTGTCAAATAAAGTTACTTTGATTTCTTAAATTATGTAGATTATGTAGAATTCTCAACTTAGCCTTTCAGCTAATGAAGCCTTGATTGTCATTTCGGTGTGTTCCCAATACCTCCGTTAGAGTGTGCCGAGACACAGATCACTAAATACCTAACTAGGTTTTTAGAGACTGGCCCTCGAGGTATACATCATAGAGGGTTTATACGCCTTGAATCTAGAATTCTTCCCATCGCGTTACTTTAAGTCGTAGGTGTGATAATATTGCGACTACCGGCCGAACGGGACACAAAATATGCTAATCTTCCCCTTACTCAGATCTTAGTGTATCTCAGATACGGTTTGACCTCCCTCACATTACCAAACTTCTTCTTGGCATCCTCGGTGCTCACGCTGGGTGGTACGATGACGTCGTCCTCCAGATGCCAGTCAACAGGTGTTGTAACACCCTTCTTGTCGCCAGTCTGGAGCGAGTCAATGACGCGCAGGACTTCAGCGGTGTTACGACCCGTGCTAGCGGGGTACATCATAGTAAGTCTAATTTTCTTCTGAGGATCAATGACAAACACGGAGCGAATCGTGAAGGCAATGCCCTTCTCATCGATATTGCTTAGGTCCTGAGCATCTACCATATCGTACAAGAATGCGACGCGGCGGTCGGCATCGGCGATAATAGGAAACTGAAGGTTTGTGGAGGACACCTCATTAATGTCGGCGATCCAGCGCTCGTGCGATGACAAGTCGTTGGCGCTCAAACCGATCATTTTAACACCGCGACGTTCAAACTCGGGGGCGAGCCGGGCGAACGCGCCGAGCTCAGTCGTACATACTGGTGTGAAATCGGCTGGATGTGAAAATAGGATGGCCCAAGAACCACCGAGCCATTGGTGAAAGTCAATATCTCCATGCGTTGTCTTGGCTTGGAAGTTGGGTGCCTCGCTACCGAGCCGTAGACGAGGCTGCTCCGACGGTATGGTCGATGAAGCCAAGAAGCGGCGTGAGACTGGTCGTTGAACCCAGGACTTCAGGGCGACTGGAGATGTCGTAGCTTTAGGAAAAGCTAGACGTGGGGTTTGCGAAACAGCGCGTAGTGCGCTTCGGGCTAAGAAAGTTGCCATAATTCTAATGGATATTTTAGTGATAGAACTGACTCACTTATTATAAGAGTATAAGAGATAAGTTAGAATGCTTGTTTCCGAGTGTCAAGTAATGTAGAGTATATCCATAATTAAATTTTTGTGATGATTTAATGTTGAGACGATGTAATCGCCATTGCGCATTGGAGGGGCCGCGGGGCACTGGGGCGTTATTAAGCTTATGTGGACCTAACTCTTACCTGATACGGACTAGTACTAAGCTGAAATGCAGGGACCAGCCTACGAGCCGGGAGAGCTACCAAATCGCTTGCAGGAATTACAACACCAGAACTGCAACACCCTGATGCATCAATGTGTTGAATGCAATACGCGGCATTCTAAGACCCACCTAACACATAGATTGAAGGCTGCGGTATAGTCCTCGCTCAAAGCACAAGGCTAGCATCTAACGGCATGGGAATCCATCAAGTGCATCAAGATTATTCCCCTATATTTTCAACTCAATGCCTCCTCGGCCGGTAGTATCGCCACCGCGACGAATTACGAGATCCTCACTCGCGCGCTTTAGGTATGGCGACGACGGCCCTAGTAGTAAGAAGGAGAATTCGACTCCTCCCCCTGCGGATATCGAAGATATAGTCCCGAACACAGCAGCTGTCCGGAAGCGGAAGCGGACCACTACTCTCCTCGCAGCCTCGTCGACCTCGCCGCGACGCATGGTCAAGAAGGAAGAAGAAATCGAGACGAAGGTGACGGCACCCCCAGCAAGCAGACGTCAACGAAAGCCAGCTCGGAAGACCGTCGATGCGGATACCGGAGAGGCAACAGTCAGCGCGCCCTCAGACTGGGAAGAAATATACGATGCTGTCAAGGCGATGCGGTCTCCCGGCGGTATAGCGGCCAATGCGGCTGTCGATACGATGGGCTGTGAGCGACTTGCGGATACTACAATTAGCCCGCGCGACCAACGTTTCCAAACCCTAATCGCGCTTATGCTGTCGTCGCAGACTAAGGATACAACCAATGCCGTCGCCATGAAGCGACTGCAGACCGAGCTTCCCCCGCATGCTCCTGGTGCTCCTCCGGGCCTTAATCTCGAGAACGTACTTGCAGCGGACCCGGATCTAATCAATAAGTTGATCTGGGCTGTCGGTTTCCACAATAACAAGACCAAGTATATAAAACAGGCCGCGCCGATCCTACGCGACCAGTGGGGTGGCGATATCCCAAACACGATTGAGGGCCTAGTTGCGCTACCTGGAGTCGGCCCTAAGATGGGATATCTCTGCCTGTCGGCGGCGTGGGATCGTACTGAGGGAATCGGCGTCGACGTTCATGTACATCGTATTACAAACTTGTGGGGGTGGCATACAACTAAGAACCCCGAGGAAACGCGACTTGCGCTACAGAGTTGGTTACCGCGCGATCGCTGGCGTGAAATAAACTGGTTACTCGTCGGGTTTGGACAGACTGTTTGTCTACCTGTTGGGAGGCGGTGCGGCGACTGCGACTTGGGTCTACGCGGCCTGTGCAAAGCCGCCGAGAGGAAGAAGGTCCTTGAAGGGAAGAAGATCCGGGAAAGCATTCAAGCCGAAAAGCTTGAGGATGATGGATCTATGGTAAAAATTGAAGAGCTAAAAGAGGAAAAAGAAGTACTTGAGAAAGACATTGTTGTAAATGAGACTGTAAAAGATGAAGAGAAGGAATCAATGTCCGCAGATCAATCCGAAGGTAGCCCGGAGCCCAGTCCGAAACAAAGAAACACAATACCAAAACGGCAACGGAAGTCAAATAAAACATAGCACATGGTGTTATTGTATAGGTCGATCACAATGTAGGATATCACGAAGCGTTGGGGGAAAATGTAATTAATGGGTGGAAATCAAATATTCATCAGGGAGGTCTTAACTCCAAATAGGAGAAAGTCTCATAATTGCTTAATCATGTATGTACAAATATCGTCCAAAACTGAGAATATGCTCCCTCATAGGAGACTCGTGGATTCATACAAGCCGACTCGTTTCTGGAAACCTCGAAAATGAACTCGGGGGGAGCCCAACTTGTTCCGCCTGCGCCGTCGCAGGCCTAAATGAAATACAAACTGCCCTAAGCCAATGCCCGGACGCCATGCTCATAGAAGAGTAATAAAATAGATGCTGACCAAGCCCCAACCGCAGGCGGCCTCGGCCTCTTATCGCGTGCAGCTAACGGGTGTCGTGATAGGGAGATGGGGTTTGGTAGAGGCGAAGACGGTGTCGCGGGCTCGCGGTCGGACTCCCGGCGGGGAACGACGGCGTCGTCTAGCTGCCACATGAGACGATCGAGGGGCGGCCCGGTCCTTATACACCCCGGATGACTTGCGTCCGCTCGGCCTCGAGCTGAGCCGCGTTTCGCTCGTGCGATTCTTTCTTGCACTGCATTTGCCATCTGGAGTTAGCACACCTGAACCTGAACGGGGACATGAACCACCGCATTCCTCCTCGAGAAGACCGGAATCTTCGAGATACTCGGCCAGCCCGACCAGCCACCATTCTGCGGCCCAGTCGTCGCTGTCGCCGGATTCTGAGGGGGTTGGGCTCATGCTTACGTCTTCTAATCCGCTGCACTTGTGATCCTCTAGTAACCGGTGCTTCGCGCAGAAGTGTCCGTCGCAGAAACCGCAGTCGCCGACGATTCGCTGGGCGGCGGACTTGCATTCCTTGAAGTTGCAGCGGGGCTTCTGGGGCGCCATGTTGTTGTTGTTGGTGATGATGGTGATGGTGATTGTTTGATCTGGTTGTTTATGGTCGACGATATTGGTGGTGATGAAGATGACTGCTTGTCTATCTATAACCGGCACGAGACGAAAAGAATAAAATTTCCTCGTCTTTGTTGTTGGGTATTACTGATCAGCGGACTGCCGAGTTGGGAATAGGTGGAATGAGAACCAAGGGAGAATGGCTCGAGAACGGGCTAACGGTCGAATGTCAGAAAGGCGATCCCCTTTAAATAAAAGAACTCGAATGATGGCAAACGCGGTGGAGAAGACCAAGACGCCTTGACCATGCGAAAAGGAGGAATAATAAATAGAGGCTGAACTGGATAGGTTCACGTGTACATGAGTGTTGTAGGTAGTATGTGTGTATTGTGTGTGTGTATTGCAGGTGAATGAACCTCGGGCCGTGATGGGTCACTTACAGAGTCGGGCTCAGATCGTAAAGCTTGGCACCTATGAAAGGAAGTTGCCTGTTGTTATTTTCCGAGTGATTAGGTCGAGATAGAAGTAAGTGAATGTAGATGGAAATGGAAATGTAGGAGAGGAAGACGAAGACGAAGACGAAGTTGATGATGACAATAAGGGAGGGAAAGTTGCTTCTGACAGGGAACAGAAACAGATACCCTTTCGTAGTGTACGGAATAGTGTATGTATGTATGTATGAAGTGACTGACTCCTTACAGTATGTACTTGTGGCGGCGAGAATGGAACCGTTTGGAACGAGCTAGTGAGGTGGAAAGATGAAAAGGATGAGGCGAACGGTTCCTTGTTGGATTTGCGATCGTCAGTTTGCCTGGTCATAAGCCAACGAACCAGGGACTCTAGGGACTCCAGTTCACTAGTGTAGCGGGCAAGTCGTCTGCAGGTATCAATTCTGATGACGACTAGGTATTCCGCGCAAGGCTCCGAAAACGGGAGGCAAGCCGATTAGGTATAAAATATAACAGTCTAAGTGGGATATGCCGTATGTAGGGATGCACGTATCAGCGAAATACCGGGGGCAGGGGGGGGAGAATTACACTACGGACAAGGACAAGGAGACGACAAGGACCGGGGGTCCATTTGGAGATGGAGAAAGCATACATACATCCCATTACATCCCCATCTTGATTACGGATTACACAGACAAGTCATCAGAGAGTACCTTAATTCGGGAATTCGGCGTAAAAAAAGGAAGAAAAGACAGACCATGACAACTCGTACGTACATAAGCGGTGATGGTGGTGATGACTTACTTACCTCTAATAAGTTCGAAACTCTGGTGGACACACGTTGGGCCATGACCGATATTGAATTCATATTAATAAATATTGGAGGTTGGCCTGACCTGAAAAGCCACAGGAGGACAATAGATATGAGAAAAAAAAAAAAAAAAAAAAAGGAAACAAGCACTGCCGGGTTAGTACGATGTAGTTCAGGAGATATGCCTATATGTATGTATATCTCACGCCATACGGGCGATAAACCCACCGAGAAACCCGCCGGATATCGGGCAACTATGTAGGTATCTATCTAGCGTAGCAACGCCGCCTCCGGATCTACTGCATCTACATATGTACTACATACATGGGCTATGGCAGGGAAGATAAAAGAACGGCGTCGGCTAACTGAGACCTTCATATACGTGATCAGTCGAGCAAATAGATAAATATGTATGCACCCCTTCCACCGCAATGCTTACTAGGTAGTTGAAGCGACCGGTTCCATTCGCCGGGCTTGTTTCTCGAGACTCGCCTCTCAGACTGCCACATGTCCGCCCGTCTACTAAACAGATTTTTTTTTTTTTTTTCACTTTAATTTTATTATACCTCACTCAGCACGGGTCGGCTTTGTTCGTTGTCGTTGTTGTCGTGTCAGAGTGGAACATGCAATGCTGCTTGATCAACTTGGCAACTGAAACCTACCTAATAATAATATAAGGTAGCCAGACGGATTGCTCGCGGGAGGCGTACCCCCGAATAGTTGAAATGTTGAAATGTCGCCAACGACTCGCCTACATACATAGTGGAGCGCGACGACGTTGGCGCTGGCGTTGGTTAATGAACTCTATCGACTCGTACATACATACATACACACAATCAGTCAGTCAGTCAGTCAGTGGTATTACGGGGATTCGAGGCTAGGATACCGATTACCGCCTCCGAACGTAACCAACCTCCAGGTTACTAGCTACCTAGTAAAATACGAGCACGCGAGGCTAGATTCCGTGCTACGGCCTGCCGTTATCGTCTGTGGTGAAACTAATATGAAGGTAATCATCATGAAGTGTTCCGCGCCACACAGACGTCGAAATGACTAGGTTATCTACCTACCTAAAGCTAGGTATGTATGTATTATGCTGACCGACTGACTGACTGATTGACTTGACTGAACTGACTCCTACATATCTCGTGTGCACTACGTCCGTATATGTATGATGCCGATCCAGATCACCCAACCGGTCCGGCCAACGTGTAAGACAATTGGCCACCAAGAACGCCTACACATCGACAAGCCTACATACATACATACAATATCGAGCTAGCGATTTGAATAACTCGTTTCCGCGTATTTTATACGTTAGGTACCTACCTAGATACCTACCTACAACTCTCATTCCCCCATACGTATTCCGTAGTATATACATAATCTCTGTAGCTTAGGCGCTTTCTGCGGGAACCCATCGATCATGTGGTGGATATTTGCGGAGAATTGGAGCCCACACTGCGATGCAAGCAGGGTCTCGAATGATGACGGCGCAGGGGTCTCTTTTATGTATGTACATGTGCATACCTACGGTATTTTAGGGGCTCTCGATGAATATCATATGCCTGACTTGGCTTGGACTCCCATTCATGATGGCTTCCTTTGCTCGCTCTAGTGTAGCCTCTATATAGGATCTAGACCGCCTACATACATCTAAACCTATCCGAGATACGTATAACTATTCACTAAGTTGGTGGCTTCTTTGGTATCCATCTCTTTAATTCTCTTCCCGAATTTGTGTGTGAGTATATGGAACAGTACTATTCTCGTGTAAGACCTTCCAATATCGACAAGAAACGCATGGCATGTTCGTATCCCATTTATATGTTAGTGCCCGTTTTATGAAAGAGACCACGGGTTGGCTAATTGGCAATGCTACAATCGCCTTGAACTACGGGCTTACTAGGAGAGGAGGCTCTTACGATAACTTTTGACATGGAAGCTGGTGACTTTTTGCGTATTAGCAAAACTTCAAGATAGCTGGCGAGAGACCTTTACACGCTAAAAAAAAAAAAAAAAAAAATACGCCTCATTATCACGCGGGCGAAAAAAAAAGGAGTAAATTGTTCATTATCAAAGGACAATATTCATAAACTGCTTGGACTAAAAGCTAGGGATACACTTTGCGACTTAATTTTCATGACTCGTCAGACCCATTTTCATAAGATTCCAAGTCGGCTCTATAGGTAAGATATTGACTCAAGTGTCATTTTTTATTCCTTCATGGTCACAACGCAACGAATGCAATCGCCCGCCTTCATCGTCTCAAACGCGGTGTTAATGTGGTCTAAATCTTCGCGGTGAGTGATGAACTCATCCACCTTTAACCTACCTTCTAGATAATCGCTGACAAGGCCGGGAAGTTGGGATCGGCCCTTGACACCGCCAAAAGCGCAGCCCTTCCATACACGACCGGTGACTAGCTGGAATGCTGTGCAAAGCGTTAGTTTCTAGGCGAAGCCTTCCTCTGGGTAAGAAAGGGTTGAAACTTACGTCGAGTTGAAATCTCTTGACCGGCAGCAGCGACGCCGATGATAATACTCTGACCCCAACCCTTATGGCAAGCTTCCAATGCTGCTCGCATCACGCCAACGTTACCAGTACAGTCGAAAGTGTAGTCGCAGCCACCATCGGTCATTTCGATGAGTTTTTCTTGAATCGTTTGTCCATCCAACTTGGTAGGGTTAACAAAGTCGGTGGCTCCAAACTTCTTAGCCCATTCTTCCTTGGTTGGGTTCACGTCCACGACGATAATTTTACCCGCCTTCTGTGTAACGGCGCCCTGGACAACCGAAAGACCAACGCAACCAGCTCCGAAGACCGCGATATTGGAACCCTCCTCAACGTTGGCCGTGATTCTCGCAGCACCGTAACCGGTGGTGATACCGCAGCCTAGAAGGCAAGTTCGGTCCATAGGAGCATCTTGCTGAACAGCAACGACGGAGATGTCGGCTACGACGGTGTACTGAGAGAAAGTCGACGTTCCCATGAAGTGGAGAAGTGGTTGTCCCTTGCAGGTGAAGCGTGAGGTGCCATCCGGAAGGACACCTCTACCCTGGGTTGCCCGAATCTTGCCGCAAAGATTCGTCTTGCCAGACTTGCAGAACTTACATTCCTTACATTCGGGAGTGCTTTTGATCGATATTAGCCCAAGAGATAGCGAACGTAAGGAGGGTAGGGTTGAGCCTACTAGAGTGCGACAACGTGGTCGCCCGGCTTTACGTTGGTGACACCCTCGCCGACAGATTCCACAATACCGGCTCCCTCATGTCCCAAGACGATAGGGAATGCGCCTTCTGGGTCCTTGCCGGATAACGTGTAGGCATCTGCTCCACTGTTAAACGGGACATTCGGACTTGATTCGGGATTAAGACTTGGCAAGATATACCTGTATGACAAACTCCCGTATAGACGATCTGAATTCGGACTTCGTGGGCTTTGGGCGGCGCAACTTCGATCTCCTCGATGCTGAGGGGTTTGCCAGCTTCCCAGGCGACAGCGGCCTTACACTTGATGGTCTATCGTGTAGAAGGAAGTAATCAGCTTTAGACCTCTACTAACAATGGATCGTGTAGACAGTAAAGCATGCTATACAGCATGTGTATAGCAGTTTGGTATATTCTGGACGTATAGGTAGGATATACTACGCGTATGCGCGGGGTAAAGGGGACGCGCTCATAAGAACTTGGAAGGGATATAGGGGAGTTAGAATACGAACCTTTCCGACGGTATCAGCCATAGTGATGTTTAGGTAGATTTAGTAAAAACAAAGAATTGTTATAATTGAATCTTTCAGTTCAGTTTTGAAGAAACTGTAAGAAAATCTGTGAGAAAAAGAAAAGTCCTTGAGCTATCAACTTTTATAATAGATTGCTCAGCTACTTCTTGGGTTGCTTGTTTGATGCGGAGTTTTCCTGCTCGAAGTCTCTTTGACCCCACCACTGGTTATTCTTCAGGTGGGGGAGCCAGAGCCGGCACGGCAGTGAGGAGAGAGTGAGACTAGGCCCCGGCGAGCGGGTAGTACAATACACGCTTAACCTACCTAGAGGCATATGAGATGAGATAAAGGGAAAGGAAAAGATAAAAAAAACTTTAGGTTAGGCTGTTTTACCTTGCATCTTGATGTCACTTCTGCGATCATCACGGCTGCTAATACCATTAGGTAGTATGAGCCTATTAGTATCGCATTAATACCGATTCCTGACGCTGCACACCTGCATTCCCGACACATCTATTTCCGATATGCTCCAACTCAATCTGCGGAGAGATTATGCGATATCGTCAACCGGCATGTTAAGAAAACGGGAAACGGAGGAATTATGGACAAAACTCGGCATGTGTGTACATCATAGCCTTGTAGAAAGACGTTAGCTTGTCCTGGCACCTTATCCTGGCGAAGATAAATGAGTCAATCGGTCTGGCATGTAGCGCGTCTTCTCTCATCGAAATGCATCAAAGGTGTGCGATGCATTGCTGTAATGTCCGGTGTACGGTTGGTTATTGTATTGTATATGATAAGTCAGATATTGAAAGGTATGGATGCGCGTAATAGTACACCTTTCTGGTCCTTTTTATTAGTTTGGAGTAACTTGGATGCTGTAAAATTCAATATCAACAAGGCTGATAGAATGCAGCGCAGATGAAGATAGGAATGAATGGCATGGAGAAGTGCCATTTATATCAATATCTCAGACGAGAACCCGGAGGACTCTGTACCTACGTGAGTTACCAGGTTACCTACCGATTGTACGGTAAAAAGATGGGTTACGCACTGTAATAATCAATTCTTAAGAGATAGGTACAAGGTACATATAGTATGGTCTGTGCTTATGTAGGTAACAGTAGGCAGGCTGGCAGGGACAAGCTCCTGCTTGTGAAGTTTGTATGCGCTAAGTAAGTGTAGGTATGTACCGCGTCCTTGAAGCTTCAGCGTCGCGACGTAAATTTTTGTTTGGCTCACCTTCTTTCATACCAGCTTTTATAGCTCCGAGCAGCAACACCAAACACGCCAACGCTAGGTATTTTCGATTCAATTTACGACCCAATAGCGCTGATAGCCTTATGGGGTATCTTCGCTAGACTTAATCTCTGTTTATGGTGTTATCCTGAAGTCATTTCCAAGTAGCTGTCGAGCTTCACATCTATCAATATGGCCTTCCGATTTGCAGGCTTAACAAACTCTTCGCCCTCTACGCCAGAAAGGGGCTCGCGAAAAGCTTCGTCTGGCTTTGGCTTCTCCGCAGACCATCCATCAACGACTCCCATCGGCCCTCCTCCACCTTCATCTACCGCATCCTTTACCCCTGCCGGCGAGCCGTCTCCCTCATTCTTACAGAGTTCCATTGGAGCCATGTCAGGCGCCTCAAGCACATCGAGTAGGATCAAGGCCCCAAATTTCGGAAAGCCAAATCCTTCCCAATCCAAATCGCACTCTAGAAAACGTAGCAATGCGCCCCTAGGAAGATCAATTCAGGGCTCTACTTCAAGACAGCCGTCTGGCTTGAGCAGAGAATATCGCGGGGAGAGAGTGGAGGAGGATGAAGATGATGAAGGAGAAAAGAAGCGAGGAAACATAGGAGGCAGGACTTACGGCATGCTACTTGACGATTCGACTGAAGGCGAAGATACCGAGCCTGACAATACGGATCCTCTAGACGATGATGAGGGTTCGGAAGCGGACGTTATGGAGGAAGGTGAAGGTGAAGATGAATATGATGTAGAAGAGGACCTGCTGAGGGAAATAGCTGGCACTGGGCCGTATGGCGATCTACTATCTGATGGTGATGCGGACATGATGATGCTCACAACAGCCGCTGCGGACGAACGTATCAGCAAGGAAGCCGAAGACATCTTCCGCGCTTCTTCCATGCGCTCTATTAACGCCCGAAAGCGGGAGTTAAAGTATGCGGCCCTTGCGAAGGATCTCTACAGCCAATCTCCATTTGCAGATGTGTCCGAGCCGGACAACGTCATTATACAAACCGAAGAGCTCGTCAATCGTCTCTATGATGAGGGTGTCGGTCCTGAAGACGACGAGGAGAGACTGGACGATACCCTGGCTCAAGCCTCCGTTAGACTGGTTAATGAGATATGGGCCCCCCACGTGGAAGAACTCCCCAAAATCGACGATGAACACGCGGCCAGGGTAGGACCGAGTCCCTACGCCCCGAATTTCGAGAAAGCCTTCTACCTAGCTGTACTGGTACTTCAGATTCATCATACACCAGCAAGGAGAGACGATTTTGGAGATATTAAAAATATAGCCTTGCCCGCCGTTCTTTTTGACTGGCAACGCGCAGAACACAATCTCGACCCGGATCAAGTAAATAACGTCCTGCAGCATCGCCCTTCACCCGCGGCCCATGGGCTTTTCTGGCAAGTCGTTTTTAATGCTCTCGTGCGTGGTGACATAGCTGGGGTAATACAACTTCTCAGAAAGGCTGGCTGGGAATCTCCTAAGAAATCCCCTCGCGGCGAACCAGTCTATGGTGGCCAGGTTTTATTGAATATTAAACGTGTTGTTGAAGATCTATGTTTGGTCATGGAAATATGCCCTGCGATGAGCAACGATAGTTGGGATATTCATAGTAGTGACTGGACTTTGTTCCGTCTAAAAGCTAAAGCAGCTAAAGAAGCACTCATTGGGTTCACCGAAGGCAAAGAACGGGCTCTTTCCTCGAGTCGATTTGGCGAATCCGACTTTGCCGATTCTGTGGACGGACGACAATCACTCTCGGGGCTTGCTCGAAGGGCAGAAAGCAGGATCCCTTGGGATATCTATGAAAATCTTCAGTCCCTTTATGCGATTCTCATCGGAGAACCGGACGCTATCCTTGCGGCCGCAGAAGACTGGTGCGAGGCCACGATCGGCTTATTCGGTTGGTGGGATAACAGCCACAACAAGCGGAATCTTGGCCTGTCTCATTCAAGGTCACTTCAATTACCTAGCCAATCTGAGGCGGGTGACGATTTCCTTGATCGTCTTGCTCTTTCCCTTCAGACTGCTACGGAGGCTGATTTCCACTTCGATCCCGCTGACCCTGTTGAAGTGGCAGTTGCCTCTGCGTTTGAGAGCAACGTCGAAGCGGTTATTGGGTTCTTGAGATTATGGTCACTCCCAATCGCGTCGACGGTAGCCGAAATTGCCTCGTTGGGCCGATGGCTCCCTCCTCAAGAGCCACAAAATCTTATTAACATGCAAGATTTTGACATGGAAGAATTGGAGGTTTTAGGAATGAATCAGAGCACGGGGCCCGACGAGAAAGATGGGATCAAAGATACTACTCTAGTCCACTATGCTCGCGGACTGAAAGATCGCAAGTATATAGCGGGCACTGGTCTGCATGGAAAGGTCTCACGGGATGGATGGGAAATGGGAGTCCAGGTTGTGGGCCGATTGGACTCTCCCGAGCGGTCTGAGCAGCTAGTACAGGAATTGCTCCAGAGTGTTCTTAGTACCATCGACGAGTTTTCTCGTGAGACTGTTGACAAGATATGGCGGCTGCTGAACGAACTTGGAATGATTAACTTTGCGGAAGACACGGCTGAGGTATGTACACGCCAACACGCCAACGATAACACTATACTAACACATGCTAGACTTTCGGAGATATATTAGCAAATGATACCTTCCGCTATGGAGAAGCTCTATGGTATTACTCCTTGGCTCATCGGCCTGGTAAAGTTCGCGATGTCCTGAATACGCTAATGTCTATTTCACTGGTGGAATCTACAACGTATCCGCCGGAGAGTGAATTGGACAGCACTCTAAAACAGCTGCTAAAGGAGCGCACAACAACATTAGAGAAATTTGCGAAGCAGGATCTCGAAGCAGCAGAACTTCTTGGTAAGATGCTAAGCGGGTACGCTACACTCAGGAAATTCTACGAGCTTCGTGATGGAGATAATAAAACAAACCCCAAATCCTTAATACGTCGCCAACAAGCCGCCGCTGCACTGGTAGCTGTCATTGCTAGCGCTGATGACAATATTCGAGGAGGTTTGTACGATGACTCGCGCGACGCGGTTGTCAGCGAAGATTTCTTGCTAGCACTGCTCGGAGAAGCATCCATCTTCGTAGGCCAATCACCACCTGTGATTACTCTCGATCAAATCGATACACTTCTTAAGGCGATCGAAGATATTCAAACCGTTGGGTCCCGGGTCTACGATGCTTCCGATGAGTTTTTTAAACTAGTCCTCACATCGGGACACGGAAAAGGGTCTACGCCGGCAGATCTTCTCAAGCAGTCTACTTCTTCCTTGGGTGGCAGTTTTATGATGACTGGCAGTTCGATGATAGCATCCCAGCTCCACCAGTCTGTAATGAAAAGCGGTGTCATTAAGGGCCCTATCAAGCGGGCATGGGATTGGAGAACAGGGGTGTACTCGGCTAGCAGCTCTGGAGATGTACTTAAACAGATCAGACTGGGTTTAACAAGAGACCTAGCAAACCTGTGGTTAGAACAGGCGGATAGTGTCATCTTGTAATGGCTGAATGGTTCGTAGGATGATTTGGTCGCAATAGGAATCGTCATAATTGGCTCATAATTGGCAAGGCATGTTGGTTGGTGCTCGGCGGCGTTGGGAGAACATGGTGATTAACGAATAGGGTAGCACCGTCCCCGAAGAAATGGCCAATGAAAAAGTTAATCTGCCTTGTTAGCAGAAAATATGAATATGAATAATGGGTTGTCATAAGATTATTGAGAACTTATTGCACCAACTTTGAGGCACCTCGGGTGCCAAGTCCGATATACCCATGATAGTTCGAATGTAACCTTGGTCCCCTCACTTCCCAGAGTAGAAACTTGCGTACGCAGACTATTAGACTCGACGCTTCGTCTATGCACGACACTCCACACTTGTATTATAGAGGGGGACTAACAAGGTGCCATTACTATACATTGCAATGGCTCGACTTCGGCCCTTGGCTATTCGGCGTTACTGTTTGGTGTTTTAACATCTACATATATATGCATATATATTACTCTCTTCATATTTCTCATATCGAGCTCAGTTAGAACCAATATATTTCAAGCTCTAGTTAAAGCAAAGAAGAGATTGGATAGCTAATACACTAAACCTCTATAAACTATAGGATTAATATATTAAAAAGAAGCAATGGGTTTCTCGGAGGAAGCAATTAGTGAACTCCGCTCTATCGTAGAGCAGACTGTTATCAGCGGCGGCGAGTCAACTGCGTCTACCGTTCCCGGGACAGTCGCCGTCGTCGTGGACCGAAACGGGAACGAACTATTTGCCCACGCGGCTGGCAAGCGAGGCATTATATCAAATGAAGCCATGACGCTAGACAACGTATTCTACCTAGCTAGCTGCACCAAGGTAATCACAGGGCTTGCCTGTATGCAACTTGTCGAAAAGGGCGAGCTGAAACTAGACGACGCGGCTCAAGTCGAGGAGCTATGTCCAGAGCTGAAAGATATCAAAGTTCTCAAAGATGATGGAACTTTCGAAGACAAGAAAAGAGGGATTACCCTAAAAATGCTGTTAACTCATACCTCGGGGTTTACTTACTCATTCTTCAACGAGACGTTGAGGGATTGGAGTCTTCCTGTTGGCATTGATGAGTTCTCTGGCGATATTAAGGATATCCTGAAAATCCCTCTGCGGTTTCAACCAGGCGAGAAATGGGAATACGGAGTAAGTATAAAGACCAAACTAAGTAACCAGTTCCAATAGTTAACAGAACGAAAACTGACCTTAATAGATTGGCATCGATTGGGCTGGAATCGTCCTACAGAGGAAGACTGGGTTGACGCTGAATGAGTACATTCAAAAGAACATCTGCCAGCCACTCGGCTTGGAAAACATCAACATGATACCGACGCAGTCTATGAAAGACAACCTGGCACATATGCACCAAAGGCTGCACGACGGCAAGCTCATTCCTCGGGACCACCTACTCCGGCGACCCCTGATCGTCTCGACCCCCCAAGAGATCGCCGACACGTTCAACAGCGGCGGAGCCGGTCTCTTCGCCAAGCCCCAGGAATACACTCGTAAGCCCACCACCCTCCCTCCAACCTAATCTTCGAAAACTACCTGCTACGTATAATGCGTAGTTAAACGGGGAATTAAACTAACCCGCCCCACGCAGGCGTCCTAGCAGTCCTCCTCAACGACGGGACCTGCCCCAAGACCGGCGCCAAGATCCTCGAGAAATCAACCGTAGAGCAAATGTTCACGAACCAGATCCCCGAGTTCCCCAACTTCGGACGGCAGGGCATCGCAGCGGCGAAGCCGGACCTGACGCACCCGGCCGCGGACTTGTATCCCGTGCCCGGAAACGCGCCGCAGGGCTGGGGCTTGACGTTTATGCTGAGCGGCGCGAGCCCGGCGACGGGCAGGTCGGGCAAGACGGGGAACTGGGCCGGGATAACGAATCTGTACTGGTGGGCGGATCGCGGGCACGACGTCGCTGGGATAGTGTGCACGCAGATCCTGCCGGCTCATGACCCGGCGGTCCTGGGGTTGTGGTTCCAGCTCGAGGCGGCTGTGAATAAGCATTTGAAGCTGGCTAAGGCATAGGTTGGGTAGTCTTGAGACTACTAGCTTAGGAAGTCTAAACACAACGCCGTGTCATTATAGGTGACGAGGACAGCTTTCACTGGTCAAATGGACTGAGTGGTTTGGACTGGGGGGTTGACCAAATCAACCAGCTTGGCTGACGTGGGTGCTTTTCTATACCTACTAAATAGAGAGCACTTTCAAGTTTGAACTTAGCGGATAGTCCCCGGATTATAATGTATGGATCCGGGGGCACACACTAGTGTAAGTAGGTATCAAATTGGCTAGGTTAGGAATTTATTAATTTACGTTAGGTCCAAGAATAATCATAGTGAAAACTCGATAATAAGAAACGTGGCTTAGTTTTTATTGTGCTGTAAGTCTGAACTGAAGTCCTAACGAAGGTTTCCCCTTTATGCGAGGGTTCTCTGGCCAGCATTCCACCCCATACGTGCTTGGGAAAGCGCGTCAGGCCTAAACTGTTGTAGATGATGATATGCCAAAGATACTTAATATCTGTAGCTAAGATAGAAACCGATTGTAGCCGGATTACCGTCGTAGTCTATATTGGGGTTTCTCCAAACCATAGGCTCTTTCTCCATAGCGTCTCCAGTGGGTTCGGTCTTCCCCCTTTAGCCCCCCTTTAACATTCGCCTTAACTGCCTCTGTAGGTCGTATAGCTATAAGGAGACAGCAACAGTGGCACGTGGTAATGCTGGCCTTTTTCGACGGTGACCGAGACCAGAACTTCGGGAAAGAAAGTGTTTCCCTCGCCGAAGTAGCTCCCTGTGTCGAAGCGTAGAGTCCAGGTAGACTTAGTTTCCACCTCGCTCAACACGTCGTCCAGAGTGTAAGTAGGTACATCTCCTGACGAGTGGATGCTGGAATATGGTAGCCAGGCCTTGATGCGGCCGTCGTCATCAGTCTGGGATTCGAAAGTCTTTAGAGGAGCATGTCCGCCTTCCAGCTTGACGCGGACCCCCTTGGCTGGCTTGCCTACGGAGGTGTCCAGAATATGGCAGGTGATGATGTCTTTGTCGTTTGCCATTGGGGCCCGGGTGGTGATGACTTGGACTTATATTGGAGGTGTTTAGACTGAGATGGTTCTGATGTTTGCTTCCGAGTTGACCGCAGGTGAGATGTCCTTATTTACTTGTACTCGAGAGCCACGAAATCCAGGAGGTCCTATTAGACTATTAGACGGTGAGTCTAGTAGATAGGGGGTAGGACAAACGAGGCGGAGCGGTTCGGCGGGGCTGTGATGATATGCGGCCTCTCTCCTCCGAACCGAGCAAAGTAAGTAGGCAACTAATAGAGAATGTGTGCCTATAATACCCGGAATGGTGAATGGCGTCTGAGGATGTGAGAATGTGGTATGTGAGGTATGCGAATAGGGGAGATTAAACTCGAGGTAATTGGACACCTGAGGTAAGGCAAGGGCAGGGTTGTATGTAGAGGTTGTATGTAGGTAGAAGGTTGCGAGGGGAGGTTGTAACGCTAATTCCTATGTAGGTACCTAATGCAGCTTTGTTTTTAGGCCTGATTGCTCAGGTGTTCCAGGTGTATTGTATTGTACCCCGCTAGTAATAACCACCGTGGGGTGAGATACGTACCTGGGTACCTAACAGATTGGTAATGTTTCTTTATTTAGAAGCAAAACGTACCTAATACAGTATTAAATACAGTTTGCATACATTATAGATTTCCCCCCCTATTTCATCTTTCCACAGCTGTGGTTGGTATGTATGTTACAACTTACATACAAGGACAAGCCCACATGACTAGCTGCAGCTTGAAAGAAACAAATAAAGGGCTGAAGCCTCAAGTGCGACATCACAGCCTCTAAATGATCCCTAAACAAAATTACCTATCAGTGGGACGACACTTGCTTGACAGGTAGAAAATATCACCTGTCGATTTGATTTGACATCTAATTATAGCCCAGCGAGACATTTAAGTAGTGTAACGCTTCTGCAGAAACCATATGTAAGTAAGACATGACGGCATTCTCCTATTCTCCTCATTCGCATCTGCATACCTACACTATACTCCAGTAACGTTGTGGAATGTGGCCCTAAGGAAGGCAGTGCAATTCATCGAGACATTAGGTAGATTAAGATTAAGCGGTGTAGAGAGTATAACGTTCTAATATTCTTTAGACGTTGTTACCTGCTACACCTCCTACATATCGACTTGAACCAACTTACACCAAGCGGCATTCCATTATCCCCAAGCTGCTTCGGCACTCCCACATTTTAACCATTTTCAGTCCTGCTTTCTCGAACAGTTCTCGAAATTCAGAAGGTGTCCGCTCTTTACCGTTCATCAAAGACATCATGGCCATGTCCAAGGCGAACCCGTGATGAACGTGGATACCGTAATTGGCTAATAGGGGCTTAGGGGCTGGCTTGATATACGGGTCTCCTATTGTTTCAGTCAAAGTAATATCGGCAACAAGTAGCCGCGAGTCTGGACCCATGGACTTGGCCGTATTCAGAAGAATCTCGACGCAAGCCTCATCATTCCAGTCATGTCTGTTTCTACGTCAGTCCTATCTTTAACGTCGAGTCTACAGCTTGTCTTACAGGACATGGCGCATCCAGTATATGTTGGCTTCCTTAACGGGATTTGGCTTGAAAAAGTCATGCGCCACGAACTGTACCCGTCCCGACTCTAGAGCTTCGGGGAGCTCCTTTTGCCATATTGAGGAACCTTGCTCAACCGCGGTCGGCAGGTCTTGTACGACGAAACGCAGTTCTGGATACACGCGGGCTAGCTGAAGATCAAAACTACCTAGATATGCCGTGTTAGCCGACTCTATGTGCGAAGAGACTTTACGTAGTCCATCAACCTTCAGGGGCAACTTACCGACACCGCCTCCAACGTCAACGACTAAACCGTTCCCCAATTCCTTCCAGGGGAAGTCGTATAAGGTTGCACTGCCTAAGCTCTTACTATTGCCAGCCAAGTACAAGTTGTAGGTTTGCGCGTCGTCCTTCGGGACCAACTCCTCATCGGGTGATACTTCTACTTTTTGATACGGGCCTCTTGCGGCGCCAGGACTTGCTTTCTCCAGCGCCGCTCGCGAACGGGGGACTTTCTCGTTCATCCACGTGAAGAATGGAAGTTCTGTGCCCACAGCCAATGGCCAGGCTGCGAGTTCCGGATCATAACTCGGTCCTCGGATAGGGTCCTTGAGTGCTTCTGGAAGTGCTGAAGCAGCTGCAAATCCCAAGGAACTGAATGCCATCATCAGCTTTGTGTCGGAATATGTTGGTCCTCTGACTGTCAAGATTCGCTCACCTAGATTTGACTTGCCCTAGAAGCTTTTCATCGTTGGCTAAGGCCTGCGAGATCCTATTATTTGCGAACTTGCCCGGCGCAACCTCTCGAAAGATATGCTGCGTGGCTAGAACTCGTAGTATGCGAGCTTAGTCCCGTTTCCCGTTAGTGGAACTTATTGCAAGGGCGCACACCAAAGCGGGAGAGACATGTATCTAAGTAGAAGCTTACCGAGCTTGTTCTTCTCGAGCCCAGTTGACTTGGCTAGGTCCTCAACAGATATCCCATCCGGACCGCCCTTGTCTAATAGGATTGCGATATTATGTTCAACCGCTATGTGAAGTGCTCGAACCTCGAAATACAATTCGGCAAAGTCTACTAAGCGCAGATGAGGCTCGGCTACGAGCTCTTCGATTGATCCTAATGCTGCAATGACAGTTCGTTGCGCGTCGTAAGCCTTACGCCCAGGTATCGCGAAGGTAGTTTCAGAAGCCGGTATAGCGTCCGGTGCGGGATTCTCCCATTCGGCGATTAGCGTTTCTGATGAGTCTTGGATGAGCTTCGCTACTTGTCGGAGAGCCGTAGCCCGTGATGATACATCGTCGTAAGACATTGTGAAGGGAAATAAATATATCGATTCTTTCTTGCCAGGGGCTTCGCTCTTGGCTTTACCTCACCATGAAATGGCATATCCTTATGTATCGCGGCATAAGCGTGGCCATAATCCACTTAACTACCAGCTACTCCAAAATGCTTGGTGATACCCTCTGAATTGCCGGTGGAGATCTGATATGACTGCATTCATAACATGCATCAATTTATACCCCGGCATCCTAATTGAGGTCAAGGCGAGAGCATATTGGATGGTTATGTCGTAGTGTCCGCTTTAAATGGGCTGTCCTTCTCCCCTCAGGACAATGGGACGTGGGGAAACCCTGTCGGCGAGAGATAGTATAACGAGGTACGTGAGGGGACACTTTTGCCTATTAGATGGTTTCGTGCTTACGAATGCGAGTGTAATACTTTTATCAGATCTCGACCATGCCGAGGATAAGTCTACAGAATCGCATAGTACTACGTGGTAAGCTCCTTTATATTGTCGTCTAATTACCGTAGTAAGTAGTAGGAATGAACTTCAACCTGCTCACTTATATAATAGGCTGTTGTTGTAGACTATGATATATGTTACAGTTCCAGAAGTGTACCACGTTGAAAAGTAATTACCCAAAACTAGGAGGTACATTGCTAGCATGGTCTTATCGTATATAATTAAGTCATGCTATTTGTTAGAGGTACCTCTACTACAGTAACATGCTACGGAATGATATATCGAAATTTTCGAAAGACTCCGAAGGCGAACCCTTTTATGGTGAAGCGTGGGATAGTGTGATGATATCGTGATTTGAGCGATGCCATTTTAGACATCACTGAGAAAGGAACTTGAAATTAATATATTCTCGCATATCTTCCTATATACCCAGAGAAAGAAGCTAAGAACAAACAACCGGTGTGGGACTCAAGCGTATGGTATCATAAGTCGGAACATAAAGGAGTCAAATGATTCCAAAGTAATACTCTTCGAAATAAACACTATCTGTTTCTGAAATCTATTCAAGAATTTCGATATTAAATATGAATTTATAAAGCGGATAGGTGTAGAAATAGGAAAAGGAGTAAGCTGTAACTATACTGTAATTAATTCAATGAGCCAATCGGAGATAATTATCTCTCTTCGGTCCCGCTCGGCCCCGGCTAGCCTTCGGAACCGCATAACGCCATTCGGCGCCGATATTATAAACTGAAGTCGTGGAGCAATCGAGATGTTACCTATCGTAAGGAGAGATGGCGGACATCAGACGATTCTTCTTATTCGTTGTCCGGAGGAATAGTGACTACAACGGCGAAAACTTATGATGCTCTCCGGTGTTCCATAGCCTAGTCTCTGCTATATGGAACTGGGCTGCCCTCCTTGCCCCTGAGAGGTGGCCCAAGGGCCAAAGCATACGATGAAGTAAACGCCGGTCATGTCGTGAGTTATTAAATCTAAGTCCATCAGAGAACACTTATTTACTTACATCCTATCCAATTTTCCTCAAACAGAGAAATATCCCAACATGAGCAATCTCTACGACGTTATCATTGCGGGCGGAGGGCCAGTCGGGCTCTTTCTAGCCTGTGAGCTAGCGATGGCAGATGTGTCTGTCCTAGTGCTAGAGCGCGAACCCGAGCCCAACTCTCCCTCCAAGGTTGGACTATCGGGCATGCGAGCGTTGAACACAGCTTCTATGGACGCTTTCTACCGACGCGGACTGCTGGACAAAGTCACACCTCCGATCAAGCGACCGCTTAACTTCCAGGAGAAGCCCGGATTCCAATTCGCTGGCCAGTTTGCTGGCATATGGCTAAACGCCAATAGACTCGACCTAAAGCGGTTCAAATACCGCATCCCAGGACCGTCACTCGATATCAGTCTCAACCCGGTGTCGATAGCCGGGATCGAGGCTGTGCTAGCGCCGCGGGCCGAGAGCCTAGGGGCCACTATACTTAGAGGGAAGAACGTCACGGGAGTCTCTCAAGACGAGGATGCCGTCACGGTAGAAGTAGGAGATGAGGAATTCCACGCGAAATGGCTCGTTGGATGCGACGGGGGGCGAAGCACGGTACGAAAGGCCGCGGGCTTCGAGTTCGTCGGGACAGAACCGACATTTACCGGGTACGCTGTTCAAGCCGACATAGACCAGCCCGACAAGTTGAAGATAGGCTTCCACCCGACCGAAGACGGCATGTACGTTATGATGAGGGCGGGGAACTTCCACCTGCTAGACTTCGACGGCGGCTTCTTCGACCGCACGCAAAACGTCACGGCGGCGCACATCCAGGACGTCCTCGGCCGCGTAACCGGCACAGACGTCAAGATCACAAAGCTCCACCACGCCTCCTCCTTTACCGACCGATGCAAGCAGGCGGCGAGATACCGCAACGGCCGCGTCCTCCTAGCCGGCGATGCCGCGCACATCCACTCGCCGCTGGGCGGGCAGGGCCTGAATCTGGGCCTGGGGGACGCCGTCAACCTCGGCTGGAAGCTAGCTGCGACGGTCCGGGATTCGAGGACCCGGTATGGACCGGTGGTGGATCTCAGCCTCCTCGATACGTACGAGCAGGAGCGACGTCCGTTCGCGGCCTGGGTGCTGGAGTGGACGCGCACGCAGGTGACGGTGCTGAAGCCCGGCCCGCACGGCGCTGCGCTTCGCCAGCTCATGAGCGATTTGGTCGATACGGACGACGGGCATAACTTGTTCCTCGGGCGGATCTGGGGCTTGTCTCAGCGGCATGATCTCGGCGATGCGCACCCTCTAGTCGGTGCCAGCGCTCCGGATTTCGAGTTTAGCGATGGGTCGAGGCTAGGTCCTAAGTTAGAGGGAGCGCGGGGCCTTCTCGTCGACTTTAGCGATGGTGCGGCTCTCGAGAAGCTGGCTGAGGGGTATAAAGCTCGAGTTGATTATGTTGGTGGTGTCGGTGCTAGGGACCAGCTTGGCCTAAGTGCTTTGTTGGTTCGACCCGATGGTATTGTTGCTTGGGTGGCCGAGGGGAGTCTCGATATTGAAGGGGCTAAGGCTGCTTTAATGCGTTGGTTCTGATTTGGTTCGTAAAGGGGGGAGTCATGGAGAGATTTCATGTAGTATTGGTAATAAGCTCTGATTTTCTTCATTATACCTAGGTACCTAGGTAGTCAGGTAGTCAGGTACCTAGGGAAGCATGTAAACCAATAACTTATCCAAGTCTCTAGAGCCGTAGGCAATATAACTAAGATCTATCAATTAACCTTCAGCATTGCGTGAGCTACCTAGTTACATTTATTTTTCGGGCGTGATAGAGCTTGAGCAGGAATCCCGTCCCTTTCCGGTAACACGTTGTCTTTAACATAGAGACTCTTAACATAATCCATTCATCACTTCCATGGTATATATCTTGTCTTGGATACCGAATTCGCGGAAATATCGCTTTCATACCTAAGTAGCCTGGATCAATGGGCGAACCTGAAATCCTTTCTTTTGCTTCCTTGGTCTGTAGTAGTTTCGAGATAATGCATTTGCTCCTATGATTGCGTTAGTTTCTTCGCCGTATTACACCCTCGCGTACGCAATTCTTACCTCGCGGGTCATTGCGTTCCAATCCCTATCTCTTTGCTTGTTACGGTAGATATAATAGGCCTTTATAAGTATATATATGACTATATTTGCTGCGCAAACTGCCACGAGCTGCATGTTTCCGCGGCGATCTGTCAATATTCGCGTCAGTCGGGACCTGGGGTCAGAATATTAAAAAGGGGGGGAGTTACACACATTCAGGTTTGTCATCGGCACGGTAGATGTTTGAATATGCAATACCAGAGACCTGCACAAACATACTGCCGTAGTGATTAGCTTGAGTTTCTGGTAACCATGATATAATTAGCACTCACTTGTAGGCCGCGGCAGAGACTGTGCGTGTTCTGACGGTATTAGAATTCCGGCTACACCAACCAACCTGTATAGCATGAGCTATATTATTTATTAGCGAGTATAAATAAGTAGTAATTAGGATTATACCTACAATATGGGTATGAGAGTAGAATTATTACTATAGCATATCTTGCCCACTCAGATGTATTACTCGGTATCACAGCCAGGGCGATGATGTTAGGCAGAATCCAAATCTGCGCGAGCATGCCCATGAGCGACCTCTCATCCCACATCTCGGAGAGGTACGTTAAGGTAAGCATCTATATAGATAATTAGGCTCCGTTAGGCTATTGAGATTCTTTCGAAGAGGTAGATGATATGCGGGGGTTAACTTACCGTGACAATTCCTAGAACTTGACTAGGAATCGAAAGCAGATTGGAGTTGAACGTATCGAAACCAAGATCTCGGAGCGTTAGAGTTAGATATTGATCCGGGGGGCCGACTGGAATTCCGAACACAAGTCCGGCAATGTAAATTGGCCAAAGGTCATAATCGCATAGCGATTTCCATAATCCTTTCAAGTCAACCGCTTGACGGTTATGCATGTCTCCTTTAGAAGGGTCATCCCTCAATATACGATTGACCATTATGACCTCTTCACGTTCACTGAACCAGCCTTTCGGTCGATACCATGTTTTAGTCTGTGTAGGCGATGGTGCCATCATAAACCAAGACCACACTCCGATGGAGAGGGTGAAGAGGCCTTCAATCAAGAATAACCACCTCCATCCTTCATATCCGTGGAGGCCACGGAGTCGAAGGAGACCAAAAGCCAGGATGGGCGCAATGATATCGACTACCTTTAGGGTTGTCCAAAATAGGGCCAGGCGAAAAGGCAATTCGCTTGCCTTAAAGAAATAGGACTGAGGCCGAACCGTGTTAGATCCTGTTACGACAATTTGTATGATGTATCTAAGACATAAGAAGAACCAACTTACCAAGTATAAGACAATGTCCGGAATGAAGCCACCTTGTAGCAACCCAAGTAGGACACGACACGCAAGAAAGGTTTCCCTGCTGTTCAGCCAAAATTGAGAAGCTGCCACAATAGACCATAACACCATAATTGTCGGTATCCATCGATCAGGACCTATACACCATATTAATAAGGGCTTTAATCTGGGCGAGTATAAACTTGTACTTACCTACTTTCTTGCTCACCAACTGTGATGGAAGTTCGGCGCACAAGAATGCTAATTTGAAAATAACATTTCCCAAGTTATAGTCTATATACACTCGGTTATTAAAACTTGGCTCTCACGCGGAATAATAGACGTAGTACTTACCGTTCGTAGACAAGTTTAGGTCCTCTAAGAAATTGTCCGTATTTGCTTGTGACAAGTTTCCACGATCGAGGTCCAAGGCAAAAAATGCGATGCACGCCCACAACGTGATCTTCCAGTCAAGCTTGTTAATGAGTGGCAACTCCTCAGCCCACGTCCATCTCGCGCTCGGGTCGAACCGGTGTAAGTTCTCGTACTTTTCAGTTGGCTGGAAGTGCTTCGCTTTCTCCGGGTCGTCGAAAACGGAAGGCTGCGTCGCAATCTCGTCCAAGTTGTGCTGCGGCTGCTTCCTACGGAATAGAGTCATGATAGGGAGTACCGGAGGCTCTGTCTTCTGCAATTCTTGGTGCATAAGAATCCGTTCTTTTATGGCGGCCGGATCTTCGCCATGCTTTTTCTCGGAACCCGATAGCGACTCGGGCCGGATCACGACTGTGTCCTTTGAATCTGCCATGATATCTGAATAGCTGGACAACGTCCAATATTTTCACGTCTGAACTGATTCTCGAGATTGGTAAATTTGGCAGTACGCCACGGATAACGGCCATCCTTATAGTGCTTCTGGTGCTTGAAGCTGGCGCGTGGACGAGACCTTGGCGTGATCTCGCCATTCGCCATCTTCCTCCTTTAGGAATTACTGGCCGTCGTATTGTCTGGGCTCGGTTGAAAACTGCAACGCAGTACAGGAATTTTTGGAGGCATATGAGGAAAGTTTCTCGGGTAGATTTGGAAAAGGTGAGCACGCCATATATAGGTTTTAATCACGAATGTGGCCAAGACTTGCCAATACAATGATAATTACGCTATGTACGACACGAACTACCAACCACTGTTCACCCTACCAGCCGTCAAGGACTCAGCGTAGTAATATCTCCGTGCTCCTGGCATATCCAGCTCCTTGGAATCGGGTTTGTGAGTAGATCAAGTCAAAATTAGCCAATAGAAGTGTCCCCGATGGTGTTCGCCGCATCTATGCAAGTATCAATTCTGACGGAATTCGGCAACCCCCCAAGTCTCTTTAGATACTTCGTTCATGTATTATGGATTATAATACATAAGGTAAATTAGTACTAGCAGGCTGTGGTTATTGAAGCGCCACTTACACATATGTAATTAACTGGAAAGCTAGTAGTGATCATGGCTTACTTAAGCTGGAACTGACTTGAGGAACTGTTAACTGAGTCAAGTCGATACCTGCGAATTAGTTGGCTTGGCCAGACTTCCCTTTGCGTGAACTAATTCCGTGGCAAGATACGTATCAAGTTTTCACTCCGGCTGTAAGCTATCTATCATAGAGATCGTGCGGACTGTAGGGCCGACTGCATGTGGAGTCTACCGACACGATCTACATGATGAAGTTAAACAGGATACTATGGAATGGATGTTGAAGTTAACTGGGCAGGTAGCCATCACTTATACGTGTATAGGCTCCTATTGTCTAAATACCAAAAGAAGACTATAAGTAACTAGGTACTCTTATCACTTTGGGAATATATAAAACTGAAGTTGTTTGTACTATTATCGTAAAGTCTCCGAGGAAGTTCGCATTTAGGAGATTTCGTTATCTTTTAAACTACGATATCAATTATATCGAATAGGACGTGTAACATGAACTATAGCTTAGTAATACATCTACAGCAGAGCGGGGAATACAAATACTCCAAGGTCGTAGTGGGGGGTAGCTCTCGAGTCTCCAATATGTAACTTTATTAGCTAGATATTTGGTATATAAGATCTTCGTATACCTAGATCTATACTAGAAAATCACATCCCATGTAAGAGGCGGCAAAGAAAGTAAACCTCGTCCAGTAGTACCTAGTCTTCTCTCGCTTATCCTTCACTTTTCCAAATCCCAACTGCTGCCGAGACACCTAACCAAAATGTCGGCCCCTCCTAACCTTCCCAAGATGACCTATCGGTTCCTAGGCCGATCCGGTCTCCAGGTCTCGGCCATCTCTCTAGGCGGCTGGCTCACCTACGGCGGACACGTCGATAACGGTATACCTACCGTTCAGAGACGCATGTGTAGAATGGCACGGTGCTAACTGAAGCCGTAGAAAATACTTTCACCTGCATGAAGGCTGCTTATGACAGCGGCATTAACTTTTTCGATTGTGCCGAGGGCTACGCGGGTAAGGGAGCAACTCCTCATAAAAAGAATCGATGGTCGGATTCAGATCCGCGGGCTGATGTAGTAAAATAGGGGGCAAGTCAGAGGAGGTGATGGGCGAGGCAATCAAGAAGTTCGGCTGGAAACGCAACGACCTCGTGATATCGACCAAGGTACTGAAGTAACACGCCGACTCCCTAGGACTAGCTACCTACTGTGCTAACATCGCTACAAAGATATATTGGGGCGGCGCGTTTGGTGACAACCCCGTCAATAACAAGGGGCTTAGCCGGAAGCATATCATCGAGGGCATGGACGCCTCGTTATCTCGCCTAGGGCTCGAGTACGTAGACCTAATCTACGCGCATCGCCCGGATAGACTCACGCCGATGGAGGAGACGGTGCGTGCCTTCAACCACTTGATCAACACCGGAAAAGCGTTCTACTGGGGCACCTCGGAATGGAGCGCCGACGAGATCGCCCAGGCGTGGCGCTACGCCGACAAATTAGGCCTCATCGGTCCCGTTATGGAACAGCCGCTATACAACATGCTGGATCGCGAGAAGGTGGAGAAAGAATATGCTCATCTGTACCGGGAAGTTGGGCTTGGGCTGACGGTATTTTCGCCGCTGAAGACGGGCATCCTCTCTGGCAAGTACAAGAACGGAATCCCCCCTGATTCAAGATACGCCCAAGAGTCGATCGAGTTTATTGCCGGGTTCTGGAAGCGGACAGGCAAGGAGAAATGGGAGGGTATTATCGAGCAGGTGAAGAAGCTAGAGCCCATCGCGAACCAACTCGGCGTTAAGCAAAGCCAGCTAGCCTTGGCATGGGTGCTCAAAAATCCCAACGTGAGCTCCGCCATCACCGGCGCGAGTAGTGCCGAGCAGGTGTACGAGAACGTGCAGGCCGTTGAAGTTGTCGACAAGCTGACCCCAGAGATTATGGCCAAGATCGATGAAATTCTCGAGAACAAACCGCCTGCCATCATTGAAAGGTTTTAGGCGGGAACTTGTAATGCTACTAGCTATTGGCAAGATGTTAGAGGTAGTTAGTCTAAAAAAGCAATAGATATAGATGCCGACCTTTATGGAATGCAAAGACTATCCCTGGGCTCACCAGCTACCGGTAGCTCATCACGGATATCGAAAAGTCCTCCTCGATGACTCGACCAGGTAGATAAACATTAATATTCATTAAGAGTAAATGTAGAACGCCTCTGATACGGCTGCCACCAGTCCCAAGCAGGCATCAATCAGATTCCAACCCTTCCCAACGAGGACGAATCACCCAGATGTCCCGTGCCACCAATATTCTATACAACCCGACATACCAACGTAATGAGTCGCCGTCTAATATATCTCATTTAATAAATAACCGCAATAACTTCGTTAGATAACCTAGATAGCCCATAGGCCGCTCAAAACTCCGTTTCCCTACATATCCTTCCAAGCCTTCCGTTCTTCAATCATAGGGTTAATGTAGAGGTAAGACCGCTCTCGGGGGCGGTTCTGGTATGTTGGATGTCGGAACGGGTGTTGTAGATTGATTTTGATCCGCTCCTTGTTGTAATTCGTCGTATGTTGGTGGTCTGCTGGTACCGGGCCTGTCTGTGGCTATAGCACCCGGCAATGGTTGCAAGGGACTTAATTCTACGTCGTCTGTGTTATCGGGTCGTTTTTGTGCCGGGGTGTAGGCTGGTGGCGCTTCACCCAGCTCATTTAGACCTTCCTCTCTACTACCAAACTCCGATCCTAGTCCACGTCTCCCTCCTCTCGTCCGCCGCTCGGTCGGTGCTCTCGATCTCGAACGGTTGCCCATGGCTTCTAGATCTCGTTCTAAAGCGCTGGTGCCGTATAACATGCGGAGCTTTCTTCGGCGGCGATAACGGTAGCACATGAGGAGCGTTCCAACACCGACGAATATGATGATCGGAACAAGTACCCAAGAGAACGGGTACGTTGCGAATATATTGCCTGAGCCGGTGTCGTCTGGGTCCATTTTCGGGTTCTATTTGAACGTGTCGCGTGACTTAGATCAGAGGCCCCTTCAGCTCGGGGCTCAAATAAATTATACGCTGGACTGGAAGTGTAGTAATGTAGGTGGAAGATTTAGAAGCGATGTTTCAATGATCAGCTGTTGTTGACGAAATATTCGTACGTCAAGTGCGACGCAGAGAGCGGAGAATCTTTGTGGCGCCGAGGGGTGATAGAAGGTGGTGATTTCATCTAATATCCATCGGGTTGATTGGTATCGTACAATGTTGGCCTCGCAACGCTATGCTTGAGAATACATTATACGAAAGCAAGTCTGCAAAATTGCACCTCGTACCGTTGGTGGTGGCTCGAATTCATCTGATAGTTCGGAGAGTACGACGTGAATCGGGGTGGGATAAAGAGACGGGCGGCTCGAGTGACGAGGGGGATGAATCCTCTTCGGTTAACCCCTGAGATATCTGAGATATGCAATCAGATTTCTTCCGAAGAGGTTACAATTATTCTGAACTAGGTTGGCGCAAAGTGGTGAGCTGCGGGAGATGAAAGTTCAAATACCTAAGGTAAATATGCCGATAGGTGGCCCGGTAAGTTCGGATCATTGAGCTGATAACCGGCGTTTTAAGGCTTTGTCGCTACGTAAACGTTTGTTAGCGTTAAGCCAAAATCCGTGCTAATCCTTTACTCCCCCGCAGCTCTAGCTTACTATGTACATGAGGTACCTAACGTTACCTGTGTTGTATTAATATACCTATGTACTCCGTATGCGTATCGTATCCATGGTATATTTCGGGTTTTCTAATTATTGTGCAGTATATAAAGTATGTCATTTTCGTAGCAGGGGTTCAAACTACTCTTTGATTTGTTAGACTTATTCTGCTCGGCTAGAGACATTAGAATCATCTATGTAAAGATTAAGACATTGACATTAATGGTTCAATGTTGATTGACAATTGACTAGGTACATGTAGCGTACGTTAGGTTAGGTACTTAATGCTACATAATGTAAGGACCTACATGCTTGCTCAGGACCGCCCTAAACTTTATTTATTTAAGGAACTCATGTCAGCTCTACCTCAAGTTTGGTGTGGGTCTAACTACTATACCTTTTCGTAGCCGGAAGTTTCATCCATTCCATCTAGGTTAGACTTTTAGCGTCCGTAAGCACGGGAAACGACACTTTACGGAATCCATCAATCTTTGGTAAAGCAGCTGTTTTATCACTAAGATACCTAGTTAACTACCTACCTAATCCTTTCAAGCTGCGATAAAAATAAAGCAGAGGAATCTCGGCCGAGGAGCACAACTCTTATCATACCGCGACAAACAAGAGACCTTGGAAGACTAATTACACGATGGTCCGCGCTATCAAAGGTCTTTTTCATTTTTCTCTCTCTTTAATTTGCTATATCATCTGGTTGCTAATATATATTCAGGGACTTTGGTTGAGTGCGAGCCCTCAATCAAATCCATCATCGTCAGTATCGACAGCCAGAACAATGAGTATATAATTGAGGATCTCGACGAATCTCACCTGGTAATCAAAGATAATATGGTGGCCCAGTTGAAGATGGAACTCGATAAGGTATAGTCAGGGCTTCCCCAAACTCTTAGCTTAGGCTACTAACACGTCTTATCAGCGATTGAAGGAGAACGTCCCCGAAGTAGAGGACGACTCCGATTCGGACCGGGATGTTCAATAAAAGGAATTCAATGGCTACCTAGGTACCTAGGTAGACGCCCCTATAAAACATCGACAAATGTAAATTCTTATATAATTCGCTTCGTACACAGCAGTCTATCAATTTAAAAGGACGCCAAGTCTCTTTCTGCTACTTGTTGCTTGTAATTGGGCCTACACTCGGGTGCGCTTTGATACCATCCAAAGCACCTGTCAATCCTGTCAATATCAATCTATAGCTTCTCAAACCTCGGCCTAGTCCTCCTTAGTCCAGATAGCAGCGCGGTTTTAAAGTCGTTAGATTGAAGCATCGCCTGGTTCCACAAGCTTGTGTATCTCAAGTCTATTCTAGTTAGTTATCGCACTGCTGTATACCTTGAAGGCGGACTTACTATCAGCAACTGTGTTGTCCCTTGCGTGGTTCAACAACTCTTTCGTGCCCTGGACGGCAACTGGGCTCTTGGATGCTATGAATGATGCAAGCATGCTGGCTGCCTCGATGGCCTTTGCTTTGGTTTCTAGCACCTGACTCACGAATCCAACAGCAAGAGCCTCTTCGGCGCCAAAGCCCCGGGCTGTTAAGCAAACATCCTTAACCCACGAGAAGCTCGAGACGATCTTGGGTAGCCTTGCGAGAGTACCAATGTCTGCAGCCATACCGATGTCTACTTCCTTGACAGAAAACCTTGTATCTCTCGAGCAGATTCTCACGTCTGCGCAGCAGGCTATATCGATAGCCAAGCCGATAGATACACCGTTCATGACACAGATAACAGCTAGCATATTGTTTAGTTGGCCATGATTTAAATGTGGCGAGCGAGAATGAATGTTTACTTACGCTTCTCGCATTTCTCTATCTGGTTTATGCAGTCTTGGAACTCGGAGATCTGACGCCGAAGCTTCGTTGCCTGTCTCGCGGCATCTGGTTGTTGATCGCGATTCCCTAGGAGGCCTCCCTGATCCACGGCTTGCACATCTAGACCAGCGGTAAATGCCCGGTCGCCGACTGCAGAAAGTATTATAGCGCGAACACCTGGATCACGAGATAACTTTGCGAATATCCTTCCAATCTCTACCCACATATCTGGTGTGAATGCATTTAGCTTGGATGGGCGATTGATCTCGACGTGCGCCACATATTCGGATGGCGACGAGATAATAAAGTGCCTAAAGTCCGAGTAACTTTCTCTTTCCGATTGGGCCATGATTTAAAACTTGGGGTTTACAAAATGGGAGTCGATATAAGTAAACGCTTGGGCGGTATAAGGCGATATAAGGCGATATAAATGTCTTGGGAAATGTGAGGAGTTGAAACTGATTCTTTTCTACCTACATATCTCTTATGTAAATCGTCCCAGCTTTTATGACTTGTCCTGCTTGTCTTACGCCCCCGTCTTGCCGAGGCACCTCTTATGGACCCTGTTTTGAATTGCATATGTACCGTTACATGTTGCTATGCATCTGTCGTATGCAATGATGCATCTGTCGCGAAGTCTTCCAGCCACATTTCATTGATCCCTGTTTGTCTTGTCTTATCGATACATCCTTATCACATCTTATCACACCAAGCTAAAGTACGATTTGGTTTAGATCGTCGGTGGGAAATTGTCTAATCGACCGATTCCTACTATGTAAGAAAAAAAAAAGTTGATTGGTTTCTCAACTCACTTATACGTTTTTTTCTTCCTTAACGGAAGCACACGACAGCATACATCACACCTGTTGACGATGGCGGCAGAGGTTGCGCCGCTTCCGCAGCTGAAGCTTCCTTCGGGGCCTTCTCAAATTACTGCAGAACAGCGATATTGGAAGTCATTTAAGAATCAACTTGTGATTCCGTCGCCGACTCAATACCCCATCACCCACATCACCGTTCCCGCGACTAATCCAGCTGCGATTGGTACTTCCAACAATGATTATTTCGCTGTCACGACGGGAACCCGCGTCCAGATTTACTCGATAAGAACGAGGAAGCTGGTTAAGACGATTACCCGTTTTGGAGACATTGCGCGAAGCGGAGACGTACGACGGGATGGTCGTATATTGGTGGCCGGAGACGATACGGGCAAGATACAAGTCTTTGACGTCGGGTCGCGAGCGATTCTCAAGACGTGGGCGCAACATAAGCAGCCAGTATGGACAACGAAATTCTCCCCGGCCGATCTCACGACTCTTATGAGTACGAGCGATGATAAAACAGTGAGATTATGGGATCTTCCTAGCCAAGAGAGCACGTCGACGTTCGTAGGCCATGCCGACTACGTGCGCAGCGGCAGCTTCATGCCCGGAACCATGTCAAACATGCTGGTATCCGGTAGTTACGATTCCACAGTGAAGCTCTGGGATCCCCGAACACCGGGCACAGCCGTCATGACGTTTAAACACGCTGCACCTATAGAGGACGTGTTACCTCTTCCCTCTGGAACTACTGTTCTCGCATCGTCCGAGAACCAGATCTCCGTTCTAGACCTCGTGGCTGCGAAACCGCAACACATAATATCCAATCACCAGAAGACCGTCACTTCTCTGTCCCTTGCCTCTAACGGCCGTCGCTTAGTGTCCGGAGGTCTAGACGGCCATGTCAAGATCTTCGAGACGACGGGTTGGAACGTCGTCGCAGGCGCCAAGTACCCCTCTCCCATCTTGGCTGTTAGGGTCATTACCGCCGGCGCCAACGACGACGACCGACACTTAGCAGTCGGCATGCAGTCTGGTGTTCTCTCGCTGCGCACGCGGCTCACGGGACCTGAAGCAACCCGCGAGCGTGAGCGTGAGAAGGAGATGGCCGCGCTGCTCTCCGGGAACATCGACTCGCACGACAAAGTCAAGAATAAGCGGAAGCGTCGTCACGGCGCAGCCAAGCATCTCGACATGATCGGAGAGGGCGCCGACGTCGTCATCGCCAATGATCTCTCGCGACCCAAGCGCGAGACGCCCTGGCAGAAAGACCTACGGCATGGCCGGTTCGCTGCGGCCCTAGACCGTGTGCTCGACCCAAGCGCCAAGGACCACAGTCCATTAACGGTGCTTACGCTGCTGATCGCACTTCGCCATCGCAGCGCCCTACGCGAAGCCCTCGAGGGTCGCGACGAGGCCACTGTCCAGCCCATCCTCAAATGGGTGCAGACACACATCATCGACCCGCGCTACGTAAGCATGTGTACCGACGTCGCCATGCACCTACTCGATCTATACTCCGAATTCGTCGGCGGCAGCGCCGAGCTCCAGGCTAACTTCAAGACGCTGCACCGCAGGGTGCGGCTCGAAGTCGAGAGGGCGCAGGTGGCGACTCAGACGAGCGGGATGCTGGGGACCTTGCTAGTGAGCAGCTTGGATTAATGTTACTCGGCTCTATCGAAGAAGAGACGGATCGGTCTGAGGGAAAGGGGGGGTATCGGGGGAAGTGGAAAGGAAATTAAGAAATAATCTCGAGAAGGTGGTTCTTTTTTGCATGGCGATGGCGTTTCGGGCCGGAAAATTAAGGGTATTTTTCGATTGAGGCCATTTCAGGATCGGATCGGACTTGATATCTATCTGGGTACGAACGAAGGAAGCTCGCCCGCCGGGCGTTGTAAGACTCGCGTAGTATAAGCAAAAGAAATATATAGCCTTGTATTAAGGATTCTATGCTACGGTTAAGACTGGTTGAGTTGCGGGTTCCAATCCTGGAAAAGAACACAAGTCGAAAACACATTGCGTATCGTCAAATTCCAGCTGACCCGCCTGAACGTTCGTTTTGAATCATTCGTATATTTCCAGTGGTGCCTATCAAAATCGGTCCTACCAAGTAAAGCTGCCTCTGAACTTCCTAGCTTCTAATTACGTCAACCCTGTTGCGTACGAGTCTAAAATGAGATTTAGACCATTTTCCATTCGGCCCTCCGCGGTATTTTTCACACGCCGAAGACCTCCCTTTCCGCACGTCCGTCTTGTCTATATGATCACGGCCAAACGCGATTGCCCTCCCTCCGACACATCAAAGAAACACCCCCAAGATACCGGACAAAGACGGGAAAGGGAAATACAAAACAGCAAAAGCAAGTAACCGGTACCTACCTCATTTGCTTCAAACACATTATACATATTATACAACGCCTTCTTTCGAATTCGTAAATGCTCGTATCATCAATATCTTCCATGTCGTCGTGCTCGGCCCGTGCCGATATCAATCCTACTCATTTCTTCCATGAGCGCCCACTCTTCGTTGCCTCCTCGCCCCGGGGTTGGCCCTAAGCCGCCACTCATCATTGGTACCTTGGCTGGAATTGGAGGGCCGATGCCAAATCCCGAGCGAGCGGCGCCTGAGCCGTGATTCTCATAATCAAATGTGCTAGCACGAACGAGCGCTCGAGGGGGCGTGCTATTACGCTGATGAGGCGTGGAAGGGCCAAGTGGATTAGGCCCTGAGGATATTGGCGCCGGCAGGGCTGATGCACGGTGTGCTTTCTTCTGTAAGCGGTTTCGCCCCGTGCTCACAGGAGGAGAAGGTGTGGGGTCAGAAGGGATATATGCTGGCGGTGCAGCTATTGCCGACTGAGGCCGAGTACTGGTACGGGGTGGCCGGCGGCTAGAGGGTGGCATCGGTTGCGCGCCAGCAGGCACCGGACGTGAACGTGTCTCCACAGGCTCAACAGGCTTCTTTGGCTCTGGTTCCGGCGCCCAAGTGTCCATAGGCAAGTGATCTGAGGGGTCAACTTCTCGTCCATCTGGTGTCACTATCTTTCCGTCTGCATTGGTGTATTCTCCATCCTTTGTCGACGCTACAGTAGGATTCAGGGCGTCATAAGAGTCTGGGCCGAAAGGAACCCCTGACAGTCGGCGACCATCAGATGGGGGAGGCGCCGGACTAACCGACTTGCGTTTGATCGTGTGGTTAGCGCTCGGGGCCGGAGAGACTCCCCGAGACCTCGAACCCGGAGTTGGTCCCGAAGGCGTGGTAGGCCCACCAACATAATTTACTAGGCTTCTATCATAGACCCTCGAGTTACTTGGATGGTGGGCATTAGGTGAATGCTGAATAGCGTAATTTGAGGGAGGCTCGCTTTGCTGTCTACCTCGGGTTTGAGTAGTCATAGGAGATGGTTGGGTATATCGACGCGCTTGCTTTCTTTCTTGCTGGAAGCGATCCGAGATCTCGCGCGCCATAGCTGGGTCAACCCCTGGAACTAGCGTTGGAGGTACGGAAGGGATATCATAAGCGTTTGGCGCATGCACTTGACTATTTTCTAGTTCACTTGGATAATTCGGAGTATGATCTATCTGCCTCGAATACTTTGGCACCAGAGCAAGTGCTTGGGAATAATCCTCAGCAGGTATGGGCGATGGTGATTTGTTATAGCCACTAGGGTCGTACTGCTCTTGAGATGAGATAGGGGAGGGGCTATAATGTCCAGATGGCGCACTATCACGCCCGTTTAAAGCCAACGGCGCAGGACTGGAAGCTTGATGATACTCCTGCTCGTCGTACTGGTGCGTTCTAGATCCGCTACCTCGGGGTCTTGCGCTTGGTGGTGTCCAGGATTCCGGAACATCCTCTACCGTCGGTTGCATTGATCGGTAGTGAGCTTCATATGCTGGATCGTAAGAGTAATGGCGTGACTGGCGGTTAGCATCGGCCTCGCGGTACGGCACCATGCTTTGCATATCCGGAGCCGACTCGTATGGGCGGTACGTGGGTCGACCAGGATAAGATGACGGCGCCGCTGAAGGCACTGAGTATCGATGGGCTTCGTTCCGTAAGACGTCATGCCTCATATGTGGGACAGCTTTATGCTGTAGCATGTCGAAGCTGCCACGGGGTACTAGTTCTTGTGAACCTACACTTGAGTTCCTAACTCGGTGGGCCGGCGGGGGCGGAGGGCAGTCATCGAGCTCAATCGATTGTCGAGGGTGGTGGACTGGCGGCGAAGACTCATAGGTTGGCTGACCATGGGTAAAAGATGACCTGGTATCTAGTTCATATGACCGACCATAAGCAGAGTCCGAATAACGTGGTTGTTCAGTATCTTGCGGCGGAAGTTTATAGTTCCTATCCATCGGTCGGTGTTGTGGAGGCTCTGCTCGGTGGGATGGCGTCGAGTACTGGCTCCCGCTGGGATGTGTTAAAGAGTACTGATCGAGCTGGTTGCTGGGTCTGTTTGAGGGTGATGTGCCGTATTCAACAGCCTGTAATGGCGCGTGGCTCGGAACAAATGAGGATGGGGGTGTTGGCTGTGGTCGGGACGGGGTATGCGTTTGATCTGCCACTGACGGTGAAGGTGCCTGACCCGTGACAGGATCGGAGGGCAACGGACGCCGTTTTACTACCGTCTTCTGGGGCCCACTAGCGGGTTCTGCGTCGAGGTTTGGTATTGCCTTTTCGGCTTTTGGGCGGCTGTCGTAAAAGGTGATCTCGATTCTAACCTCACCCGCATATTTGCCTCGATAATTCAAGCTATGCCACTGGTCGCTCTGTCCACCTCCTCGTACAATTATATCGCGTAGGTCAATCCACGTTTCGCCTATTAATTCCGTCTTCCTATCGTCGTTGAATACGGAGAGTTTTAACTGATAGTAGTCGAGCGAGTCGTGAACTACAAATCGAAGCTCTTGGTCCCTACAACGAATCCAAGATGTTAGTCAAGACGTACAATTTAGGTAGTTGCTGGCAATGTTAGATACGCACCATTTAGGGGTCTGACCACCTCGAATATCTGTAGTTGTCTTCTTCGCTTCTTTCGCCAGCCGCGCGGCGCAGTAGGGATCTTGTTTTCCAATTGTCTTCCTGTTTGGAAGATTCTTTGCACGATCAACAATAAGCACGAGAGTTCCAATCTCAGGGCCATCGACGCTCATATCGGAAAAGATACCGGCTGTATGCATGCCGTTTAATGGGTTAGGCATTTTCGGTTTAGTAGCCATCTTTCGAGTGGTTGAAGTTATCAAGCAGCTCTCATTGGAAGGCTGAGGTCGAATAAAAATCCCGATCCCGATCCAATTGACACAATCGATAGTACCGAAGGATAGATTTAAAGGTTGCGAGTTTACAGTTGTCTCGGTTGCTCGGCGGGTGCCTTTGTTGATTCTTCCGAGTAGACCTCGTATACGTTTAACTGCTAATAGCAGAATCAAAACGAGAGTCGGTGTTGAACGACCGGGAGAAGAGTAAAAAAAAAATAATAAGTTTAAGACCAATGAACGAGAGAATCAAATAAGCATCCAATATTATGAAGTTCCAATATTATGAAGTAGAGACCCAATTAGACAATGACAGCGGAAGTAGGAGAATGCAGAAGAGGATAATGACTTGCAGGTTTGCAGCCGGGCTAGAAGATACCCATACCTTGTCGAGGTGGGCAGCGGCCTGCAATTGGAGTGGCTGGTGACGAAAACAATGAGGTTGGGGCTTTTGGTTGGTCGAACAGGTCTTACCCGCTCCTGCTGTAGCAGTGCTAGCAGTTTTCGTGCTGCCGGGGAACTCCACAAGCTGAGGAAAAAACCCCGCCTCCCTAAAAAGATACCCCTGCCCTATGCTAAGACTTTAAAGACTTCAGGGCGCACAAGACGACAGGGGCCTTGTTTAGTGGGACCAGAACCAATAGGGACGCTAGATTAAGGTAACTTGTGTCAGGGAAGTATTTCCTTGGTTCGATTGCCCTACTTCTTATTCGTCGACTCTTTCGTATTATTCGAGTTATTGAAGAAAATAAAAGGTTTGTTATACCTGAGATGATTCTTAAACGAGATTCCTTTGAATTGTTCGCAGAGTACGGCATTGGGGTTTTCTCCGTTTTTAGGAAATTGTATTGATGCCTACCCTGCACAGCCTAGACGCGCAATCCACGAGGCTCTGCACTGTGCCGAGACGCCTAAATGACGCGACCATAATTATTTTCCGACGGCTCAGATTCAATCCCGCATCGACGGTCGAGAATCATATGAGCTGATCTTAATGATCGTTTTGTACACGGCTTTACATACGATGAACCTAGCCAAAACCCCCAAAATTTATTTCATTAAGTTACATTCACTATGGCGAGAGAATTATACATGCCGATTATCCAGGTTAAAGTGTCTCATTTACACTTACCTTGGATACCTGAGGTATGTACGCTTGAAGCATAATCATTCTCTATTGCTACGCTCTTACTAATGTCCCAACCCAGCTAAGTGGTACTATCTTCCGAACTACCATCGGAACTACGTCAGAATGCGTAATGGTCAAAATACCTAACACTAGTTGAACTTAAAGCGCGTACCTATCAAATAGTACGTGTACGTATATGTGGAATGCTGTGGGCTTTGTTAAACCAATCAGACTCAAGGAGTAACATTGATAAAAGGGTTGTCTGCAACCTTCAGACGACACATACCACATGCAAACAAACTTCGAGGTTGAAAATTTAATGCACAAGTTAATGAATTGGGATATCACGGTACGTATGCTCCAAACGTTGACCGCACAATTCAAAATTGGACCAATCTTTTAATTTGGGTTGTTAAGACTGATACACTCGTATACTCCGCATTTACATAACTGCTTGACCGTGCTAATATTCCTGGCTTGTACGAACAACCGCATCATACCCCTTATATCCCTTACATATCATTGAGGCGGTCCTTCGCGCTCTGCTTAGCTTCATCGGAGACCTTGGGGTTGTTAATTGCTCTGCAAAGATGGTTAATAATTAACTCGCCATCTTAGACGAACCCACTTACGCCTTTAAACCACCGGCGACATTCCCAGGGTTCTTGTTACCATCATCACCGCCATTCCCAGACTTGGGTACTGCAGGAATGATTAGAAAGCGGCCCAAGATAGGATACATGTTGGGCTAGATTCTTACCATCCCCACCGTTGAACTCGTTGTCGAGGACTTGCTTGGAATGTTCCTTAGACTCCTGACTGGTGTTAGGGTTGTTCAAGTTGGCCTTGTGACCGCCGGCTATTTGCGCTTCAGTGGGCATGGTGGATAATTTCAGATGGATAACGCGTTAAATATTAATACGATTGATGCTGACTAGTAAGTATTAGGTTATGTGTATTGTTGCTGTTATGTTGATACGAGACTGAATGGGAAAGAATCTAACTCCTCTTTATACACGTTTCTTCAGACCTTACTTAGGCTTACTTCCTATATCCTTTATGACATCCTCTATGACATATGAAGCCGCTGACGCCTATACTCCAGTTAATTACCAGCATAGACAATTAAGTCATGACGACAACAACGTGTAGTTTAGAGTCGTGTAATCACCAGTCAAGCCACCTTAGGCTACTTAGGCCTATGTCGGAAAGATTATCCTGGTCCGTACTTAGACATGATCGGTCAGGAGATTTACAGAGCTGAATCTAAGGTCTATCATATGTACATAACAGCATAAATCGAGAACCCCAGGATTTGTGTCATCGACCAGAATTATCGAGCATCGGACAGTGTTATTGAAGTTAATCACGACATAAGGCTTATCTGCTCTGAGAGGTGATCGCCAGGGACCGCGGATAGTCTGCTCCGTTACAGGTTCAAAGACTAAACGATTGGACTATATGAATTGTCATGAGCAAGCCTTACTGTCTACAGTTTAATACCAAGTTAGGCCCACATGAACCTCCACAGTGCGGCTTAACCCACGATTCAGCCTCAGATGTTAGCAACATCGACGTTATTCGTCGCCTCCCAATTATATTAACTATTACCCAATACCATACGAACGGCACTAAGCGTACTACGAGGCGCTACATCGATGGTAAGTCACAGGAGGAAAGAGTAATTATCGACGGCACTAGGTGATTATCCGGAACAGCCTCTAAACTCGAATATTTCAAGAGTTATGTAAGAGACATCCCCTGCATAATATGAAGAATGCAATTGCTCAAAAAGGGTGTCCAGTTAAGCATCGACAATATTTCAGCGGTGTCGACTATACACCAGATTGTGTGAAGCCTTCAAAGCTTAGCCTTGAAGGGTCCAGACAGCCAGATTCCAATCACATTCCCTTAAGATCAATTCGAACCCCACTGTCTAAACACGCTGCCGAACGACCCCTGAGAAGATGTGGACTACAAACCATCAAGACTACCTAATGTATGCAACGAATCGTGAACGCAATCGACCGATACCCAATCGTTTTCACGGCTAGCTCCATGTCGTTCAATAGTGCCCCCCTTTTTTGCGAAAGTGCTCTCGTCAACCGCGATTTACGATTGGATCAAGATATGAGTTCCGAGTTACTATGCAGGATATGCTATTGAGTGGACTAAAAGCAGATCAACTGGGGTGACTTGATACCAACCCCAAGAGGAGGTATGAACTACAGACCGACTTGTATGCTGCCGGTTACCGTAACGGCCCCACGGTTGAGACGGCGGTCTAGACCAGTACGCATATGCATACCGACCGACTCGTAAAGAATTATTAAATGGCTAACGTCGACGGGGAATCAACACATTTAAAAGGAGCCTCTTCACAATGATCTAATAACTAACCTAGATAGATCTTAAGACGAATTTATTCGCCCCAGTAATCCATACCGTTCTTTAACTTCGAGGTTTGATCCATTTTGTAGATATTAATGATGGTGTATAGTAGAACGGTGACGCGGATATGTTTGTAAGACTTTTACTGAATACAATTCCGAGTTGTTACATTCAAGCCTTCAAAATGCACATACCATCTACCCAAGTTCTACACAGGAGTTACGGTGTGGCTTGACAGGAGACAATTACCTTCCATAGCAGCATACATAATAGGTACCTAAATGTGGGACAAGTCCCGCTTTTAGCATCGGAGAATCGCCCATCTGATTGGCAATTGGCTATGCACATACCTACCAGGTAACTTCTAAGCATCCTGGCATCCATTCATACACTACAACGAACTATTCGACTTTTACTAAACCCAGTAATTAACGCGCCGTTATTGATATTCCATACCGATATCCCAAGATGTCCTCTTCCCAACCTTCATCTCAGCCACCGACTATTAACTACGTGGCTGGCTTCCTACTTGTCGGGCTTGCTTGGGGATTTACGACACCCTTCATTCGCCGTGCGGCCAAAGATCATAACCCACCGGCTCATCCGACACTAGCAAGAGACGACGTAAAAGCAAGCCGAGTCAAGAGTAAACTTTACGGGGCTTTTTTTGCCGTCCTTGATCTACTGAAGAACCCGAGATATGCTGTTCCACTGCTGATCAACTTGACCGGGAGTGTTTGGTTCTTCCTCCTCATCGGCCAAGCAGGTAAGTCGACTGGTTCCATCTTGATGCTATCAGGGCTTTGATATACTAACATCCCGCCACAGAATTGAGCTTGACGGTCCCAATCGTAAACACACTAGCCTTCTTATTCACAGTACTTGGCGACTGGTGGGTTGACAAGAAGGTTATAAGCAGAGGTAAGTCATTATTGCCATAACATCGATGTACCTAATTACTAATTAAGTTAGATACATGGATTGGAATGATCTTGTCTTTATGTGGTATTGCGTTATGCGTCCGGAGTAAAACTAGCTGATATTTTTTTGCTCATATGAAGATGATCAGACACTGCCGATAATTCTCGAAAAAAAAAATTTAGGATATTGAAGAGTTAGGAAAGCTTTCGGGTTCTAATAAGAATCGGTCTTGAAAGAACAAGGTGGAAATAGGTCCAAACGCAGATCCCGGGTGTATCCCACCATGGGAGAACATACCACACATCTACAAAGACCAGCGCAGGTATAGACGTCACTATCATACAGGCAAACTCACGATGACTCTCAACCCTATGCTAAGAATAGATGCTGACTTGCTCCTACAATGAGCAAAGCTCGCGCTCATACATGTTTCATGCAAGTCTTTGATTCGTGTGCTGTGCTACGGGAAGAGGGCATCGCACGTTATTAGTAGTTATCCTGGTGAAACGACCACTAGTCAAAAGGTCGCGGTAGTTTTCAGTATGGCGTCTCATGTAGAGTATGCTCACAGATAAGGTATATGAGATCCTAAATCGTCCCTCGCTATAATAAGCCTAAAGACGAAGAGAGTGCTGCGAAGGAAATACGGTGACTACAGTCAATTTAAGGTTATCCACATACCAGAGACTCAGAAGTCAAAAGCACCACAGTGGTCAAATAGGATAGTGCAAAAGATCTCTCGGTACTTCGTACAAATCGAAAATATTCTATTAACATACTAATTTCTTTTAGCATCTAGAATATTCAATATAATATCAAGACTACCCGAGTGCAATATTAAACTAATAGGCCTTTGAGTTAAGAAGTGTATGACAGGTCTTTATTTCTTCCGGCCGGTCCGTCCCGCTACAATTGGGGAAAGGAACGGCAAAGTTCCTTTCAACCCTCTAAGGATTCGCACGAGCTACAATCGCTATAAAAACCTGGGTGATAAAGAAAACTCTCTACTGGGAGACAATCGTGTAACCGGCCATCTTTACTCGAGTCAGCCTCCATAGTGTTACATACTCAAGTCTTCAAATCTAATCGATGGTGGACTATAATAATATGTAAGAAGCGAAAATAGGTCTATCCCCACAATATTCTAGAACCTACCTAGACTTATACAATTGAAACAGTGAAGACAAATATCTAGGTAGTTGATATAAACCACGTATGGAGCTAGCTTTCTTGAACGAGATTCGAGTTACTGTACTAGATGGTATCATTGACTACGTCAAGCGCAAGGTAAAGTTGCAAGTAGAGTGAATATCTTGGAAGCAAGGGAACTGTGATAGCAAGCTTAGCTGGCGCTTGTATCCCACGATGGCAGGGTAACATCAACGCAGGGCGACCTTTAACAAAATGCCAGCGATGCTTAGGTTGGTGTAAAACAAGTGAGATTTAGGCACGTGTGTAAGTGTCTCTATTCAGTAACAATAGGATGCGTATTTCCTTTAGGAAGATCAATGTTGAACCACCTCAGATCGTGCATATTAATATCGAGCCACGAGACTTATCGAAGCCACTACATATGCACGTATGTAATAATAGGAACATTAATGCTCGATGGCTGCATGAATCCAAGAGCAATAAACGGAATTGACCTGCGCTGTCCCGAGGCCGAACAATTTAGGAAATGTACACGGCAGAAGTATTGAATTTGTAACTCGGGGGCTAACGGTAGTTGACTCTAGCGAGAAGAGTACTCTTGTGTAACTTGCCCCTTTCGTATTTCAAAAGTATTCCTTATCTCCTGAAGGAGCTCGAGTCTTCCCCTTTTATCTCGCCTTTTCGGGGCCAATCCCACCATACGAACAGATACGAACCGATCGGCAGTAAGGGGATAATAATAACTTAGCGCGATCGTGCTTGGCTTTTTGTCCTTCTCCAATGGCGCACGTTAAAATCTCTTTGATCGACTAGTAACCACAGGGATGTTGACAGACATTCTCCATATTACTTGCAACCTTGCACGAGTTGGTCAGGTCCGTAATGGCTCAATAATGGTTCATAATGGTCCTTGTAAAGAAACAATCCCATAGGGAACTAAGGATGTCTTGTCACGTTTCGACAAAGTCTGGTTGTCACCTTAGTTTTAGTGAATCTGGTACGCTTCTTATTTAATGCTCAGGGACCTCCTCTTAGAGACTCCATCTAGAAGGTACCTTTCCCACGTCAAGAAGGCCGCGTAAAATCAACTTCTTTCCATCTACATCAACTCTACTTGATTGATAACTTAATTACCTTATAAACTTAACTCTACCTAATACATTTTACCTAATAATCGTCAAGATGCGTATTTCTTCCCTCTTAACCACGGTAGCCGGCGCCACTTCTGCGTCCGCGGCGGTGATGCAAATTGCTTCCAGCGCCGCACCCTGGAAATGGACTGTAACAGGATGGAGTGCTGGTTGCGCGAGAGAATGTCACTATGGTAAGGCTCCTGTTGCTTTTGATAACCCTATTTTTCTCACTTACTCATTTGTTCAGACTTCAACGTGACCGGCACTGCCAGTTCTACGTCGAGGCCGGCCAGACCTTCGTTTAAGGCGTACTGTAGCGGAGAAGGCGAGGGTGCCAACTATAGGGCCTGCACAGCGCTCGAGGAAACCGAAACCGAGTACCTTGTCCTTGCGAAACTCCTCCCGAGTAACGGCACTGCCAACGGAACATCTCACAAGCCTCAGATCCAAGTGAGCGTAAAGTTCACCGACTTGGATGTTTCGACGACGTGGTGGAACTACACTGGAAAGGCCGTGGCGTCGTACAACCAATTCGTAGCGCCGCTTATGAACTTCACGATCACTCCCGATACCATTTACGGTGTAGCGTAACAGCGGGGAGTTTTAGGGTAGTGCACGGTGATGTGTCAGGTACGACATCTTAGCGTACTTGTTGTCGGGTCATCGACGTGGTCCGGGAAGCAAACACATGTGTCGCAAACGTGGTCGGTTCATTGGCGACAACAGCGTACAACCTACCGACCGAGACGATCTCGATGGTCGGTCGCGAATCACCCTCACATAGTAGTGGTCCGGTCTATTCAGTTTCCTATGCTAGAATGAGCCAAGAAGTACGCCCTTAATAAATATCAACTACCCGAACCTGAACGTCGGATCAAACCCACATATGCCTTACTGAAAGGACCAACTTGAACGTCGATCACAAGATAAGATCGAGGAGGGCTCATCAGTTGGTAGATCTACACCTAGCCCTTCTGGCTTGTATGTCTCGCGAGAGTGAGGATGTAAGCCTAGACTATAGACGTTCTTATTCATAGACGGGACAGATGTTGATTGCCAATGTCATGATAACTTGATTGACTAGGCACGACAACCCATAATATTAATCATTAATAATTATAAAATCTTGCGTTCTTCAAGTGACCATTTTCATATAGAGAAATTTGTCGGAACGTCCGTCTTGGCAGTCGTCGTATATACCGAGCCCGAGATTGAATGCAATTGTTTCGTTGGGTACATCTAACATTGCGATGACGAGACTTCAGTTAGGCAGCCGGATAAAAAATTCATGAAGCCTTAAAATTGAATGCTGCCTTAAAGATGTGACCCGTGAACAGCGCCTTTACGTAATCATATTTACGTTAAACGTTACGCAAGTGACTGTGGCGGTGGCTTTGCCAAGGATACCAAGGATGCCAAGGCTAAAGGACATGAAATTACATCAGTGTACCAGTCGGCGCTTCTCCCCTCCCCCACCGAACTTCCATCTATACACTACGCAGCTTTGGCCCGCGTTTCCAAGCTTTCCACTCAACTCCCATCCTGACAATTTACATCTGGAGGTAGCCTAACTTAGGAAACATAATTTGAGCCTCTGGGAGGTCCTCGGTTATTATCTATAGCTGCCTACCTGACTACCCTTCGAGCTAAGAGCTCCTAACCGACTTAATCGAAACTACATATTCATACACTAGAACCCCCTTAAAGTCAACTCTTCACGATCGCGTTCTGTCGATAGATCTTCTAGTCCAATCAACAACAATTTTCACTAGCCCTTGAAGATCAACTTTATTAGTCATGAACGTTCTCAAGCTTCAGAGGTAAACCATCACACACAATAATCCCTACCTTGGAGCTCGCGAAACTGACGGCGGTTAGGAAATTTCCTCAATTCGAACAAGGCGACATATTCGGTCTTACCGATGCCTTCCGCAGGCTCGACGTCGACGATAAGGGCTACATTGACGAGGCTACCGCCATAAAGGCTACCCAGCAAAGCGAGCGACAGCCTTACGATGTCGTTAGACAGGCTTTAAGAGAAGTTGAGCTCGACGCTTCCCGAAGAGTTGAACTCGAAGACTATGTCGGCGTAAGTTACGTTGGGCCATACAAACGATGCCAAGCCTCCGGTTCTAATATGCAACTAGTTAATCGCCAAACTACGCGAATCCTCCCCTGCGCAACGGCGTATGAACACTGGGGGTGCTGCGCCGGTTGCTCCCGCCGGTATCGTAGCTCAAAGAACAGGTGGACAGGGACATTCCTCCAAAGGAAGCATCGGCAAGATTCATGTCCAAGGCTCCAGTGCCAATATCACCCATACCATCAACGAAGATGAACGAACCGAATTTACCCGCCACATCAATGCTGTCTTAGCTGGCGACCCTGATATAGGGAGTCGGTTGCCCTTCCCGACCGACACTTTCGAGATGTTCGACGAGTGTAAAGACGGTTTGGTGCTAGCTAAACTTATCAATGACAGCGTTCCCGACACCATCGATGAGCGTGTACTAAATGTCCCCGGCAAGAAGGTCAAAAAGTTGAACACGTTCCATATGACAGAGAACAACAACATTGTCATCGAGTCTGCAAAAGGTATCGGCTGTTCGGTCGTCAATATTGGTAGCGGTGATATCATCGAAGTCCGAGAACATCTCATTCTAGGTCTAATCTGGCAGATTATTCGGAGAGGTCTCTTAGGCAAGATTGATATTAAACTTCACCCCGAGCTCTATAGACTGCTTGAAGAAGACGAGACGCTGGAGCAGTTTCTACGCTTACCTCCCGAGCAAATCCTCCTACGATGGTTCAACTATCACCTTAACGCAGCTGGTTGGCATCGCCGAGTCAGCAATTTTTCGAGCGATGTAAAGGATGGAGAGAACTATGCAGTTCTTCTGGCGCAAATTGGAAAGGATTACGGTTGTAGCAGAGCTCCTCTTCAAACACGCGATCTATTACAGCGAGCAGAGGAGGTACTGGTCGACGCCGACAAGTTGAGCTGCAGGAAGTTCTTGACACCGAGTTCTCTCGTAGCAGGAAACCCTAAGCTCAATCTAGCTTTTGTTGCTAATTTGTTCAACACTCATCCAGCCCTAGACCCGATTACCGAGGAAGAAAAGCAGCAGGTGGAAGACTTTGATGCCGAAGGTGAACGAGAAGCCAGAGTATTCACATTGTGGTTGAACAGTCTGGACGTACAACCAGCTGTGGTCTCCTTCTTCGATGACCTTTGCGACGGTTCCGTTCTACTTCAGGCCTACGACAAGGTTATCAAGGGATCGGTGAACTGGAGACATGTGAACAAGAGGCCGGCAAGTGGCGCCGAGTTGATGAGATTCAAAGCCGTCGAGAACACTAATTACGCCGTTGAACTTGGCAAGCAGAATGGCTTCTCGCTAGTTGGTATTCAGGGAGCGGACATCACAGATGGAAATAAAATGCTTACGCTGGGTCTTGTCTGGCAGCTCATGCGAAAGGATATTACTCTCACACTTTCAGCTCTAGCGCAACGTCTTGGAAAACGGGAGATGACCGATGCAGAGATGGTAAGATGGGCGAATGACATGTCTCGAAAAGGAGGCCGGAGTTCATCGGTTCGGTCGTTTAAAGACCCCGCTATTGGCAGTGGTATCTTCTTCTTAGATGTTCTCAACGGTATGAAGAGCAGTTATGTCGACTACGACCTTGTCACGCCTGGACGAACCGATGAAGAGGCATACTTGAATGCTAAGCTAAGCATTAGCATCGCCAGAAAGATGGGAGCAACGATCTGGCTAGTCCCTGAAGATATCTGCCAGGTCCGAAGCAGATTGGTTACTACTTTCATCGGTAAGACAACTCAGTTTATAAACCTTTCGGGCGTAGTAGTATTGGCTAACTCATAATTACAGGCTCGCTTATGGCGACTTACGAGAAGATGCAGTAGATTGCAGCCTTTTAATTATCTTGCGAAAGAAGTGTGCAAAGGGCCTACCTCTAGGTTACTTCGGATTAAAAAAGTTGGGGGATTTGACGACGATATGTGTTAGTTAGCTTACTGAATGGCCTGTTAGCCTTGCCAAAATTCCGAATGCAGTTTTTATCCAACTACCTTAGGTACCCAGGTATGTCGTGTCAACTAGAAAACTGAATATATTGCATTATGAGTGATTTCTTTCGGGTTTGGTAAGCTTGAGGTGAAGATTAGGTACCTATAATAGGTCACCAGTTCGTACCGACCTGAGGTATTTACTATTTAGGGGTGTACATTAGGTACCTCCTAAGATGCACATTCTTACGTTAGATTAATTTATAGTTGTATCCTAATGCAGTGCGACAGTGTAACAGTGTAGCAAGGCCCCGCCATTTTGCCCATAGGAACTTGTCGATATGGGAAGCTTACAATCTCACTACCTCGTCGAATGTCTTCAGCCTTGTTCTCCCTTTTCCCCCAGTCCCCCTAATTTATTCCCTAATAATAGAGGAATGAAGACAAAGACTCCATTTTTACGTCGGGTTCCCGCAATGATTGTTGACAGCCGAGCCTTCTCCATTGTCTTGTGTGGAACCGCACCTTGTAGAAAACAGTATTACCTCGGCGTATTAAAGGATCATCTGGAAGAGTGAGATCGACGCCGAACGGCAGCGACCGTACCAATTTCAATGTCATCAGGCTCCAACCGGGTTCGACGGAATCTTTGGTTGTTAAAAACTTAGTGGATTCGTCCGGTTGCACCGGCCGTGCTAAAGTACCCCTAAAGGTGGCGATTCTCCATACGATTGATCCGAGTGTACGAGATAACGGGAATCTAACCTTATAAATAAATCATTTCACTCCGAGCCTCAATTGATACCTACCTAATATATAAAATCTGTCAATTCCATTCAGCCTCCCACCTACTAGGGTAATCCTCCATTCCGCCATTAGAAAAGGAGGCTGGATATTGTCGTTCAACCCCATTGCCTTCCTTCAAATATGTCTACTGAAGAGTTACATGCGGCTTCACAGCGCCGAGATCATCTTGCAACGGATACGGATGTCCATGGCGTACATTCAAGACGCGAGACACAGCATCCAGTTGCTTTAAACGAGGCATTAAAAGCTATACATCGCACTCCAGATACCCCTTCAGATAGTAACAGCGATTCGGGTATTGAAGCTACGGACACACATCCGCACTCGGTCTTATTACGACGCAAACCAGAATCCGATTCCTATGATAACTCGGCTTCGGAAACTCCTGAAATCTTGCACTTAGAGAGCCCAGACCTAAATGAGAAGTCGAGCTCTGAACAGCTTCTCCATGGCTTACCCAAATATGCTTCTACAAGCAAGGGGGAAAAAACCTACGTGGTAGCCAGTGACGATGCAGAACTTCGTGAGATATTAAGACGGGGTTTGGAAAGAGCAAGTCGACACATTTCCAGTACTTATCCGCTTCGCTTACGAGCAGCACTAACATTGGATAGTTACAGGAGAAAGAAAAAGCACTGCCGGGGCGACGCGAAAAGCTACGGGATATGGTCTTCACGAGGCAATTCTCAGCGTTCGATAGGCAAAACCAGGATGCAGCAAACAGCCCGTTTCATGGCTTTTATGTTCTCTTCTGGATTTCGGTGTTTTTCTTGATTGTTAAGATGGCTGCTGACAACTGGAGGAAAACTGGGAACCCGCTCGGTACCAATGAGATCATGAAAACCATGTTTAGAAGAGATGGTGAGTTGGCTTTGATCCTCGATACTTCGGAATATAAAACGATTAACCACTAATATAGTCATTGTACTTCTATTCTCCGACGGCATCATGTGTGCTCTGACGGGAGTGAGCTGGGTAATCCAGCGACTGGGTTTTCTCAACTATATCGACTGGAAAAGGTCTGGTTGGATATTGCAAAACGTAAGTTCTTAACACGGTTTTTACAAACGAACTCCTTCTAACCCATAGTCCCATAGATCTGGCAAACTCTGTTCATCGCGGGTGTAGTTGGCCTTACTCTTGTGAGGGATTGGCCGTGGACACGTGAGTGAGCTTCCTACTGAGAACGAAGCCCGTATACTAATAATTATTGTTATTAAAGATACTGTATTCTTTGTTCTTCATGGCCTTGTCATGTTGATGAAGCAACATTCATATGCGTTCTATAATGGCCACCTTTCATCCGTCTACAAGAAACGACAGGTTGGTGTTTATAACCTCATATTCGTCTAAGTGATCTAGTAAGCACGACCAAATTGCTAACTTCTCGATTTAATTAGAGTCTACTCCTTAAATTGAAACAGCTGGAGAATATATCACCTGTGACATCGCCTTCGCAAACGAGACTAAGGATTTCGGCTCTCTCAACGTCGCATCTCGCTCATCCGCCATCGGCAGATGAGTACCGTGAGAGGCGGTTTTCATTATCAAAGAATGGACCTACCGACCAAAATAACATGGAGAGCATCTCCCGTGCTATTGAAGCAGCAGAACCACTTGACATAGAGCAGATTCATGTTTTCGAAAGTCTCATTAAGTGGGAAGTCGACGCTCTCGCAGACGAACTCAGGGGCAAAGAGACGGACCCTCCACATTATTATCCAAATAACCTTACCTTCTGGAACCATTACGAATATATCGTACTACCCACTGTCGTTTATGAATTGCAATATCCCAGGTCCGATAGTATTAATTGGTATTACGTGGCTGAAAAAGCGTGTGCTCTTTTCGGTGTCATATTCGTCATGGTCATGATATCTCAAGCGTTTATTTATCCTGTTGTAATGAGAACGATCCATATGAAGGAAATGGGCTTGACAACTACGCAAAGATTTCGCGAATTTCCATGGATACTCAGCGATCTTGCCTTTCCCTTCATGATGGAATATATGGTGAGTCCTACTGCTATAGTTTATTTTATATTACCTACTTGTGCTCTGCTGACTCTTCGCCATTAGTTAGCTTGGTATCTCATCTGGGAGACGGTTCTCAATATCCTTGCGGAACTCACCTTTTTTGCGGACCGAAGCTTCTATGATGCGTGGTGGAACAGCGGTATGTTGCCATTTATCCTTCATTCTAGTTTCATTAGCATAGGTATATCTGCGATACTAACACCGAAGTAGTCTCATGGGATCAGTACGCTCGCGACTGGAACCGACCGGTCCACAACTTTCTCTTGCGGCACGTGTATCACAGCTCGATATCATCCATGCGTGTAAATAAACACACCGCGACGCTCATTACCTTCTTCCTCTCGGCTTGCGTTCACGAGCTGGTCATGTGGTGTATCTTCAAGAAACTACGCGGGTACTTGCTCATCCTCCAGATGACCCAGCTCCCGCTTGTGCGGCTCAGCCGGACTAAGTGGCTTCGCGGCCAGCCAACGATTGGGAACATCATATTCTGGGTTGGTATTTTTACAGGACCGAGTTTGCTATGTAGTTTGTATCTGATTCTTTGAATGGTTGTTGGTTGGATGTTTGGCGCTTTGGGAGATACACTAGACGTAGAGGGGAGAGGCAAGCAAGCGAATTTTAGGGAGCCATATGTTTTGAAGAGAAACTTTAGGGCTTTTGGAGTTTACGGTGTTACATACCAAAGACAGCGTGTTGGATCGAAGTCACGGTTAAGGTAAAGTAGGTAATAAATAGTGTGTAAACATTGGCTATTTTGTAAATTACTAGCTGGTTAAAGTTCTATCGTAACTGATATTGTAACTGGTATTTTAATATTTGCCTTGTATTACTTAGGTTAGTTAATGATTACCCGTAACTAGTAGATCATTCACTAGTCCCAACTTGTAAATGACATTTACGGTGGACCAACCGGAAGCTCTCCAACAGGTAGCTAGTCACTTGGGTTTAATGATGGGAAGTATTGCAGGGCGAACACTAGGTTTGACCTATAGGAGAGATATCGAGAGACCCCAGCTTTCATGTCCGCATGTATACGACCCTTTGTGGTCTTCTATTCCATGGTTTCATGCAGCTCTTATGCAACACACAGCAAGTTTTATAGCTTTTGGCGGTAATAATGCGCCACAGATTATTCCTGGCTACCTGATGGCAAGCAATGTGTTCATTGTGTTACAAGTCCGTCGGAATAACAGCGTGGTCGACGTGGGCTACGTAAGAGTAGGCCGAATCTACATATGATGAGCGACACCATGCAATGTAGATGCGGTAGTGGACGCAGTGGTGTTCCTCAATCTGGATGCTTGCTTCAGGCCGGCTTGGTGGTTTGGATGTTCGTAGCCAATCGAACCTGCAAATATAAAATATATGTTTCGCGGCAAATAGGAACAAAAAAGCTAGTATTAATTAAAAATGGGATGCATGTGAATACCCATCTTGGGGTAACCGCGAGTTGGGTGGTGTTCATTCAATGGGATAGATGCTGCATGATCAGAGGTAAGAACGTTGGACATAACGTTCACGGAAGTACGTACTTGCCTACAATTCCATTGACAGGCAGCAAACTACGTCATTGTATCACTAAGTACAGTATGCATTTTGCCATTTGTCTGGCTACACTGTGGTCAAAGCATACCTACTAACCTAGCAAGCTGTTCTTCCGAAGATGATCCGTCTCCTTTGAAAAACAAATTTTATTTGTCGGCCAACCACTGACAACCTTACCTCAACTATTTGACGAACTCCATTCATCACTGGGTTGCTGGGGAGCTACTTCAACACCCCCAACACGCGATATATTTTAAAGTCAAAACTCTGCCTTACACCATCAAGGTTGATTTCAAGAGCTTTTCTCAGCTTCCTCTCTCATTAATCATTTACTCCTCATCAAGCCGCTGTAATGTCTCGAGGAGGTACTACTCTCTACGTGACTGGCTTTAGCCATGGCACGCGTGCTCGCGACCTCGCCTACGAATTCGAACGGTATGTCCATTATCCTCGTCGGTGAATCGATCGACCGTCCTACGGATGCGGTGTCCGATGTCACCTGCCTTCTCCTCGTCCTCACCCCGACCTCGCTTCGTCGTTCTCGGCTTCGTTCGAGTCCTCGATTCGTCTTCTTAACCTACGCTTCTGCCCTCCACGTCCTCCGTGTCCATCTCAGCCTCCCATCTCCTTCGATCGAGCGGTCGTATGGCATCTTGAGATGCATCGTTCCGCGTCCCTTGACCATCGCGATGGGATTTCGAAGCTTCATGCAATCGATGCAAATCATTAATTATTTGGGAAAGTCTTCACTTTGTTGCGGGGATTGCTGACATCAAATCTATCTAGCTATGGCCGTCTCGTCCGTTGTGACATTCCAGCCCCTCGCTCTGCGAGCAGCAGACTGTAAGCTGAGCAGCCCCTAATTGGTAACTATCGCATGATCTAATCAGAATGGCAGGTTCGCTTTTGTGGAGTATGAGGATCGTCGTGACGCTGATGATGCGTACCACGAGATGCATAACAAGCGTATCGGCCGGGACGATCTTCTGAAGATTGAGGTAAGCTATCCTTATGACTATAGCCCAATTCTTCTAGACGCGGTCAGCTAACGAATATATAGTGGGCCCGCACTCCTCCGTCCGCGTCTTGGCGCTTTGACAGTGGTCGTGACCGCGACAGCAGGCGTGACCGCGGAGGCCGATCTCCTCGTCGCGGCCGTTCGCCTTCACCTCGCCGCAGCACACGCGACTATTCTCCCAGGAAGGACGACCGTCGTGACCGAGACCGCGATCGCGACTACGACCGTGAACGCCGTGATACCCGCGACCGTTCTCGTTCTCCGGATCCTCGGTACAAATCCCCGTCTAGCTCACCTAAGGTTCCTGTCAAGTCGGAGCTTACACCCTTGCCTAGTGACCGCGATCGTGACGACCGAGACGACCGCGACCGCCGTGATAACGGTACTAACGGTGATGATCGTAAAGGTGAGTTTCATAGTCGCGTTTATAGAGAGGCATCTAACATTGGATCCAGCTGTTGACAGTCCTCCTCCCCAACACGATGACTTGGACGTTGCTGAGTAATAAGTATACCTGGTTATCTTACCTCTTCAGCAGTGGGTTGCATCCGCAACGTGTGAAATAGACATCTCCTTTGTTGCACGGGTGTTTGGCTTTGCGTTTTTACACTGGCTTTCGCTCATATTCTAGTTCCGATTCAATCGACAGGCCCATGATCCTGTGTACAACTGGCGGAGAGGCTGAATTCCGAGACGATGCATTTGATACTACCGAGAAGATTTAGGTTCCCTCGAGAGGAACGATAATCATTAGGTCAAGGCGGTTAGGTAGTAACGGGTGCGCCTAGTGGGACATGTTCCTAATCAATTAGTTTAGAGCAAATTTACTTTGATCCTGCGCATCAATAGTGAAAAAACGAGCTTCGTTAGTTTTTGCAGATTTGTGTTGTTAATGATAATCTACGTATGCTGGAAGGTCATCAGAGTTAGTTCCAGCAGCTATACAGGTCAACTGGCCGTGTTTGATGCTAAGAGGGTTAGGTGATTTTAAAGAATATACTTATATGTCACGACAGATGATTCCGTATACTAATAATTATCATATTTTTAACTTTGTCTATCTAATACGTACGGAATAGCTGTGATAGAGTTGAGTTTTATTAATTAGGAACTTCTAATCTTTATACCTGTAAAGTTTATGCAAGCTATTTAAGGAGCTGGTTATTTTGAACGTTGCTTCGTGTTATAGGTAGGTAGATAGCAGGGGAACAATAGCCAATGAAGCAGTTAGTGATTATTGCTGTTCAGATGATGATCTTATGGATTTTTTTTTCTTGACATGGAATGGCTACGGGCTGCATCTTGATTATGCCGAGTCACGTCATATATGATACACCGTCGTATCCCGCGTAGAGATTTTCCAAAGCTGACATCGGCTTGGTTGTACGTATGTATTGGTTTCTCTTCGGCTTTATCTAGGCTTTGTGGGGAAGCCCTCGAGGTACAAACAAAGGAAAGGAACGGGAAGAAAGGGGGCTCACTTTAGTATGCCTGTAATATACAAAACTAATGCACGGAACGTCAAAGTTAATGCCAGGGCCCTCTTCAAAAAGATTTTCAGTTTTGTACTCCGTAGTTATGTACTACTCCTTTCTTTACCGCTTGTCTAATACATGCATATCTACCAGGCACTTACGTATGTAGATCAGACAGCCTTATTATGCTCCAAGTCTTGAGAATATTCGAATGAATGAGAAATATCGAAATACCAACCTAGGTACCTAATGTATACCTAGGAAGCAAATGACAACTTATAGGTCACTTGAAGCTTAGTTGTTAGTTGTTAGTACCTGAAAGTCTCAGGTGAGCCCGGCGGGTGACTGGCTCCCCCCTAAGACTAGCTTAGGTAGAGGTAATTTTCTCAAAGCTCCGACTGGCCGACTTCATTACTTTCAACCTATTGAACCTATTGTAAGGTCCCATCTTACCTTAAAACTTATGCATCTACGTTAGGTACTCTACCTAGGTAGTAGCTACTAACGTTCTTACCATCCATCCCTCATAGCTAAATTTTCTAGCTTTATTCTTATTTTTTCGCTTCTCTTCTCTCTTGGTCCTCCTTCACACCTCACCATTCAAGTAACACGTTGCATACTCATATTTAATACCCTTCCGTTATAAAGTAATATCAACGTCGAGCATATATCTAAGACGCAAACGATCATGTGTACTCCATGTACTTTAGTCAATTCGATGATCTGACCCAACGATACGTAGAGCGACATCCTTGCGCAAGGTAAAGGGTACTTCGAAATTCTGCGCAGTTACCGCTGTTACCTATGCCCTCGATAGCCCGTCCTACAAGCTCGACTATGTCGCCCGAATCGTCAAGAGCTTTTCGATAAAACTTGTATCGTTGTTGGTGTAGTCGTGTTCAAAGACTGCCTAGGTATCTTTAGTTCTCGATATACATGTTCAAGCATCAGCCACGCGCAAACTTCTCGGCCCCCTACTTCAGCCCCGTGCGAACTATACGCCGCCTGTCTTTCGTTATTACGTCGCTCGACTTCTTCCGTGTTCGCCTAGCCGAAGTTCCAACATGGCCGCTGTACGTCTACCTCACTTTCATAACGGCCCGCCTTTGCGCTGGGATGAGTCCCATTCGGTAGCTGACTCAGATCCTTTAGAGCTCGGAAGATATCAAGGCCAAGGATGCCATTGAAAAAAGAAAGTCCCAAATTAAGGACTTCCTCTCCCAGCCGGTGACCGCTGCTTTCTGCGCCGGCGGTGTTGCTGGTGCCGTATCGCGAACCGTCGTATCTCCTCTCGAGCGTCTGAAAATTCTCTTTCAGGTACAAAGCGCCGGCCACAATGAATACAAGCTATCGGTAGGCAAGGCGCTTGCTAAGATGTGGAAGGAAGAAGGCTGGAGGGGTTTTATGGCTGGTAATGGAACCAATTGCGTTCGCATCGTTCCTTATTCCGCAGTGCAGTTCGGCAGCTATAACCTTTACAAAAGGGTAAGTTAGCTAACAGAGCTACTTGGTTTATTACAACTCAGTCGAGGCTTCATATATTGAAAAAACAATTGTAGGCTGGTTTGGCTAACACTGGACGTAGCACTTCTTCGAGAAGTACCCAAACGCTCCTTTATCTCCCCTCGAGAGGCTTGTGTGTGGCGGCATAGCGGGCATCACCTCAGTCTTCTTTACATATCCACTCGATATCGTACGGACTCGACTGTCAATCCAATCGGCGTCATTTGCTGCACTCAACAATGTGCCAAAGGACAAGCTACCGGGTATGTGGTCTACAATGGCCATGATGTATAAGGAGGAGGGCGGTATACGTGCTTTGTACCGCGGCATAATACCTACGGTCGCAGGAGTAGCACCATATGTGAGCTTTAATATGCGCCTTACGGGCTTGATCTGTTGAATATGGCACGAGAAGACTAATGGTTTCTTAGGTAGGGCTGAATTTCATGACATATGAATTCGTCCGCAAGTATCTAACACCTGAGGGTGACCAAAACCCCAGCGCAGCACGGAAGCTGTTGGCTGGCGCCGTATCGGGCGCCGTTGCTCAGACATGCACTTATCCATTGTGAGTATGTCTTACAGCTTTCGAGTTCTAGTTGTCTAATATGTGCATAGCGATGTCTTGCGGCGAAGATTTCAAATCAACACCATGTCTGGCATGGGCTACAAATACAAGTCGATAGGAGACGCTGTCAGAGTAATAATAGCCCAAGAAGGAATAAAGGGCCTATATAAGGGTCTCATTCCGAACTTACTTAAGGTCGCCCCTAGCATGGCCGCCAACTGGCTTAGCTTTGAAGTCACTCGAGACTTTTTGGTCAGCTTAAAGCCAGAGCCAGAACCAGTGGATCTATAACCGAGAAGACACATGATAGTAGCCGATTCCCTTCACCCGTACTGGATTATATCCAAATTGTACTTGACTACCTCCCGATATGCACCACTTATGCGTGCGGGATTTCTAGTAGGATGGCGCTGATGCACCACGGTAAAGAAGAGCTGCATCATGCAGGACAGTGGACCGGACGCGTTAAACAGGGAAAGGTAGATAAATAGGCATAGAGAGCATAAAGATCAGGTTTAGTAGAGAAGGCTATGGATTCCGACAGGATAGACCCCGAGCAATGTCTTGTTGTATATGTATACTGAAAGATGACTACCCCTATGAGAGGGCGGGGTCACTCTTCTTTTGGAGAGATAGCGTCAGGGTGATAGTTCTATAGAAGAAATAAAAATCTAAAATTCATTAGAAATTAGTCTTGTATTGATTAATATCTCACTGTCGTGAAATATGAAGAATACCCTACTTAGGTTACGAGGTAGGTATCTCAAGTAAGGAGTGCAACTTGAGATGATAAGATTTGGATTTCTTATCAAGGAACCTTCGTACGTCAAATGCTTGCTCTATGATAATACCGCTTACGTACATAATGCTAGCTAACAGCGAGGTACGTACCTCTTTGATTCGTACCCGCCCCTACCAACCCTAACTGCCGCTCGTCACCGCCCACCCACACAATCCACTCCATCTTTTGCGATTTCGAACTTTTCTGCGGCCCACCTGAAATTATTTCCCTCCTTCAGTCACTACTAACCCACAGCATACCAGCTTTTTCCTTTCCCATCGACTCTCTTTTCAATCACAAAAGAGTCACCGTCAAGATGGGTACGTTAATTATTTATTTAGAGATTTCTATGCAAGTGGAAGTGTGAGAGATTGGCTACTGCATTGTGCTCTTCTCTCATGCTTTCTGCGAACCAACGGGAAATCATCCTCTGGGATGCGCCCGGTAGAGCATATTTGAACCAAAAAGCTGACAATGGCTTTTTTTTCTCTAAATAGGTATTGATCTCGACCGCCACCACGTGCGCAGCACCCACCGAAAGGCGCCCAAGAGCGACAATGTCTACCTCAAGCTCTTGGTGAAGCTGTACCGCTTCCTAGCCCGTAAGTTATCTCTCCCGATTCTTGGCATCTTTTGAAACGAGCTATGAATGCATCTTGATTTATACGATTATGAGACTAACATTATTTTACCATATAGGCCGAACAGACTCCAACTTCAACAAGGTCGTCCTCCACCGCCTTTTCATGTCCCGCATCAACAAACCCCCCGTCTCCCTTTCTCGCGTCAAGAGCCAGCGCTCTAAGGAGGATGAGGGCAAGATCGTTGTTGTTATTGGTACCATCACCGACGACAACCGCCTCCTCGAGGTCCCCAAGGTTACCATCGCCGCTCTGCGATTTACCGCCACTGCCCGTGCTCGCATTCTTGCCGCCGGTGGTGAGGCATTGACCATCGACCAGCTGGCTCTCCGCGCCCCTACCGGCAAGAACACCCTGCTTCTCCGCGGCCCCAAGAACGCCCGTGAGGCTGTTAAGCACTTCGGTTTCGGCCCCCACAAGCACAAGGTAGGTGGACCAGATTTAGTCCTAACCAATTCTAGCATGCTCACAAATTTTACAGAAGCCATACGTCCAGTCCAAGGGCCCCAAGTTCGAGAAGGCCCGTGGTCGCAGACGGTCAAGGGGTTTCAAGGTCTAAGGGGGAAAAAATGGCGTGGGTTAGGTCTTGTGTTGCGTCTCTTCCGATATACCATGAATACAGTTCTCAACTGGAAGAGGGTTACGCTACTTCAGGAGTGGTTTATGCATGGCTTGGCGTGATACGGGATTACAGAATCAATTCATACAAAATTGAGATGCTTTGCCACTTTTCTGACAACGATCGTATCCTTTTTTTCCAGGCAAATATTGTGACTGACGAATGCATGATATGTTGATGAAATTAAATTATTGCTACCGCAAGCAAGGTTGTAGAGTGTCGAGTGACAGCTTAGATTCCGAGGTGTCATATTCTAGTTGTTCACAGAATGCTTTGAGAATGAGCAGAGGGAATTAACCTAACCTACCTAGGGGAATTGCAAAGACAATGCGTCACCTGACCGCGTGCTCGAGGCGTGATGCTAACAGTTCGATATCTTCGTACTGTGTTTCGTCATAACTAGCCAATTTCAACCTTATCTCTTATATTAACTACACAAATTGAAAGTTGATACCAATCCAACGCTTCGTCGTCTTATTTCTCTTTACTAAAGTGCCTGCTAATATCAGTGCTTTGATCTTCCTTCCGGGGTGCTCTGGGTGTATAAAATGTGTGGGCGCTATTCATTGGCATTGGTACGGCGATAAACTCATCACTTTATGTATACTTGACTTGTTATGAGACTAACTACGATAAATAACGTAGAGGCCAGCACAAATTCGCGAGTTATTTCAACATGATGGTATGCCTGTAGATGATGCGCCAGACGATGAAGGTGATGCAGCGCCAAGGCAAAGCTATAATTTTGCTCCTGGCTACCACGGCGTCGTTTACCGCGCCGATGTGCCAGACTGGGGTGCCGGTCCTCAAAGGCAGCATACTAATTCCTCTGGCGAGGCCGTAAAAGAGTCGCATGCCGGAGGTGGGGGTAATGATCCTGCATCAAAGTCCAAGTCTGTTAGTTACAAGCTGCAGAGCATGAAATGGGGGTTGATACCTTTCTGGACTAAGCGTAATCCTGATTACGGTTCTATGATGAAGACAATCAACTGCCGAGATGATTCTCTCGCCCAGAGTGGTGGTATGTGGAGTACGATGAAGGCTCGAAAGCGATGTATCGTTGTTGCGGAAGGCTTCTACGAATGGCTGAAGAAGGATGGGAGTAAAGATAAGATCCCGCATTTTGTTAAGCGGAAGGACGGCAAACTAATGTGTTTCGCTGGATTATGGGATGTGGTGCAATACGAAAGTGAGTGTTCAAGCTCATATTAGAAGAACAAATAGTGCTAACCGGTATTTAGATAGCAAGCAGAAGCTTTACACCTATACAATCATCACCACAGATTCAAACAAGCAACTCAACTTTCTTCATGATCGCATGCCCGTTATTCTAGATAACGGGTCTGAAGATATCCGAACCTGGTTAGACCCTAAGCGTTCCGAGTGGTCGAAAGAGCTGCAGGCTCTGTTGAAACCTTTTGAGGGAGAGTTAGAAGTCTATCCCGTTAGCAAAGACGTGGGCAAAGTTGGGAACAACTCGCCTAACTTTGTCGTCCCCATCGACAGCAAGGAGAATAAGTCTAATATCGCAAATTTCTTTGCCAAGGGCACCGCGAAGAAGAATGCAACGGAACAGCAACCGCAAGTCAAAGTCAAGAAGGAAGAGGGATTCGTCACCGAAGATCTGACAAAAACAAAAGAAGAAAGTAAACCAGCAACTGGCCTTAAAAGAGAAGCTGAAGATAAGTTAGTCGGCAGTGAGCCTCCGAAGAAAGTGGCTACGATCACGTCGCCGCAAAAGGGTGCGAAACAAAAGATTAGCGCCACCAGTAATAGAACTAAGAGCCCGAATAAAGCGAACCAACCTGGTACGCAAAAGATAACGAAATTCTTCGCAAATAGCTCTTGACGATGCAGCCCAGGGCGTATTCGAGACTGGCTAGTGGTGATCTATGTATTAGCGTCACACATCGCTTTACTCTCAAATATCATGGTACGTAGGCTGCCATGAACTTGTATTGGGATGTACGTCTCGATGTATCAAATATGCCATATTTTGGCGATACACCAGCCGTCAATGCCCTGGTATTATTATATGGGCAGAAATTTGAATTTAAATTACTAGATAAGGGGCACATCAATCGGACGATGTACAACAATGTCTAAATGAGCGTGCTTCGCTACGACCTATCTCAAGAGGGTATATCGCGCGAAGCGATATCCATGCTTTACTTAATCTGCGTGGAATCTCCTACGACACTACCGCGGCCTTAAAGAGGGGCATATCCAAAGCCATTGAACTAGCAGGTAAATACAGAGGGGCCGGGTACGGTGTACGAGTGGAAGTTGTTGTAGATGTTGGCAGTATCTACGCACGAATTAATGTTAGCTATCAAGACATATATATATTTATATATTTAAGTGCAGGGGCAACTTACATCCGGGATCGCTAGCCTTGAAAGCACCGGGGATCTTAACGGTGGGACTGGGCGAGGCACTTCCGCCGCCGCTGACTTTGATCTGGCCACAACCGACATACCATTGCGGAGTGGCGCCGGGGTTGTGGATGGCGAGGGACTGGATTCGCAGGAGGTACTCTCCGTTAGGGATACACTTGGGAACCGTGTAAGAGTAGGTGTCTGTTCTAAGATTAGCCAAGTTAGCCCGAGCAACGAGCTGAATTTGATAGTACCCTTCATGGTCCAGGTAGCCTGGCCACCGTTGAAGACAGGTGCCCAATCGTTGATCTTGAACCAGTCTCCGCTACCATCGTATTCCGCGGCAGTGCCCGGGGCCTTCGATAAGTACAGGGAGATGGGTCCCTGGTGGTAGACGGCCGTGTCAAGTGTGAAGGTGAACGGGTCACCGGCGTTCAACTCAAGAGTGCTGGTGTTACCGCCGGTGGCACCGCCGACGTTGCATCGAAGGTCAGGGGAAGACAGGTCTATGATTATATCTCAGCGGAAAGTTGCTATTGACTCTGATGGAAGTTACTAACCGGTAACGGGAGAGTTGTAGTTAGTGTTTCGTCGAACGTACTCGTACGGGACACCCTTGGCAGTTCCCTTCGCCAGCGCCTGGAAAATGTAGTGGGCCGACGCGCCCTGAGCAGCCAGGGCGGCGGTAGCGATGAGAGCAACAACGTTCTTCATTGCGATTTAGGAGAGCTGATCTGACTATCTTTTTTTTTTTTCTTTTCTCGAGGCTGAAAGTGTCCGGTGGGTGCAGAGCAGAACAGAGCAGCTGGCGGAGCCTACTACGTAGGCGCCCTAGGCCATCCTTAAAAGCGAAAAAAATCCACACGATCTCCCCCTTCGGCAGTTCACTCGCCCTCCGTCTGGGGCCAACCCCAGATTCTTCGATATGAAGCGGGCCGCGGCTCCAGTCGTCGGCACGGGATCAATGGCTAAGCACCGCGGCGAGGCCTGGCCAGGTCGATGGGCCCGCGTCTGGGCTGCGAGCTGGGGCGTCATAGGGGGCAAGTCGTTAATAAGATAGGTTAAACGACCTGGCGCAAGAGCTTCCATGGTTGGCTGTCGTGGCTTACTCCGGCGCCGGGCAATTTACGTTCTAAATAGGTTGTATATAGGTATGCACGATGTGCTCACAGAAAGCAGTATAGTTCGGCACTGGGACCCCCGGAGGAGCGGATGCGAGATCTGGCTGGCAGGGATTGCAGGTGATGCTTAAAATTTTTGAATAAGTCCTGTGATTTGAACTTCTGGTTGGGGAAGAAGATAAAGGGAGTTTGCCCCTATTTACTCATGCTCCAAGTGGTAGCCTACCTTATAAGTAATATATAACTAAAGGAAGTTGAGACTATCATTGAGTATCTTATAGGTCAATAATTATATATCTCTAAAGAAAGAATATAATCTAATTCTATATCTAGATGGCTAAGAACCTTGCCTGCGTGATGGTTCATCGCCGGTCGTCCCCAGCGCTTAGTATTCTAAATAATAAGACTGCACCCCTGGGAAGCTCTCTTGTAAGCCTAAATACCTCCAATCCAACTATTCTCATCAGCAAACGTCTTTCGATCACCCCCATACGCTCGCCGGGCGAAACGTATGGATGGATCAAATTCTTTACCGACTCCGTGAGTGATATAATATATCCATAGTCAGCTGGGAATTGTCGCAATGCTCAAGGTGTTTGACGAAAGAATGAATGGGTGGTATCAGTCATCATGACCTAAGGATCGTGAAACTCCGTTCTCGCAATATCGAAGACGTGATAAATCCAGACGCTGCGGAAGATATGGCGAGGGTTTAATGGCGCGTATGTATATTGGGGGTTTAGGGTATACTTATATTCCTTCCTATGCACGCCTTGGGAAATATATTGGTATACTTGGCTTCCCGTTGCCGAATACTACCGAGACAGGTACACAGATAAGACTACCTAACTAACTGGAACGTTACCCAAGAAGTGCCTTTGCCAATGGTGTCGAGGGTCGAGGATATCCCTATCATCTCTTTTCTAGAAACCTTCCTAGAATAGAAACGGGGCTCGAACGCCGAGCCCATCTCGTCCAAAAGGAGGATTAGGCCGCTGAGGACAATGCTCGGGATGTCTTGAGCCCGTGTGGCCCCTTTTCTCGGCCTGTTTGATTGTATATAAACATGCAGCAAGAATAATAAGCCAGGACTATACCAACAAAGTCAAGATATGTTAAGTGCGGTGTGATCTCGTGACGGCGGCTGGGCGGTAGCCTCAATCGGCCCTTACAACCGGAGGGAAACTCGCGCGGGTTAGTTCCGGGAGGGTTGGCCGGATTTGGGAGGTTTCGGGGCGGGAAAGTATCTCGTCTGCGTATAGGTAAGGTATTTATCCAAATCAAACATCCAATTAACCACCCTTAACTCGTGGCGCTAAGGACAGAAAAGCCGTGAAGAAGCCCCAGTTGGAAGGGCATTATCTGGTGTAGGTACGTACTGGTAGTACTAGAGGTACCTATGTACCTAAAGGTGAACTAAACTCTAAAATTCAATGGGGCTATGCTGGAATCACGGGCCTGAGCAGCAGAGCAGTTACCTCCAAATGTGGGGGGAGCCATCAGCCCTTTTCGCATCGAATTACTCCGTAGCGCCGCCAAGACGGGGGGTCCAACACCCTAAAATCATCAACTAAAAATCTGCTCAAATCGGGGCTGTGGGGGTGGGACCTAAGGGGAGGATAATAACGTTGTACCGTTGTACCATAAACGAATAACCTTCCCTTTTTTATCTCCAACTTCGCTGTTCACTGGTGCGCCCACTCTAGGTAATGCTTGACTTATTCCATGACAATTCCCTGTCGTATTATTGGACCACGGCTACACGTTCCAGACGTTCATTCAGATGTTCATCTGTCCCTGACAGAAGCTTACCCCGGGTCTTGTTTAGCTGCCGTCGATCTTCTCTCATTCCGTTACACATCCGACTTGGCCTACATATGTACACTATGTAGGTACTCGATAGTCCTATACAGTACCTTGTTTACTCGAGATGGTGTTTTTACATACGTCCTTCTCGAACTGGATACCAAATATACCAAATATACTAAGTAGTATACCTGGTATCCTAATCTCAGGCTCAATGACTTGTCGAGTCGCCTATCTTCTTTCGATTTTCCTTTTCACCTTGCCTCCGTGAATCAATATCGCCAGGATTATTACTAGGCGCTTCTGCATGGCAACCCTAAGCGTCTATCGTCTATTCTAACCAGTCGGCTCACATTTCACACCTCTCCTCTTCCCGGCTTTGCAACAATATATGAGCCTTCATTATAGCCCGCTGGCATAATCTGTGCTATACCCTTTTCTATACGAGCCTTCTCCGGCACCGTCCTCCGTAATCCTGTCGGTGCTTTAGCCAGGTCCTTCGACTTTACCAGTAGTTACAGTATCTTTGTCTTGCAGATCATGTCCTATCACGTCCTCTTTCCCGGAAAACCGGGCGAGCGATTTGTGTCTTGGCTTCACAGATCCCACGGCGTGATGCCATTTATTAGTCGCCTCAAATCCTCTTTTCTATAGCCCACTAGTCACGTCTTCCCAGGTCTTGGATCCTTGGCCAGCGACCTCAATATGCCGTCCTTCTCACGTATTGCGACTGCTGTTCTAGCAGCCGCTGCTAGTAAGTCTAAGCCTTCTGTCTCCTCGACATGTGAGAATATATGCTAAATTCTTGCAAGCTTTTGGGACTACTCTTGCTCAAGACCCAGTCAAATATACCGACCCAGACACGGGGATTGAGTTTGGCACATGGGCTCAGGGTGACCAGACGTTTGGTCTCGCACTACCCGAGGATGCCTTAACCAAGGATGCCGATGAGTATATTGGTATACTGGTATGCAGATATAGCTACCTAGGTACCTTGGCAATAATTATACTGACCTTTCCTTTAGCAATGCTCTACGGGTTGGTGTGGTATCTCCCATGGAGAGTCGGGACAGATGACGCAGGCCTTGCTGCTCATTGCTTGGCCGTATAAAGACCAAGTCCTCACGTCTTTCCGATTCGCAACTGGGTACAGCCTTCCAGGAGTTTATACCGGAAACGCAACCTTGACTCAGATCTCATCCAAGGTGACTGAAACTGGCTTCGAGGTTATTTACAGATGCCAGAACTGCTTCGCCTGGGACCAGGAAGGTTCCACTGGTCACGTTGAAACCAGTGGCGGACTACTTGTCTTAGGACGAGCCTCGGCAAAGACTGTTCCTACTAACCCTGAGTGCCCTGCTAATATCAAATTTATGCAACATGAAGCATTTGGACAGTTTGGTGCTCCCTTGGAAGGTCTTACAAGTGCCAAGTACCCCGACTGGGCTGCATTAGCAACGAAGGACGTCCCCGGCGAATGCGCTCCTAGTGATCCCGGCAACCCACCATCGACGGGTCGTGTCTGTGCTAAGGAGATGGCTGGTCAATCATTCGACTACATCGTGGTCGGTGCCGGAGCCGGTGGTATCCCCATAGCCGATCGATTAAGCGAGGAGGGCCACAGTGTTCTATTGATTGAGAAGGGGCCGCCATCCTCGGGAATATGGGGAGGAAATTTGAAGCCGCTCTGGCTCGAGAAGACGGATCTCACACGATTCGATGTTCCGGGTCTTTGCAACCAAATTTGGGTTGATTCGGATGGTGTCGCTTGCTTAGATACCGACCAAATGGCTGGATGTGTTCTCGGTGGAGGCACAGCTGTTAACGCTGGTTTGTGGTGGAGGGTAGGTTACCTTAGTCGTGGCTTTTACATTTACATGCTGATACTCTTCAGGCAAACCCGAAGGATTGGGATGAGAACTTCCCTGCCGGATGGCACAATTCGGATCTTAAGACCGCCACAGACCGTGCATTCAAGCGCATTCCCGGAACCACAAGGCCCTCTCAGGATGGTGAACTATATATGCACCAGGGTTTCGACGTCATCTCTAGCGGTTTGGAGAAGGCAGGATGGAAGAACGTTCCTGTCCCCAATGATGCTCCGACTGAGAAGAACCATACCTTTGGTGCGACAACATATATGTTCTCCAACGGCGAGAGAGGTGGTCCTATGGCTACTTATCTTGTTACCGCTGCTAAGCGTGATAACTTCGCGCTCTGGATGAACACCCCTGTTAGGAGAGCTCTTAGGACAGGCGGCCATATCACCGGAGTTGAGCTAGACTGTACCGTAGAGGGAGGTGGATACGGTACCGTCAACGTTACCGCCAACACCGGACGCGTTATTGTTTCGGCTGGAACGTTCGGCTCGGCTAAGTTCCTTCTCAGGAGTAAGTGACAATGATACAATATTTATTCATACTCAGAACAACGTGCTAATCTTGTTAGGTGGTATTGGTCCGGCCGATCAACTTGATATCGTTGCTGCTTCGGCTTCTGATGGTGAATCGTTCATTGGAAAAGATGATTGGATTAACCTGCCAGTCGGCTATAACCTAATGGACCACGTCAACGTAAGTGGATCTCGAGGTATCAATAGATGGGATTCTCTCTAATTCGATTAAAATTAGACCGACACCTACTTCACCCACCCAGATGTCGTATTCTACGACTTCTACGAGGCGTGGGACACGCCAATTCCTTCGGACAAGGAGAAGTATCTTGGTAAGCACGATAGTCTATGATATGGCCTTGGATATTTATTTACCTTTGATAGCCAACCGTACCGGCATTCTGGCGCAAGCTGCTCCTAACATCGGACCTGTGGTATGTGTACCTAAATGTGTTGTCTCTGAAAAGCATATCTGATCAAACCGCTAGTTCTGGGACGAAATCGAAGGCGAGGATGGCGTAGTCCGTCAGCTCCAATGGACAGCCCGTGTCGAAGGCTCCGAGCTGACGAACACCACCAGTATGCCTCTACGTAATGGAAGCCTATAAGGAAACATAGCTAATGCTGCACAGACACGATGATTATGAGCCAATATCTCGGAAGAGGTCAGACGTCTCGTGGTCGCATGACAATCAACGCGGGATTGAGCACGGTTGTCTCAACCCCGCCCTACCTTCGAGACCCGAATGACAAGGCAGCTGTTATCAAGGGCATCGAGAACCTGCGAAATGCTCTGAGCACCGTGAAGGATCTCGAGTTCCGTCTCCCGGCCACAAACCAAACCACAGAATCATATGTTGACGCCATTGAGGTGACGTCCGCTAAGCGTCGCTCAAACCACTGGATGGGTTAGTATCGCCAAGCTGCTTCCATACTAATATTCTTGCTAATATCTGATAGGTACTGCCAAGCTGGGACCGGACGACGGTCGCGAGGAGAACGGCACGTCTGTCGTTGACCTTAACACCAAGGTCTACGGTACCGACAACCTCTTCGTCGTTGACGGATCAATCTTCCCCGGCATGGTGACCGGAAACCCTTCAGCTATGATCGTGGCTGCGGCAGAATTCGCCGCCGAGAAGATCCTGGCTCTGTCGCCGAAGGCCCCTACAAAAGCGCCTCAGAATACCGGAGGACAGATCATTACCCTACCATAGACTGACTTGAGTAATCTTAGGATTAACGGCTATATACGCTAGGACAAAATTCTTGTACATATGTTTCTACTTCCCGGGGTGTCTCTGAGACAGTCCAAAAAAATTATATATACATATACATATACATATACGTGCGAATTACCTACCCCATGGCAAGTCCATATTCTTGACGTGCCTGAAGTGAAACCGCTAGGTGCTCAAATTATAGCAGGAGCAATGTCATTACGAAAATAGGTTTTCGAAGAAATTGGCGTCGAAGCCTTGGAATGTCCATTCGTCCATGTCCGCCGCAAGCTCTGGTAATTGATACGGGCCTGACGGATCCGCGGGCTCGAATTGCATGAAGGAGAAATTAGCATCTTCCCCGAGAGAGTTCAAAAAGGTCAGAGGGGCTTCGAGGGGTTGCTGCTGTAAACTGGGGTCTATTGGGGTAGTATTAGGATCGTTATTTGCATATACGTTTTCGGGTATGGTTGTTGATCTCTGAGGACGATCCTGTTTTGCGTGTCTCTTGTTATTAGAGTTGGCTGGTGCTGATGGAGTATAGGGACCATCCTGCGGAAGCTGGGGTCGGTCCTGTTGCATCCGCCTGCTGACCGGGTTGATATTAATGGTTCCTAGATACGGAATCTCAAGGCGCACGGGAGCGTCGAGGCTACTGGAGCTGCTGGCCGTCAAGTCGACATCCGTCAGGGGTAGCAGGCGCGTGATTATATCGGAGGTCTCGCGCGATAGCTTGTCGTCATCTCTCTCTGCTACCTCCTGCATGACGTTTCGAACTGCGAGGACCAGTTTGCGGTCGGCGCTGCGCTGGTAGCTTGTTTGGGGGTCGCGCGATCGCAGCTTGGGGTCCAGGTAGCCTAGGAGTAGCGTCATGGAGGCCGTTAGCGCACCGTAGTCGGTGTGGCGACAGGCTCCGGCCGCGTCGGTGAGATGGCGGAAGACGAGGTAGGCTTCAAGAACCTTGCGCGAGGCATGGAGACATGTTGTCTTGCTGTAGTCCCAGCGGCGTTCTTTAGGGTCGCGGATACTGTTTAATGAGTTAATGATTACTCTAGCAAGGCCTCGGCCTCGGCGTTACGTACAAATAAGGTAGATGGAGTAGGGTGAGCAGGTGGTAATGATTCATCTGCATCATTACGTGCGTGTGGGCGTCTATCAGCTCTTTTGATGTTGCGGTGGTTGTATCGGGAGGCTTTACTGGCTGCCACCACTCTGCGCCCACTAGTAAGAAGGAGTTAGCTGTTGTTCCTTTAGGGAAAGTAAGGGGTTTGGGAATGTCTCAAGATTGATGAAACGGGAAAAGGGGGGTAGGAGATTGGGGGTAGAAACTCCATACCGGACTTAGCAGCAGCATCGAGGCTGCGGTCAATAGCTTGGGTTGCAACAAAGCTGGCATCCAGAGCTGCCGTCCCTTTTCCATGATAGCTCGCATTCCGCTTAATGATGGCGCCGCTGATGACACAGTGCAGTTTGCTAAGCTTATCTGCTGGGAGGTCGGCGTCGAGTAGCCCAGGGGTAGCAAATGAATCGTCTTCGCTGGCGGCAGGAAGGCCGAGGAGTAGAGACAAGTAACGATCAGAGAAGTTCATGCGATGCCATAACGCACTACCTCGGGAGCGAGTCACCGGGTCCGATCGCGGGTCGATCGACTTCAGTGGCTTGTCGTCCGACCATCTAGTCGCACCCATGAGCTGAATGACGGCGAGGGCGCGCCGGAGGACTAGCCAGGACTTACGTAAATTGCCCACGTTGGAACTAAGAAGATTGGCATTGTCAATAATGAGGTGTTTATTTCCATCATAATTATTAATGTAACAAGAGATGTCGAGGAAAATACTGAGATATTGATAAGTGTTTCCGTAGGTAACTTACTGATATAACGAAAGTAAAGTGAGTGTCTCGAGACCTTCAGCAGAGCCGACGAGGTCATCATTAGAAGCAACAAGGTCCGAAACCACGTTGACATATCTGCCTATCTGAGCTCGGATGGGCTCTCTCGAGATTAGATTTTTCGGAAACTTCCCCTTAGATATCCTCTGAATGCAGAGAGTAAGCTGCATTAAGCGCTTCGCTAGCAAGGCAGGGTGACTCGACACAGGCGGGACTTCCGAGACGGTAGATGGTGACTCATATGGGGCCTCGTAGCCATTGAAGTATGCTACGACGAATACCGCGCCGGAGCCCACTGCCAGTATAGTATCGATGTCGTGCTGGCATGGGAACATCGCATGGAGGGTCTTCGATATCCGGGCAAATTTGGCAGGGAGGGTGGACACCAGCTCGGCCTGCGTCGATACTACGGTCGGCACGAAAGACGTCTGGATGGAAGCGCTAGACCCGTTATCTCCACGCAGAGCGTCGAAGATATCCGCGACGGGGGGGTGCTCGGCCGTAGACGGACGAAGCATGTTGGGTGACGAATCCAGTTCGTCTTCGGCCGAGACGGAGGAAGTAAGGGGCCCGCCTACTTGGCTAGGAGTATAAGAAGGATACGTAGTATGCTCCACGAGTTTCTCTAACAGACCCTCTACCCTACTTAGTCTCTGCGATAGCCCCTTATCCGAAGCTAGGGGTTGCTCGTCCGGAAACTCCTGGCTTAAGCAGACCGTCCCCCGGGCCTCACAGCCAGCGCAGATGGAAGCTGTAGCCGACGCATATTGGCAACGAGTCTTCCTCCTTCTGCCTTTCCGGTGGGAGTATGTTTAGTATCGATTTAATACTCTTATGAGCCTAGCTACTGCTAGAGAGAGACTTACATTCCCAACAACTATGAGTTCCCTTCCGGATCTTTCTCCTCTTCGCAATAGAGTCGCCCCCACTCGAGCTTCGTGTCGCGTGGTGAGACATCTGTATTTGGCTTTACGAAAAAGTGAGGGCCTAAGATTGGCCACGGTTTGTAGTATTTTTTTGTTCCTCGTGAGTTTCGATTCGTTGGGGTATAGTACCTAATTGTTAACACTCTACCCATCTACTACCTAATGTATGTATGTGCGGGAAGTCCGTGACAACCCCACAAAGACTGCAATCAAGTAGAGAGAAAAGTTGGTTTCACACACATTTAGAGTAATATACTACCTTAGGTAGGTAGTTAGGTATGCAGAAAAATACTAGTTTAATTCTTGAAAGACGGGTATTCTTCATTTTGCTCGCCGGGAAGAGATGTCAATCTGACCCTGAACTTGATGCCAAGAGGGTTCGGCCGAGTTCACGGACGAATTTGTCAGCGAGTTATATGTACAATACATGTACCTAATAGATTAGATTAGATGGGGTTTGCTAAGTCGTTCGAGAGGCGCAGTTTCAAGATAGGAATGGGCATAGCACGTGGATCGATAACTCTATTACATACATTACGTAGGTAGGTACATATGTACAGTAGCAAGGTAAAAGCTAGTAGTAATAAAATGAGTTATCACTTACCGCATCCTCTAAGAAACAATTCATTCTAGGGCACGGACCACGGACCACGGACATCAACTACACTATATTTGCAATGATCTAAACCATATCCAGGTTTCGCTAAAGTATCTTATAGTAAAATGTGCTCAAATCATTTCCAAATATCGTATAGTTCATCTCCGTGGTCCGTGCCCTAGAATGAATTGTTTCTTAGAGGATGCGGTATACGAAGGTCCGGGCCAAAAGTCTATATAAAAACAGCTGGTAGCGAGTAGCGCTAATGTTTGACCGCTAATGTTTGACCCCTGTTTGGGTCTCTAAGAGATGGCCTTTCCCCCTGATTTGCTAGTGTTTCTGCTTAAGTACACGAATAAATAAGACTATGAACAATCACACGACGGTAGAAAACTGTGAATACGGGAAGCGGCATCTGTACCTTAGTCACTAGTGATGCAAGCTGTTTCTCGACCTCAAGAGACGAGACCAACTTTTGATCTGTCATCTATCGGATACTTGCTTCTATGACCAGATCTCTCCGACATCAGGCACTTTAGGCCAACATAGTGCCTGTTGACCGAAGTCTAACATTGTGTTTGCGTGGAACTATAGCGGCCAAGAGTTGGTGGCACCCGGCTCGACAACCGGCCAAAAGGTCTCCTGTAAGCTACCGGTTTACGGGCCACGAAATCTCCGTTGAGGGTAGTTGCAGAGCAAGGCACGATTCCAAGCTCTTAATTCTCTCTTCCTCGGTATGACTTGTGAGGTCTATTCGATAAGCCTACAGTACACTACACCACACTACACTCGTAACATAGCATGTCCCAAATTGCTGCATATAGGCGCGCAGCATAGCGCATAGAAGCATATAACCGCCATATCTACCAGCGTAGTTATACGATATACAAAGTATTGGCGCCGAGGATGACGGTTGAAAATTGAAAAGAGCAGGTCTCGTTTAGTCAATGGGAACTCAGCGTGTGCGACAAAACGAATTCTAGCCCTCCGGCGATGAGCATCGACTGTGCTTTAGCTCGGCGGGATCGAACATCAGATGACGACGTGGCTGGGGCTTTAGTCGTCTCCCGGGTCGCACAGAGTTATAGAATCGGTTGTTGTCAGACGGACTATCCAATCGCACATGCTTCGGAGAAATTCGCTTGTGTTAGGTACCAGGACAGCCGCATTTGACGGGTGTTTAGGGGCTCCTTAGTTCGTGGACGAGGCTACCTACCGCAACGGTTTAATATTCTATGTCGATCTCGTGCCGATTTCTTTCCAGTATGTTTTAGTGCGAGGATTAGCTTTCTTGATCCGTAGACGGGGTCGGACACCTTTCACTTGACACCTTGACACCTTGACACCTTGACACCATCTTTGACACCTTGACACCATCTTTGACACCTTGACACCATCTAGAATATTCGGTTAGCTGGAACTTAAGTTCGATATCAACACCACTATATCATTGATGGTAGATGGCTAAAACCGCAAACAAACCTTGTTTTCGAGCATTTGCTCATTCAACGCCGACTCCTCCGTCCTCCGGTCTACACATGAGCATGAGGCTGTTCTTTATATACCGACTTCGGATTCATCCCTGAGCATCTGATGGATGCTTTATACGCAAGCAACTAAGCCCTAGAGTTTAGTCGCAAATAAAAAATCCGGTAGCGAAGACGAATTCAAAACGTAGGTGCAACAGCGGCCCATAGTCCCATATGAAACTAATAGCATCTCGATTCGGCTGTTCACTTCGCAAGCAGCGGGTATTTGCAGCAGTGGAGAAGGGTTGAGATCCGCACAAGCGGTTTGGTCAACCGGGTCAAAGGGCATCGATGAGGGTATTAGATAAGACGAAAGCTCACCCTTTTCTTTTGATGCCGCTGTTATCTCATATGACATGTAGGAGGTACGGATCCGTAGGTTAGGAGGTAGTTAGACTGGACCCTGCTGGGCTACTGAACATCCACTAAAACAACAAACAGGGCCCGGGCCTCTCTAAACTCAAAGGACCCCCAACGCTACACCTGAGTTTAAGAAGAAATAGGATTTTTGTTGACAGTCCGATTACGTATATATACTTTTGATAGCAACACTTTTAGCTATATTAGTCCCCGTTGCCGCGATCTCGGCTCGTCATTCGTATCAGATGAAGGGATTGATAGATAGGCGTACTAATGCGGAAGCACTAATAGCCCGCCCCTACATATCTGCATGCCGCTACATGCCGCTACATGCCACTGCATACCGCTGCATACCGCTGCATACCTCACCATGACATACGCGTACAGGTGTTCTGCAATGACTAACTTATAAATATCTTAGTCAATATATACAATCGAAAACCACACCATTAAACATTAAATTGAGAACTGGTCCTTTTGTGATGAGGAATACGAGCGCTTGTCCCTTATTGTACAATAGCATGTGTTCATCCACGTTCTGATGTTCTACTATGCCAGGTAGGGTAAGTTTTGCGCCCCGCTTAGGAAAGCCTGAAGTAATAGCCAAAGCGTCGTCGATGAACAACATCCAACCCCCGAACGCTATCGGTGAGCATCGGTTCCGCCCTATGATGCCTGGTACATACCGGCGTGGTTGGGGGTTAAGTGCATATAGAATACCCTGTCGTCGGCCGGGCCATAGTCCGGTCTTACACGTGTAGATCGCGGCTCTCTGATCTTAGCGGCCAGCAGCCTTTCCCTTTCGGTGTCAAACACCGCATGAGTTTCAGGCCCAGTAGGGAGGGTCTCAGCCCGTCGATCATATTGCAGTACTAAGTTGGGTACTAATTATATCAACCGTTTCTTCCCAATAGATCAAATCTTATCTTGGATCTCATTTATATCACGGTTTCTATGTACAATACCTACAATAATGTACGCACGCACTGCACGGATTCGTTTATCAGCTCGGTCAGGTCTACCTGTTAAGACTATTAGCGCATACACACGAGGGCCATCATAAGAAAGCCGCGTAGGGGCCATGAATAATATAATGTGAATGTTGCAGCCTCTTGTAACGGACGCACTGAAAGAAAACTTAATTTCTATAGTAAAAATGAGTTATAGGTAGGTAGATTATGCTTTTCTAGATTTCGCTCGGATTTTCTTCCAATCTAGATATATAGGTATCTAACAATATATCGTTTCGTCTATTAATCTTCAGCGAGCTTAACCATTCTCAGCATTCAATTCAAGGGTATCCTGGCCGGGCTAGACCCTGTGAAGATCACGGAGAAACGATACTATGTACGTTTGACGCCATGATCTACAACACGTCGATCCGACACACGGGTGGCCTCCGAAGAACTACCATCTGGCTTCTCCCGTCTTGTAAGCCCCACATTCCCATACAGCTTTCGAAAAAGATACAGGCGAGATCCTTGACGACCATAGGGATAAGGATTTCAAGAACTTAACTTATTCATGATTTACTATAGGGTATGCGGAACAACTTCACCAACATTGAGATATCCACGTAAGCCCATCAAGTTATGTAGTAACGTTGCTCTAGGTAGAATAATACCTTTTCATCTTATAGTTATAGTTACCGTCTATTCGCCATGCTAACCGTAATAAGTCTCTTCTTACCCACCCATTAACACATCGGCAGCTTCTGATCAGCCTCCGCCTCGGACTCAGGACAAGATTTCGTTCTAGCTTCCTAACGACTTGAGCCCAAACTCGGAGACAAGCATCTGTTTCCTTTTCGGATACCCCAAGTTACACCACCTCCAAGAGGTTGTCATATCCAGCTACTCCCCTATGTCCCACACACACACAGCAGTGACACAGCCTTGCTACTCTCGAGCTAGAACGGCCATTTCACCCGTGGACATACCACCCGCGAATGCCGTCCTAACTTCGCTGTGGCATCTCTATCCGACTCCCCTGCGTCCCCCCCCCCCTCGGCATCACCTGAACCTGCTCCGTTTCTGACACCTCTAGACACCTCTAGAGTGACCACTCTTCTTACCCATATTCGACCTCGAGGGTTTCTAGACCGGTCGAGGAAGGAGGCCTTTCACCTATTCATTACTGACTCTTAACTACCCAGAATACATACTACGGAGAGAATATCAGGCCTGCAACTAGTTTGACGTTTCAGGCAAGCTCCGTCAAGCTCCATCAAATAGGTAACAAGGGGCTTAATAGGAAGTATAGGTTCTTGTCGCTTTTTTCTTCGGTCCCCCCATGATCTGACTTCCCTTAGGTAGGTACTAGGAAAATCTTCTTCTTAGTGGCCACGCAAGCAAAGCACATCATCCTTCCTTCTTTTCTCGAGCGCAGAGTCACATTCATCTTTTCAACCATTTACATATGATTGTACATATGATTGGTTTCTTTTAGCGTCGATCTGTCTATTACTTATATAACCCTCCTAAAAGTCGGGCACTGGACCCTGGTTGCACCTTCCCCGGACAACAAAAGCTCAAGATCCCCCACTTCCTACATCACATCCTACACATCCTACACAGTCTATCTAAATCCAGTCATGTCGCTCGTTCTTACCTTCCTACACATAGTTGTATAGAGAGAAGGAGGAACCCGGCAATAGCGCTTTTGCGACATCATCTCCTCTTCACGCCAGAGGAAAGGAAATTACCACCGTGTTGCTATACGAGACTAATACACCAATACACTAATACAGTCAGGCATATCAGGCACCTTAACAGTCGCCTCCCCACCAAACTCGCATTATAGGTTAGATTGCTACATTGGCAGCTTATAAGGCGTGAGGAAGGCCGTTCCTCGCCTTGTAAATGGGGTATTTCACTTCCTAGGCATTGGAATCCCTTATTGGATATACGACATTATCATGGGAATGGCGGATAACGACGAGTTGCGGACCTCAACTATACAAACTTTCCGAATTATACGAACTATACATTTCATACACGTCGGTTTGGGGAGAAGTTTAATCAGCAGACGCACAGCTTCAACCAAGAGCTGACCTTATTAATTCAAATTCCTGGACGATTATCTGAACGGGCTAGGAACTGTTGTCGAGGTTGTGGTTCACTTTATACTTACTAGCAGGGCTGGCAACAAATCCTTTTATATCGTCTCGCCAGCGCGTTATCTACGGCTTAGTCTCGTGGACTAGAACCATAACTTCACAACAAGCTATATTTTGAGCTGGTATTCTTGGCTGCAAGAAGCATGGATGTTAACTCACTTCTTAATAAGACGTCGTCGGTGCAAGGAGAAGCAGCCACAAGTACGGAGGAACGGGACATCGTGGGCCATGGCACCAGTTCGGTGCCGCCGACGACGGAGGCGACAGGAACGACAGAGACGACAGCAAGTCATCTACCCTCTCCGCGTACTTCGTCCCAAGAGCAAGCCCCTGAACACGGAACGAGATTACCATGTCGGAGTAGGACACCATGGAACGCCGATGGATACGCACTCCCACTAACATTAGACACCACATCGACTCGAGCGATAATACATCCAACGTCTAATACTACATCGCCTGCAGTATCCGGCAGTCCTAGGTCGCCACGACACAAGTTCTCTGAGAGTCATAGTAGCCTCTCCTCCACGTCGACTCAATCATCCCACTCGAGGATTTCATCTACGTCTACGGTTGGTGGAGCTCAACACACTCAGCCCGACCGTGCCGAGCTTACGATTCCCAAGATAATGTCACCAGGTACGAACCAGAAACCAGCAAATGAAGCAATCACATACCCGCCTACAATCCGTACGGAACTACCGGCCTTGGATCCAATAGGAGCCAGCTTACCATCCGATACCATGCTAATGTCGAAGGGCTGGGTAGCTGTAAACCAGACTGATAGACGAGACGCAACCATGTGAGTAGGCATTCTTATTTTTTATTTTTTTTTATTCAATAACCGTCCAAGACAAATTGCTTTAAGTTTAAGTTACTCTTAATTGGTCTATTGCTCAGACGAAAATCGTCAAACCGATCCCCGAATCAAGTGTCATGGGTCAAATTCAGGGGATTAATCACCAGTCACTTTTAGTTTGTGCAACGATTTGCTGGTCCTACACCTAATCCTACACATACGGGCTTATCACCCTTCAAAACCCTCATTATCATACCCAATTGGACCTATTATAGCCTTTGGTCCATCTCAAGTGTTAAGCTTCCTAATCTAAACTACCTTTGCTCATACTATCACTTTATCTCAACATGCTGGTGTTTGAAGATCTGTCGAGATACCACATGTTCTCTTTTCCTAACGTCTTGTCAATCATCGCTCCCTCGAATTTGTATATAAGCCAAGGGTTTATTGTCCAACCTCGGCCACATCCAGTATCTTCTATTTACTAACGCTACCTTAGTACCAGAGATACTAAGCCCGATCTTGGCCATCTCGTTCCTCTTGATTCTTCCAAAGCACATAAGAGGGCTATCTCTGCCCCTGATTTTAATGTCACGGAAGGGATTGATCGAACCTTTCCTCCCTTCTCTGTCGCATTTCAACGTCCTTTCTCGCCTCCGCCTCGGGTTAATCTCCCCCCCTTCGGTCGATCTCGATCAGGACACGCCATGCAGGCGATGTCCCCTCCATCAGCCTTCGACAGTCACCTTTCCCAGGATGGACTGCCTGTCTGTATGTATCAGCAGGATTGCGACACGGGATCTACACTCCGCAAGGCCATTTCGCATATATTCGGTAGAAATAAGACGTGTACGCGAAACATACCTACGAAAGTTTGGGTTCACTACTGCCGCAAGCATTACCAACGCAGTCGTTATCGTAATGGTCCGGAGTGGGCTGACACCCAATGTGAGTTGGTACAGAGGCAGATCCGCCGTGTTCAGGAATGGAGTGACGAAAATCAGCGAACTGGACAGCCAGGAGTAGTCAAGGATTGGTCATTGTCTATGAGGAAAAGAGAGAAGACTCGTATCGAGGAAAAATCCTTCAAGAAGCGTTCTCATCGTGAATATAATGAAGACGAAGACGATGTTATACCGGACAACGCTGTTTTAAACGGCACCGCCGTGCCTAGTTGGCTACGTGACAGGTGCGGCAGTGGGTATACCACGGCCGAGATCGAGGAAATTGTGGCCCGCATGAGGAATGAGATAAGAGAGAATTACAGTACCCAGATTCCCGACATAGAGATTCTCCCAAACATCTCCATGGACACCTCGAATGACACGAATTCCAAGACATTGACGAGGCAGAAAGATAGCCCTGTCCATAAACGCTCTCGGTCGGTTGGCGTCGCTCTTGAGCCCGGGCCACGCCCCATGATGCGTCGCGTAAGCCAACCCACGTATGTCCGACAAGAAGATACGCTCCTACCTCATGATGAAAAACGTCGGCGTATATCCAATACACCTCTATTATCCAATACACCTCTATATAGTCCTCCTCATACATCTACGAGTTCGAGGCTACCAGAACATCCTTCTCAGTTAGGACCCATCCATCCTCTTCCTCGTCGCCAAGGCTTTGGCAATATCCAAGACAACCGTGCCGAGGAGCCATATCGCCATCACGAAAGCACCAGAGCCCTAGAATCCGGCTACAATCGTTGGCCTAATCTGGGTCCTCAGCGGAATCAAGTTCGGCCGATAAGCGTAGCACCAGGAATTAGCGGCCACCAGCGGTCTTTTTCCGAAGCCAGCAGCGTCCATCCTGGCTTTACTTACCGGCATTCTGTCAACCACCCTACAACGCCGGCCGCTACAACGCCGGCCGCTACAATGCCGGTCGTTACAATGCCGGCCGCCTATTTCACGGATCCGACAGCTTACGGTAGAGGCATAATACCTCCGGCGCGATTTCCACCAGTCTTTTATGAGGGTCTGCCACTACTGAACCAGCCAGGCCCTGGTGCCTATCCATCCCCTTTGTCAAATTTGGGGCCGGGTCCCATTCTCCTCGAACCCAGTTATATACACACGCGTCACCAGAGCACACCATCAGTTAGCCATACCAATACCCCCCAGGGGCCCATCGGTGGATATGAGCTACCCACCATCTTCCGCCCGCAAGCCTCACACGAGCAATTATCTTCACATCACCACCGTCAACATTCCTACGCGCAACCTCATCCGAATCCTCCTCGCCCTGCAGCCCAAGAATCTGATCGGGACAGAGAAAATTTCAGCGAGCGTCGTTAGCAGCGTCGTTAGCAGCGTCGTGACCCAAGACTTAATACTTTCATCATGTACTAATAATCGGCATCTTTCACTACGTTTTCCGTGCCTTGCCTTTGCGGATAGTATCCATTTACTCGACTAAAAGGGAAAAAAAAAAAAAACACCTACGTTATAGAAGGAACGGCCTAGATCTTAGACTGGATACCCCCTCTTTCAATCTTCACAGATTACGATTGGAGGCATGGAACCAAACAACAAAAAGTGGGCTATGTGCCCCTCAAAAAGCGTATGGGCTTATGATTTACAGCGATATCGATTCCTTCAGGTTTGCTTCTGAAAAGCGCGATTATATTACGGGAATCATATGTAATAGGAGCTACTTATATAGTCAGCCCTTCGTTTGTAAATGCGATTGATTTCTTGAGACGTCGTATTCGGTAGTATTCATATAAAATATAAAAAATATCTCGTCATTGAGGGTATGTTACTTGTGCTAGTTAGGTAGTCCGTAATAATCGAAAATTAATTGCGCAGTCTTGGCATATGAACCTCTCTTGAATAATCAACAATTATACTAGCAAAACAAAGTCAAATATAATAATGATATATATCATTCTATTCGTTAGAAGGTACTGTATCTTGCTGTGGTTTTAGATTTTTAATTGCTATTATGTTCGTCAAGCTTAGCAACCTTAAACATAATGTAATATATGCTATATATATACTATACTTTCAACCTTCCGAAACATCCCCAATATGCATGCTAAAAAATTATAAAAAACGTCACTAAAGCGTATAAAGGCCAAAGAATTTGCTAATAATTTTTCCTATGTTCTATGCCCTTTGTTGGTGCATGTTTTAAATGTAATATACAGTGTTGTTTTCAGAGGAAAATGCTAAGACTGCGCAATTAATTTTCGATTTTCGATTCTTACAGGTAGTTTGATGCTACCACCGCCATGGCTTTTCTGATTGGCCCATTTTTGCAAAATCTTCCCAATCAGGAAAGCCCACCAAAAAAAAATGGATGGTCGCAACATGCAGTAACACAAACACAAATAACAGGTACCCGGAAAAGGTTAATATGAAGTACAATATAATATAAAAATATAAATTAATTATAATTTAGCTCTAATATTAACTAATTTGTTTGGGTGGCAGTTAATAAGCTTTGAGCGTCTATGTCGGTAGACAAGGTCCAGTCCATATTATACGTACGTACGGATTAGGGGTGGTTGCAGCACTGAGATAGACTCCTGTATTATATGATGCATTATCGTAAGATCGAGATAGATGCGGTCTCAAAGGAGACACGCATCTATATACTCGTGCGGGACGGATTATCATCTAATCCGATGAGGGATTATCATCCCAACAGTCTAAACTAATTCTATCATTAGAAGTATTATCTACCTCGGTCGCTATAATCAGAGTTGCTAAGAGTTGCTAACAGACGAGGCTAAGTTGTTGTTGTATCCAGGCCAACGGAATCAAACTATGACCATATAAATGAAGGAACGAGTAAAGTATTCCATAGTCATGAACATAAACACAGCTTTGTTAGGACGGACTGGCAAACACTTCACTTTGAGGTGGGTGCCTAGGTACATAATCGCTCTACAAATATCTTCCCCTCGCAGGTAACTGACAAGATCGATAAGCATCTGTTCCTGCCTCGGGTGAATTGTCTTATTTGACGGCTTGACGCATGTTTCGTCTCTACTAGTGTTTATCGCACTGTCACAGGTTTGACAGGCTACTTAAAGAACTCGATCTCGCATCAGTGCTGCTTCTCTACTGTTCGAGCAACTCACATTCCGAGACATAGCAATAAGATAGGAAGAACCTAGTTGCTTTATGTCGAAGGAATGCCCGGATTACATATAGCAAACGGGGCTGAACCCAAGAACTCCCAACCCGCGTTTGTATTCGACATCGACGGCGTGTTTATAAGGGGCGAGAAGTTGATCCCAGGAGCTCGCGAAACTATTCAGCTGCTGCAGAGTCGCAACAGCCCTTTCATCTTCCTAACAAATGGCGGCGGACATACGGAACAAAAACGAGTCGAGAAACTTAGCCAGCGACTAGGCCTTACCCTCGATGCGAAACAGTTCGTACAGTCGCATACCCCTTACCACGATCTCGTGTCCGAGTATGGCAACAAAACAGTTCTAGTCCTTGGAGCCCATGGAGATCAGATTCGAGACCTAGCCCACAAATACGGCTTCAAGAAGGTCCTCACGTCATCTGATATCGTGGCCGAGCGTCCACTCATCCACCCATTCCGAGAGATGACCAAGGCTCACCACGAAAAATACGGGCGCAACAACAACATACTGGACACCACGCCGATATCAGCCATCATGTTCTGGTCTTCGTCGCGCGACTTGGGCCTGGATTTGCAGATCATCACCGACCTGCTATTATCGGCCGGCGGCTATATCGGCACCAAATCGCCCAAGAACGGCGATCCTTCCCTGCCTAACCACGGGTACCAGCAGGACAACCAGCCCAGGCTCTTCTTCTGCAACCCGGATTTCCTCTGGAGCACCGAGTACCACGAGCCGCGGTTCGCGCAAGGCGCGGCCATCGCAGCGCTCAAGGGCATCTTTCACGAGATGACGGGCGGCAAGGGCGAGCTGCTGTACACGAGCATCGGCAAGCCGACGGAGACCACGTACGTCTACGCGGAGAAGGTGCTGCGCGAGTACGGCAGGAAGCTGGATCCCGCCCGCGAGATCGGCACCGTGTACATGATCGGCGATAACCCGCGGAGCGACATCGTCGGCGCCAAGAGCTTCAGGTCTAGGTGCGGATATAAGTGGATGAGCGTGCTTGTCGAGACGGGCGTCTACGTGCCGGGTTCGGTGCCGGCGCATCAGCCTGATCATACGGCGGCGGATGTTAAGCAGGCGGTGGAGTGGGTGCTGAGGAAGGGGAAGGAGAAGCGCATCAACGGAGCTGAGTGAGGTTTATCAACAAGGTGTTGATTCTCTGCTTAGGTATTCGGCATGGCGCATCTAGACGGTAGTCTGGAGTTATTACCTATTGCCGGAGTTATGGTCCAGCATTTGCGGTTTCGCTTTAGAGATCTCCATTTCGGAACTAAGTGAGTGGCATTTACCCCCAGGCATAGCAAATGGGAGGGCGGGCCCCTTTTTTACGTAGATGCTTTGGTTTGGGACTCTGATGAGCCGATACCATCTATCTAGATCAGGACCATTTTTCCTATTTTCTCTAGGTACTTGTTACATAGGCGAAGGACACGAACTTGCATCGCGCGGTCTTCGATACTGGGTTAGAGATTTTTGGTTTGGTACTAAGACGCAGTCTTCCTAAGAATTGATTTTGCTTTTCTCTTATATATATACGAGGATGTGGTCAGTCTTTGGATATAGTGTAGATCTTGTTGCCATTAATACCTCGTTGTTGACCGAGGCTTGAAGATCCGTATGTAGGCACAGGTAAAGAGCCCAACCAGCAACAGAGACTCTTCTAGTATCGCAGTGGGTACCACAAACATTAGGTAGGTACATATATCCTCTGACAACTCTACTTAGGCCTTCCATCTCGTGAAGAGTACAATGTAAAACTTCAGAGGCTGCTTGGGACCATAAACTGTGTTTTGCTTATGGCTCGTGCCAAAGCCTAACACATAAACTGGTTGAAATACGTTTCGATTATAGTGTAGGGCAGTCCCCATTGTAATTTAGACGAATCAGCACCAACATAAGGAAAGGCTTCCTTATTTGTGGCTTTATACTTGTGGCTTTAGCTTATGCGTTAAGGCTATTAAGGCTATTCCCAACCGTATCGTCGCTACATACCTAAATCCACTAAGTACGCTATAATTATAGCGTGCATAATCGCTAAAATTTTCATTTTAGGCATCATTGAAAGTGCTATGGTTTACTTATTAAGTGCCCTATAACTATAGGGCATTTAATGGGCAATTTGGTATAAGCGAGTTAATAAGCGCCTTTAAAGGTGCTTTTGAATCTTTCGAAGTTTATTAGATGTATGAAAAAGTATTATAGGGCCTCCCATCAGCCAAATCTCAGTGGGAATAAGTTAATCAATACCTTACAAATACATTGCTGATACTTATACTTATTCCCTATAAGTTTTTTCATGCTTACCTAGGTAGATATGCTCATAAACACCTTCTCAGGCTGCGGAAGCTCCTCGGGAAATTTGAATATGATGGTTCATGGATATATGGGTTTCCCAACAGGATCCACATTTTGATATTCATGTGTAATATATTCATGTGTAATAGAAATAGAACCACGAGTTGTCGGCTGGTACCGCAAATATCTATACTAAATGGTACGATGATACGCACGTATAAGCCGGGGGGACCTGGGACCATTGCAAAAATAGAAGCTCGGTGTCACAATGCTACCTAACAATATATCATGTATGCAACAAACTACGAGCCTAACCACCCAGTGCCACGGGCCTGTCTGCGTGTAGTCTTCCTCTGTCTAGGATGTCTTGGGGTGGCCTTGGAGTTAGGCCTCTTGGTAGATATTATGGAACTTTCCTATGCGTTCTTAGTAACTCTGTATGGAATCACTGTTGGCTATGGTTAAAAATTGTATGTCTAAAGTAGGTACCGTAGCAGCCCCTTAAACAAGAATCGTCGAAGCATGATGTATCCCCAAATGTGCCATAGATGTAAGTCTGCTATACCAATGGCTTGCTGAGAGGCAAGAATACTAATAAATATTTCTAACCCAGCTTCCTAGGTATTTTCGTACAATAAATTCGTAGCCACATAATGTAGGTCGTAGTTGAAAAAGCGGTCAAATTGCCGATCTAGGAGTTTATGTTATAAACTGGAACGGTCTATATGCTTTTAAAGTATCAAGAAGTGAACTCTGAATAACGGCTTTAGAATGAATAGTGATTATAAGTGCTATCTTGAAATTTATTTTAATAACATAGTATTATACTCACAATAATTACCTTTACTACACAATATGGTTAAGCTGTTGGCTATGCTGTTGTCACAGCTTTTATGATAATTACTTAATTATTTCGACCAAACGAAGCTTAGGGCTAGTAAAGACAATATATAGACAGCTATGCCCTAAGCAAGTTAGTCACTACTTCTTAAGCTATGGAAGTAAGTCAAGCAATCTGAAAAGGTATGTTACTATTATAATACACGTCAATGATGAACGTCAGTAGATAGATTGATAAGATTAATCAAACCATGTGACGGAAGAGAATGTACATACCTACACTATGTAAGGATATGACGATATGTCAAAGAGGGGCAAAGGGGCGTGACAGGGGAGAAGGGCTAGGCTGGGCTGATGTGACAAGGGCGGTGAATGATTAAGCTTGCAGATAATTATGGGGATTCACCTGAACTTAACCCAATCGTGCCTTGCGCCATTGCCCGAGTTGATGAGTGATGGCATGTACATGCATGATGTACACGCGACCTTTTTTGGTAACACATGCCTTTTTCTGTCCGACTAAGAAGACCGTTTAAGAAAAATGAGATGTAGGGTAGTTGACCGTCCAGCGCACTTGGTGAATTTTTAATAATTTTCAACCATAGTGGGCTTTTGACGGGTTATATTTATTTTCGTCTTAGTTTCTTTAGACGAAATTTGTATCTCCTTTTTCTTTTGCAATGTGCAAGAAGAATCGGTAGATATCTGTACAGTAGGTTGCAAGGTTAGTACATTAGGTATTTACGAACAATTCAGCCACGTGCAGATAAGCGATAAGCCAGCTGGCAGGTGCGGTTTGTCAAGTGCAGAAACCTCGGGGGGTAAGAACGGTTTAGTACCTAGCTCGATTAGGGCCACCTTGATCAAAATTCAAAAAAAAAAACCTTGGTTTGGAAACTTGCCCGGCTAGGGAAGAATAAGACAGCTGAGCCCCTCTTCTCGACGCGACGACTCTCTATTAGCCATACATAATCATATCGCCAATGACCTCTCAAATTTGAACATCTCGGTTATTGACGCGCGCTCGGGCGAGACATTCAATCCACCATCCCTCCTTCACGGTTCACGGACGTTCACGGCATCCCCCGAAGACGAACCGAACACATTACAACAGCCCTGGCTGAAAGCCTCGCTACCTCGGCGCGGCAGCAGCCACTACCATCGCGCCCATGTGGTGGTTTTTTCGCATCGTCTCCAGCTCCGTCTTCCTGTTGACCATCGTACTATCCATACCCATCTCCTTCGATGTAGGCGGACGTGATAGCGGCTTGGCCTACAGCCTGTCGCTCTTCGCTTTCTACCTGGTCTACAGCGCTGTCAAGCTCGCTACCCCCGAAAACTCGCGCATAGGCTGGGTTGTCTCCAGGTTCCTCCAGTCTTCTCAGTGGATTGTGATTCCGACCCTCTTGATATGGTCTCTGCACAATTTTGCTGTTGATGCTAACAGCACCGACTGGGTATCGAGAACAATCGGTGGATTCGGTGGTCAAAAGCCCACTGCTACCTGGACCGATTGGATCTTCGGCAATGGCGGGTTCGTAGAATCAGTCACTCTTGGTACTTGGGATAAGGCGTTGCGTTATTCGAGCCCCGTCTTCCAGCTTGCCGAAGGCTTCTGTACGTTGTTGGTCATCCAAGCCGCAGGTCAAATTTCGAGATGGCTTGTGAACCGTGGAAGAAGCGATACTTGGGTTGTGAGTAATCTCTATTGTTATACATATTCCTTATTCAGCTACTGACTTATGTTAGCTTATTCTCCTGATATTATCTGCGTCTATCATCGCCAGTGCCGTCTACTTCCTATGGCGGGTCGCTTTATTCCCATCTATCAGCAATATCGATGCGACCCTCATCGGCGTGACTGTTACGTCTGCAGTTTTCTTATGTGCGATAGGAATTCTTTCCGGCCGCGGTAATCCCGTTGAGTCGTCTTTACTATTTGCCTACATCGTTCTATGTGTATATCAGATATTCACCGACTATGTTCAGTCACCGGAGGCCCAGGCTGCCGCTGCAGAACAAGCTGCAAATCAACCAGAGTTTCCACCCCTGCCTCCCATCATTATGGCGAGCTACTCGACTCTCGTCCACCTTTTTAATTTGTTACCCGAAGCCGTGTACTCCTCACTGAGTTTCCTCCATGCTGCATTCCAGACTATTGCGCCTTCCGTCATGATCTCCCTGACTTACCGACTAATCGTTTTTTACTGCGCAACTCGTATTATTCCAGCGGTACGAGAATCGGGCGCACGTGCCCTCCTAGAGGAGCCGTCTTTGGACGACTCAGACGAAGCAAATCGCATTTTAGGTTTCCTCTCATGGTTCTCTCCTTCTATCCTTATCTCCGTCTATACAAGTCTTCTACTTCAACATTTTTCTGCCAGCGGTGGTGAAGAAGGCTGGACACTCCGACATGGGGATGCGGGAGGCAATACCTGGCGTTGGGTTAACGTTGCCGCTACAATGAGTCTCTATGCTATCGAGTTATATCTAGGTAGCGATGATTCGGACAGCGGTTTAGTTAACCATTGGAAGACGGACTAGACAAGGTTGTCTATTAATTCCGAAGTTAGCAAGGCTGAGATATTTTGACCTGTGGTATGAAGCAGATCCGAAAGACAGGTCGCAGAAACCTAATTAGCAGGAAAGTGGCATATGTGTTTTAACCTTAGTCGATCATGGTTGCGATCGATATTTGGCAGCAAGCATTGGGCAGGGCAGGTCGTCGGCTTAGGAAATGTAGGTTCACAGCACTTGGCGTTAGGGGGGCATTAGGGACAGTATACCATTCCATTGAATTCGACCATGTTTTATTTGTTGCAACGAAGCAGCACTTGGACCTGATTCGTAAGCCGGGCGTACTTTGCATCTGTGGGGAGTTTTGAGCCATTCCAGGTACTTCCCTACTTTTATGGAGTAAAGATAAGAGTAATGTTATTTCAGTAGTAATGGTATTTCAGTAGTATTCAATTTTAAGGCTAAATCGGCAGTAGCCACATCATCCAGCCACAATTAGGAGTCACGCAGGAGTCGCATAAGTACTACATGTATTCCCATACAAACTTTCCTGGCCGCGCATGTATCTTTTATGTCAACCCCGCGCAATCCTCAATCTCTTAAGATGCACCCACATACAGCAGCCTCATACAATACAGCTACTAGCCAGCCAGCCAGCCTCCCTCATACAAATATAGGGACCATGTTTTCAGCCTTTTTACCTCGCAATAATTGTATGCGACCGTATAATCCTTTCATAGACACATGTGACCGAGTAAAAGCAGTATAAGACGTACGGGCCTTGCATTCTAATTGTATAAGAGGCTGTACGAGAGGGTATAAGATAAGGGTATTGTAAAGCATATACAAGATGAATGAACATGAGGTACGAAAAGATACTAGAAAAATTGTATGGCGGGGTACGTACCTGCGGTTTGCCCCATTTTGACTGTGGCTACTACCGATCTACCTCCTTAAAATTGAATACTACTGAAATACCATTACTACTGAAATAACATTACTCAAAGATAAATGACTTATCACGGGAAGCAAACATTTAAGGAGGTGTGGTGGTATGACATGTCTTATGGCGAGAATAATTCTCTCAGGATACATCGTGTGCGAATTCCATTCGATGCCTCTGCTGTTTATCATCATTATTATTAAATAAACCTCGTGGAATTGGTTCCCTCAACCGATATGCTCCAAAGCCTACAGCTCGCTCTACTTCGTATAAGAACTCAGCCTCGATGATTTGCAGAATGGGCTGTTAGATGCGATGTAACCTGAAGAGAGCCTCGTCTCAGGTGTGGCGCAGGTTACCTACCTGTCGGTCTTGCAAATTAAGACCCGCTTGACAAACATAAAACAGCAGGTTCAGCTACCGAGATATTTAGGTCATTTCTCTCATCTTCTCTATTTTGAGGGGGTTTTCCCTTCGTTCTTTGTTTGAATTTTTCTATATCTTTTGTCTCGGTTATGTACGCATAGGAGACTTGGTTTTATGAGGTTTTATTTGTATTTTCTCAACCTAAAACCATGCAGCGTCTTATAAGGAGTAAAGCGGCGGAGAACGGGAGCGTGCATACTCATGTTCACGATGGCGATGGGGACGAGCTGGATCTTAATTCTTTAATCCCGGACCGAAAGCTTGAAAGCTCTATACCCGGATATAATAACTATTCCAATGGAGATGTATACGCCGAGTCGCCGGGTCAGTACGAGCAGGAGTGGGAGATTGATACGTTTGTCTTCCTAGAAAGATATACAGACTAATAGACACATCGCTAATTATATGTAGCTTAAACGCTGAAATGCCATATCTCCAGCACGTCAAATCATTATCGGCAGCCTGGCCTCATCTGCGCTACCTTGCGCAATGGATGGAGGTGACGACATCACCTAACAAATGGCAGCTTATTAGAAAATTGTCCCCCCAGACGCGGAGAGACATTCTGAAAGAGAGGGCTGGGCGAACTAAAATTGCGGCCATTGATTTCATTTCAGGTCAGCCAGTTTCGAGTTCGAGTATCAAGTATATCAACGATCCAAGAAGTCTAGCCTGTACACTAGACGAACCGGCTGTACCAGGTGCTAGCCGGTTATATGTTGTAGAAGACCTTTCTCGAGATGTTATTGAATACCTAGGTTCCAAACTTGACATCGACCCTCTCTTTTTTCGAGAACACCTTAATGACTTCACGTGGTATAATACTCGTGATCCGTGGGTCGAGCTTCCCGACCTTGACATAGTTTCGCGGGATCGACCGTACTTCCGCTTAACCTATATGCAACCGCGGTACTTCGAAACAGCCGAGAGCTTCAAGAAAGCGGAACGGCAGGCTGGGAAATTTAACGTGCTTCGACGGCTAGATGCCGACGACGGACATGAGTCTCCTTTCGATGACAAGTCGGCCACAGTTGCGCTTGTTAGGAGCAAGGCGTCTCTATGGATTAGACCAGCCAAAGCAAACCAACAGGCCATTGGTAGGTTGCTATTTTATCGTAATTGATATGGGTGTCATGTACCATTTAACTCACGCTCTCACGCTTATAGGGGTTCTACTTATCGACCCTCCAATAACAGAAGGACATCCTCTCTGGAAAGGGCATCGGCCCTTTAAGAATTCGCCAACTCCTCAAAACCAGACACCACAATATAGCTTGCCGCCCAAACCAAATCTCTTTGAAGACTTGATTTTCTGGATCCAGCAGACATCGCAGCAAGATATCGACGCCGTAGAGAATAACCCAAGAGCTATGGCTTTCCGCATTCTAGAGATCATATGTGCTGAGGTGAGTGTACCATCCGAAAAAGCATCTCGGTTCCTATACTATGCGTTCCTGATGCATCTCCCATACTATATGACTCCTATGTGACAACCTACATAAAGAAGAGACTCGCTAACTCTTAGACGCTGCAAGTGGTTGACCCTAAATCAATATATCACTGCGCGGCTAGGGCAAATCGAATGGGCAATCGAGAGCCCCAAATGGTTTAGTACGGAGAAGCAAGAATCCAAAGGCGATTCCATAAGCTTCAACACGTCGCTTACAAAACTTCATACCTGGCGGCGACGGCTCCCAATCTTCAAAGCTATGGTCGCCGATATCCGCACAAAGCTCTTCCCAGATCCTAATCCTAATCCTAGCTCTAGCCGGCTGGACTGCATTGACAATCTGCGAAAAGATTTCTCCATCGTCGCCGAGAACATGGAGGATCTTTTGTCTCGCACAGAGCGCATCGCCGCAGTCGCCACGGCCGTGGCCGCAATCGAGGAGAGCAGGCGCGCTATCGAGCAAAACAAAACACTAGGCCGGTTAACCTATCTCGCCGTGATATTCGCGCCTCTCAGCTTCGTCTCCAGCTTCTTCAGCATGTCGACCAACGTCTCGGAGCTCACCGGGACGATCTGGATCTACTTCTGCGTCGCCATCCCCGTCAGCCTGCTGGTTTACCTGGTAGTCGATAAGAATTGGACGAATAGCTTGCAAGGCGTTTATGGTTTGGGAGCGGCGGCGAAGGAGAAGATTAAAAAGCCCGAATCTAAGCGTTGATAAGTAGGTAGGTAGCTTGAGGAATTAAAGTTGGGGGGTTTTTATTGCTTTGTTAGTTACGATATCCGTTTAGATTTCTGGGAAAGGTATATAGGTGGATGAAGGGTCGATTTAGGTACTTGGATGGGTTTCTGGATAGAAAGCGTTATGTGGGAACTTATGAGCTACGATATTGGGACTGGGATAGACGGTATAGCATCATCTCTTTGGTTCTGCTAGAAAGGTTGGGCTGGTTGTACATGTGAGCACACTATACTTGGTTAGTAGTCTTGGACTATCTTTTGCCAGTCCCGCGCGTGATTACGTTGCTATCAACTAACCGAACCAAGGGTCAGAATCCAGCTAAGTCCATATGTGTTAAGTATGGCAGTATGATAAGGAAAGGTTGTTACATGTCCGTAGTTGGATAGGATATGTTGGGGAGACCCAGGACTTGAGTCGTATATAGCGAATAGGCGAAGGATCACAGAACTCTTAGAACGTGACTATGCTGGTGGGGATAACATCGTTTTAGATGCGTAGGGAAATGCCGCAGTAGAAACGCTCCTAATGGGCTATATTCCAACAACGCCATCCTGCGAACTCTCGGGTAAGATTTTGGCAACCTACGGGCATATGCAGTCTCTGTCAACGTAATAAGGCTTACGGATACTAACTAGTGTCTCGACTACGGAGTTTAGGTCGCGACATATCTTGTTGGATAGGATTTCGGCTTACTACTACCACTGTACTTTACTTTACTTATAATAGCTAGTTATCCGTATAACCCGGGTTTTAAATCCGCTGACATCTATTGGTTTGTTCTACTCCTAAATACCTAGCCCTTGAACTAACTTCTATTAATTAAGACTTGGGATCATATTACATAGGTGCGAATTACAATGAGACCGTTAAATCTCGTACGAAGGCTTGGCGTGTGGTAGAATGATGTAGTCCTTGTTTATGGGCTTGAATGGCATTCATTAGTAAGATTCCACAGACTGATATGGTGGCAGTGGTGGTTGCGCCGAAAGGATTAAAGTATATTTCGTGTTTAGAGTACAGTCCTCCAGTCTAAATTAAGCTATTCCCGACGGACACCCACGCGGGTTCAAAATAGGGCTCATCTGTACTTTACTCCCATAACCGTTTACACTAGGTATGGTTTACTCCCGTCGGCGACTTAATATAGACTCGAACCATTGATGCTTTAGATAAGATCTTGGGGAATTCAATTGGACTATGGCTAGCATTCGGACGACATAGCACGACACAAGCGATGCATCCGATGCTAAAACACCATCTAGGTCACAGGTACAGGTGGCCTACCATGCCGCGCAATCGTCGGTAGCCGGAGTGTCTCGTAAGATGCCTTATCGCCGACGCTTAAACCCGTAATCTTCTTTTCTTTCGGTTTTTTTTTTTTCTTCTTCTTCTCTCTCTCTCTCTCTCTCTCTTTTGAGTCAAGATAACTTCAAGGGCCTTTTGTAAACTGACCTTATCGCAGTTATATTACATAATTAGCATAATTCCGCCTTCGTTCTAGGAATCTGACAGACCTCCTTTTCTGTTCAGGGGAAATATTAGCAAGCTTCTTCTAGAACAGACGCCAAGCGAATAGCCATGTAAACTTTACCAGAAATGGGAGACGAGGCAAAAAATGATTCGACTTGGAGTTTTGTTGACTACAGCGCTAAACCAATTAGGGATTTAGAGTCCCCGGGGATGATACGGATCGCTAGGTACCTATCCGGGGTAATTTGGCTCGGTACTTCGCAGCGTGTTCTTTGGAAAGCTCCGCTTCTCAACGGGTGGGAGAACAAGGGGGAAGCTGTCAGTGAAGCAGCGAAGTTCCAGTAAAGCTCCAGTGAAGCTACATTAGTTACATGAATTCCTATTGGCCTCCCATCGCTCAAGCATACCTTACACCTACATACGTGCCGAGGCCAGTTTGAACATCAGTTACAACACCATCATGCCACCGCTATTCTGATACTAACCTCGTTACACCTACTGACCTAGTACATAGGCAGATAGGTAGTCAACTAGGAATTGCGTCTTGGCCGTTTTAAATACTGGAATAATAAGTCTATCACTATAGATCTTGGCAGGTGATCCGCGGGTCTAATAGTAGTTTATAGCGTACGTATTTAGAGAAATTAGTGGTGATGAGGCCGCCTGACCGTCAGCTTCACTGCTTCTACATAGGTAGTAGCAAAAGCAGCAGCATGGTTAGTAGGACTACGCAACCCTCCTACATACTAGTGTAGTTATACGGAATATACATAGAAGCAAGGCAAGGCTCCATCTGCCGCCCTTGGCTCTTTATATCCGACTTGCTCGTTTTAGTCCAAGTGTTGTAGGTACTATCGCCCTGTCGCCCCGGACGAATCAAGATTGTCTAATAGGGGAACACGACCATCCCGTCCCCCGCCGTTCGTGCATATACTATATACTACATACATAGATACAACAAGTCATAGCCATGGTGTGTGTGTGTATCCAAACAACCAGGTCCTTGTCAGGTCCTTGTCAGGCCCTTGTCAGCTCACCCTACCGCCTATTCACCCTATCTACCCCGGACCTCCGATCCTCTCAACAAGAAGGGCCACTCATCGTACCTCTATCGTACTATTACCTACTTTACTCATAATCATCCCATACTCCCCCCCTCTTCTTTGCTTTCTTTGTTCTCTTTTCTACCTTTTGTAGCAAGCAATTGAACCTTCCGACGATTCAAATCGGCTCAGTTTAACATCTTTAAACATCTTTAACATCTACTGGTCCGTGCATTTAGAGCTCCAGCTCCCTTCCAAAGCTCCAAACCATGACTGCTGGTCCCCGCCTTACAGCTCCGGCTTCAAAGCTCGTCCGCTCAATCAGCACCACAGCTACGGCCTCTGTGCCAAAGTCCAACACATTACTTACGGGCTCTAAAAATGCTGCTCCTTTGTCGAGGAAATATGCAGACCTCCTCAAGGAGAGGAATATAGATCCGGATGTAAGTACAGAATTATGTTATGCACCTTGTTTGCTAGCTTAAGAGAACGACTTATAAGTGACTAACAACCAATCAGCATTCCCGTCACCTGTACACACGATCGTCAAACCGTCCTCACCCTCCACCTCGCACAATGCGCTTAATGCAAAGCTTCACCTCGAGTGCCTCTCAAGTTACTCAGGCCGATGCCACCACTATGGACCACATCTTCTTCCCGGGTTCGGCTGCCCTTCAGGGATCGTCTAACGACCCGTTCGCCCACCTCCGTGTCCCTTTACTCCCCGACAACTTCATCACTCACCACACCCCTGAGGCAACAGACGGCCCTGTTGCCCCTGCCCAAATCAGCATCGTTGCCGCAAACCCGGAGCTCGTATCCCCATCTGCCCTTACCGAAGTAGAAGGCATGGGCATCGACGGTGTCGAGCTAAAGTTCGTCCACGAGGAGTCGAAACCGGAGCAAGAACAGGGCATGCTTACGAATATGTGGAAGGGCCTGGTCGACGACGTGATGGGTCGTAGGAATAAAGGCAACATTGCTCTTTAACACGTGCTGGCTCACGATGGTTATGAATCCAATTGATGGGGAGGCGGTTATTATGACATGTTTTCAGGCTCTGCCGGGATAAAGGCATCGAGCGGGCGGTTCTGGAAGTGCTTCGGGACCGGTTTGTGATATGTTGATTTAATGAATTTGCTTGTTGTGTATTTTGTTAGCGAGAGCGGAAAAGGTCAATCTTTTTGAACATAGAGTCGATCGTATCGATGATACGCAATCCAAATCCAAGAGCGACACAAACAGTCAAGTCGCAGAAAAAAAGAAAAGGAATAAACCTCCCTCCCTTGTGCGAGCTACAATTTGTGTGCTGTGTTTCATCCAACTACCTTGAGGTTTAGCTGACGGTTTGTATGAAGCAAAATTAAATATGGTGCAAGAACGTAGAGTAGGTACCTTACGATGAAAGGTCAAGACTACGAGATATGATATAAGATATGATATACTAGCATCATAATTATATCCGTTTTCAAACCTACAATCTTGGGAATTATGTACCCTATCACTCTACACCAACCAACCCCTTACTAACCTCCCACAGCTTCTCCTCTTTCTCACCATCAAACGCCCACTCGCCATACCCGTACTCAATCGCATCGCCATCCGCCGGTGCGGGGCCAGCCACTGATACACCCTCGAGATACAAACCCCCCTTACCCTCTAACTCTTTCGAAACGGCAGCGTAGACGCTCGTTGCGCACGCCTGCTCTAGACTCACGAAATACTTCATTACCCGCTCGTCGCTCTTTGCGGCCTTCATCTCTTCCTGGCAGAATTTCTGCAGGTTGGGACTGACGAAACTGCCCGGGTTGAGGCTGTACCCGTGCAAGCCCTGTGTGCCGTAGAGTCGCTCGATTTGCGTTGCCACTGGCTTTAGGTGAGCGGGCTGGTCCGTTAAGATTAAGAAGGGAAGAGAGGGCAAGGGGGGACTGGAGGAAGAGGATTATACTTACTATAGATATTGGCCGTCTTAGACTGGCCGTCTACAAGGATGAGCGTTAGCTTTCTGGTGTTACTTATATACCTCCTACCTAGGTACCCAATAAGGAGAAGATTATCATAACATACATGCAGACCAACCCTCATATTCGCCCTCCAAGTTCAAGTTGTCGAAGCGCACGGGACCGTATCGATGGCCTAACGACGAGATATTCACTACGCGAGAATGGAACTCGGGAGTCGAGCTGGCGAGCAGGAGATCCTTCAGCAGGTAGAAGAGGAGGAAGTGCGATAGATGATTCGTCCCGAACTGCAGCTCGAAGCCGTCCTTGGTGCGGCCTTCAGGCGTCTTCATGACGCCGGCGTTGTTGATCAAAACGTTTAGCTTGCCGCCGCTTTGCCGCCGGAATTCGGCGGCGCATTTCCGGACGCTCGAAAGGTCGGTCTGGTCCATGAACAGGAGGTGCACGCGCCCCGCCTCGAGGAGAGAAGCCCCGAGGGCCTCGCGCGCTTTGTCGAGGTTCCGCGCCGTTGCGAAGATGGTGGCGCCCGTCAGCGCCAAAACTCGAACGGTTTCGGGCCCCATGCCGGAAGATACGCCTGTGATGAGGACGACCTTGTCGCCCATGGCTCCGACGAGGTCTTCGTCCTCGACTACATCTCGTCCGGTTGGTCGGGAGTCTCCCGGGCCGTTGACTACCTCCCATCTGCTACGCTCGGCATAGCGGCCGGTGAGTTGGAAGGGAACTCGTGATGTCACTGCCATGGCGGGAACTAACGCTCGTGGCTCATAGAGGATGCTCTATCTCCTCACTTGGATTGTAAAATGGGCTTTACGAATCTAGTAGGTAAAGTACGGTTTCGTTTAACTACACGCATGAAGACGAGTACCAAACCAAGCAGGAGCAGAGAAGCGGTCTACCTCCAGTTATCCTTTTCGAAGGATACAGCACGATATCTGGCTTAGCGTTTATCCCATACATAATATGCCATAAATATGAAGAGTCATAAGCCAGTATTAGTCCCATGATAGAGTCGGTATATCTGAACGCGAATAGGTTGAAACCGTAGCAGCCTTGTCTCCATAAGTTCCTATGTAGGACCCATTTCTTAACTCCAGTCTCCAGCGGAACCCCTAGCACATGCAGAAGGCAGATGGGACCTTTGGCAATATCGAGCCAATAAAATAGTGTAGCATTATATGTATATTATGTATATTAAATCCGAAGAGGCAGCATTGGGGCGCATAAGGATCACTCATCCACCATGAATAGTACCTAGTTCACAGAGGCTCTACACTACGTAAAGCTAAGCTCGTGAGAATTACTGCGATATATTACATACCTAGTTAAAGACCACGAATATTGTCTGTTCCCTTTAGGAGTGGCTTAAGCCCTTTAGCTAATAGATTTCTGCCGATGCGTCACTCAACCCGGGGGCTTATAGGCACGAGGTAGTCTTGAAAGAACCCCCCAATCATATATACATTGAATCATTGACACGGCATGTTAAGACAACATCCCGTGTGCCATCGAGTAGGAGGCTTCTTCGCAAGTTTTGGAGCATAGTCAGAGAAGCCTGGAGTGTTGAAACAAGTCAAGTATAAGAATAGGTAGTCATGCTAGGTAATTGTACAGGTAGTTGTCCAAACTCTTATAATAGTTTATATAAATCTATAGTCTATAGCTACCTCATATGGCGCCGCAGCTGCTAGACTGTTCCCTTGTTTATTTTCTAATCTTTCCTATACTAGGGTTGTTACTCTCGAGTCTGGTATATCTTCGCTTCCTAGCATGGTACCGACTCCGGCACGTCGACGGGCCCTGGCTCGCCTCTCTCTCGTACCTATGGTTGCTCTGGGCGACATTTAAACAGGGCCAAGGTATCAGCTTTACGAAACTCGACCAAGAGTACGGGTCTCTCGTACGCATCGGACCCAAAGATCTTATAACTAGCGATCCTGAGATTATCCGGCGGATGAGCGCCGCGCGGTCTAGATATCAGCGTTCGACGTGGTATAAACTGACCCGTGTAGACCCTTATTACGCATCTCTGTTCAGCATGACGGATACCGGCGAACACGCTAAGGTAAGGGCGCGAATGTCGTCCGGGTATAGGAATAAGGATAGCACGACAATAGAAGGTGTCGACGAACAGTTGGCCGAATTTGTGGCATTGATTCGACGCAAGTATTTGTCGTCGGATCACGAGTTACGATCATTGGATCTTGCTAGCAAGATAACGTTTCTCGCGATAGACGTCCTTAGCAAAGTCGCTTACGGTCGGGCTTTTGGCTACCTACGGACGGACTCGGACGTGCATGGCCATGTCGAGTCTATGGAGACTGCTATAAATTCTTTATCGGTGCTGCTTGACATTCCCTGGCTCGCGGGGCCAGTGTTCAGCAGGGCTTTCCTGGGTTTATTTGGACCAAAACCTACGGACGAGAGTGGGAGAGGGAAAATGATGGGGTGAGTACCTAACTTACAAGAAGTTAAGGTAACTACATAGTCTTCTAGGAACTAACTCGATCCTCGCGTGTGAAGAATTGCCCAGGCTATTACCTCCGAGGAACGTTTTGGACCTGATGCTAAGGACCGGCAAGACATGCTAGTACGGTTATCCCCTATCTCATACCTTCGGGTTTGCTGCTCTTCAAGTCACTGACATATGGGGGGTTATCTACCTTTACTAGGGATCATTCATAAAACACGGCTTCACGCGTCGTCAGTGCGAGACCGAAATCCCCTTCCAGATTATAGCCGGCAGTGCTACGATTGCTACAGCCATTTGTGGGACGATGCTTAGCTTACTATCGCTGCCTCGCGTTTACTTTAAACTGCGAGAAGAGATAGATGGGGCTATAGCTAGCGGTCTACTTTCATCGCCGATCAAGGAAGATGAGGCGATGAAGCTGGAATACCTACAGGTACGGATACATCTAGAAGAAGAAGGGAGGTCGGATTACTTGTACTAACAGCAATGGGTTAAAGGCAGTGATATATGAAGGCCTTCGTATCAATACTCCTTTATCAAGCCTCCTATCGAAAGAAGTTCCTCCCGAAGGAGATACAAGTAAGTGTGATCCAGTACCGCTAACATAGGCCACAACACAACTCGCAACAGGCTCAACCCCTTCTAAATCAGAAGCGACTAACACTGATTATCCCATAGTCGACGGCAAGTTTATCCCGGGGGGAACTCGCATCGGCCATAACAACTTCGCCATGCACCGTTCGACAGCCATCTTCGGCCGCGACGCGCACGTATTCCGGCCTGAGCGCTGGCTCGATATCGACGCGGAAAAACACTGTAGGATGACCGAGACTGTAGAGCTTATCTTCGGCTACGGCCAATTCGGTTGTCTGGGGAAGAATATTGCTTTCGTGGAGTTGAATAAGGTCTACGTTGAAGTAAGTAACTACTTCTATCTTCTGTCTTCTCTCCCCCCTTTCCCCTTCACACACATATATATATATACCTCCTACCATTCATTAGAGACAAAACGAACTCCCGATACACGTGAGCTAACGCAGCACCTTTGCTCAAGTTGCTCCGTTACTTTGATTTCCAGTTGATCGATCCAAAGAAGCCCATACACAGCGTGGATCGCAATATCTTCCTCCAGAAGGAGATGTGGGTGAGAGTAACGGAGAGAGCTTGATGGAAAGAAGATAACTAGCTATAATAGCGGTAGGAACTAGGCGAGGTCATGGGGACGCCCAACATACCTACAAGAATTCAGGCCACAAAGCGATAATCTTTTGTTAAAGGATATATTAATTGGGCGTCTGGAGACTGTTGTATAGATGATAATGAGGTCAACTACCAAGTATGTTATTGTATATGACTCCTATTTAGTAATTAAGCAGCTATTTCAAATATACTCGTGCCTATATGTCCCCCACCCCCATTGATGTCGAAAGTAAGTAATTCCGAATCGACGTTGAGTTCGTTGTGAGCTATCAGAAGGTCAGGTTCATTCGATGAAACGAACTGAAATGAGGAATACTTCAGCCGTCGATTCGACATCCACACCAGCAACACGAATTGGTAGAGTAGTGCTTGCTTTACTATTTGCATTGTGATCTGGGTGTATCTATACCTACAAAGAAGGGTATCGTATCTAGACCAACCCCAAACCGCCCGGGCCCGTGAAGCCAGTTTTTGTATCAACCAGCTATATTTCTTTTCTTCTCTTGTAACACAATGAGAACCGGCCCTTCTAGCCTCACATCCTCACGGCGTAAGAATATGTTTTTCCTAACATGTATAAATGCTGATTTGCATCGTCTAAATATCACTCATGGTTCCTGTACCGTAGCCTTAACCGAATTCTTCTTTTCCTGACCTTCAACCTGCAGGCGATGTAATGTCTTCATTACGAACTCGTATGTCATCATCGTTACCGTTGCTGCCGGAACGGCTCGCATCATATTGACACCCATGCCTGCGTAGAACGCTCTCCATCCCTCCTCGCGCAGAATAGTACGGAATGTCATAACCACGCCCCGATATTTAGGTTCAGGGGCAACACTGCATTCACTATTCGGTATGGAATTCCGACTGCCGGGTGTGGACTCCGAAACCCCTAGACCTTGTAAGTATTCACTTCCAGGAGTTGGCCGCCTCTGCGTTTGCAGTCTTGTCCGAATCACTTCGTGCGGATACGTGGCCGAGCTGGCCATAATTTTCGATAATATCGACGCGGAGAGCACACCAAACCAGTGACTCTGCTCATTGTCACCGCCCATTTCACCCATGGCCTGACCGGTAAATTTCTTCCGTAAGAATTCGTAAACAGGGAATTGCACAGCAACATGCGTCAAGCCCAGGAGTGCTGGGGTAAGTCCGGAATAGAATGATGATACACCTTCGGAAGAATACATTTTACGCGCAGCGTCGAGAGTTGAACGGTAGTGCCAGGGCGAGTCGATAGCTGGCCTAGAGGTTGGCGTGTTGCCTGATCGCGGGAACATAGATAGTTGTCTGTTGTATCCTGTACTAGACTGCGACATAAGTCGAGTTTTAATTACCCATATTGGGTTTGTTACCAACGTGCTGCTAGCTCCTGCTATGATTGAAGACGAGAAGTTGATGAAGAACTGATTTTTCTGCACTGTAGGATGAACCGAGTAATCAGTTATTGGCTTTGTTTTGGGTCTGCGCGGAAAGACTTACGCTTCTTGTCAGCCAAGAAAACCTTGCTCTTGTTGTAAACGGTAAACCAAACAGCCCAAGTCGGCAGGTAGCCAAGAATGATAGGCCCTAAACCTCTGTACATGCCGCGCAAACCTTCTTCCCTCCATATAATCTTCGCCGTACCCACGAGACCCGAATAGACCCTACGGTGACCAGCATATCTTCCTTGGTCTACGGGTATAAATCTTCCTTGAGCTTGTAGCTTTGTCTTAATAACATCGAGTGGGCAAGTGACGATGCCGGAAGTGAAGCCGCCTATGGCTCCGGCCAAAGCGTTAAACTGAGTATCGGACGCATTCGCGGCCCATCTTTGTACTAGACCTAGACCTGTAGAGTCGTGAAACTCCATCGCTGCTACCGCGGAAGCCAAAGCGCTCTGTTTTTCTTGGTGAGGTGTTTTCGCCGACGAAATGGTGGAAGTAGACGTCGGAGAGGGACGATGGGAGAAAACCCCATATTCTGCGGGATTGTGTGACGACGGCCCCGTCGTATGACTTTGAGCTTCGTCGTGAGACATGCCCTTGTCCGGTGGGTGAGTCCAAGTAGGACGGGAATCGGATTCGGGGCCTCTGGAAGCGATTCAGAGGCCCCGGTAAGCAAAAAACGTGTCTAAGGCGGGCGGCGTGAAGTGGAAAAGCGGTAAACGAAGGCAGGTGTGTGCGTACTAGACGAAAGACGGGTTCGCCCTCGAGTCCGGCCTAGAAGAGTCGTGATGGTGTGCGGTGTGCGGGGAATGCACCCTCGCAAATCCACCGTCCCGTCGACCCAGCAGCTACCGTCTATCACATGCCATTGACATTCGTAAGAGCGCCCGTCGAGCGAGTGAGGTAGAGCTTCGACTAGGCGTATGTAAAAGTGACTGATAGAGGGAGAAGAAAATGGGTGGATGCGAAGAGATGGTGATAAGAGAATTGTTGTGTCGAATTGGTATGTATCAAGTCCGAAGCAGAGGGTCGGACTTATACCAACTAGAGCGAAAAGCTAAGCGGGTTGGCGGGTCGCTGGGTCGCTTGGTTGCTGGGTACTTGCTAAGCTTAGTCGCTCTAAATCGTCAAACGTGATTGGGATTAGATATGGATCAATCGATGGAGAAAAGAGTGAGTCTACCCGACGAGCAGGTAGATTACATCAACTTTAGCGCGGGAATGAGGTGGACAAGAAAATCGTATCGATAGCACGTATGTAATGTACCGTACCGTATATTTAATATTTTTACCTAGGGAATAGGTACCTAACGATCTTTAGTAAGGATCAAGGCCAGGCGAGGAAAAAGAAGAAAAAAAAGAAAAAAAAAACGAGCCAAGGAATACAACAAAGATTGCGGTAATTTATATAAATGTGACTTTTAGTTGACTCCAGTTGAGTGATGTGCTTTGCTTTGTTGAGATTGAAAGTGTAAAAGCTCCTACTGTAGTGTAGGTAGGGTCTCGTGGGTACTAAATCGTATGTGTAAGAGGGTAAGCATTTATGTTGTCAGCAAGGAATTGAATGAAGCTCCATCGTCCTATGTGCCTGCCTCTGACGTACTAAGGTATTCTATCCAATCGCCTCTAACTACATATCTCCGTGTATTGTACCTCGCCTGTAACCAGATAGGTTATAGGTACTTCGCTCATTCCCGCATTCCCGCGCAATTGCACATCTTATTACATAGATACAATTCAATTGGGGTCTGCATGAATTAAGCTTTGGAGGTACACATGTACCACATGTACCTCTGATTAAACTAACACAAGATCCATTGCTATAGAAAGGGAAACCTGATCTGTATACATACCTAGGTATACAATAGTAAATAAGACGGAGTATAGCCACATTGAGCCAAATACTTCTTTGTCCTAAATAGTATGATGATGATGATGATGCCCGGTCTTCAGATGGGATACACAGCATAAGATGGAGGCTCTATGGTCTGGGCACATTCTTCCACTATTGAGAGAGGAGGGGAGGTACAATCAAGGTACCTAGGTACGGAAGTCCCCATCAAAAGTTTTGTCCATACGTGCCACCTGACAGCTTTTGATGCAGCTGTCTGGAACCTGACACCATGCGGCAGCCAAGATTAAAAATGTATACAAAATTTTAACTTTTATAACATATCCAATTTTAGCTTCAATATGCCAATGAAAACATTAAAGTTGAATCTATTATAAGTATAAAAGCTTCTTTATACGCCTATATAACTTTTATCGTTTGAGGAGAAGATTGTGAGTCATTATGTATAAGCGAAACATGCGCTCGATGGGCTACAGCTGTTGCCAAGCCCTGTCAAAGCTAGTCAAAAGCTAACAAGGGCTGGCTTATGGACAAAACTTTTGATGGGGACTTCCGTACATACCTAGTATCTAAGTTCGATCCGAGGGCCAAGTTCCCCGTTCCGGAGCCACCACCCAAGGGTACGGTGCATCACGTGACTCATCCAATCGTGAGAGAGCCATTTTGGAACATCAAATCCGAAAATCAAGCTAGTAACACTCTCAATCACGACAAAATACATTACGATTCTCGGGAGCTCCTCATACCGCCAGACAACACCTGCCAACCATCACAATGGCTACGTCCTACCCGACTCTCGCGCCCTTCGTTTTCAAGCGACCTTGGCTGAAGAACCTCCTCAAGCCCGTCGCGGACTGGTACACAAATGCCGCCGGGTACCGCCAACTCGGTCTTCGGTACGCAAATACTCTCAATTGAGGGCCCGACGATGGGTCATGTCATAGTGGTAGATGAATCCGGGTTACTAATACTAATACGCCTTTCTTACAGAGCCGACGATCTGATTGTCGAGGAGGACGAGAACGTCATCAGGGCATTGAAGCGCCTGCCGCCAAAAGAAGCTTACGACCGTGTCTACCGACTCCGACGTGCGTTCCAGGCCAGCACCGTCCACAAGCTACTCCCCAAGGAGGAGTGGACCAAGCCTGAGGAGGTAAGCCCAGAAAGCTACTTTGACGGGACCATGCGATACCCCCCTCGAAGCACCCATGCTGACAGAATTGGTGGAATAGGATGTCCCGTACCTGGTACCGTTGATCAACCAGATCCACGCCGAGGAGAAGGAGAAGCAGGCTTTGGACACTCTGTCCGTCGTTCGAAACCATTAAATATAAATAGAGTCGAACGGCAAAATTGTACAATTAAACCTGCGTTAACGAGAAGAATAGAGTGATTGGACAAGCTTGTCCGCAAGGAGTCCAGGTTGTACCGACGAATTGAACGTTCCAAGATATCATACCTGTATATACCTAGACCTTTTCGTCTCCTCTCAACCCGTACAATTCTAGTCTAAGAGTTTAGCAAGTTCCGTCCATTGACTCTTGGTGCTTTATGGATTTAGCGTTTGGCCTCGACGATGAACTATGGCGCATAACGTCTAGACCTATGCTAGATTTTGACAAAGTTACTAGGTTTAATGAATAACCACTTAATTTGTACTATTAAGCAACCAGAGCATTACACTTCTACAGATTAAACACTGACATAAGAGCATACGCAACAGCTTGCATATATTAGTTTTGCTGGGTTATCTACTGAACAGCGCTTTCGATACCCTACGAGCTCCTGAAAACACCGGTTCTCTACGGCTGAGGTTCAAAACCCTGTGCAAACTATATTGCCAGTGAGATGTCGCGACAGCAGTTAGTCAACAAAACTCCGTGCAGCACACCCCACATGCGCACATTTCGGCGCCTTCGCCTGCCTCCAGGATCCGTCTGAAGACAATATGAACAGCCAAATTCTATTACAGAAAGTTCATGGCGCCCCGGTCATAACATGCCATCGTGGCCTTTCCCAAGCACGACAAAACATACAAGTCCAACCAGCTCGACCAACCATCCAACCGACCGACCGACCAACCAATATATATGAGGCGCGGAACGTCGAGGTGGGGAGTGCGTAACGAAGGCTGCGAGATTTGATTCTCAAGGTTGAAGCGCGCTTGCTGGTATGAATTACCGGACTTCCACTCCCCTTTCGAACGCTATGCCAAATAAAGAAAAAAGTTAAACGGCGCGAGGGTCGATTTATCCTATCCTTTCCCAACGCCTCGTTGCCCAACGTATCTGACGGTGCTGGTATTTTCATGCAGTGATGTAGCGTGTTTCGTGAGTTGCTCGTACAAGTATTACGTTCCCTGTCTCGCCTAGATATCGAATGCTCGAGATTGGCGGACCGATTTGATACACTGAAGGAATGCGAGTATGTCAGACAAGGAAATATTATTCTAAAATGCTTCGTTTCCGAAAAGCTGGGTGCCGCTAGTCTACGCGTTCCCTGGCTTCTCTTCTGTGTCGATATGCCAGACGACATAATTAGGCAGACCGATGACTTCGTAGCCTGCTCTTTTGGCCATCTTTGCGAAACCCTCTGTCTCGGCTTGATTCTCAAATGCGTAGCATGGGAAGTTGATACCTATGCAAGTCTCTATTAGTCTTCGTCTTCTAGATTAGCGTGGAGTACAAACCTGATCGGTGAACATCTGCCTTCACCAGGATATTAACGCCGCCGATACCATCAAGCTCAATTTCCTCATCCGGGTCGTTTCGCCAATCGCCCATCCGTGCCATGTAGGTTCTACCCGTGTCATATTGCTTGTAACCTTCGGGACGATAATGTGTTAGTAGCTAGAGTCAAAATTCCAGAACATATTCATACCTTCTGCTAAAACTATATTCTTGTCTAGTTTAGACGCGAGTTTTAGACCTTTGTCTGACTCGATCCAAGAGTTATAATCGACTGTATCCAAAGTTAGCCGGAATACTAAAATCACCCCGAAAGGTATGCTTACATCTGCCTTCAATATCGTATTTGTTATCCCCCGTGCCTTCGTAACGGTGGAACCAAATGTCTATACCATGTCAGTAGGAAGGCCTTAGATATAATTCCTGAAGGGGAAATCATACTGGGAACTAGAATGTCTCGATCGTGAGCGATGAAGTCCTCAAGGATCTTCTTAGGGCTATCTACGATGTCGACATCGCGCCAGTATACCCAAGAATGTTCTGGCTTCAATGCAGCGGACAGCAAATAATTCCTAGCGCGACCCATGGCCTTTCGTCGTGGACCCTGAGCCTCGAAACTATGTCGATCCTCAACAGACTGGCTAAGTTGAGTACCGAAATTCTTTTCTACAACCATTACACTGTTGAACGGGATATTATCTGGGCGCTTCTGAATGCGATCAAGCTCCATGCCCAACACACCTAGGGTGTCATCAGTCGAGTCCCCAACAAGGAATGCGAGGTCGATGAGGCGATGAGGATACGTCAGCTCAGCAATAAGTTCGAAGTATTTTGAGAGGTACGGCGCAGCATCCTTGAGGGGCGTTAGTAGGAGTACTCGTTCGTTGTTGTCGATAGCCTGGCGCGTGGACCTAATTCCGTTGAGGTCGACATGTGTTATCGACGATTCGTTGATGGTAATCGGAGCATGGTGGTTAAATATAACAGGAGTTTGTAGGTGAGCGTTCCACGCCTGTTGTTCGTTAAGTGTCATATCCATTGGGGGTTTTGAAGGGCCCCAGCAGTAGAAACTATAGAAAGGCCAGGCACGTCAGTAAGATGCAGGTTTATAATGATTACTACGAAATAGAACGATACCTTTGCATCTCGCTTGCTGAGGTTCTGATACCGCGCCATAGTAATAAAATGATACCGGCGACGGCGATAGAAAGGAGCACGCGGGTTCTTGTTAAGAAGATCCAGATCGCTCTGGTGCGTGGAAGCTGTGATCTTGCAGACTTCCAAGTAATGCCGCCTTTAGGAAGAAGCATGGCGAACGAGCTCTTCGGGCGGCCCTTAGCACCACCCTAACTTTGCGCGAAACAGGCGAATGAAGGGAAAGTTGAACGTCAAATGCGAATGGGAGGCGGGCTCTTGCTCGTTCCTTGGGCCGGCCTCGTTCGGGGTATTACAGTATGGAAGGGATAAAACAATGGTAAGAAGGGCGGCTAGACAACGAATATCTTCAGGATCAACGAATGGAATAATTAGATCGATCTCGAGATATTGCTGATAAGAAGGTCGGCCTTATGTTATCGCGGTTGTCTCTTGATTGCGAAGATATGAAAATCGGCACCAAAGATTAATGAAGTGAATTGGCGCGGCGGGTTCCAAATTGGACGAACCGGTTATGTTGAAAAAAGTCAAGATGGGGGTGGTCATGCAGCGGTAGGTTTTGGTAGGTTTTGGTAGGTTTATTTTAGTTAACACGAAACGTAACTGGCCTGGAACCACTGGCGGCTTGAGATGCACGCAGCACAACTAAACTACACTAAGCCCCCCAAAGTCAAGACTTGGAAAGACCCACAGGCGCTTATGGTTTTAAGAGTGGAGAACGAGGAGGCATATGTACATAATGTCCGTTAGGTACATATTAGTGATGTATCTCTATTGCGTAAACCGCTTATTCGATGTACCTACCTCTGGCTGTATTGCCTAACAATTTCGACGTCTTGCTTAAACGGTACCTATCAAGTAATTGCTTGGTATTACATAGGAACTTTATGAACATTTGTGTACAAAGTTAACGTGTATTTTATTTCAACATTCTTTGCTTCTATTATTATACGGATTTGGTGCGTGCTCAGCTCAGACCAGACTGCATCGAAATTTTAGGGGTAATTGGGTTTATTATGTAGACCTTTGCTTGGCTTGGCATGCAGAACGAAATGTGAGTTTTCAACTAAGAGATTACATTGCTAGGGTCACATACTGCGCTACAACGTATCCTTTTTGAATTCACCAACCATTTTCAGCAAATAGTGAACATAAGTTTGCTAGATCCCCTAAATGACCTTTGCCTTCTCCTGTTTAATACTTGTAATAAATAGTAAGTTGTAAGCATGACATAGTATGGGTATGGATAATATATGTATGTTAGTTAGGCGACATAGGAAACGGTAAGTCGCATAGGAGAATTCCATCTGCACTCCAGCGTTAAGACTGGACCATACCTAGGTACGCCAATCATTAGTCTAAAAGTATGTATGGTTGCGGAACCGACAGAATGGATAGGGGATCTAGCTCTTATTATGTAGATCGAGGGTTAACTTTGTAAATAGAAAGACTCGATACCCCAGAAGAGAAATACCCATCTCACCTACATAGTAAAGACCAGGGCTAATAGGCAACCACCTTCTTTATTAGTATTGATATGAGTCAGAAGTGAACTATTTTTATTGGCTCTAGCATCTTTTCTCTCTACATCCAGATGACAAAGCAAAGCCGCAAGTTAAACCGCCCGGAAGAAATAAGACAACTCGGAATGCACTTCATAGACCTAACTACACTTTATATTAGAAGTTAGAATATGTTATATTTTGTTCCTTACTCAATCTGTATTTATATATCCTCTATATTTCCCAATTTATGCGAAAGAATTACCTAAGAACATTCAATTATAATTATTCTCTATTTTATGCAGTCGGTAATCAAGTCGATGATCCTCACTTAAACAACTAATCGCAGCAGATCTCATCTTACTGAATCGTACTTCGCCGTGAAGCCTTCCCTCCGTGAACTACACATGCCTCCTCAAAGTTATCAAAACATTATTTTGAAGTCCTGTTTATATCTTTGCGAATCAATCGTGAGGCCAGCGCAAACATTCACATTCTCATATCTTGCAACACAGAGACGCCATTTATATCACAGTGGCTTCGGGAAATACTTGTTTACACCTTTACTACGACAGAATTTATCACATAATTACCAAATAGTAAATATGGCCACGCGGAGGTCTGCGCGATTGAGCGCCATGTCGACAAGCTCAGACTCAAAATTAGCTCCTACATCTGCCGTGGCACCTAAAAGCCGTAAGAGAAAAGCGACGTCAGATCCACCGCAGGAGAATGGCTCGAACGAAACCGTAGATGAAAGCACAATAGCAACGGCACCCACAACTCCCAAGAGGCGTCGTGTTCAAAAGAAATCCGTTGATCCTCCACCCGCAACGCCTACTCCGAGTAACGCGCTGCTCATGAGCAACCCGGCCAAGACGTTCGAAACACCAAAACCGAAAGCAGCAGCTGTGAGGCGACTAGCAGATCCAAACGCCACTAATGCGACGCTTCTCTCGCCGGAGACATCTCGAGTCGTGACTAGGCACATATCCCCATCTAAGGCGCCGGCCAGTCAGGTAACGACGACCAATCTCCTCGAAGAGGCATGCAAGCACCTCATCAGCGTCGACGAGCGAATGAAGCCTCTAATTGAGAAGCATCACTGCCGAATTTTCTCAGAAGAGGGGTTGAATGAGAAGATCGATCCTTTCGAATCTCTATGCAGTGGCATTATTTCGCAACAAGTTTCAGGGGCAGCGGCCAAGGCCATCAAGCAACGGTTTATTGACTTGTTTGACAACGGCGGTAGATTCCCGCATCCGTCCCAGGTTGCGGCCTGTACCATTGAGCGGCTGCGTACAGCGGGTCTTTCACAACGGAAGGCCGAGTACGTGCAAGGACTGGCAGAGAAGTTCGTCAACGGCGATCTGAGCGCTCAAATCCTACTAGATGCCCCGTACGACGTTGTGTTAGAGAAACTAACTGCGGTGAGAGGGCTCGGCCGTTGGTCCGTCGAGATGTTCGCTTGTTTCGGACTGAAGAGGCTAGATGTCTTCTCTTTGGGCGACCTAGGAGTACAGAGAGGCATGGCTGCATTTGTCGGACGCGATGTGGCCAAATTGAAAAATAAGGGCGGGAAATGGAAGTATATGTCAGAAAAGGAGATGCAAGAAATATCTGAAAAGTTCGCTCCATATAGGAGTGTATTTATGGTACGTATAAGAGCGCATCGGTTTGACACAAGGAAGCCCGTTTCTCAATCTACCCCCGAAGCTCCTTCATCTGCATTAGCTAACAGTCAACAGTGGTATATGTGGAGAGTCGAGGAGACGGATGTGAGTACATTGGAATAAGATGGTCTACCTAGGCAAGCATTAGTTGGAATTCGGCTTGTCTTCTAGGTCAAGTATACGTTGATATTGCATATTCGCCAATAATAGACAAGTTCTCAACCTTTCATGGGCTATTCCTTGCACTTGCCAACGATCAACAAAGGGGGCTCTTAGGGGCTGATTTACTAGATCAATAAGGGGTATAAGGAGCTTGATATCCTCCTACACTTTCGATCTACGAATGCGACCTGAGTTGGTCTAGCTCAAGGAAAACCTATCAGATTGTACCAATATACTAGAAGAGATTTCGTATAAGCGGTGTTATTCGGTTTAAGATAGCGCCATACGATAATTTTTAACAAACCTCGGGCAAGGCTTAGGTATCGACATAACAATCCTCGTCAGCTTACGCAAGCTTGTGTCGTATTTGAAGACATGAGTAGCATACTATATCAAGCTCGTTGGAAGGCTCGCATAGCTCCTAGCCCCAAAAGTCTGCCCGTACCCAAAGAAGAAAAATCCCCGCGTGCCAGATGTAGAGATGTTGAGCTGGACGGCCCGCTTCGGGAGCACGGCAACACCGGGCGTAAAAGTGTCCATCTCGGCGGCCTTCACACCATCATTGAGACAACTAACAGTGCGTTTTGCAAGACAGTCACAGCCGCCATGCTGCCAGTTCTGACATATTCTATGTTAAAATACGCCGAAGGCTATAGAGCCTCCGCGTCATTGATGTAAAGACCGACGCGTAACCCTTGCGTTACCGCGTCACCATTATATCGCCTTGTCATATATATGAGACCACGCTAACAGGACCAGATTTATTCAGGCAACCGGAGCATCTTTCCAGACAGAAGCCTACACGAATCACGTCTACTTCAGACAGTTGTAGACGTGATCCATGTTTGTCGGCGGTTGGGCGGGCGGTATCTCTAGGTGAATTCTCTTTGCGTCATCCGGGGCGACTGCGAAGACAAGGATATACAAATATCCTAGATGGACAGGGTGTATAGTGTTGCAGTAGCAACTATAGTAGCGGCGAGCGAAATCGATCCAAGCAGAGGCCTTACTTGCTTACTCTCCCGTGACACCCCACAAGTTAGACGTTTTGTTCGGGGAATCCGTTATGTAGGTAGCTAGCGAGCCTCCTCCGGATGTTCATTGATAATACGTCGTGGAACCCAGGGGGATGAACGTACCAGGAATTCATGTTATCTCGGAGACTTATAATATTCACAGCCATCTACCAAGTTATTCCCCCCTGCACCGTCGATACACTTTGCTGAATATAACATCTACAGCACCCCCAATAAAAATATATGCCATCCGGGCGCCAGCACGCAGAAACTCGACCAATGGACAATACACGCCGACCCTCTTGCGGGTTCATGTTAGGGACTGTATAACACCGCAGTCCAGGAATACACCAAGCGAAACCTCACGTGTACCTCGGATAGACTCCCCACCATCTCAGGAGTGCTCCGGTTCCTGGATCAGTATTGCAACGAGGTCTTCCTTTGAGGGCTCCCGGCGAAACAGTTCCCCTATTATCCTAGGTACTTTGGCACCCAACTGGGTCATCACGGCGACTCGATGGATGGCTTAGTTGGAGTTGGGTAGGATGGACGGACCAGATGTGAAATTCAGCTAGAGAAGCAGTTGATGCATGGTGGGGATGCGAACCGAGATATTCGTCCCGAAACTCGGGGATCTGATATTTCATTTCGCAGTGCAAAAGGGGTTGCATTGCCCCAAGACCAGACCCCTTCGGACGACGAGCTTATGAACTAGCTCAATGCCTCTTCGCACATACGATTGTGAGTTCATCCGAACAACTAACTGCGCCATGAACGCTCATGAAGTGGCGTCCCTCTTATAGGTATCTAAGGTAGAAGTCTTCACGCAACAACACTTACACCATAGGTTTCGCGAGCAATATTGATTTGAGACCGGCGATGACCTCTATCCCGGTATACCTAGGCCACCTAAGACGTATTTATCTATCGTAGGGCTGTCGGGCTCACTCATTGCCCAGGACCAGGCAAAGTGGACGTGGGACAACTTCTGTCTGGAATGATGATATTGGGTGGCTAAGTTATCTGAGTATAGTCGCTTGCATCCCATATGAAATTGGTGTATTCAATGGGAGTATGGGCACATGCCATTATCGTCGGTATCAATGTTGTTGGACTTTACTTCAACATTGCGGCTATGACTATAATATTCAATGTCTTATTAGATATTATCGTTGCTATTGTCATCATTACCATTGATGGTAGAGACATATAAGTAGCCAATACCTACCTACGTATTTTTATAGGTCGTGTTGCATGTAGGTATCATTTCATGTTGTATGCAAACTCGTATAGGGGGTCACGTTACGATATTTTTCTTCTATTATTTAAAATTTTTTTTTCTTCACCGATTACATTGGGTACATAGCTGCAACAAGACTCATATACGGGTGGTACGATACTTGGGGTTACTTGAAGGAGGCTTAGCAGTCTAAGACAACTTCAATTTGACGGGTTCGCTAATAATATGCATCAAGTCTTACAAGATTGGTATTGAGTTGAAGGTAAATATTATTGAATATATTTGTTATCTATCGTAATCGAGTCGAAATTCTAAGGGATTGCTGCGTAGCTGCTCGTGTCCCAAATATTCTGAACATTCAAACCAATTTCGGTTAATTATTGACACATGCCACTTTGACTTTATGATAGATATACCTACTCTCTTCGTATTTTGATGAGTCGGTTATTGGCATTGTTGAAAACCTAGCATATATAAATTATTTACGGGTAAAGCATATTCTCGAGCCTCACCTTTTATTTACGCTAATGAAATTGCCGTTGGGTATATATCATAGGAGATGGGTGTGTGATGCTAATCCATGACGCAGTTCCGACAAGGAGAAGACGCCGCTAGTTGTCAATTTTGTCGCAGACCCGTGGTATCAAGAGGGCCGAGACGCAGCGGCGTGCGTACGAGGAACGAATAGGATTGCATCGGTCGACAATTGCCACGATGAGGTGGAGTTGTGTTCAACTGCTTGTCAATACGAAAAGAAATATACATGCGTTTTCCTCGTGTTCGAGCGACAACAAGTCAAGTTGCGGTCCAAGTGACGCGTAAGCGGCGCCGCTGACGGTATTTGAATGGCGGTTGTATCTTTATGGATTTTTGCTTGGACGGGATTGTGTTATTCCAGCAGTTTCGGCTGCGAAATGCGTGTTCCAGCGACAAAGAAGTGGGAAGAGATGGATTATCAGAACAATAAATACCTAGATACATACTACTAGGCGGAGGTAGCCTTTCCCCTAATCAAGTTTAGTGTATAGAGCTAAGCTTCTTAGCATCCACTACGCATGCATTCCCATGCTACACCACAAGCCTCTTTCCATAATGTGCCTGGACCATATGCGCCACTAAAATAGGATAGGCCAAGCTTAATTGATGCATACACGGTCTGAAAAGGGGTGGGACTATAAATGTACAAGGGTACAGCAGACATCGATAGGGAGGTGACATCCATTAATGGGTGCCGCGGCCGGGAATAGAACAGAATGGAGCTTCCTTAAAGATTTAATTTTGAATCGAGATTCTTCCAGAATTGAAAGCGATGGGAACCAAGTCATGGCATGATTCCCGTCGCAGAATCGATAAAATGACAAAACAAAAACCCCGTCTGCTTCTCGATGCACATACATATACCAAATGATAAAAACTTTGTATTTGTTAAAATATCTAACTAATTTACCTGTGTAATAAGTTCTACAGCGCTGACTGAGGCGGCTTATGTGTGGACCTTTCGAAGCTGCATCAAGCACAATATATACCTATTTAGCGAACGTAGCTCTCGCATGTGAACGATAACCACAATAGGATGGGGTAATCGACACGGGGGCTACGGTGAATATACGTAGGCAAGACCTGCAAGCTGCATGGGAGATTGTTGCTATGGTAAGTATGCGTCAACCCAGTCTATCACGGTCTAGGATCGGCATTATCTATCCTCGTCATCTTCCGTACTACTGGCACACTATATATGTTAGGTATGAATGGGCGAATAATTGTTGTAAAAACAAGCTCGGCCATAGGTATTACGTAGGGTCTAGGCTGTAAATTTTCAGCTGTCAAGTTCCGCGCTTCTGTACATAAATATTAGGTGGTGGAATCCGGGAAAGGGCATTACGTGAAACGACGTAGAAACAATTCCAGAATCAGATCAAGGTGAGAGTGGATTATGCTATAGCGTGGTGGGTAAAAAATTGACACCGATCAGACCGACGGGCAGCAGTTATATTAGTCTCATACGTATGATCCGCTGAGAACCTATCCCTCGATATGAACTGCGATGTGAATTGACGGAGGTGGATGCCCTACGGAATAAACCCTGCAGGTATTCCTTGCTTTTGCCGAACTAGGTCCATGAAAAATGAGGAGCCAATCTCGCCAAGTAGTTGACTTGATATGAAAATTACAACACCATAATTTTTACTATTCATACGGTATTACCCTTGCTATCTTGGCTCCCTCTTGGATACTTGTACATACGATGCGCGTATCTGTCTATCTTAGGTATGTTGTACAGATAGATGTTATGTATGTTCCGGCATTCTAGTTCGCAAAAGGATGAGGAGGTATTTTGCTCTTTCTTCCAATTGCATGAAGGACGGATGTGCTGATAGGGCGAGAAAAGAACGGAAAAGAACGACATGCATTGGTGACGATGTAAATACGAAGACATGTCAAAAGGAGTTAACTGTGCAACACCTAAAGAAAGATACGGATATACTTGGTTGCCAGGTTGCTCGAACATCTTGGCTGCCCTTTCTGTTTTGATCAATTAGGTAGATGTCTTAGGTATGCTACATGTACATGATGATGTATGGACGGGTTACAGGTGGATTAGCTCCGGCTGCCTTTTATTTTCATACCAGGGCAACAGGAGCAACAGAGCCTGTAAAGCCAGAAAGCCTGGCAACAGGTCATGGCTTTGCCGAGCCGAGCTTGCTTGCTTTGCTTGAAATTGATGAAGATCCCCTAGTCTATGCCCCCATTTTTATCCCCTACTATTGGATCTGGTTGGGTAGTACCCTATCAGATACGCGCACTGTACTTGCCAACCCCTTAAAAGTCCACCCAATCCCCCTTCTCTTACTCGTCCCACGCCCCCTACATCCCAAGCAGCCACGCCATCCATCTAAAGTAGAATTCCAAAACGTTTCGGCCTTTTCTTGTCCTGACTTTCCCTCCAACTCCTTTTTTACCCATCTTCCTCTTTCTTCCCATTCGGATTCATTCGTTTTGTCCATATTCCCACCGTAGAAGAGGAAGAGCACTCGCTCAATAGCTTCCTCACTTTAATATTTACCGCCTTTAGAGTTCAACTCCATTTTCTCACAAACCTCGTCGCACTTTTTTCTCTTATCATCAATAGCCCAATCAAAACAGCAACACGATATCTAACACGACCGCGTCAAGAGGTGCTTGTGACCGTTCAGATAAGTCTGGAGTTTAAGATTTCTGGAAATTGAATCTTAAGATAATACTATCAGGTTAGTTATTTTTCCTATAATAACTTGTTCAATTGGCATCATTCTGCTTCATGGACGCCGCGGTACACTTTTCGCCCATATAAATTCGGCTTTTGGCTGGCACGACGCGTATGATTGGACACAATGTCGTGTTCGGCAAACAACTTGCAACCATCCAGTCGGATGTTGGTCCGCTTTTCGAGTGGGCGTCGCATGGCAACGGGAACTAGAGCGACATGCTTTACCTTATCGGCAAGCTTATGACCATCGACCCGAATTGTCGGATTGCGAAGTCAAAGATGAATTGGGACGAAATTTGAGTGTCGGGAATTAGTGCAGGTTGGGGCGATTATTGCCTAGTCAATCGTACTATTTATTCCAGGCCAGATTCACCAAATGCAACACGTCGATATCGATGAGTCCGAGACAAGTCGATGACCTACGCATTTTCCGTCATTCCACAGTCGAGATTTTTTTTGGGTTGTGACGTGGATGCAATTCGAGCAACAAACGATTTCGACTATTTAAGCTGGGATTGATTTTTGAACATGTTTTCTGTTCTAATTTTACCTGTTGAAATCGCATCGTTCAGCCCCAACTAACATTTTTCTGAATAGTCAACAAGATGTTCTGCAAGCAATTACTAGCGGCCGCTGCGGCGCTTAGCATGGTGTCTGGTGAGTCGTGCATTGTACTCTGGATATTTTTTCCTTTCTAATAAGAACAAATAGGTGTTGTTGGTGTAAGCTGTGATGGCTCGTCGACAATTTCATCCTCTGCCGATGCCACCGAAATCGCCAAATGTAGCAAAGTCGATGGTGATGTTATTATCGACGAGAATGCCGGACCCGATATCGACATTGGTGGAAAGCTACAGGAGATTACTGGCGATCTCAGGGCCGAGAACAACGGTCTTCTGGCTACTTTGAGGAGTGACTCTTTGGTGACTATTGGGGGTATCTTCGCCCTCAAGAACGCTACCCATATCTCTACCCTCAACTTCCCGAGCCTCAACGAGGTTGGTTCCATTGACTGGTCCACCTTGAACTCGCTGCCTGAGCCCACCTTCGGAACCACCGGTATTACGAAGGCGAAGAGTGTCGTCATTGCTGATACCTTTATTGAGAGCATCAACGGCATTAACGTCCAGTCTCTTACTGACATGAATATCAACAACAACCGACGGTTGACCAAGTTCTCTTCCAGCATCAAGAGCTTGAGCAACACTCTATATGTCACCGCTAACGGTCTTAACCTCACCATGGAGATGCCTAACTTGGAGTGGATCGCCAACATGACCATTGCCAACGTTACCTCCTTCTCGGTTCCTTCTCTGCACACTGTCAACGGTTCTATGCGTTTCGACTCCAACTATTTCGAGACATTCAACGCCGCCAACCTGACTGAGATTCAGGACGGTGATTTGTCCTTTGTTAGCAACCCCCAACTCACCAACATCACAATCCCCTCTTTGAAGCGCATCGGTGGTGGTTTCACTGTCGCCAACAACACGGCTTTGGAGAAGCTGGACGGCTTCGGCAAGCTCAACGAAATTGGAGGTGCTGTCAAGGTCCGAGGTTCTTTCACTGAAGTCGATCTCCCTAGCCTCAAGGATGTGAAGGGTGCTTTTGAAGTTGTTAGCACTGAGGACATCGACGACTCCTGCAGCACTTTGAAGAGCCTCGAAAGTGGTGTTGTTCAGGGTCACTACGAATGCGAGGGCAAGGTTGCCGATGCTAACAACGATACCTCTTCCGCTTCCAGCGACGGCTCCGACAGCGATAACAAGGACGACAAGAGCAGCGCAACCTCGCCCGTTGTCTCCACCAGCCTTGTTACCTTGGTTGCTCTTGGCGGTGCCATCGCTGCTTTCTTGTAATAACTGGACGTTTTGGGGCGGAACATGGCGGCATACCCAACATTCCTTTTTCCAGTGTCAAAAAACCTATTGTGATTTGAGGAGTTGCAATTTGCGACTAGGGCTACGTATAAGGAACCGCTAGACTTAATATTGATGCATGTGCTACTTGGAAGATGGTTTCGTTGTCAATCGTGATATGGTTTTGAGAGCGGGTTCGTAAATACCCTGGTGAATCTGTTTTCCCCCTATTCCCTGCTGTCTTGTATTATTATGCATGACCGTTAATATTCTCGATTGTACTGAGTGTTAATATTATGGCTGCATGGGTGTATTGTGGTCCGAATAACGACATTGACGTACTCTTGGTCTTGAAGCAAATATGGGTTCTCATCCGAATGCTTCATACTATACTATACGCAACATGAATACACACGACTTACTATAAATACCTATTTAATAACTAGTTCAAATACCTAATTTTAGTACTCCAAGTGTTTTAACGTTGCTTCCGGTGTTCATTCCCAGAGCCGTTTTACGGTACCTAAATAATTACGTCTATCCATGCACCTCATCTAGTTCTATTTTATACCCGTGCTTCAGTTTCGAGAATTACTCCTATCACGGGGAGTAATGTAAGGTAGATTTACATGGCATCAAGTTTGTAACCTTTGGATACTATTGCGGGTAGCTTTCTAATAAGCTAATACGGGTCCTTGAGCTCCTCTTCACCGTCTTGGACACTCACTCCATTGGGATAGTTCATAATCTAAATATAATTACTCGTAGATCCTCTGCTCGAACTTGTCCACGTCGTAGAACTGAGGCTGGATGGTGTTGCCGGCGAATATACGGCCGTCTAGGGCGTTTACTGCCTGGAGGGTGGTTGCTACTGTTAGCGAACCCTGATCTCTGGTAGGTAGAATGGGTTGTATATAGGCAGAAAAGGGAATAGGATAGATGTTCCAGGTGGAAGGAGATAAGTGACTTACTCTTAAGGCGGATACTTGGTCGGTGAACTTGATATATACCCGCCGGCCTTCGATGTCGATGTACAGCCTCTCGACGCGGCCGTACTTATCACCGCACTCTTCGCCGATCTCTTGTCCCAACCCAGACTCTATTTCGGCCTGGAGATCTTCCATACCCTCTAACATATTCCGCAAAACAACGACGTTACTCATGGAGCCGACGCTGCTCTCGGCTTGGGGCGCTGCCCCAGTCTTGGAGCCGATGATGCGACCGCGTCCACCGGGCCCGGCCCATCCGCCACCTTCTGCATCTGACTTCTTCTTTCGCTTCTCCACCTCGACGCGCAGTGGCTGTAGGATACCGCTGGACTCAGCACCTAGGCCTTGACCCTTCGACCATCCGTATTTGGCCATGAGACGTGCGGCAAAGCCTTTCTCGCGAGATCGACCGCCACGCTGCTCGGGAGCTTCTTCGGAGTCGGGCTCGGGGGGGACGTATTCATCCTCGTCTTCGTCCATGGCGTCTGGGTCAGGTGGCGCAGGCGGCTCCGGTTGCGTGTAACGCACTGGCGCGCGGGATATCGTTGCGACCTCTGGTTCAGGAGGTATTGACGGTGGAGGTGGCGGCGGTGTTGGCGAACGCGGAGGCGGAGGTATGTTGCCTTGAGACATGGCTAAACGGCGCGCATAGGCATCGTCACCGGTCTTGTCGTCCGGCAACGAAGCTCGCGGGGGTGAGGGCGGTGGTGGTGCGAAAGAGTAGGAATCTGGCGGCGCGAATTGATCTATCGAAGTTATATATTAGCAAGCTGCGATCGCAAACATATATCAGTCGCTTCAACTCACTTTGTACTGGCGCCGAGTCTTCCTCTTCGCTATCCCAGCTACCACGTCTCTCGTCGTCATCGTCGTCGCGCCGCTTATGTTTGTAGAGTAGATCCTTCCATTCTCGTACCTCACGTATCCGCTCCTCGCTTCGTAGGTACTCGTCTACATTTGTAGGTCTCGAAGGGTCATATATCTCATCCCAGTCCGTCTCAATGGGCACATCCTCAGCCTTTTTCTTCTTCTTCTTACGCCCACCTCGTGCTCTCTTCTCGACATTCGCATACATATATTCATCTTCTTCGGTAGGTGCCCAGTCGGCTAGCCTACTCTTCGCTGGAGTCGGAGCTGCGCCAGCGCCGGCGACATTGGAGGTATTGGGAAGAGTGGGAGCTTTTGGGAAGCTGGCTTTAGGCCTCTGGGTTTTCGGCTGGGGACGGCGAATCTGTGGATGCGGCTGAAAGCGAAGAGCAGAGTCGATAGGCTTCTTTGAAGCCTCTTGCTCTTTCACTGCATCGAGCGCTTCTTGGGACACTACCGGACCTCGGGATATGGAAGTAGACGAGTCGCCTTCAGGCTCGAGAAGGTTGGCGTATAAGGACAGGCCTGCCCGTGGCTGTTGAGCAGCCATGTCTATGGTCTTAGTGCGATTCCTTAGGTCGAATGTGAAGTTTATTCGAGGAGGACACTCCTCAGCCTACTTTACGAGGCTGAAAAAGAGAGCTGTGGAATGCAAGTTGATAAGTTTACGTAGCTCATGCGAAGTCGACGCTAGAAGCTCTAAATTTACAGGGGTTTAATATCGCCATACCCACTAATTATCAGGTCATCGGCACTAATTGGGTAGGGAGCTTTAGAGGATGCTGTAGGTACGCTAGGTACCTAACCTGCTAACCTAACTTTCGATCCCAGTTTAATGGGTGGTGGGACGGACCAGTTACATGTAATACCTCTGGTGAACGGTTGAGACGGCAGCGACGTATGTACGTAACGGCAAGAACCTCAAACTTGCATTGACATTGTCGAATAGCGTAGATCTTTGCTTATCGTACGTTTCGCACTTATAACACGAGACAACTTTTTTTCTCCTATTATATACGACGTGATTCTACTCTCTCTTCTGCTCTTATTCCATTTTTGTTTTTTCCAGCATCGCGTTATTTCTTTGTATCATACAATAGACATAGACTGTCTCCAGTAATTGAATACAATATCCCGAACTCATACGACCTTGCAGTTTATATCACTTAACCAGATAGAACCTCGACATGGCCACCCTCCAGAATTCCATCAATGGTGTAGACTCGTCCGTCGCCATCATAATACCCTCCAAATCGAAGCCATTGGCGGTAACATACAAAGACCTCATAGCCGAATGCTCTTCTTTCCAACGCAAGCTCGCCGCTATCGGAATCACCAATCGTTCTCCGGTATCGATAGCGACAGTGAACTCATACGAGTTCATCGTCTCGTTTCTTGCCACCTCATGGCAGCGTGGTATCGCCGCTCCTTTAAACCCGGCCTATAAGCAGGCCGAGTTCGAGTTCTACATCGAAGACATTAAGTCCGCCATCGTGCTGGTACCCAAGGGCGCATACGAAGCCAATGCGCCCTCTGTCAAGGCTGCGCGCAAGTTCAATGCTGCAATCGCCGAGTGCTACTGGGACAATGCGAAGAATGAGGTAGCTTTAGATGTTAAAGATTTCGGCCAGTTAAAGGGGAAGGCCAAAGAGAACGTGCTACAGCCACAGACAGATGATGTCGCATTAGTCTTACATACAAGGTAAGTCTTCGGGAATTTAAATGCGACGCAACGTAGACATACCTAAATATTAACATATTGCTATAGTGGCACGACGTCGAGGCCCAAAGTTGTACGTTGTCGGCCAACCCGGCGCATTCTGTGTCTGCTTTCTAACTCGTTAGCCAGGTTCCCTTGACGCATCGCAACTTGACACGAACAATGAGTGAGTCGATAACCTAGGTCGAGTAGTACGGTGCTAACAAGCATTGTAGAGAATATTCAGTCGACGTATCAGCTTACTGCGCAAGATCGGACAATGCTGGTTATGCCGCTATTCCATGTTCACGGCCTTCTCTGCGCTCTTCTAGCTCCTCTATACTCTGGTGGTTCCATGATTGTGCCAACTAAATTCTCGGCTTCGGACTTCTGGCAAGATTTCGTTACCCACGGGGCGAACTGGTATACTGCCGTACCGACGATACATCAGATCCTCCTCAAGAACCCTGCCCCAAGTCCTTTACCTAAGATTCGCTTCATCCGGTCTTGCTCCTCACCCCTATCTCCGACAGTGTTTCATCAGCTGGAGGAGAAGTTTAAGGCGCCTGTTCTGGAAGCGTATGCCATGACAGAAGCTGCACATCAAATGACATCTAACCCCCTACCCCCGGCGAAGCGAAAGCCTGGTACAGTTGGGCTAGGTCAGGGTGTAGAAGTTAAAATTCTCAACGACGCTGGCGATGAGGTACCTCAAGGCACCGAGGGCGAGATCTGCATCCGGGGCGAGAACGTGACCAAAGGCTATCTGAATAATCCAACCGCTAACGCGACGGCATTCGCTAAAGGCGGCTTCTTCCGTACCGGCGACCAAGGCAAGAAGGACGAGGACGGCTACATCATCATCACTGGCCGTATCAAGGAGCTTATCAACAAAGGCGGTGAAAAGATTAGCCCGATTGAGTTGGATAATGTGCTAACGAGACACCCATCTGTCTCGGAGGCCGTAAGCTTTGCCATCCCTGATGAGCTGTACGGCCAGGATATCGGCGTTGCAATTGTACTCAAGAGCGGGGCCAAGCTTGAAGAGGACGAATTGAGAGCCTGGGTTAACGAGAGGTTGGCCAAGTTCAAGGTGCCCAAGAAGGTGAGTTTCAGTATTTTTTGATAATTATGCCACAAGGAGAGGCTAATCAGCTATGATAGATCTACTTTACCGAGGTCATGCCTAAGACAGCAACAGGGAAGATCCAGAGACGCATCGTGGCTGAGACAATGCAGAAGCAGGAATCTCCCAAGGCGAAGCTATAATCTCAGCGATAGAATGGCGCTTGTTTTTATTCTCGCTGCGTAACACAAGACTAAAGGGGGGGTACGTAGATACCGTAGGTATGTATATGGCGATAGAAGGCAAAGGAACGTAATTTGTAAAGATAAAAAATCGCGAAGATGCAATGTAGATCAATACCAAGTAAACGCTATATTTATGTAGAGACGAGATTGTCTTTTTATCATATTTGGGGGTATCTTAATAACTCATTCCGTTTCTCAAATTAAAAACAATTGCAGCCCGTCCCGAACTTATACGGCTTTGCACTGCCGGCCTTTTCCCATTATTAGCTGCAGTCTGCAGACCTCTTAACGCCGTTGTCCCTTTGGGTCGTCACGTAGACAAAAATATAAAACCCCAAGAATCCCAAGCCTGCGCCAAGGTGGGCGCTGTCGCAATACAATTTCTCTTGTAAAACACATGAAGCTTGGCGTTTCCCTCTTTCTCTTCTGCCCCTCTTCCTTCTTCCTTCAGCTCGCGGGGATAACACTGCCGGCGGCGATACGGGAGAAGCCACTCTCAATCTCGGCGTGCTCCGTTGTTACGCTACCGTCTTTCTCCTCCGCCCACTCCACGATCTCATCGTCGTCGTCCTCGTTCTCGTACAGTTTGCCTGGCGTGACTAGTCGCCTGGGACCTTGCGCCTCGGCCGTCTGTGTGCTCTGGGTTACTGCTTGCTCTAGAGATGTGTACATTGTAATGGGAGCTCCGTTGAAGTCTCGGGGTTGCTCGAAGGCTGCCGGCGCCGGCTCGTCGTCGGGTGCCTCGCTCGAGACCGAAGACCACCTCGATCTACTGCTGCTCGTAGAGAAGACGGATTCGCAGTCGCTGTCCTCGTCCTCGTAGCTGCTTGAGCTATCTAGGGAGGAGGGGGATGCGGGGTAGCTCTGGCGTTGAGCTGCCCACCTCTGAGATTCTCTTTGAAGATGTAGGGATAGCATGATGCTCGCTCACATGAGCTATGGCAAGCTAATATTGTGACGTATGGGTATGTAAAAGTAGGAATTGGTTTCTAAGTAGTTAAGCGTATGTAGAAGCAATTACTTATTAGTTAGATACCTAGGTTTATAGATAAAGACTAGGTTAACCGGATGAGTTGTCAAAGGATGATTTGACAAGGCAACCCTCTTCAAGAAGGGAATTGGCCAGACTTAAAAAGTCAAACAAAATCACTCATGAACCTGCCGAGGCTCCCCGGATTCTACTAATACATGGCAGGTCATGATACCTGGAGAAGTGGAGGGTTGCACCCTGGCGCGGCTTGTTAGGGGTATCCAGACCGCCGAAGACCGACGATATGGCATTTTCAGGGACCACGCTGCCACGGGGTGGCATGGGGTGGGCTATGGAGAAGTGGCGATGACGACACAATTGAAACGCCGATGATAACCCTACCTAGGTATGCTCTGACATATGTATGATTCCCGCCGTACACGTACCGTACAATACATACCTACCTCATACCTAACATAGTGTAACCTATGTAACAAAAGGGCGTTCTCCACCCCTTACATACTTAGGCGAGATCCTAGATCATCGCCTTGGCAACTTGGCCAGCCATTGAGCATTTAGAATTTTGATAGCAATATTAATAATATTATAGTAAAAAAGCAGATGCCTAGACTAATAGTACGTAACACACGCACACATACACAAACTAAACGGCGGTCGTGGACGATAATGAGGCGACCTCATTCGAACAGAAACCGGGCGATATTGAACACATTTCCGAGCTAAAAGCGAAATAATGGAACGAGGCGGGAGGATGACCGGAAAGCCAAGAGAGAAAGAAGCGGTAAAACGAGGCTTTTTTTTTCTTTTCTCTTTTCAGCCGCCAGCGAAGGTCTCGTGGCCTGCCTGGTAGGTATCGTGTACGCTTGGGTAGTATGACTGTGCCGAGAGAAGGTAGAATAAGGAATGTACACACGAGATGGGAGGCTAGCAAGGGGAGGCTCTCGTACCACGAACTTTCCCAGCTAGCTGGTTGGTTGGCTGGAGAAGGGCGATGATGAGTTCGGGAAGAAGCTGTGCCGTGACAAGTTGCATTGTCCAATAGGAGGTACCTACCTAGGTAGATACATGACATTATTACCTAAGGTACATAATGTTAGCGGGGGAAGAGCATTAAAACGAACTGGCAGGAGGGACGGGTTCGCCGGTGACGGCACATGCATAAACTTGCCGATTACGTTACACAAGACTAGATCCCCTTGGGCGATAGTATAGTATAGATCTAGCACGGTACCTCCCTTTTGTATGTCAATTCCTACACACCACCACGTATCGTATCTTATCTTATCTACTAACTGCTCGTCTTTACCTTACTCCACACCTTGTGCGCCCTTCAACTGCCATTGTCGTTACCTCGGGGTTCAAAATGCCGGTAAATAGCCAGCCAGCCAGCCAGCTAGCTACCTGGTAGCTAACTATCGAAGCACGACACCGGCCTGACTGAAGACGTAGGGTAAGTAGGTAGATAGATAGGTAGGTAGGTAATAAATAACTAAGCAGTATATATACCTAGTCTTTAGGTTAGCCTGTTAGGATAGATATATGCCTACAAACCCCCTCCATATGGCTTTTCGCTTTCGAACGATTCCTCGACTCTTCCAACCAGCGCTAGTCCGAGTCCAACCCACCACCACAGTCACCGCAGTCACCACCACCCGTAGATTATTATTCCGTGGCCCCGTCCAGATCCAAATGGCGTCTTCTATTACCGCACCGCCGCCGGGCAAATGTGAATGGCTTGTGGTTGTACCCGACAAGCCGGGGACCCGAGAGAAGAGGCTGGAAGTGCGCGCGTGAGTTCTGGCCTAATACGCCACCAGGGGGTTCACGTCTTGGGCTTACACGAGAAATCTCATTTTCTAGCCAGCACTTTGAGGGCCTGAAGCCGTACGTCGAGTCTAAGCAGTTCAAGACCGGAGGTATGTAACATAACATAACTACCCAACCCATGCTATTGTAGTGATCCCCGAAGTCTTCAATGTATGTCTCTTGGCGCATTATTAAAAGTAACATCTCCCTCAAGGCGCCGTCTTAAACGACAAGCCCGAAAGCGACGACCCCGCTACGTTCGACTGGTACGGCAGCACGTTGGTGCTTGTCGCCGAGTCTAAGGAAGAGGTCAAGGCTATCCTCGAGAAGGACATATATACCAGGACGGGAGTGTGGGATACCGAGAAGGTATGTCAATTCTTGCAAACGCGGTAATAGGTACCTATATAAAAAGACGACTAACAGCCAACTCCAGGCTCTAATATTAGCGGTAAGCTTTTACGCTATACATACATCAAACTCCTTTAATGATACTAATCTACTTTCTTAGGCCAAGTATGCGTTCAGGTTCCCCTGATTTCTAGATTCCGGACGTTTAAGCTAGACATATTCTAAAACACTCAAGTCCCTTCATAATGTATTCAGTTCATGTCGATAATTATAATGACAATGGCTACATCTATCATAGGTCTATACCCGTTGCTTGCACGTGTCCTACTTATAGTAAAAGGTATGGCATTGGCCTCGTCTCCCCAAGTTAATAATCACAAAACAAGATTAAAGAATACACTTCCCATACATCAATCAGCCGAGCCAGATAAGATGAACCACCACTCTATAATTGCGTCGCAAACTCTTAATATGTTAAACACCTTATGACCCCTGCTCTGATGGAGGAGTTTCTGTTGTCGCCTCCGCTGCTACTCTGAGCTCGTAGTTCAGGTCGAAGCACTCGGCTAGCAGTTCAGCTACACTGCCTTGACCTTCGGGAATATCTTCCCCGACCATGAATTTGCCATCAACTTTCATATTGTCGATCGAATGTAGCTTCATGCTATAAGGGTAAAGCTCCCTCACCGACGTTACGCCACCACTGTTCTTTACCTCGACGAGACAACGCTTTAGCGTCTGTAGTTGGTTGTAAATCGGCAATAGAGCCTCGGAAACGGGCTCTGATGATATCATAAGATGATAGATATAACCATAGCTCCGACGAATTAGGTAAAGAAGGGTCTAAAATATCGTTAGGCAAGAATTGGATTTATAATCGCTAAAATAAGAACGCACCCGTTGGACATAAAGTTCGGCTGGTTGTCCCTGATCATCCACCCAATTGCCATTAACTCTGCTCTCATCGATCCTGTCGAGTTGCCGTTGGTAGTCGTACAAGTCCGTTTCTCGCAGTGACCACGCTTGAGTCAACGACAGCTTATCGAGCTCGTTTCTAATGCCAATGAGGACATCGTAAATTGGTTTCCATTTGTCAGGAAACTGGCCGTTTCTGGGCATTGCATTAGTAAATATACCCGGGTAGGTGTAGCTGGGAGCTGGGCGCTGGACAACACACTTTTCGAGGACAATTTTCGTATACGCTAAACATCGGTCCAGCAACAGCGAGACGCTCTCGCTACCTTTTAAAACATTACCATCAGCGTCGAGAAATTGCCCATCCTTTCGTGTCTCGCCAATCTCTTTCAGCTCCGCCTCTCGCTTATGTATTTCTGATGGTGTGAACTAAATAGAATTTATTAACAAGGATAATGTTGTGTCGAATGGTAGACAAGATAGTGTTTACCTTTGATTTAGTATTGATTATAGCCATTTGTCTCATTATGGAGACGAGCCTGTCCGCGGTCGGCCGCAATGGCTCTGCAATATCCTCGATCCTTTTCTGTAGGTTTGCTAACGATACACGACATCGCTCTATCCGTTGCACAATCAAGGTCTCCAGTAAAGGCGAAGGCTTCGTGCTGGCGGAGTTGTGTGCTATTTCCGATAGATACACAAGCGTCTGAGACATGCTCTCGAGATCCCGAGCAGAGAATAAGTTGGCCTCGTCTAGATGGTCTAGGAGTCGCTTGATGGTCGAGGTCAGGGCATAGGCGGCAGGGGCTTCATTGTTTCGGCCGATCGTCATGAAAAAGAGCGATAGTAATTGGAAACAGCTGTCTACCACTCTGTCCACTATATAGGTAAGATAGGATACGAGTTAGTTACGATAGTTCCATAGGTACCTAGCTGACCGGATAGCTAGGATTGTTTAATTTCTAATACTGTCGTACCTCTATTCTCCTCGACCGACTTCCCATGTCTAACTTCGTTCAAGATTCTGACCTGCTCGATAGCCTGGTCATATAAAACCATGACATCTTGAGTCCGAACGTAGGTCGTGCGGTCGAGTTTGCGTAATTGCAACTGATCGCGAATAGCAATTAGCTTTTCGAGGACCTCCCTTTCACCTTCGTCCTTCGGAGCCGGTATCTTGGGGGTTTCCATATCGCTGACTTCTAGAGTAGTCCTTGACTATAAGCCGTGGATTTTTCAAAGTAAATGAAATAAAGAGGGAGAAATATGGGATGAACCCCTCCTGCCTTGCTCCCCTCTTTGTCCACTGATATCTAACCTAAATGACCGCCTATTGATTACTTATAGATGACTTTCATCAATTTGAGGTTCTGTATAACGGTAGAGTAGCATAACACATGCGTAACCCTGGGAGGTGCATACGGCGTCCAATGGCCAATGGTTCTTTCGTTAGGTTAGGTACTTTACACGATTTTATTAACGCGGGGGATTTGGGGGAACTTGTCAGAGCTTTCTGAAACTGCCCTTGGTCGTGGTTTCTCCTAAAACTATGTCTCTGACCGCCTGTGATTGGAGTTTTCTACGTAGTAAGACCTTGATTACTACTGTATTTGATCGATGGGGAATAGTTTACTTGGGAAAAACGAACACTGATGAGGGAAGAAGAGCCCGAGGTGGGCTTTAAGGCTAAGGTGGGCAGGTGGGGTCGTGTGCTCATTACCTCATGTGTATGTACATATGTAGCAAGCGTAAAGTTTCCCGACGATCTTGCGGGGCAGATAACCTAAGCTCTGATTGGTTCTAGTAACCAGCCAATCAAAACAGACCGTTCGTCGAAGCGGAATCTTTATTTTCCTTCCGTGCTAACCCTATCTTCCTCCCACCAAAAATTTCGCATTGCGAATTGAATGTGACTTTCCGCTAATAATTTCACGAGCGCAAATCCAATATCAACCATCTTCGAGGTGTGCTTCCGATCGACAATTCTACCCATCCAACACCACATTCGCACTCAGACACATCCATAACAATGTCGACTGCCGAACTTGCCTCGTCGTACGCGGCGCTCATCCTCGCCGATGACGGTGTTGAGATCACTGTGAGCAATCGCTACATGCCCCTCCTACAGCTCCTTTGAGCGTGGGGTTTGGGGAAATCTGTTATAGATATGACTTCGTTCATAAAAATACTAATGATGAATATATATATAGGCCGACAAGCTACAGACCCTTATCAAGGCTGCCAAGATCGCTGATGTCGAGCCCATCTGGACGCAACTCTTCGCCAAGGTACGACGAATAACCGATTGCGCGAAGAAATGACCATATTTGCTGATGCATACGATTTCTAGGCTCTCGAGGGCAAGGACGTAAAGGACCTGCTATCGAACGTCGGCTCCGGTGGTGCCGCCGCTGCTGGTGGCCCTGCTGCTGCCGCCGGCGGTGCTGGTGCTGCTGCCGAGGAGACCAAGGAAGAGGAGAAGGAAGAGGGTATGTTTAATCCTTGCCCATGCGCGCTGCGCGGCTTGAAGCAGACTTATACTAATTCCCGATGTAGAGAAGGAAGAGTCGGACGAGGACATGGGCTTCGGTCTTTTCGATTAAACACGTTCCGCGATCACGAATTCTCACCTTCCCTTTTTACTTTCACTGCATGGTTCCGGGGTTCCATACACCATTGGTGTGGCGTGAAGGAGGCAATATTAGGATGCCATGGGCGGCCTTTACCCTGTCATAGGTTAATATGACAATTGGCTTTGCAGATGAGGCCATGAGAGACGAATTAAAAAGTCCACTACACTGTGAATTGTTCATTGCTCACTGCGCAACCTAAAGTGAGATGCAAACTATGGCCTCGGATGTGAGCCCCGGAAGATAAATGCGGCGGCCTCTAGTAGTATTCACATACAGGCAATCTTCGTGGATTGCTTATGTCTGTCTGCATCAGCTCATCATTCTTTCCATGATGTATCCGTATTTTATCCTTCGAAGCAAGGCCCGAACGCCAAGTCATTCGTTTATTCATGAGTATCATGCAGCCCCTTCTCTCTCCTCGTAGCTTATTGTACGATCAAAGCAGCACTAGGAACTAAACCAGCCTCCTTCAAAGTCTTGCCAAGATCGAGGTTCCCTTCGAAGACCTTCCTGGGGAAGTTCTGGACGAACTTGGTAACGGTAAGTCCATTCTCCGACTCTAGCATTTGCTTGACTTCGAAAAGGGTTGTATCTGCCGGGAATGTTTTCATGACGTTGCCGTTAGAAGTTTGCAATCTTAGTCGAGCTTCATTGTGAGTAACGGCAGGACGAGCAGGTGCTGAAGCGGGTGCTGGGGCAGGGGCTGGAGCTGCAACTGGGATCGACTCCCCTCTTGCGAGTTTTGCCTGCTCTGCCTTGCGGCGACGTTCTTCCTTGTCAGCCTCGATCTTAGCCTTGATGCGTTTCTTGGCCTCAAGGTCGTCGAGCTTCTCCTGTCGCTTTTTGGCCGCCTCCTTGATCTGCTCCTTGCGCTGGAGCTCCTCCTTAAGCTCATGTGATTCTCTGGTAGCCTTTTGGCGGATTTTCTAAATGATTATTAGTAAGGGAACCGTGCTCCGATCGACTTCTCGAGCTAGACATACATCATTGCGTTTCTGCTCTTCCTTGTCTTCCTCAGCTTTGCTGGCTTTCTTAGCCTTAACACGCTCTCGGAGCTCTTCAAGTCTCTGCTTCTTCTCCTCTTCGGTAAGGGGAGCAATCTGCTCAGTAGACTCAGCAAAATCGGTATGGCCCCTGAGGGTGAGATTAGTTTAATAATAATAATCTATAACAACGAAGAGATAGGACAGCTCTCACGATTTGTTGGCATGGAACTCAGCCTCTCCTTGACTACGGAACTTCTTGCCACATTCGTTGCAGACGAGTGACAGTGCGACTACGCCTTCGTCTATCTTTGCAATATTGGTGCCAGACTCTTCTTCCTCGAGAAGCTCATCCAATGGAGTATCTTGGGTCTTCTCCAGCCAGTCCATGGCATCCGGCACTAAGACAGATCATCATCAGTTAACCATATCCACCAGTAGTATGTAGATAATTAAATGCAGATACTCACACCCGTCGGATTTCTTCACTGCCAGTTCGGCACGTGATTTGTCAAACCCCATCTCCAGGAGTTGCTCGAGTACGGATTGTGACATCTTGGGCGATGCTGTTTTAGGATACGGTTAAGAATTGGGCTTAAGTGAAGAAGATGTGTTGTTGTAAGTTGTTTGGTGGGAAAGAAATGGGGCGAGAACGAGTTGTAGCGACAGGTTATTTATACGTTGTTTCTAGTAAATTCGTGTTCTGCTGGAGCTGGAAGATTGGAAAATTAATAGAAGCTGTAAACGCGAGCTGTAAATGCGATAAGTGTGACTTTGCTTCTGATTCACTGTGGTTTCTTTAGTGGCACGTCATTAGATGCTGCCTCAAACCAGACGCAGAGTCCTGAGTAAGAAGGTGGGTACGTATGAAGGTACCTTAGGTAAGTACTCATCTTTTCATTCCAAAAAAGTGACAGTTGGCTCGTGCTTGCCTCATTTTTTATCTTTACATAATGCATCTGTACACCATTATGAACGAATAAATAACTTGCATAGGTAATCTTTAATATTAAACCATAACAAAATGCGACCGTTTTTGTTATAACGGAGTTCTCTGGAGAATGGCCGGTATGTCATCCAATTAACAGAGCCCCTGGGATATTTGAGCGTTCTGCCTCTGGAAATTCTTACCGATGTGGTTCTCCGACTTGATACTTCAATAACAAATAGTCTATCGATGCCGCCTTAACATTATTCTCGATATCATCAGCACGGAAGCTAAGCACTTTAACTTTGGAACATTGTGCAAAGTGCTCTGTGAACTATACTGTGTTTCGTGCGGAAACTTAGCAGATATTATCACTTGTTCATAAGTCTGTTATGTCTGCTTTACCGATAACAAACTGTTCTTGCCCCTTATTTGGAACCCCCTTCCAAACTTGCCAAACGGGGCCTATATTGCCTTGGGTGCAGCAATTCTCACTGAAGCGAAACATATTTCCGGAAGCAATATACCAAGCAAGGTTTTGTTGACCACATTGTCAACTATGGACCTGTCATAGTTGGGGAGCCAGATGACTGCCCAAGACATGCACCACTGGATACGCCTGGTTAAAGATCCTGTAAGACACAGTGGTGTATACCACAATAACGCAAGGCTGCAACGCCTCTGGAAGTAATTGCTGTAGTTTTAGGACTTTGTCTATGAAGTATCTCTAAAATGTGCCTTTGCCTCCGTTTCGAAAAGGTCAACATCATTAAGTAAATGTGTTGAATACTAAAATATAGATCATAATATATTACCTATGGTAAATGACTTCCTAGGAAGTTGCCCTAAAATGCCAAGCAGTTTTACAAATAAATAACTTCTAACTATCTATTACGGTGAATTCGAAAACGGTATGGGATGTGTTGGTGGGTTTGGAGTTGTGCAGATTACCTAAGGTACCTATGTAAAATTAAGGGCTGAGCTGAGCCTGTAAATTAGCAACAATTTAGGTAGGTAGTGCGCTAAGGTACAGCACTACATTACTATGTACCTAGGTACCTTACTTAAATTAGGTAGGTACCTTAGGTACGTAGATGCCATAGAAACCAGGGCTCCCAGACAGCCGGACAGGACCCAGTCAAGCCAGTGCTATCAGTGCTATGTCGTAACATGACAAACTACGACAACACCACTACCGTCCGTGCTTTTTATCCCATCTCAGCCAGATTTCCATCTTCAACGTTTTTTTTCCCTGATCGCCGAACACAGTTAACTACTTTTTCTAATTATACCACAGCCCGCGCTACCGACTCACTTTCGATAATTTTAGAGTCGCGGCAGCATCTCTTTATTGATAATCTTTTTTCTTCTTCTTCGATAGGCCAAAGTGTCCAGATTGCGATCGCACTCCGACGAATTTCGGGCGCCCTTTTTTTTTTATCTGTTCTTTAGTGCAGCATTTCACAGCGCCCATCCCCCATATCTACCTAATACTATCCTTCCAGTGTGTATACGCCACACATATCCACTAGCAACATGTCTGTTGAGATCGATCCTCAGGAGCTCGGCTTCCATCGTGCGTCATGACCCTTACCCGGTATCGCGTTACTGCTATCATATATACATATACTCATAGGTTGTTGTAGGGCCATTCACGGCAGAAGTTTCGGAAGTCTTACGGATCAGAAACCCGAATTCTCACCCGGTAGCCTTCAAGGTATGGCACATTATTCACAAGCTTTCGCGCAACCCCTGACTGGACCTGACAAGACCTGACTAACAAATTACAGGTGAAAACCACCGCACCGAAGCAGTATGCCCCCTTTATACAATACGATGAATTCTATAAACTATAGCCCCACAATACTGATAATGTTCTCAATCAAGGTACTGCGTCAGGCCTAATTCTGGCCGGGTCGAGCCTGGCAAAGAGGTGGAAGTTTCAGGTGTGTATTAGCAAGTTGGGATATAAGATGATTCTCCTACTAACAGGTTGTAGTCATCCTCCAGGCCATGAAGCAGGAGCCTCCTCCCGATACGAAATGCCGAGACAAATTCTTAGTCCAGTCGGTCCCCATCACTGGAGACAAGGAATTCGCCAACCTAGCATCTATCGTTAGTACCACTTGACTACAAATATCCATAATCCCCTATTCCGAATACCTAGCTGACTAAAGTAAAAGTGGGACGGTATTGAGAAATCATCGATACAAGAGAAGAAGATTCGGGTTATCTTCATGCCCCCCGTAGGCGCTCCTGCTGGCACTAGTCAGCTTGAGACTCCCGTCAAGCCTTCCGCAGCCAACGGCGTAAGTTTATTAATGTTCTCACGATACTCTTTTACTATGCTAACTCCCCTTGTAAACTCAGGCAACGGCAGACGTTGCTCCTCCTGCCTACTCCTCTCCTGGTGACTATTCAACTAGCCAAATAGACGCCAAGACTGAGAACAGCGAGGTCAAGCGCGAGGAGCTCTCGGCAACCGCAGCGATTGCGACCACTCAGAGCAGTGACCTAAGCCCCGACGAACTGAAGCAGCAACTCATCCAAGCCGAAAAGGTAATCGCACAACTGAAGCAAGACCAGGAAGGTTTACGACAGCGTAAGACGGCGGGTACGGACAATACCAGCCCCAAGCCTGCTGCGTTAGCTCAGGCAGCGCCAGCTGGTACTGAAGGTGTGCCGATCAAGCTTGCGGCGATCCTTTGTTTCCTGAGCTTCATGCTCGCGTATCTATTCTTTTGAGTTGCGACAAGGGTGTTCTAGCAGGTTCCTTTAGGGCAGAGGTCGAGGAATCCCGTTAGGGTTGGGACATTAGCAGACCGGTTTCTTACTAGAAGGAAAGCATTAGGCGCGAAGAAGACTATTATACCTGGACGAAGAGAAGTAATAGGAGGTGAATGAGAGAGGCCAGGCCCCCTCTTATGTGAAATGGCCGGAAGTGAGACGAAGGATCTAAGCTGGCCTTCGTTGTGGCAGACATTGACATTGTACTTTAGCATGTATTCCCCTTTGTTTTCCATTGGCTGTTCAAGGTATGAGCATTCTGATATATATTCGCTTAAAATTGATTACGATCCCTGGGCGATCGTCGTAATACCTCAAGTTCAGGGTTAGCCTAGCTCTTTATGTACCCGGAGCTTCCGTATATAAGATTGTTTTTGAGATCTTCCCGTTTTATTGATGACGATCCGATCTTGGCTCAAATATTCGCCTATGCCGATGCTACCTCGTTCAAATACCTAGCAGAATAGCGTCAAAGAAGTACCCCATACTAGCCATTACAATATGGACCATCCTTTTTTTGACGGCATTCTACTATCTGGGTGCTGTCTAGGTAGGTACCTGGGTACATTACATTGCTATGTACGTGCTGTCCCCTTCACTGCAGTGGAGTAAAATCCCCGAGGAACTACGTAGAAATCGGATTGTTTCGAAGTAATTAAGCATCGTATTGACGAATCTCACCCTTTTCTGACCGCATCAACCCAACGCCGAATCCATACCCCAGACATACGGCCTAAGCATCGAATATACACGATTCCCGCCAGGTAAATTAAGCAGAGTACATCATATCATTGCTAGCAGGCATGTCTTGTTTAGATACACATGCCCAACCCATCTAAGCCTCGAGCTCGTTCTTCTTCCAATCAGTCTTCTGGCCCACGAGCCGTCCACCCTCCTTGCGCTTCACTCTGCACCGAATGCCGACGCTCTCGTCGAAGATGAAACGCCAGAGAACGTAGGTCCAGCTGCGGTGGTGCGGGAGCTCCGTGTAGAAGTCGCTGGCAATGCGGTTGAGCTCGGGAAGCCTGGACCAGGGGATGGCGGGGAAGTCGTGGTGCTCGTTGTGGAAGCCGACGTTGTACACGAGGAAGTTGAGGGGGCCGTAGTACGAGTACGTCTCCGGGACGGGGATTCGGTTCTCGGGGTTCTTCTGGGAGGGGGTTACGGTCTCGTAGACGTAGTGCTCGGCGATGAAGTGGCCTGCTAAGGGGTGCAGACTACCGGCTAGGAAGGACGACAGCAGGAAGTACATCATGGAGTTGATGCCGAGGGTCTTGAGGATCGCGACGTCGAAGGCAACCTGCACGGCTACGTTGGTGGCGGAGACCCAGGTGAAGGGTACGCTGTACACGCACATGGGGCGGACGGCGTAGAAGAAGATCTGGAACGTGCAGAAGAATGCCTTGCCGAGGATGGAGTCGAGGAAGATGGCCTCGAGGGCGGTGGGAAGATCGGTGTCCAAGCCGTCGACGCCCAGGGACTTGTGATGCGTTAAGTGGTAAGGGCGGAAAGAGGCGCTGTAGGGGATGCCGATAGGTAGGTTGGCTACGATAGCGAAGAGCCGGTTGGCGGTGGGCGAGCGGAAAGCCAAGTTGTGGCTAATCTCGTGGATGGCCATGAATAGGTTCTGGTTGGCGGTGGCGCCGACGACGTAGGCTAGAAGCCAGTAGGGAAGCGAGAAGAAGGAGGTGTTTCGGAGGGCGTAGGCGCAGAAGACTTGCAGGGCGACGACGCCGAGGACGACGTAGATGGTGAGGGGCTCGGGACCGCAGAGCTTGGTCACTTCGGGATGGGCCTTGATAATGGCCAGGCGTCTCGTCCGATGGGGCTCTTCGGTATAGGTCCAAAAGAAGTCACGATATTTGACCTCGATCGGGTCTCGCTGTTGTAGGTCCGGGGATCCATCTTGAACTTTCTCCTCCCCGCCTTTACCGTTGAGGCGGATTGTCTTCTTCTGCAGCTTAGGCGCCTCGGGGGCGCTGGTCGTGGTTGAAGACGACGAGGGGGGTGCCATTGTTATTTTATTTTTTTCCTTTTCTATTATTATTATTATATTTTTTTCCCTATGCACTCCTCCGAAATTAAAGAGTGAGGGAAAAAAAAGGAAAAGAAAGAAAATACTTGAGCAACCGTCTCAAGGTGGCATGGGAGTGGAATATGGAAAGGAGACAGGATGGCATGTACCCATATTTGCGGTGAAGATTGTTTTTTTTTCCCTTGACTCCCTGCAGCAGTACAATACTGTATGTACCTAGTAGCCCCAGTAGCCCCAGTAGGTACTTCCAGTATATAGTAGAGTAGTAGTTGTTGAGTGCGGCACACCCGCGTGGCGAGCTGCACGAACTAAGCCTAACTTAGACTAATGGGAGCTAATCAGAGCTGATCAACAGTTTTTCTAAGGGTCTTCAATTGATCATCCTCGTCCAATCATCCTTAACATTTAGACCATAAGGTGCCATAAAGCCTGAGGGTCGAACGTTAGTGTTATCACCCCACTTTTGCGGCGGATGCTCCCTGAACTTTGTGCTACTCACCTACTCACCCTTTTGTCCATCTTATCTCGTGTCTTATCTCATCTCATGCTTAGCTGATGTGTGATACACAGAAGCAGACAAGCGGTAGTCATACATATCTATCCATCCACGTGATACTGTCTTGAAGCTCTTTACTATATAAGTATATATGGTGGCCCATACCTAGGAGACATCTAATCAAAGTGAGACTCTAACTACCCTGATTGCCTGTAGTTTTGCCAGGATTAACACGACAAGAATCGGTTTAGACTTCTCAAGTCACATAAAGTCGGAAAGGGGCCAGCAGGAATACTAATAAGATTAGGTACCAATAGTAAATACTATACTATATACGGTCACTTACTCTTTGATGAATAACTTCAACTTTTAACCAACCTTTAGCAAGTGAATAGCTAGTGGGTAAGTCGAATATCGTCGGTGTGAGGCATGGCCTATCACATCTGGACCCTGGTAAATATATCTGCCCGGCTACCTACTTATGCCAGTGGCCATCGCTAGACAACATTAACCAGGGTCTACCGAGCCTCAGCTGTCCGTGGTCTAGGCCCTATGCCTTATATATAACACCTCGCCAGGCCGCATACGCAGGTATCCTAGGTATATATGCTTCCAAGCCCTCGATATTCATACACACCTACCTACCTACCTACCTACCTACGTAGGCTTGTTTGATAATTCTGATAGGATAGCTCCCTTCCCCGTCCCAGCCTGACGGCGTGATCGGACGTTTCATTCGAAGAGAGTTATCCGTGTGGGAGATTCCCTGCATATGCTGCCAGGTACCTACGACCCCCTCTCGAGCGCATCTTGGATCTGGTGCATCTCCCGATGCGCCCTTGCGATCTTACAGAGACGCGCCCCTTATGTATAGGCCCACAGCGGCTGCTTATTTGCCACTTGTGATCGAAGGATTGCATAGGTTCCGCCGATGGCGATCCTGTCGCGATGGATCTAGATTGCTTTGGCCGGGTGTGTCAATGGTTACCTACATTAGCCAGGGGTTAGTCTTCTTGGTGAATGGATCGCTTGGAGAGGGCCCTTACGGGTAGGTCGCAGGGTCGTTATACTAAGCCCTTATACCACAGGGTCAGTCTTGGGGGCGAGGGATCTTGCAGGATATTATATATTCCATTGGTTAGCCGTTCAGCCGTCCAGGGGCATGTGTGAATCGAGATCTCTAACAACTTGCATGTATCGAGATCTATCCGAGCGTGCCTTAGATCTACCTAGCCCCGACGACGTAGTTATGCTTAACACCTATGTTATCATAGTTTAATACCGGCACGTGGAATATTACTGGAGGTGACCAGGGTTGCCTCATGTTCTTGGGAAGTCTGGATGCCTTAGTCGTATAATACTGTGACCACAGTCTCGGTATTCGATGGGCAAATATAGTAATTGTAGTTGATGCTTTATACACAATATCCTTCCTTAAAAGCTAAATGCTTGTTCCGTATGCCGAAGTGAATTCGTACTGCCTCTTCCAATTATAATAACTTCCAGCTATCAAGTTTCTCCACGTAAGTCGTAAATGATAAGATGAGAAAAGGGGGTTGAATTATTATCGTATCCTTACATCATCGTAAAGTGATGAGTAATTAATGTAGCATGCATCATGTTATATTCCCGGATGCGAATACTACACCTCCGTCAGAAGGGATGTGGCCACCCGTCCGGGTACATATGCATTAACCCGTATAATCTCCCCGTGACGGCCTTGTGCGTTGGGGGCTGTTGGATGTCGGTTTCGGAAATATTGGTAGGTAGGCCGGGTCCTCGGGGGAAAATGGAAAATACATGTTGGTTATTAAATTCTCCGAATGGTACCATGCGTGGAACTCCGAAAAAAACAGTATATTGATTTGAAGTTATGGCTATTAGACAGGCTTTAAGTACTACTTATGAAAGAATGATAATGATATTCTATACTGACCAATGCGAGCGGTCACCTGAGCAGGATTCGAAGCCTTGAGACGATCAGTCGGGTATCTACGCTTATCTCTTCCAAGTGCATAACGGTACGATTGTATTTTATTAAATGAGAAGCCTAGCTTACATGCAGGACTTGTGGACATACGTCGACAAGACCGTCTTATGGCCAAATGAAGGCAGTCGTATAGCCTATAGGCATTCCCAGAGCGGGAATAATAACCCGACTAGTTATGTATACCCTCAAAAATTTCTGTCAGGTGGCTTAAATTATATGTGATAAGCACAGATTCCAAATTGATTAACGCTCTCGGAGGCTATACTACGAATTAGACTCGAGTTCAAATGGGGGCGATGTTGCCGAGCAGGTGAAAAATTGCGGTAGTATCTTCACTATAGCAGGGCGAAAACAATATGCACGATTAACAAGGATTGGGTCCAATCGAAGCCTGCATAGCCCCCCGGGGGTATCTAGAGATATGAACGGGAAGAATAGTACTTAACTTACAAGTCACTGAGATTGAGGAAATAGTATCCAACGAGATGCTACATAGGTCGCTCAGTAATCTCTAAGTGGTGCTGACACGCATAAATTAGGTTACGGACTGGCACTTTGGCCTGCAAACTATTATTCCTAGGACTCAAAATATATACATAAGCCCGGGCTAAAGCCCCCTTTTATCGCCGTATAATCTTTCTTTTATTCTGCATGTAAATATGTAAATGCAACCCATGGTAACAATTATATGTAACAGGAGCAAAATGGGCCTCACTTGCACCGTACCTTAATGGGCAAAGGCGAATATCTTCCTTGTGAAATTTTGGTACATAGGCTTCTCGGCCCATGCCCATGGCTTACAGCCTTCTGGAGGTGGCATTACTACTGTATGCATGGGCGGAGGATCTGAGATGTATGAGGGTAAAGGACGGTGGGAAAGGTCGCCAATGAGCTTGTCTTTGCTTGAGGAACGTTGCGTAAGTTGGTTCGTTTCCGCTTCAAAGTTGTGATAGCCCCCTTCCGCCTGGCTCCTTTGTAAGCTCGAGGTGTCTTGCTCGCCCAGTACGTACTTTTCGCGAAGCATGCCAGATAGCCTAGCTGCTGGATCGAAGCTAAGGTAAACCAAAACTTTCAGTCCGTTCGCATCCTCCCCTATTGCGTATACTATTGAACGCTCGTCACTGTTAGGAATAACACCACCTTGGCAGTCGGGAGGGTTTAGTATCTTATAAATGTCGTCTATAAATGGGGTCCGGTTTGATTCGTCTTGCTTAGGGGGCCAAAAGTAAATCCTGTTAGGTTGGTAGGGGTACACCGGCTCCCCCTTAGATCCTGATTTTGGTTCCAATTCGTAGTTAGATTCCAAGTGCTCCCAGGAAGGCCAATAGGTCTGCGATTTTCTAAACCCAGTTCTTAGGCGTAAACGTCGTGAGCCTGATGATCCGCCAGAGGATGTATCATCAACCAAGTCCAAATATGTGCTGCAACACCGCTGGTAATCACGCAGGTGGGTCTGACTTCGCGTATAAACGGGCGCCATAGAATTATCATCCCCTGGATGTACATTGTCGGGAGAACGGAAACGTGATTCCGAGCCGTATGGCTTGTCCAGATATGCAACGGGTCCGGTCGATCGTCCAATTGCTGGGTTGTGCTCGGGGGCTGAGGACTCCCCGTTGCTATCCACCTCTGAATCTTGGTCGAAAATTACTCCTGTAATGTAATAAGTCCGTTGACTACCGCTCTGATTCGTGAGCCACTCCTTTCGTGACTCGATTATGTTTATATTACCTGAAGCCTCGTCTTTCTCCAATTTGAGAAAACTCCATCTGTCATCTATGGGGCCTTCAGCATGCTGTCTCCTCCAACCATCCTCCCTCTTCATAGTTTGCTTATTCTTAAGATCCGGGTCATGGAGAGGAAAGCGAAAGCAATGATAATAGGAATTCCAATCCGTTTCTCTGATCTCGAAATCAGTCTGATTAGAAAGTCCGTAAAAATAGTCGTCTATAATTTCGAAGCAGACTGTCGAACCAATATCGTAGCCAACTACGTCCGCCAAGTGCATTTTCCGAGAAAACCAAGAACGCTTTTCGATATCGTAGCCCATGAGGACCCATTTTCTATGTCCATCTGCCCCTTCTTCCGAATGTGTCCCAAAATAAAGATAATCTTTGTTGTTTCGTACGAATATTTTCGCCGCCGAGTCTAGCTGGAGTGTAGCTACAATTAGCTGTTCGTCGGCTTTGAAGATCAAAAGCCAGTTCTCCGTGCGCGGCAGCGCGAATGAGAATAAGCACGAAGTAATTCCATCCGCATGATATAAGATGCGGAATTTGTATTTACGACTTTTCGCGGATCTAGGCACGGCTTCATAAACCAGGGTCGGAATGTCTATGACGAGCTCACAGCTTGCTGAGCCGTGAAGGTCGAGGATCCGTAGCCAGCGCTTAGGCCGGGCCTCGACGATATAACACAGTGTCCCATGGATATATTCATAGGAGTCGGCAAAAGCGATGATACCTACCACGTATGGGGACGCTCGTGAAAGTGCCTGGCGTCTTTTTGCAATTCGCCTCAGAGCACGCGAGAATTGGCCACTTCGCTGTGCCTCTTGGGCTTCGGCTGTGTGGGAGGCTTGGGTCTTTGTGGAATGGTCAGCAATTCATGCGTGGCTTAGCTTGCCACGAACTGGCCATACAGCTCGGTGTGACTACTCACAGCAATAATAGCTTTACAAAATCTCTCCTCTCTTACCAAGTATTGGAAGTGACGACATGATAAGGATAGATCGAATATCTCATCTATATCCAGATAGTACACGATGTAAGACATTATTTCATAAGGCAAACGCTGTAGTTTCGATATTGTCCTTGGCGGTGTCGTTAATGGGCCCCTCGGTGTCCGCATCTGTTTTGAACGAGCTGAGGCATCAACTTCACGGAAGAAATGTGTAGCTAGACTAGATGTAAATTGGGTCGATGAGGGCTGGTTACACATGGTGTATGTCGAGAGGGAAGGATAAAGCACATGGTGGTATTAGGTACCTCGGGGACTTCCATATTTATTGTCTTTCATCCGAAGAGCCTCATCGATTTAATCTCCACCACAAGGTCAAGGTAGTTTGATACCCGCACGGGCTACTTGGAGTATACCGGTGTAGGAATAGACACGGCATGGCGAGCCTTGTTTGGCTGCTAGTAGTCATTATTAATGCTCATACATGTAGGTACGTTAGGTAGGTAGGTATGCACTGTAAGCGGGCCGTCTCAGCCGTAATAAGCAAGTTCAAGGTTGTAGGTATGTAGGACATGAAAGGTTTAGAATGAGGCTCTATTTACGAGCACTACCTTGTAGTTGTTACATACAAGAAAACTGGCTTAGTGTAGATTGTATAGTATATAGGTACCTACCTGTTTGGCAAAGGGGGTTTGCTGGTGTACTTGAATATGTTTATAGAGGATGTATGAATGTATTAGGTATCGCTAAATTATAAGTATATTTTACGGGTACAATACCACCTGATCGGTCTATGTAGCGGTTGTATCAAATGCTGTGCAACCACCCCTACCGCTAGTATCAACACTAGTGTATGTATTTTTACCATATATTTTAGCTACTTAAGTACTTATTCATAATAAACAGATCCGTCTCCAAAACAAAAAAGAAAACGTGCGCAGAGCCTCAAATTCTCTGAGTCTCCACCATTTTTTATTTACGTTGAGCCTCTGAGCCTACGCACGTAGGAATGTCCAAATGAACTCGGGGAGGGTTAGGTACTACGTAGATCCCTAACCCACCCCTGTATAGTTTTCCTACCCCATCATGAGGCTCTTATTTAGCATTTTCTTCCATTTTCTTGCCCCCCCAGGGTGCACGGTCAAGTTGTATCTTCGATTGATCATCAACTTAACAAAACCATGTCATGTCGTGCAGCTGTTGTATTAGCACAAAGCTTTCCGCCTTCCATCGAGGCTACTCCCCGACCGAGAATAAATGGACTTGCAGATCTAGAATGTGCATCTTCACTGTTTTACCAACCCCCCTCCCTGTTTGGACCCCAGGCCAAGGCACAGCCTGCTTCTACCACACCACATTATTCACTCAAGGGGTATACATACGTCTTTTTGAGCAAGTTACCCAACTACCCTGTAACTCGATTACCTAGTTCAGACGTTTCAATTCCCCTTACCTCAAAGTCTTCTTTGCCAGTAAGCCTTACGGTGCTTTGGGTTAGGTCAAGTAGCAATACGTCAGCTACTAACCGACTACTAACTGGCTAGAAGATTCAAGGTAGATTCCCCAAGTCCCAATCACGTAAGAATATGTTATCACAGTCTCGTGATGCTCCATAGATGCCACCTCAGCAGTAGTAAGAGTAGGTCTGCATGTTAGTTGAGTCGGGTGTGGTTCACGACATGAAAGTCTACGAGTGTGACATAACAGTCCACCATCTAGTCCAAACATGTTTAGACGCACCGAGAAAGATCCGCTTAGGCACAAATCCATTTCCGAGTCAGGAAAAGCAAAAAAATACTAGCCAGCGTTGAGCCTCCTTCCACATGATATACGTGATGATATACGTGGGGAGTCGAACTGCTTACATCTTAATCATCGTTCAGAGACAACGGAATGCACAGGGCTTACCTAGGCGGTGGCTATCTAAGTAAATGCTCAGTCATTTGATAACTATTGCAATCTATTCCCGATTCAACGAAACCTGCAGTAGCTGTGGAAAGATTATGCGGATTGGTTGGTAAAATTTACATGATATTTTATGTGGTTGTAGCTAATGATTAAACAGTACTACCCACTACTGTGCTATACTACTCGCCTCGGTTCGCCAACATGGACTGCAATCTACGACCATAGTGCCCAGGAAGTCCACTCCCGAGATGGGGTCTTCGTACCTTAGCAACTTGATATCTATACGCCAGTTTTTCCTTTCCCACTTACTTAAGGTAGGTAGCTAACACATGTTACCCTGTACTAACTTGACCATCCTCAGCTCGGATACGGGGACCTACTACCCGTATTCTCGGATGACGGCGTATCGTTACCTCTTCTGTATCTTTAGACGCTGTCGCATCTGGGTAGAACACGGCATGTCTTGTAGACGACTACAAGAGGCTCTGCTCCAATCATGTGTGTTGTGTGCTAATTTTTCGGGCTACGTCGCTCGGTTACGAACAAACAGATCTATGCAATAAGGCGATTGGACTCAGGATTGAGAGTTCCTTTCGGACATTGAAGTACTACGAGACCCCTTCGTCGGAATTGTTCATTCGTTGGGAGCAGCTACAACGAATACAGTATATGAACTACATGTCACATAGTGGCCTACTTGCCCCGATTCCAGAAGGCTCGGGTAGCTGGGAATCCGACGTCGTGATACGGAGTGTTGAACAAGAGGGATTATTGCCCCTACCACTTCAGGTCCATAAGGATATTAATTGTTGCCTTATTATCTGCTTCATCGTAGGTACTCCACAACGGCATATCTACAAGCCGGCTGGTGAGCACCGAAGCCTTGCCAACGTGGCTGCAGAACGCACAATATTTCGACCTAATGACCATCTAAATTTGCAAGGTATGCCGTCTAGATTAGATGATTATCGCCGAGCGTTACCAGAGACAACTATCCAACATAGTGAGCATTTAGATCCATCCGTCATCTCGTGCTGCCAACGTCTAAGACGGGGACTGGCGTGCGTGATACAAGACTTCGACTGCAACCTAATGAAATCGGATATACGACTGAGTCGCAACCGGATTACCTTTTTCATTAGCTGCAACATGCATTTGACCCGAATTGGTCCGTCAACCCAAAGGGTCTCAGTGTGGATGCACAGAACCTTCAGCTTTGAATGTCTAGCTTCACATCACCGCTCTGACTGAAGATCTCGCCACATTAGTCGATGGGTAAGTGAGAGATCTCAGCTGAGAAATGGGATAGACGCTACGTTATATGCGTATACTACCTGTACTACCTGTAGGAAGGGTCCCATGAATCAAACCTTGGTATAGTACCCAACTATATACATACCTAGATCAACAATCTTGGGAGCTACTTCTTGGGCTCCCTTTGGGGGTCAAATGAGAGCCATACCAAGCCACTGCCAACCTTCTTTCTGTTACATTCTATTCATACCTAACGAAATTGCGCTTCTAGAATCGATCTTTTACTAGATTAAACGACCATACTAAGACCCAATTCGCCGATTTTTCTTGTACGTGTCGAATACCCTGTCTAGAGCTACGAGCCCTACGTCGATAGTACGAGTAAAACACATAACAATTACAATTAGCAATACCTATAGCGCAGTCTCCTATTCGTCGGATTATGGAATTATGCCTTACTAGATTATCAGTTCTTCGTATACCTCTACCGGAGCTAAGGCGTTAGCAGATAGATTTTATACCAATCGGGATATAGAGGGAGGCTAAGACATATCACAGTCGAATTTTCTATGCATGTGCAAGCGTTATCACCACGGCATATATATACCTACCTAGGCATATAAGAAGCTATGCCTAGACGGAGCGCACCGCTGTCGACGGGAGCCATACACAGCGAAAACCCGGTCTTTTAAACATCGCACGCAGTCTTAAGCTGTGTAATGTAGCACGGGCGCGTGTACTGCTACCACATTGATTACCACATCAACCCTGACTACCTACCCTGACGATCCCAACAGGACCCCTATGCGGCCATTACCGGAGCGATTTCGGGCCTGAGGTGTCAATTGCTACCTTAACTATGTCATTGCTTAACTATGTCATTGGTTTGGGAGAAACGCCCGGAGGGGCTTGTAGATTCCAAGCTGAGCCTCGGTAATTATAGGGGCAGCTGCGTGATAATTACTACATATACGTACGTATATTATTGACACCTAAGTTTGGGATAATGATGATAAGGGCGGTGATAATATTTACGTCTATTAGTGGCTATAGAATCTCGTGAATCTCATATGTACCTAATTAACGTTGAATATATATATTTTTTCTATGGATTTGTTACCGCCGTAAGAAACAGATTTTGATATAAAACTACGATTGGTTAAAGTAATTGGGCTATGCGTAACACTCGGATACCCGAGATGAGGCTCACGATAATATCGAGCATTTTTAATGTCCGTTAAGATAGGTGGCCTTGAACCTCATGGAGGGGTAGGGGTAGGGGTGAACAGAATGCCCTCACATTTCTAGTCATTCATCATCTGATAAATGATTTCTATTCTTTTAACTTTGATGATGAGCGTGTCTTTCTTCGTATCGGCCAATGTCGTTTTGATTCCCCTTTGTCAGTATCCTCGTTATTAATCAAAAGCTAGTCGACTTTATAAAAGGGGGGATGAGTTGATTTGGCTAATTTATTGGTAGCCTTACTAACAAGTTCCCTTCTTTTATATATATATATGAATAAGTAAAATAAATAAAACCTCATATAGGCGTAGAAGTCACGATATAATCATTGTTGTTGACATAGAGTAAGAGGATAGACGGGAGTTGCAATGTATGCGTTGATTAAATAAACTTAAGCGCGAACGGTTCTTGATCCATTATCGTATGATCCATGGTTCGCACTGATCGGCACCTGGCAAATGACCCAACTTCGCATCTTTTTCTTAATAACCGACATTCAGCTCCCTCAACGCTGCGCATCACCAACTGCATTTGGCGCCTGTGTTTCATTTGAGAGACCATCTGATCCACCGACAATAATACATAAAACGAACCCTACCGGGACGGCGGGTATGGCATCCAGAGGGAATCTTACGCCACGGGTATGTCACTAGTTATTCTATCCTTGTCCTTGTATCTATTGTAGGAGATGCGCGCATCTAACCCGTATTTATCTAGACTATCATGGCACCCGCAGCAGCATTCACCATGGCATGCGTGTTATTTGCGTACGGGATTTGCCCAGTCACTTGATGCTGTTGGCGTGCGCGCTGACTAGAGTGTTCGCTAGTTATACGCGGTCTTCTATAAAAGAAGCTAGACGTAATGCTGTACGTCTTTTTCTTCTTCCCTCGGGCCGCTTTTCAGCTCGGGTACGTAGTTGGAATAAATATAAGTGGCTTACTTGATATAGCAACACGAACGTGATCAGAGACGACATTCAGGCGGGTCAAGCAACGGCGGCGGCGGCGGCGGTAGCAAGTGAGAATAACAAGAATGGCGACCTAACCGCCGAATCAAGCAGGCTTCACCGCTTCTCTACGCCACATTATATTACATGGACGTCGGACAAGTTAGTAATATGAAGGATATGACTGACACGACGCAATCTACCTATATTGGCTTGCATTGGGTAGGGCGTGAGTCGATGGCTACGAGACCAAGCTTCTACGGTAGAGCCAACTTGGAGGGTGAATTAATTATCTTAAGGTCACCAAGGGGACGATGATATGATATCATAAATGATGCCTTGTGAGAGGTTTGAAGCCCAAGGCATCATCAGCTGAAGCTATCGACATAAGATTATACGATACTTACATACCTCTTACCTCTTACATACCTACGTACATGATGAGACTTTTATCAAGGAATGACAGTTAACTAACTAGCAGTAATAACTTGCAAGGTATTAGTCAGCTATCACTCATTGTCTAATTCTTGAATTGATGATATAGGTGAAAAAGGTCTATTTGTAAATGTATCTGATTTTTGATTTAATATAGCGCAGATCAGTGCATTGCGCCCTACGAAGTAGTGTATTGTATTGTACAATACCTTAAGCTTGTACTACCACTATCATGACATAATATAGTGAATGGACGGCCTAAAAATTGTTAGCATTAGGTAATATGGGGGTACCCTACGTTAGGTAATAATGTACCTGTATTGTACTTATCTTAGCGACCACGTTGTAATTGTAATCCGTAACCTGCACGCGTCTTTTGAACTTCGTCGCTACATGATTCGTTCAGGTCAGGTCTTCAACATACAGCCCTTAAGCCATGATCTACGTAACCTACCTCTCTACGCACGATAATAGCTAACGCGACTACCGCCATGGCTGGCAGCAATCTCCTCTCCCTGTTGGGATGGACATTCCTCCCTAATGTATGTTCTATTCTATCTTCTACCCTACTATTGGTCCTAGTTACACTATAATCAGGAAAGATGCGATCCCGAAACTACTTACTTAACTAACACCAACAACTTCCCGCAGCTCGTCACTGGCTGGGTACAATCTATCTACTACGGCCTCACCATCCGCGCCGGCGACCGCAAACCCGCTCCCAACTCGCCCCGATACGCCGAGCACCGCCGTCGCATCCACATCCTAGTCGTCTCCCTCTATCTGCTCTACACCATCTACGAAGCCGACTACGAGTTGCGCCGTGCCTCTAACTACTACGCCGACTTGGGCGTGCCTCTCGCCGCCTCCGAGCGCGATATCAAGAGCCGCTTCCGCCGTCTCGCCGCATTACACCACCCGGACAAAGTCATGAGCAGCGCCGGTGGGGGTGATGCCGCTGACAGTGCTGATTTCTTTATGCACCTCAAAACGGCCTCCGACACCCTCGTTGACCCCGCGCGGCGCTTCGCCTATGAGCGCTTTGGCCCAGAGATTGTCGCCTGGAAGCACTGCGTCACCATACGCGATTATGTCATTCGCGGGGTCCAGGTTCTAATCCCGTACTATGGCTTTGCCGCCGTCGCTATGTACGTGTTAGGACTGATAGGCTACCTGGAATGGGGGCGATACTGGCGCTGGCTGACCTTGGTCGCGCTATGCGTCTTCGAGCTACACACCATCACACGCCCCTCCTTTCCGCACTTCCTCAGCGGCCTCATAAATCCGGTTCTGGCTCGCTTCACTGACCATCCCCCTTACCTACCCTTCCAAGCCATCACCCTCGCGCGCAAGCTAAGTATCACGCTGTACATTGCCTTCTCGCAGATAGGCCCGCTACTACAGCCGCCCAATCAGAGGGGAATGAAGCCTGGCGAGGCGTCGGAGAAGGCGTTACAACAAAGCTTAGATAGACTCGAACAGACGGCTCGGAGTATGGATATCGACGCGGCACGACTTATGGAACTAGAGATGGCCCCCTTTGCTGGCGATGCCGAGGTAATCGGTAGCATGCGGTCGAAGCTAAAGGAATGGCTCGTACAAAACACAATCCGCGCGGATCCCATGGTAAAAGATGCATTGGGACGCTCGTTCCAAAAGCGACGGGTAGATGCACCTGCGGGGGCCAAGGGGAATAGATGAACAGTTAAGACTTGCATTACTAGCAACTCGTAGTATTGATTATATAAATTGATTCAACTCTGGTCAATTTTTATTGATACTATGCTATTGATCCCAACCTAGACGACACAGTGATTAAATTCGCCCTTACACATGTCCAGTCGTTCTAGTATACATATCACCGCTATAGAGTGATGCTCCCGATGAGGAATATGCCTTTAGAGTCTTTGCCTACCTCTGGTCTCGATAGGAATCAATACCATCCCTACGAAAGCAGCCAAGATCAAGATTGCTGACATATAGATAGGGGTCTTAGTACCATCTCCAGGCATGTTGGCGGCAAGAATTGGTGCAATGAGCCCCGTGGCGCGATTCAGGAAGCTGGCCACGCCCGTCCCGGCTCCTCTAACGGGCGCCGGGAAAATCTCGGGGGTGAAGGCGTAAAGCACACCGTACATGATATTCTGGCAGAAGGCTTCGATGCAGGTGAAGAAGAGCTGCCAGTTAGGTGTCGTACCAAAGGTGACGAAGAAAAATAAGAAGATGGCGGACACCAGCGTAGAGATAGCGAGCGTCCCCTTCCGCCCTAGGAATGGCGACTTGTGGTCAACGGTATACGCGGCAAGCAGGCTACCTGGCACCCCAACAACCGATATTATGGCATAGTTACGATACGTTTCTGCCGGTGTGGCATTGTTTATTGCCATAGCTTCGTCGCCAACCGGTACGTCTGAGCCGCCATGTGAGAGGTACTGCGGGAGAAATGCGTTAAACAGCGGGTAACCAAGGCCGATGGTACTCCAGCAGAACCAAATCAGGAGAGTTGCCGTGCCAAGCTTGCGAGTCTGGAAAAGTGGCCGTATGTGATCGACTGAAAAGGACATGAGGTTTTGTTTGATAATATTCGTAGCCGAGACCCTAGTTGGTATTCGTTCAGTCCCGTCCGTATCGACAACAGCATCAAGAATCTCCTCGGTGAGCCAAGTTTTCTTATTGTTCCGGTAAGCAATACCATGTACAACAGCGACAGCCTCGGCTTGCCGCCCTTGAGACAAAAGATATTTGGGCGACTCGAACAGATGGAACATGCCAAATCGAATAAGGAACATGACGAATGTGATAATGCCAATCGTCATAACGAAATGGCGCCACCCCTCTGCGGCGGGCCAGTTTGTGATGAAGTACCAGGCGACAATTGACGAAACAAGCTGTCCTACAGGCCACCATACGGATAGGAGAGTCAACAAGGCGCTTGAAGAGTCTGGAAGAATCTCTAGAAAAAGTGCTCCATCGACCGGCAAGTTTCCGCCAACCCCAGTACCCAGGCACGCCAACAGAATACAGACGGATACCCAACTCGAAGCGTACGCCGTCCAGATGCCGAAAATGCTCGTAATTAGTAAAGTGAAATTGAAGGCAATACGCCTACCCATTATGTCGGATCCGAGCCCCCAGAAGAAACTCCCGAGACAGAGACCTACGAAGAGAGAGCTGGTCGTATACCTGACCTGTTTTTCCGAGACGCCAAACTCTTCGGAAAGAGAGGGAAGAGTCAATGAGACACCCTTATATAAAATGTAAGATAATGTGTATCGAGGAGATATGTTAGAAGCACCCGAAGGTAGATAAACTACTACTACTTACTTGCATCCATAAACTGCGAATTTGGTCAGTAAAAACACTCGAGGTTTTCATATATAGGTTAGGTAGGTATCTATATATATAGAAGAGCACTCACTTATCCGCAAACCACCCAAAACCGCACAAGACAAAAAGCTGCCAGTTGTACCGGCCCATACCGATATCTTGAATGGCTTTATTAATAAGTTTCGATTTCACTACGCCGGTTCGTTAGCATATTTCCCCACTTATACCGGCCCCCCGGCCCCCTCGGAAGATGGGGTCAGAGAAACAGGAGGAGCTCACGTTCATACTCGGACCATTGACGCCGTCTCTGGCCCTCGCGCACCTCCCTTCTCAGGCCCTCGATAGTATACTCGGCAGCGCGCATCTGCAGCATGCCCGTATTCTCGTTGTCGTCATCTTTCGGCAGCCCCGCCTCGGCAACGGCACCGTCGGAACTAGTCCTGACCTCCACCTCCTCGAACTCGCTTCTCCCGCATCTGGCAGAGTGGCTATGCAAGTGCGCCTCCTCGAGCGGGACCAAGACGCCGACGTAGTCGTGAACAGACTCCTGGCGGCGCCTGGGGCGTAAGGACGGAAATCTCATAATGGGAATAGAGGAACGGGAACGGGGGAGAGAGCAGACATAGAAGTTGGGCGCTGCAACCCCATTCATTCATTCGATTCGTAAGGCCGGTATGAACCTCGGTAAGGGTATAAGTTGGCAGATGGAGTAAGTTTGTATTTCTGCAAAAAATAAACATCCAAGGCCCCGAAAGCGGTTCGAGGCCAATGTGTCTTACTGATGCACGTGATGACCGATAGGTATGACACCCAGACAGACACGATGTCGACTTCTCCAAAAAAGGGGAATCCCTGCCAACAAGGGTTCCCGTCTGTCTTCCCCTTGATCACCGACTCCTCTCTATCGAATTGAAAATAGGTATTGCAATATTTTCGTAGAGTAGGATAATTGTTGTAACTATTCAGATGTTAAATGCTTAGGTACCTGTTATATGTATCTTAGTAGTATCTAAAAAGGTTTAGGTATGTACCTCTTAAAGTGTCACAAGATTTCACTACTGTAACAGATGATCCTCATTCCCCGCGCTACAAGCCACAAGGGCACTAAAAGCTCCTTATTACGAGTCACCTGCCAAGTGCTTGAGCCCCTATCCCCCTCGCCTAACTTTCCGCATCAGTTAGGTGCTTTACTGCATTTACGCTACGCTGTAGGCACTGTATGGTAACCCTATAGCAGTAACCTACATCATTCACATGAGAGCATCATCACGACTTACATGTAGGTATGTTTCTCGTATATCCATCCTGTCTTATATTGGATTCTTTTTTTTTTTTCAAGTTTATTTAAATTTTATTAAAACTATTGCCTCTACAACATATAGTACCTATCTATACATATATAATACAACAGCTGGACCTTACCATGGGCACTCGCACAAGGGACATGCATAACGGCATAATGGATGTGTCTGGAACAAGTGAAACCGAGAAATGCACGCGGAAACAAACAAACAGACAAACAAACAAAAAACAGACAAATGGGTATTACATCACGAAAGCTTACAAAATAATACAACATAGCCCGCAACAACAATCTTCACAGCAAAAGATATCGCAAGGTCCCCCGCATCCATCCATCTATAGGAGGAACGTAACACTCCTCCTCTTTCCAAACCCGGGGGGCCTCCCATTCTGCGACTGCGACCCGGCGCTAGGCGGCGTAGCCCCGGGGGTACGATCGAAGTAAGGTAGATCACCCTTCTACGCGCATACCCCACTACGCGCCACCTTTTCCCATATAAAATTAGCCAAATCGCATATTTATATTTAATCCAAAGAAATAGCTAAAAATATGGAATTTTAACTTTTTATTGTTTTATATAAATCTTATTCTATATAAAAATTATGAAAAATATTGACCGAATATCCATGGTGGAATTAATATAAATGTGTACGTTAATAGTTATATATATAAATTTATATATATAACTGTTAAGGCCTATAACTTTACGAATTTTAGGTTTAAAATTTTATTTGTTATATTAATAAATAAAGAAAATTTCAAGCTATAATATGACGCTTAGACGAGGTTGATAGCTATTTTATTAAAGAAGTTATGAATTGTTTTAATAGTTTTGCTAATTTTAATATAAAGTCCCATACATTTTTGAACTTTTTTAACGAAAAAAATATCTAAAATTATTACTTTTTACTATTTTACCATAAATACGTAGGAATAAAAAAATAAAAAAATTTATACAAAATATCATTATAGTAAAAAAACGAAAAATACAAATTGTATATTTTTAGCTATTTTCTTGGATTAAATACAAATATGCGATTTGGCTGATTTTGTATGGGAAAAGGTGGCGCGTAGTGGGGTATGCGCGTAGAAGGGTGATCTACCTTACCCCGACATTTCTTCCGAACTGGAGCGGCCACCACCACCACCCCCCATCATATCGTGCTCCGTGACCGTCCCGAGGCCGCCCGGCGGCGTGCGCGTAACGTCGTCGTCGAAGTGTCCAGCGGGCGAACCGCACCCGCCGGACTCGTTCTTGCTCCTGCTCTCGCCGCCGTCGCCCGGCTCGAGGTTGTAGCACTTCTCGTCGTCGCAGCAGAAGTTGGAGTCCGGGCTGACTTCCTTGCTCAGGCCGGACCGCCGCGCGCCCAGCTGGAAGCTCGCGTGCGTCGTCTTGGGCTGCGTCATCGTGCACCCCGTGTCCCGGAGCATGCGCTGCGACGACGAGCGCGGGGTCCCTGGCCTGTTGCTGTTGTTGCTGTTGTTGTGGTGGTTGCCGTTTGCGCTCCGGCTGCTGCTGTGCAGCGAGTTGAACCGCCGCATGTGCCCGCGATCCAGCCGCTCGTAGTGCCACGCCGTGTTGGGATCGTTTGCGAGCGGCGGACTCCTGGATGGCGAAGGGTCCGATTTAGAATGAGGCCGGCTCTGCTTGCGCCCGCGACCCGGGTTGTCGTGAGGGGGGGATGATCCGTGAGGGGGTCCGTCGGCGGCGGCTTTCTTCGTTAGGCCCATGCGGTTCTCCCACCAGCCCTTTTCCTTGGTACCGCATCTCGCCACGTCGCAGAGCGCTTCTTCTACGATTTGCTCCTGTCTCTCGGAAAGATGTAGGGGGCTTTTGTCCGTGGCGAAAGCGACTAGAGCCGCGGCATCCTGTGCGTCGCGCTCTTTTTTCACGGGGCTAGATCGCAGTCCGCTCGAATCCAGCTTGAACACGATCAGGTCGGTAAGGGAGATGTACGGGATTTGGTCGCGCGCGATGTCTTGCACTTTTACAGCCGAGTCTGGAAGGTAAGGTGACTGTCGCGATTAGCTAACTGAGTATTCTACTCGAGATTCGGAACTTACAAGCCATTCCGGGCTTATATCAACTACGATTTCCCGACCGCTGGGTGCTCTATAGAAGAGTGTCTGTGCACGCTGGAAGAAGGGCGAGTCTGGCCGTTCTAACAACCGCTTTTTCAGCGAACTTGGAGAGGTCGATATATTCGTAATAAAATTGATATCCTTCAGAAAATGCTATTAGTTCATGGGCCTTGGAAATTTGGTATCAGGCTGTCTTACATCTGTTGAGCGGTATTTAGGGAGGTAATGCATTAATGCCAACCCTCCGATGACCGAAAGTCTCGCATGCCTAAGATCATGTATCTGTTTCACATATTGGATAACGTCACACGCAGCGCTCTCCAGTTCCTCTAGCCGAGCCATATCGCAGGCTGGCTCGACAACCGGGTAGTGTAATTTTGATGTGAGAGGCCCCATGATGGGATCCTAGTTAAGGGATCACGAAATTGTCTAGTATATCGTCAATGAAATATAAGCTTCAAGGTTAATATTGAATACAGCGGGTAAGAGAAAGGATAGGGTCAGAATTGATGAAATATGGGTGATGCCTTCGGTCGCGAAGAGGGCGAGAGAACATTCGGTTACTTTATACTATCTTGGTTATTTTGGAGAAACTATCATGTAACTAAAGTAAGAACAGAAACTGCTAGCCACGTAAGTGTCGATTCCAGATGGGACTTTGAGGGAATGGAATCAAAGGCTGACGACTCGCGGACTGTATCAGAAACCCCACGATCTCACGACGTGGTAGGCGGAACGTGCTGGACTAAAACCTTTAGAGCAGAACAGAAGTATAACTATAATCATGAAACCATAGCGCATCCCACAGGACAGGTGTAGTGAGGAGACATCAGGGCAGTTCGCCGGTAGTTATTAGTAGTTATTAGCCTCGTGCCTGCAATCTTCTTCTAGACTGTCGGATCTTTCTATCTTCTACCAACTAACCCCCATGTGGAGTTTCAATGACTCGAGCATTACAGCTTCCATCCTGAAAGTGCCACTAGTAATTACAGATAGGTCTGGCCAAAGTAGGTCTACGTTCAATGACAAGCGTCAAAAGGTCGTCTTCGTCCGGGGTTGTGGAGGACCTAAGTATAGGAACATACGGTCCATTAAGTCCGTTAATATGCTAACTGAGGAAACATACGGTCTATTAGGTCAGTCAGTGTGCTAACTGAGTCATCTACTGTATACTAGGTCTTAATCGTCGTCATAATGAGGTTAACTTTCTTAGTCTTATGTATTGGCTTCAATCATCTTCTATAAGTTTACGAAGCAGCCGCGTTACCAGGGATGACCTGACTCCAGATACTTAGTTGGTTCTCGCCAGCCAATTGTAGTATCGCACCTGAGCATTCATTTTCATATCGCTAGTCCCGTCTTAGCCTCATGACTGAGAATTCCCCTGATATTTGCATGGTGCCTGTCTATGAGTGTAGTATCATCAACCGCCGTGCTTCTAGCGGGATTGTAAACCTACAGAAAACTCCGAACTCATCCGCGAGCGTTTCGAAACCTAGACCGAATTCCCTCGAGGCCTTCTAATTCCTAACTCCAGTTTCAAATTACACTTGAACCCCGCTCTAGAGCTCGGTGAGATCTCAATTATACAAGTGGCCCCCCCTTTAACGTAAAACGTGACACACCAAGACCATTCACTATTACACTAAAGGTGGGCCCTCCTTGAGAATCTCCCCAATGGACACAATGGTATCTGCTGTGCCATCTGAGGTGTTATGTAGCCGCACTAACCTCGGACCGAATATCTCGACTTCCTCAGACAAAGCGGTGCTTGACCCGTACGATATTCTGTAAGGTGGCGCGCGGATTGAATACTCCTGAGAGCTACTCGATGGAAGGCTACCACCCCACCTGATCTTAGACCATCGAGGCCATTTCCAAAACTTGAAACGGTCGGCTCGTGTCTTCCTTAGGCGTGTACGGCGGTCGTTGTGGACGCGAAGGAGAAGGTTCTATACGAGTACTCCTTCATCATCACCCTCCTTTTCGCCCTCCTCATCTTCCTCCCAGTCTACCTCATCTGCCATCGCCTCGGCCTTCCTCTGAACCTCAGCCAGACCGCTGAGCTCGGCTATATATTCCTTGTCTTCAAGTGCACGCTTGACAAAACTCCACCCTTGCGTCCTGTAAGCCGAAATAATTGGCTTGCTGCATGCGCTGCAGCACGGGTACGAATGGCCTTTGATTTTGAGAGTTTGGAAGTTGTGTAGAAACCCACGGAGCTGATGTGGTACTATGCCAAGAGCATGTTCATCACCGGGATTACTGTCATATATGCCTGATGAAGAACTCGCTTCTGGGGCTGGGGCATGGTGACGTAGGGGGTGCTGCAGGAGGCTTGTTAGAAGCTCAACAACGAGAGCTGACGCGATGCCAGCGATGCCGGGCCGTGTCACCGTGCACTGCTGATCAAGAGTCAAGTCTTTTTGTGACTATTCAAAAAGTTAGCTGGGAAAGGTGACCCCACATAGGTAACTTACGTCTCCAGGTGCCACAACATCGTTGCAGAAGTAACAGCCTAATGTTTCCTCACTATCATCCTTAGGTTCAGCACCGTGTCTCATGACTACGTAGGAATCGAAGCCGAGAGCCGCGTTCATGACAATCTTTCCGGCAGCCTTGCCCATCACGGTAGGGAGCCATCTCGACTCTCTACTGTCCAGCAACAGGAATATCGCGTCATGTTCGTCTATGAGGGATTTCAGCTGCTCGAAGTCTCCCTGGGTCTTCCCTACTATAGGATGGCCAAGCATGGGAACTGAAAGAACGTGACCCTCGCTGTCAACGCCGGGATAAATCTCTTTTAATACCTCTGCTGCTCGGGTCGCCTTCGGGGCTCCTCCTTTCAAGCAGTCATTATAGGTGAATAACGGCTGTCTCACAGGGTTGGAGAAGGATACTGCGCCGTAGTCAACAAATGTGATCTTGCGCACGCCCCATGCCATAAGATTTCTTGATACGTGGCTACCGAGCGTACCAGCACCAAGAAGAAGACATTTGGTATTCTTGATGATCTCGAGATTGAGATCTGGCGAAACCCGCCATTTCATCAGTTTGAGGTTGAGGTCAACTGATTGGTCTGCTAATCGAGTCGGGTCCATAGATTCTGCTAAGCTCACGGATCTCGCCATTAGTTTCCCAGCTGCATTACGTTCCCAACCAGTCGCCTTCGGCATTTCAGCCGTTTCTATACTTTCCACGGGATCCATAGCAAGGGGAAGGACCATGCTGCGAGCCTCGTGTCTTCGTGCTTGTATGTCCCGGTAGCAGAGGATTTGAACCTTGGTTAGATGAAATCGTTGTCTCACAAGGACCAATAGGTTTCTGAGAGGCCATGCAGGATGCTCGTCGTAGGTAGAAGGGTCAACAAATGCTACGTATTTGTCATCTTCGGGCACGCCGCGGAAAAACCCTGTCTCGAATTCGCGAAGTGATCCAACTTCCCATCTATATCCGATATCCTCCACCGGCACCTCAAGCGGAGACGGGGCAATAGACTTTCTATTTCCCCGAACTTTTTTTGCAAGGAAGAAGCCATACTCTCTGGGGTCAACAGTATATCGCCAAGTCCCCACGCGGTCGACTAAGGCGGTAGTCTCATCGGGGGTGAAGCGAAGAATGTCCCCAGTACGTTTCCACTGGGGATCCGAATGTAGGGTTGGAAATCCAAACCAGTAGGTCATGCGGTACTTCTTGAGATCTGCATAAGATAGAATAATGTAATGAGAGAGGAGCGAAGGAACAGAATAGATGGTTCCATCTTTGATTGCATCCCATATCTAAGAATATTTTCGTTAGCACCGGCTTATTGATGGCCAAGTGATGGGTTAGAAAGAACTTACTTGGCGTGCAGCATTGTGAATCATCTCAGTCTTATCTACTTGCTTAAAGGCGTCTAAGGTGTTTGTGTTTCGGATGATGCCTTCTGCCCTTACAGCATTTAACGGCACGCTGCAGACAACGTGATCAGTCGTGAAGACTAGGTTATAGGTTATAACGGCAAGAAGGAGGATATAAAGAAAACATAAACGTACTTATTACTGGTAAGAGCACTGGCTAGAACTTGCATCTTCACACTGTCGTCTGGAGCGGTGCCAGGACGAGGCTCATAGAGCCCCAAAACCGGTCGTGCCGAGTCACTAAGCTTATCATGGTCTAATTTGGAGGCAAACAAGGCCGAGTAAAAGGGCAACTCAATCTCGGACGAGAAGGGCGCAAATTTGAGTGCTGCCATGACGTCGACAGGTATTAGCCGACGCGGCACGGTGAAAGTGAATACCTAGGTAGGAGGTAGGTATGTAAAGTGATGATTGTAAGGGCGCTAGGAAATGCGCCTAAGTCGCGTTTTAGGAATTATGTTCGTGCGATGGTTGATGGTTTACTACAAATCAACGATATATCAGATATCATAAGGTTGGAAGATGTAGTAAAGAATCTCTGAATGTTGAAGGGACGTTATAAGGTTGAAGGGACGTTATGAGGTAGGAGGGGCAATTCAAATCAAGTCGGCTCTAAGTTGGTGAGAGCGGGGCCCGTGTTCTGTTAGAAGGTGGGTTGAAGTTTTCAAGGGATGACATATGATGGAGATCGAACCTGCTATCTTAGGATCTTAGGTATGTACATACATACCTACCTACAGGTAGCAACACTTTAGCAATACAATAAGCAATTATGAATCGGATGTTGGATGTAAAGACAATTAAATATTAGACAAATAGTTGCTGCTTATGTACCATGTCTAAGAATAATATACTTTTTAACTTATTAATTACTGTGCAAATAGGATCACATGGCCGCATTCCGAAAGCTACGGCGTGACCATGAGTACAGGAGTAGTGAGATGCTGCTGATGTAAATGTAGGGCTGCAACACGGACCTTCTCCGCTGATGCTGACGTGACCTTCCAGCCTGCCAGGCGGCCAGGGGCACCTGAACATCGGATAGCTGCTGCAGGTGCTCCTTCTAGGCTCCTCTTGGCAATGGGCTTCCATCTGAACCTGCCTTAGGAGGTACATATCAGCTAACGTACCTAAGTACCTGATCTGTACATTAGGTACATCCAAGTAGCTGGCTAAATTCCGGTAGTGGCTTTTTTCCCCCTTTCTCCCACGCGACGAGACGCGTCTTCAGTGGATGCAAGGGCCCCATTTCATTAGCCTTAGGTACAGTTAGTTACCTCAGGTACATTGGGAAGAAATTGCCTAATATGTGCTGCATGTGTCTTCTATAGACTTCACTCACTTCAATGTTGCACTACATTGCATCCAGAAACTTATCGTTTATTTTCGTAAAAGATGCTGATAGGAATTTGTGGCGGTAAGATATTTATTTTATTTTATTCTTTTATTGCCTGTCTGTATCCTTGACGAGTTCTTGCTTACATTAAGTTACAGCAAAATGCGCCGGTAAGAGCACAGTAGCTCAATACCTAATAGAGCATCACGGCTTTAAGAAGCTACACTTGAACTTATCAGCACCTAAGATTGAGTCTCATCCGGACGCATCCGATTCCGATGCAGGTTTGATTATCTCCGATGTCCTTAAGAAAGGTCTCCCTCTATCTCGGAAGCAGATATCCCCATCTTATACCTTCTCTACAACTACGGCCCTTCTAGACTTCGTAACGAAGCACTGGCGCTCGCGCTGGGTCACAACAGACATCCATAATGAGACTGTTCTCGAGACTCTGAATCGACGACCATTCTTCATTCTAATCAGCGTTGACGCGCCTCTGACCGTGCGGTGGCAGCGTTACCAGCGGCGAGATCGGGAGCAGCAGGAGACGGAAAACGAAGACCCTATTAGCCTGGAAGAGTTTGTATCCCAATCTGATCAGCATCTCTATGATGCTACATACGGTGTTCTCCCGCTCATGTCACGGGCCGCGATCCGGTTGCTGAACACCTCCTCAGACCTTGCACACCTGTACGCCACGCTGGGTAAGCTGGACTTGCTGAACCCCGACCGCTTGCGCCCTAGCTGGGATAGCTACTTTATGTCATTAGCATCCCTCGCGGCGCAGAGGTGTAATTGCATGAAACGCGCCGTAGGGTGCGTACTAGTAGATTCCAGACATCACGTCATCAGCACGGGCTACAACGGGACCCCACGGCACCTATTGAACTGCGGCGAAGGTGGCTGTCCGCGGTGTAACTCGGGAGAGAGCAGCGGAGCGGCATTATCTACCTGCCTTTGCCTTCATGCAGAGGAAAATGCCTTATTAGAAGCCGGCCGTGAGAGGATTCGCGACGGAAGCATTCTGTACTGTAACACATGTCCATGCTTGACGTGTAGTATAAAAATCGTACAGGTTGGTATTAGTGAGGTAGTGTATAGTCAAGGATATAGCATGGATACCGAAACGGCCGAAATCTTTCGGAACGCTGGGGTGAAGTTAAGACAGTTTTCTCCGGTAAGTACTTATTTTTTTTTCTCGAGCTATGAGGTTATGAATATAGATACAAGAATTAGTACTAATACGCACGTAGCCGGCCAACGGACTAATACATCTCGAGAAGATGGAGCTCTACTGATGTCTAAAGTATAATAGATAGATCTTGCATACTCTTTTATACTACCTAGATCGCAAGACTTGCGAGACTTGCGAAAAATCTAGATTCATAGGTGACTAGGATGGGAGTAGCAAAGAAAGGACTTGTAGACAAGGAACCACTTAGATAATCACAACAAAATGAAAGGCCCAGATCAAGTCTTAGCCTGGACCAGATATGCTTAAACTGATTGTCATTAGAGAAATTAAGAGTATTTGGACTCTATCGAGACTAACACCTCTTGATAAGAGTCCATTAAGTGGTATGTTGAGCATGTAACAAGACATGGCTAACTTTCTTGGACCACCGACTTCAGGTCCCAAGTCCCTCGAATACGATATGCCATATTCGGGAAGGACGGACGGATTGTCGAATCGAAATGGGTAACACGTTACTGATGTCTCGTTCCGTCGTTTGCACCAACCCCTCTCTCCCCTTCCCTTCCCTTTCCCCCTAGACCCCCGGACCTCCCCGCATGTTCTCGTTTGATAGCCCTTACGAGGGGAGAGCGGCCTTGTTAGCTCTTCGCTTAGCAACAGCCTTGGATATCCAGAGACCGATCAAACCAACAGCGACGACGAAAACGATGCAAAAGACGACGATAACGCCAGCTTCTTGTTGCTATTGAAAGTTAGCATGTCCCTATATCATGTATAACATTTCGCCAAAGCAAATTTGCTTAGATGTAATCAACAGCTAAGGCGGAATTGATAAGGATTGATTCACATACAGCCCAGTTTTGACGACGAACGATGTGGTTGAGGGTGTCGCGAGCGACAACGGCTTTGTTGATAGCAGGCATATTGACAAACTACAAATTGAATTAGTACTATGTTATCACCAAGTCCAGCGTTTATCAATGGAAGCTATAAGTGGATCAATTGAACAACTTGATCGAAGTAGATTCGTTCCAACACATGAAATTCGCGCGTTGCGGTAAGATGCAATTAAAAAGGCGCATGTAACAATTCATTGGAATCGAATAGATCTGACTGACTCGGGATCGCAGAGCTCTCTCGGGCGAAATTCGGTAACGCGAATAAAATGGTAATATGCTTTGTATGCCTTGATGTTGTTGCTGGGAAACCATTCGAACTTCCAATTGATTTTTATAGAGATGCGACTTACCTTAGGTGGTCGGATGGGTTAACTCCTGTGGTTGCTATGCGGAATGCAGATGAGTGACTTGGTGATGGTGGATGAGCTTAACTGTTGCTTGACAAGGTCAGAGAAGCTAAATCTGCGAACAACACAGGCCCTTGGATAGGATCGAGTGAGAAGATTTCCACAAGGACAAGTGAGTTGAAGGAGTAAAAGAGCAGAACAAGAAGTTAGAAAAAGGTGGGAAAGATCCGGGTCAAAAAGGAAAATAATAAGATGAGCTCTCGGCGCTAGACCTGGAGACGAGGGCAACAAAAAAAAAGGTTGTCCGGGGCGGCAGCTCGGTAAGCGTGCATCAACCAGGGCGGCTCGAAGCTCTGCGCGATTTTGTAGGTGGAGGTCTACAGGCACCGGGGTCACCGGATCCACTAAGTGGATACCTAGCTGTATTTCTTGTAATGCCGCAAATTGGTAGAATTAGGTATGGCTAACGAACATCTGATCGGCGCAACGGGGAATGCCAAAGGCGGCGAGGGTCTGAGCTCGCGAGTATGTAAACCCGACTTTGGCCACGCGATAACGATGTGCACGTCGTATATGTACTCAATGTACTCATAATAAATAATAATATATCAATTGGAAAAAGAATGTTTACTTACAGTTAAGAATCCGTAATCCACTATCCAGATGACTCTCTACGAATTGCTACGGAGGTCTTCGGCGTTGCGAAAACCGATAGCTGTGGATTCTGGAGAAGGCGGTATTCGTAGGATTTAGGAACTGGAATTACGGATGGAGAAAGTCGAAGAGACGAGATGTGGAGTTGACTACCTGGTTTAGGCCGTTGTTTATGGTCCAAGTGCGGTGATGTCAGGTTTGCAGGCGTCCACTAGTCCGCGTCCGGCTTGTGATGGCCTAAACCCTTTTCGTGACAGTCATGCGATAGTGATAGGTACCTACCTAACCTTGTCGTTATCGCAGGAAACCGCATGAAACTATGCCAACAGCAAAGTACTGTTTACCACTTCGAGACTTCCAATTGTCTTAAAAAGCCTCTTGTATTATTTCTCCTTTCGTAAACCCAGGGCTTCCAGAAATTTTACACTACATACAGTAATAAAACAAGGTAGCAGTAATGCGTGAATTTATTAGACCACTTAAATGTTACCTTTTTCAAGAGTACCAATTCAGTCTTACGACTTAAGACCCTCCTCCATACTACGGTACTGTGTTACATGTACACAGATCTTACCTAGCGAAGCCAAGCTTTAAATCGTCGATGGAGCCAGACTTACGACGTAGATGTGCCCTATTGACGATCTACATAGTAGTGACAAAACAGACAGCTTAAGTAGACGCGTCGTCGAAATTGACGGCTCGCAGCAATTCTGTTTAGTTTGCGGCATAAGCAGAGTATCTATAGACATAACTAGACGCAGGTATATACATGTAAGTAGCTGAGTACATGATAATAGCACAGTACTAATCATAAACCAGCCCTTTGGAAATTGCAATCGCGCATCGTTGAATCCAGCGCCGTTGTGGAGCATTCCTTTCTTGGGAATATTTCTGTTTACCTTGCAAGGATATGGAAAGCATCTCAAGACAACTGACAACGAACCGTATCCATTTTCTATGTAAAGCTCTACCAATTATACACCTACTTAACTCGCCATTCAAAGGGCTTTCGAGATCAGCCTAAATCTTTCGTTCCTGGTCGATCAGAGAAGGCATCGCTACCTATTCGATAATGACCATTGAGGGTTACAGATAATGATAGATGATGAAGAAAAGCCATGAACTTCAATCGCTTTGTATCCGAGCAGAATCCACCGAGTAGAGACTTGCGCACCCCCGGGATCCAAGCAAGACCCAAGTGGGCCAATTAAATCCTTCGAATGCTCGCGCAGGTGCCAAGTAAGGGGTTCGTTTTTGCTGTTTATCATGAAACTGGACTTCTATTCTCAAAACTGGTAACCGGCATTCGCGGTCTTTTGACGTTGGCGATAATATTATCATGTCACACGAAGTTGGCTCGATTAGCAATCTTTCAACTGTATTAAGATGCCCGTGATATTTAACCTAGATTGGCCAATCAGCCTCCAGCCACTTTTAGTTACTGTTTTGATAGCTTGCTATATCGTAGGCCTTGGGATATATCGCCTATACTTGAGCCCACTTGCTAAGATTCCTGGCCCAAGACTTGCTGGTAAGAAATATTCGAAACCCGAAGAAGCAATTATGTGTTGTATGAACTACGAATACTGAGTAAGGTTGTCTAGCGTTGACTACTTGGTACAATGCCTATTATGACATGTTTCAAAGGGGTCAGTACGTCTGGGTTGTAGAGGAGATGCATCGAAAATACGGCCCAATCGTCCGGATCAGGCCAGATGTAGTCCATATAAATGACCCTATGTTTATTGAAAAATTATACTCGCAGTCTCCGAAGCAGAGACGTGAAAGATATTGGACGGTCCTTCAAACACTTCAAGCTACGGGGTCGATTCTAGCTACGCAGGATCACGAACTCCATCGCAAGCGTCGGGCGGTTCTTAGCCCCTTTTTTTCGCAACAGAACGTGCGGCGCTTAGAACCCGCTATCAACGACACCCTCGCAAACTTGTTCTATCGAATGGATGGGTGGGCTAAAGCCGGGGAACCCGTGCGGATGAACGTTGCGTTCCGAGCCGCGACGAAAGATATTATTCAGGCTTATGCGTTTGGTGAAGGGGATAAGTGTCTCGATAAGGAGGATTGCAATACCGCGTTTTTTGATATTAGTGAGTATATTTCAATCGATTCGAGTTCGTTTTTTTTTGTTGCTCTAAAGTAGATCCGGCTTTTCGTAAGTTGGTTTGGAAGCCGCAAACTTATAAAATAAGCTTCACTACTCCGATTTCAACTCAAGATTTGATAACGATGGCTAACTTCATACACTATAGTGGAACCAAGTCGACTGGCTCATCTTGGAACCCACATGTTTTGGCTGGCTAATCTTCTTAGTAACTTGCCTCCAAAATTAATGACCACCCTTATACCTAAGGTCGGCGTATTCACGAGCTTTGTCGAGGTAGGTAAGACGGATCCAGAGGTTTGGGCGTCTTATATGACTAACAGCGTATAATAGGGGCTAGCTGTCCAAATCGAGGAGGTTCGAAAGGCTAAAGATCTTCCAGAAGGCAAGACGATCTTCCATGAAATTATTCGTAGCGACATACCGGAGGCCGAGAAAGAAACTCGGCGTTTAACTGAAGAGGCCATGGTGATTGTTATCGCAGGTAGCGAGACTACGGCTTCAACCCTGGCGGCAATCATGTATCACTTGCTTGCTGATCGTCAACTGTTCAGTCGGCTGAGGGCCGAGCTAGAAACCGTCATGCCAGATCGTAACGAGCTTCCAGCGGCGTCGAAATTGGACAGTCTCCCGCTCCTAAATGCAATCATAGAAGAAGCTATCAGACTCTACCCCGGTGCCACCCATCGGCAAGATCGCACGTGTCCCGACGAGGATCTTGTCTACGAGGCGCCAAACGGCCGGACATATGTCATTCCAGCTGGCTCAGCCGTCGGCATGGCAGCTCCGATTCTAAATCGCAACCCAGGCTTGTATGATCGACCAGATGAATTTCGACCCGAACGTTATCTAGAGAACCCGAAGCTTTCAAAATATCACCTGTCGTTTTCTAAGGGGACAAGACAGTGCATAGGAATAAATCTCGCATACCAGGAACTTCGGACTTTCACTGCTGGCATCGTCAGGCGTTATGACATGTACGATCCGGCTAGAAAGACTCAGAGCGGTCCAACATTAGAGTTGTATCAAACTACAAGGGCAGATATTGCAATGCATTCGGATTTTATAACGACTGCGCCGTATAAGGGTAGTCCTGGCTTAAGAGTCATGATTCGGAATTGAATCTGAATGAAACGGATTGTATAGCTGTTGGAGACATAAACTATTATTATTAAATATTAGCACCTGGATTCCTATTTAATATAAAAATTGGAGGCCTATAGCGCTTCAGAATAGGAGTTGGATTCAGAGGAAAGAGTATTATTGCAGGCAACAGGTTTGCGGACATGATATAACTGGTACCCATGTATGTATACCCTTTATAAGGCTTAAGGAGGTTCTCGCAATGGCGCTCAAGATTACTTCAAACCCCATAGTAAATTGACAACTCTTAAATCTGCATATGCAAGCCAAACACCACAACGACGTATGCGATCACGACCTCGCTAATCTTGCGGTATGAGGAATTCCCCTAGCATTAAAACGTCTGCCATACACCTCCCCCCTCCCCACTCTCTCATAACTTCGCCGTCTCGGTCAACTCCCCAACCTTCAGCTTACCGCCGTACTTGTCTAGAACGTTCTTGCCGTGGTACTTCCAGAATTGCTTCGTCGCGTTTTTGCCAGCCATGCGCTTGAGGATCTTTGCTCCTCCCGGGTGCTCGTCGAGGAAATCTACGATGGGAGGAGATTATTGTTAGTCTACCTAACTAGTTGGTTGACGGTAGCGGGAAAAAAGAAGAGTTAGTTGGGGATAGCCTCACTTGTGATATCATAGACGCCGCTATCTACGATTATGTACATGCCGTTCTTCTCGTCCTTGTGTTCGGCAACATCTTTCGCTGTAAATGTCTTGGACATGGTGGATGGAGGTGCGGGATTCGGCGCTGGACTTTGGAGAAACTCGGCTTAACTTGGGAAGATGTTCACGCTGGTATGAAGTTTGTGAAATTGTGATAGACGAAGGATGTGTCTAGTAATTAATTGTTTATACGATAGGCACTATGAAATAAGTAAATCCGTGCTGTAGTGACTCAGGAGCTTCGCGGTTGTTGAGAAACGAGAAAGCCAGCTTATCGCAAACTTCCCGCCGTGATTTAATCCCATTCAAAAGAACCTCGGCATAACATCATCCAAGGTACGGACTTATGTTAGGTACATAGCAGGGGTTCAATTACCTTCAGCGTTATTGGTGCGCCGGATACGCTAACCTTGCCGCCGCAGAGGTAAAATGGAGAGCACTAACATGCTTCTAGGATAGCGCATCTATAATTAAATATATACCCCTGCTTCGTCCTAACAGGTGACAGGTATTATCCCATCTTCACCACAGGGTTGCTTACCATAAGGTCTTTTAATGATAGAGTTAACTTTTAGCTAAGATACATCAATATGCTTAAGGCTATTACTATGCGATTGGATCTGAGGGACGTGAGTGTTACCTACACCCAAGTATCTCAAAGCTTCAACCTCCTGCCTTTAATTTAAGTACGAAGGTTGGGGCCAAAAGTCTTGCACATGTCCAAATCTTGGCATCGATTTTCGTACGTCTTTTAACTTATTAATACTGTATCAGCCACATTCTAAGCTGAAGGTCGGATAGTGGCCTGTCCACTAAATTCAGGTGGCTTACCACTATATTTATAGCGATATTAGCCACTATAGCTTAAATAAGACCGTGCAGTTTCTTTTTACTCGCACGTGGCTTTGCCAAGCTCATATGTGCAAGACTTTTGGCCCCAACCTTCGTAGTTAGGTTAAATATTCCGTATTTCTCCTACTCTATGAGTATGCCCCGTTCCATGGCCCTCTTAAACAAATCTGCGAACGCCGAAGTTCCCCTACAATCACTCGCCTGCATCTTTTCTAGAGCCTTGGGCATCCATTCTCCTATTTTTTGTATTCGGTTGTTATTCTGCATATTGTCAGCTAGACTGGCCACTCGGGATTCATGATGCTCTATAAAGTATGGTGTACATACGGAAGGATGAGTACTTAGCCATTCTGGCGGTTCTACCTGCTGCGCTCTCTCCATCCTCTTCCAGAAACCAATAGCTTCGCGCGGATCGTAGCAAGCTTCCGCCATCATCATTAGGCCGATGTAGTCTGCTTCACTCTCCTGTATGCGGTTCATAGGCCTCGCAAATAGAAGATCTAGAACTGCGCTGCCAATGAAATGTGTACCTAAAATCGCCATCCCACCCGTGAGGAATATGAGAGAATAGAGGAGGATGTTTATCCCAATCTGTCCTGACATGCGCTCGGCCACGTGCCCAGCTAGGTTGTGGGCAATCTCGTGGCCTAGCACCGTCGCAAGGCCATCGTCGTTTCCAGCAATAGGTATCAAGCCGCTGAAGACAAATACCTTTCCGCCAGGAAGGACGAATGCGTTCGCGGTGTCTAATCGCTGTTAGCGCCTTGGGTTTTCTTGTTCGCGTCCTAAATCCGCCGAGGCAGACACATTCCGAAGGTTATTCACGTACGGGGATCGTCAATCACCCTGATCTCCCAATTAGAATCTTCCATGCCCGATGCGGGTATCAACACTCCCATAACGCGCTTCACCATGACCATGCGCGGATCCCAGTCGCTTAGGAAACGCCTTCCAGAACGTTCCACCTCCCATATAAGGCGCTTGACCTGCGCTTCGCTGGCCTTCTCCACCGACTCCTCGCTAAAACAATTAAAGCGCCGGCGGCCTGACACCGGTACGGTCTGGATATTCATGTAGTAGAATATCACCGCGCCGCCGACAGAGAGGGCGACAACGGTGTGCAAACTCGGGGAGCGGACGAACCGTCTGAGGCGATCGGAGGTTACGAGAGGTTTGGCCTGGGAGAGCCGGTAGCGGGGATCAAGGTCATAGTTGCGCGTTTCGCGAGGAGGGCGTGGCCAGTTGTTCTTGCGGAAGGAAGTATGGGAGAACGGCCGAACCCTTTGGATAAGGCGGAGAGAGGGGAAGATCGAGGGAGAGGGAGAGGGAGGAGACCCTCGTATCGGTAGAGAGTGCCATAAAGGCCGTATAAACCGACGCGATTGCATCGTGAGGTTTGCGCTTACGCGCACAGGACAAGGTAGAAGACACAAGCTGGTAAAAGTTGGAAGTTGAAAGCTGAAAGTTAAATAAACTATAAACTGTAAACTGCAAGCTGCAAGCTAAGAGAAGAGCTTATTACGTCAATCGTCAATCACTTCTGTAAGTGCCAAGACCAGCAGATCCGGGTTATAAATACCTATGTAAATCGGTTATACACACATATGCGCCTAGCCGATGATGCCTCATATCAATATACCCAAGTCTAATAATGCTTAGGTACATAGGTATCGACCTAGTGTATAATAACATCACAGCACATGAAGATATATAGGTAGCCAGTTAACAGGTATAAGTTCAAATAGTAAATCAGATAATGGTATAATAACCTAGTTAACACTTTACCTAGGATAACCAGGGAACCCTTTTGCAACCCCCTTCAACTCATACATACATAACCCCTAGGAAAAATCTATAAATCTAAAATATTATCTTAAAGGACCCCCGGTCCTCAATATATCGCGTAGAAATCTATCTACATAGCAAAGAAGAAGAATGCCGCCACACCCATGAGCGTAAAGCTAACGCTCGTCTTAACACTTCCACCAACAACAACGACGCAGTTGGCTCCCTTGCAGCCCGCGGCCCCGGTCGAAGCCGCACCGCCAGGGGTCGTGAATGATGTCGTTATCGTTCCGTTGTAGCCTAGGTTGATGCTGCTGGCGGGAGCCACGGTTGGCGTCACCACGACGTAGGACTCGCCGTTGGTGATGGTGGTGCTGCCGCTACTGCTGCTGCTGCTGCCTTCGGTTGCGGATGGCTTGACTACCTCGCTGCTAGCTGTTGTAGCGCTCGGGGTCAAAACTACGCCCGTCTCCGTTGCCGTGCTCTTAGTTTCCGGCTTCACGTCGCTGGTGGTGCTCTCAGCAGGTTTGCTAACTGTGCTAGGCGTCTCGGCGGGTTTGCTGATCGTACCGGGTGTCTCAACCGGCTTGCTTGAGCTAGGGCTAGGTCCTGCGCTTGAGCTAGGAGTAGCGCTCGGGCTTTCCTTGCTCACGGGGCACACGGTTGTCGTGAGGGTAACTTCACTAGTGACGGCACCAACGGGGCAGTTGGTGACGGTAGCCGCGCACGAGGTGACCGTGTATGTGTTCGTTACTTCAACTACGCTGGTGGTGTACTCGGCGGGAGCACTGGAAGTTGGCGTTGCCTCAGTCTTGGAGCCTTCCGATTTGGTCACAGGGCAGACAGTGGTTCCGACCGAAATAATCTTGGTAGTGACGTAACCGCCCGCGGGGCAGTTAGTCACTGTTGATGCACATGATGTAACGGTGTGAATATCAGTTGAATAAATGGTTGAAGTGGTCAGCTCGTCGGTGGTGGCAGAGCTGCTTGAAGACTCGGTAGTAGTGGCCGACACGCTCACGGTGGACGAGACGACAGACGAGCTCGGGGTTTCTCCGTTCTCATCAGTGCAAGAATCGTCGTCTTCAGAAGCGGTCGATGTAGCGGTGCTTTGCGAGGCAGAGGAAGTCGTCGTTACGGATGCGCCAGAGCTAGCGGACTGGGTCGACGCCGAGGCGGTAGTGGAGACAGCTGAGGCGGTCGAAGCAGAGCTAGACGCGGTAGATGCGCTAGACGTGCTGGATGCCGTTGACGAGGTTGAAACTTGGACTTGGCCCTCCTTAAGCTCGTAGACCTTGATATCCTTTACCTTGAAATTGGAAGATTCGAAGTCTCCGCCCTTCGCGGCGACATACTCGGTGCAGCTGTCAAATCCAGTCGAAGCCTTGCAGCTAGTATCCCACTGGGCAGTCTGACCAGCAACACCGCAGAAGTTAACGTTCAAAACCATCTTCATATCCTTGAAGGCCTTGTCGACGTTACACTTGCTGATCACATAAGATGGCTGGCCCCATGTAGAACTGGGAGCCGGCTGACCGCTTGAAATATCTTCGGGGGCACCGTCGCGGGTCCAATCCCAGATCTTAAGGAAATCATCCGTCCATTGCAACGCGAATATACCTCCGGAGGGAGACCCGAAGGTAGAAGAGACCTCGGAAGCGGAACAGCCTTGGAATTCGGCTTGTCCTTCAGCGTGGTCGTAGCAGTTGGGGGAGTCGATCGTCGCTGTCATGTCACTTGCAACAAGTGTGCAGTCCCCGACGACATCGGGACTATCGACATGGGAGGTATGGCGGTTGAAGTTGAGATCGTTCCAGTTCTCATAGAGATCAATCTCACCCTTGGTTGGCCACGGGTCACCGAAGAACCACTAATAATTCAGGTTAGCTGGCTCTATATGCAAGGATATACAATTAATTCCAAGCAAAGAGAAAGATTTAAGGCTTGTACGAAAGCTCGAGGGCATAGTGTAACGCTATTAGCATAAGGGGACTTACGAATGCGGGCCATGAACCACAGACGGGCTTAGGGAGGTGAGTAAATTCGGCAATGATTAAACCCTTGTTGTAAACGTTTTTACTTTCCAACCTAACACTCTTTCGCCCACCACCTGTAGCTTGGTAGCTACCAGCAGAATCTACACCAACGTATACCTCACCATCCTGGGTCTTCACCAAGCCAAGCTCCTGCGCATTGGCCTGGGTTTGGTACTGGACGTAACCGCCGTTGGGGTCAGTTTCCTAAGGAGAAAGTTAGGTGATTCGAGCGACAGACAAGTTGTTTACTTAAACATTAAACACTTACGCTGAAAAAGTTGAACTTATCAAAGAAATTAGTCGAATTATAAACTTCAGAAACTTGGTACGACTGGGTAGCGCCAGCATTGGCAGCTAGGACAACAGCAGCAGCGCCGACGGTTTTAAGGAGTGATGGAGCCATTGCTATGGCTATAGTATATATGTATATAAAGAATGACTAGAAAGAACCGAAAAGAATGACGTATCTTGCGTCAAGAGCTGAATGCTCCAGGGAGTAAGAGAAAGGGAATGGGAAGACATCCCATGCCCAACACAGCGGTTCAGACATATTTAAGAAAAATCGACGGACAGGAGCCCCTGGATTGAAACATGAGGTTCGTCGACATCCAATGGCTGTGGACTTCTCCCTTGGACGCTGCAGACAAGCGGCGCTACTACCGCGCCTGCGCATAGTGTACGTAGGTAAGTAAGCTTCCTAGTATCATGGTGGGCTCATGTTTCGATGAAAGGACGACGTTGCCATTGGGTAGCATCCCGCTCTACTTCAAACTATGTTTATGTAGTACGGAAACCAACTTCCACTCTTGGGAAGGGTCCGATTCTTGGTGGATTCTGGACTGTGATAGGCCTGGATGGATGGCAAGTTTTAACGAACGGCCGGTGCCAGAAGTCGACATTAGGCCGGCTTGGCTTTGTTCGGTTCGCGGCTGTCAACGGGCGAGCAGACGCTGTCGCTAAGAATCCAGGTTCCTGGACTAACGAAAGGCAGAAAATGCCCATGTATTTCTCACTTGAGTGCGCATTCATGAGAGTGCCTCTCTTCATGATGCTAGATGCAGCTGTGCCATCTTTTTTTAGTAAAATCCTGGCCAGTGTTACTGATTCCTATGCAGGAGGAACATACGTGAAGAAATACGTACTTGGCTTATTGCAGGTATGAGATGGGTGAAAAAGCCCACTCGTCTGAAGTTCAAGCGATCCCCACGTTAATTGATTCGTGGCTGTGTACCTATGAAACGACTTGGTTTTCAGGTGGACCACCCCCATCTCATTTCGTCTGATCTGGTTGGTGAAAACGGCATATGAAGCCGCCCTTCAACCAGATGCTATTCCAGGGGTCAAGACCCAATCGGCTAACGTTATTCTTGGCAGATACTGGCGATGCTTCTAACTATTTCAATGTCATGATCAGCCCCTTGATCAAGATCTCTCTCTCTAGCGGGTCGATGTCAGTTCCGCTGTCGATCATATTCCTTGCATCCTGTTTTGACTCGTTGTGGTAATGATCTGTTAACTCTTCCACTTCCAATACCGTCCTTCAGGTAAATACCTACCAGCAGTTACAAATTAAACAACGTAATTAAAGTTGATGAATTATCATTAATTAATGCTATATATATACTTCAAGTAGGATCAAAAGACACGAAGAATCCCTCGGATTATTTTACCTACTATGGAGTAGAGGCTGACATCGCATCGATAGGAGGTAGCCAGTACCCAGTACCCACCATCATAACGTCTCTTCAACCCTTCATTATATACAACCAATGGTGGTGAATGCACCCGATGCGGAGGACCCTAGATATATTTCCATACATCATATCTCTTCAACCGAGTCTAAAATCGAACTCTACCGTAGCAAGTACATTTTATCTTATTCTTATTCCATTGAATACCCCTTTTCCTCTGTCGTTATGGAATTGGTAAATGCTGTTGGTTGTCTCAGTTCCAATTGGTTCAACCTCCTCCAACTATCCTCGGAGACTAGGTTAGACACTCGACCGCGTAACTCCCCGTATTGATTCTCGGGAGCAACGGCGGGATTTATTAAGTTATCAACAGTTGCCGGACTATCCGTAGGTTGACCGACCCGCGTCTCTTAGTTGCGTTAAAGGATAAGCCTTGCCAAGAAGCTGCCCCTCGCCGTATTAATATACCTAAACCTTACATCTAATCGATGTAGAGTTCTTCCCTCTGTTTCCTCTTCTGTTCGATGATTTTCTTCTGTCGTCGTTGCATCCATACGAATCCTAAGACAGCAAGTATGACGAAAACTGGTACGAGAAGCCCAGCAGCAATTGCGGTGTTGTTATTGACTCCATTATTGGAGGTTGGTTGGTTGGTGGGCCTTGATGGGAGTATCGTCGTTCCGTTGAAGGGCTATATCTTCTATTAACGTCTATAGAGATTATGGACGACATAGTCAAAGATGACGAATCCTCACATATACCGGACCATCCACGGTTTCTTCCCCATCCGATTTGGCAATAGTGAAGTAGGGCGACGATGCGATAGCCGGTGCTGAAACCTTCGATTTTACTTGGTTTTGAGGCCACACCTCTACCTCGTATTTCGCAGTCTCGAGATACGGGAGTGGGTATGGAATGCTCTCCCAGAGAAACGAAGTGGTATTAAGTTCAACTATCATAACACGTAAGATACCTCTTCGTATATACGCCTCTTACGTAAATTCCTTACTCGTGATGTTGACTTGTAACGAATTCGCCCCAAATTCGCTCGTCTGATTGATGAGTCTGGAGTAGAGTACAAGGGGGTAGTCGGTCGCGTTTGCCTCCCATCGCAGTAAGAGGTCAGATCCACGAGTAATATCCTTAAATTCATTTTGAAACCCCGGCGTTGCCATCGCTCGAAGCTAAAGAAGAACTATTCAAGATTCCCATGAAATTCCAACACCCTATTTTATTATGGGACGTGGCAAGCTTGATATACATATCGTAATGGCCAAGACCTAGAATAGGCAAATGTGGCTATATCGTATACCTAGCGCTTCTGTATAGGGGTATATCCCAATTTTACATTTTACCGGCGCCCTTCCCTGTTAAATCTTTTTTTCCTCGAGGGATCTATCGGCTGAATGCGATTATAATCCCAAGGTGACTACTCGCGTAAGTCGATTACAATGGTTATGAGTCTGGCTAAATTAAGCAGGCTGATGCCTACGAATCAACACATTAATACATATGAATATTCCCCCTGGAGAGTCATATCATATTAATTAACTAGTGTGTAAATGGGACCCGAGGCTTTGGTACGAGCCACCAAGTATACATAGGAGAGTGATATATTGCGTAAGGCTAGGTACTTTCCGTGGTTGTTTATGTATAAAGCCTCGTTAAGCGCAGCCGTGGGGGCAAGACACGTAAAACAACCGCCGTACTATCACATAACCAGCGTACAAATAGTGACTTATCAGTGGCACCAATGGGCGTAAAACATGGTTTTTAAGTCCATCATCTCAAACGGTAAGTGCTTTCCTTCCATTAATTCTCTTTCGAGCCTCCCTAGTTGTGCTATAGCCTCGACCTGAAATCCAAAGGGCATTACCTCTTGTTTAACCTTCAACGGTGTGGCATCCATCAGCTAACTTGACTTCACCACCCACAGCACAATGGGGTAAACCTTATCAGCCTTAGGTTGACCGCTTCAAACTACCTAATGTAGAACACGGAAAATCGAATTCAATGATAGTGCCGGCTGAAGATACAGTCATAATAGGAGAGCTGCTTTGCTGACGACTTGTCAGCGACCGGTACACCTTCAAAGATCACCTAACGCTATAACATCTCTCCCGCGCTATCATCGAATCGAAGCAACGACCACAAAATAGTATGCCAATATCAAGGAGTACCATAACATAACCTTGTGTTGAACCGAAAAAAACTCTATTCAAAAAAGATATGTCCGTACAACGGGGAGGCCCAGCACACCCTCCCCTTAGACAACCTGGTAACAAGTACCTAGCCTATTCATTCGCTTGCTATTATATAAGATCAGAACTAAACGTATAGGTAGAGTCTTACTCTTTGGGTGTTTATCTAGCGATCGCTCTGGCCTGATTTCACGGGGCGAAGCATATGGCAGGGGTTTCCCCCCCTTCAAATCCCTATATTAGGATGAGGGTATGGGGTTAAGTACAAATGCGGACGCATTAGAATTCGAACCCATCCAGTTCATGCCGACAGTATGCGGTGGTGGCGCCAGCCAGCGGCCACGTCATCAAATTCGGTCGGGCACCGATGTTTGTTGTTGTTGTATCTGCGCCACTGAAATATCACAGCAGCGGTTGCTTGCGACGCTCTCCGGGGTAAAACATCCCAGAATCGGAAACATAGATCGATCATGCCAAGGTGTGTGCCGTCCTTGTGAATACCCGAACGTAAAAGACCATAGGAAGCATCTAGTCCGTCTGAAATACTGGTTGGCCCGCTGTTTTACATGGAGTAACCTGATGGACCGCTGTAGAGGAATAAATCCATATCGTTCGAAGTCGCGTCTATGGTTGGATCGTATACCAGGGCAGTCTGTGTGTATCTCGCAGCTGCTTCTTGATCGCGTTCGCGTTCGCGCTTGAGCCTGATATACTCTGCTTGTAAGTTGGAGTAGGCGAGGCCGAGGACATCGTTTCTTTTCTGGGCTTCGCCGAGCAAGATTTCGAGGTCCTTGATACGCTGGTCCTTCCTCTCTCGGTAGGCTCTTTGGGATGCGCGATTCTGAGCTCTTCGACGCTGTGATGGATAACTCTTAGTGACTCGATTCATAGTCACAGCACCCGGAATGAACCTTCTCAGCTTACAGATAGGACAGAGGGCGGTGCGTTTTTGTATCTGTTCTCGCGCTTCCTCTTTGCCGCGGGCTTAGAAGGAGGTTGTTGTGAGTCTGGCTGGGTTGTTTCTCCTGACCCGTCTGCATTCTCGGAACTGGGATAGATCCCTTGGAAGGTAAAATTATACTAACGTTATGATTAGCTAGCAACTACGACGAGCTCGCATGTGAGCTGCATACCGGTGATTCCGTCGGGCTAGATGTTGTCGAAGAGGTATTCGTAGAATCAAGGTACAGATCTGTATCGCTGTATATATACGCCATCGATTTAGAGGGAGATGCGAGACCGGTGGTATCGATTTCATCCATTTCTATTGTAGGTAGAGGGCGTTCCTCTTCTCTGCTAATATTCTCGTTATCACAGTCGGTTCCAAATGGAAGAAGTAGCGAGCTGAAGATTCGAGTCTCTAAGAGTTGATATCTTGGGGAGGGTATCTTGGGGAGGGTGGAGATTTGACTTACACGGGGGCAAGGAGATGGCGTCGAGGATATATCCTGCTTGTATATTCCTTGGAGCTGGGAGAGTTAGGCATGCGTCATGCGTAAACGATCAGCTAGGTCAAGTCTTACCCTGTCTGACAATGTGCAGAGTCCCAGTAGGCGAGGCGCGGCGCCGTCAACTTACATACACTGATACATTCGCTGCAAAGGACCACTTTGATTTGGCATGTATTCACAAGTACCTCACCACCCCTGAACGTGCAGGCAGAGCAGCCGTCTAACCGCATACGGGGGAGACTCTCCACGCTACTGTATGTTCAGTACATTAGAAACTGGGGGTTACCCCCAAGGCAATAGGAGAGAATCCGAAAGCCGGCGTTCTGCGAGTGGGGTGTTCGGAGGAGGATAGGTCCTGTTCGGAGGTAGGAAACTCGGGAAGCAAGCTTACTTACATAAGAGAGTAAAGTCAGCTCGAGTTGTATGGCTTGTATTATATTCTTGTTCTTGTATTATATGCTTGCATTATCTTCTCTCTCTCTCTCTCTCCCCCCTGTCGGAGTAAAACCCGAGCAAACTGCAGAATAAGTTCGCCTTCACCCCTGGCCATCTTCCCGCGGGTTGTTTTTCAGGTGCCCTGTTAGGGTAAATGTAACTTTTTGACGTAGACATTAATATCGTCTTTTGACGTAGGCAAGTATCCGATTTGTGACGCATGATCGCAAAATCCTGCCCGCATTGTTGGGTCTGCGGAACATCCGCAATCGATTCTACTTTTCCGTCGGATCTCGAGTTGTTGTCGGACACACATTGAAATATGTCTTTGCCGCTCAGCCCCGTCGTATTACATCGCGAAGCATTCGTCTCATCGAAAAAACGATGCGGAGGGAGTAAGTAGCCGTTTGCCGTTTGCCGTTTGCCGTTAGGATCTAATCCAGATATATTTCAACTACCGATGGGTCGTGACTGATCTCTTACGAAAATCTAATGCATTGGAAAACCGCATCCCCTCTGTTAGAACTACGGGACGAGACCCGACCCGTCAGTGAGGCTATAGAAGTTGCGAATGTTGTCAGGATCTATAAGATGTCTATGGTACGGATATTGATCTGCTGGCAATATCCTGATGACCTACATACCTAGATCAACACGTCTTGTATAAATTAATATGTATGTACTCTTGTTTTATCATTCTACTATTTCCCCACACTCTAAATCTAGACCAAAGAGTGGTACGGTGTACCTACTTGGAATCGCAAATGAGTGCGGGCTATATATAAGCCTCGCGGAGTGATTAGACCCTCAATCGTAAATCTGGGGTTTAATCGAACCTACAAAGTATCATAGTATTTTCTATCTCGGAATAAAACCAAGATTGTCTCTAGAAGTAGAATGTAAGCAATATCATGCCGCTCCGTTGTAAGCACCTAAGCTATATGCCAAGTTATTAATCTCAATTCCCCGCCTAGTGTAGGCGTCTGGGTGTCTGCATTGAACGATCAGACGATAAGAAGCCCCGTCCCGAGTTCCAGAATATCATCATCCCAAGGGACAAGGGTATGCTCGTCGATCTCTTGGCATACAAACATGCTTGTAGAGATCGACAGCTACCCCCTATTCGACGGCGCTAGGCTAAGCTGGGTTGGGGTTTGGGGGACAGGGGGACGGGGGGAAGGGGGGTCGATGCTTTCTTGCGGTAATTGACTGATTGACTAAGCCTTGAGTAAAAATAGAGACGACTTATAAAAACGGCCTAGACGTCCTCCGCTTCCTAAAGTTGACTATTCCCGAGTCTTACCTCAGATGCTGCTGGAACTGACGTGCCCATGTTTGCCCCAAGAAGCCGAGGAGTTCTGCTTTCGTTACTTGCCAAGTTGCCGAGGCTGCCAGATATCCACTTCTGGCTTTTCCGGGGTAGTGAGATTCTAGATTAGGGGGGCCGTGGAAGTGTGAAAAAAAGAAAAAAAGAAAAAAGGCATGCATTGTGCCTGGCGCTACCATGGTCTATGCGGCTAAGTTCTTAAAGGCGGTGCCTGGTAGTCATAGTCGGAGATATCATTTTCTTACCGAGCTACGGACGAACACCTCGGTCCTCGTTGAGCTGTAGGCGGTAGCGGTGAACACCGAGAGGGATATTATGTAGGTAAGGTAGTTAGCATAGAAATCGCCGGTTGACCCTTGAAAATTCAATCCCAGCAACATCTAATGACGCGCAAAAGTATATCCCCGAGATATATCATTGTCCAGGGACACCTATGAATACGTCTGCTTGGCTAAATTGACCGACCCATGGAGGACCGTCTTCGCATTGCCGCCAGCATCGTCCACACAGCCAATGGGATCTATGAAGACACTATAGACTTGGCTGTGGGTTTTACCAACTGATCTGATAGTTGATATGTTGTAAAATGGCTCGCATGCACATAAGAGGCTATGGGATAGACATCTAGAGCTGTTCTTTAGCGTACTTCACGCTCGACCCTGCCAAGATGTTTAGGATGTGCAGATTTCTTAGGTGGGGGAAGAATAAAGAGATGATGCCGTTGGTTTGGCTCCCCCCTAAAGATTGGCCACTTACATCAAACAACTTGAACGGCGAATTTATCGAGTAATAACTTTAAGCATCATGTATGTCCATGTATGTCAGATTAAGGTTGTATACATGACGAGACGAGTAGTTCTCTTCCAAATAGTTACTATGTAATCAGAAAAAAGAATTTATAAAAAGAATTTAGCTTGCTTGGCCTGAAGATGCGCAGGTGGAAGCGAGTTGATGATGCCCATGACTGACATAGCGGACTAGCGAGTCCAATCATACCGGTTGGTAGGTAACATCTGTTGTTTACCTAGCTGTACGGTCTGGTCCAGGGGTCCTAATAGATGAGCGGCTATGCACTCCGCCGTTCCCCGCGGCCCTATTGCTAGTCGCGGAAACGGCATCGCGAACTGATCCACGGTACCAACGTGTATAGTTGAACGATTCTGGAACGTGGAATCTATCTAGAACAATATGTATCCGGCTCCGTCTACAAGCGTTAATTCCGCAAATCTGGACTCAGCTGAAAGGAAACCGGCAGACACATACGTGCTAGGTTCATGGAAGCAATACGTTTAAGCTGTATTCCCACAACGATATGACTATAACACTACTATTCAAAGCTAGTCGGGTTACTATACCGAAATCCGATGTCAAGAGCGGCATATATGTGAACTTATGTCACCCGAGTTCCGAGTCCTTCGTTAATTCCGCTTCCGTCCTGTGCCGTAGCTGTAGCCGACCTCACTCTTAGATATTGAAAAGTGATGTCATCTAACACGCATAAAGAATCCGAACATCGGGTTTGAATCTATGTCCGTGCCTTAGCGGCCGCCGCAACTATATACTGGTATATACGGGGATAGCCTATATAGTAGATCTTCTACAATTACGTGAGTGGATTGTACTCACTCACTACGACTTTCGTCACGATAATGCTGCTACTTTTACGAAAGCATTCGGCCCCGAGGTGCTTTGGGAACCCTTTTACCCTCTTTACCATCAACCTCGTTCCAACCATGCTATAAAAACACAATATCCCGTTACACCATACTTGCCCGGTAGAAAATCCTATGCCTAATTTGGCTATGCGTACAACCCCCATAGACAGCATCTGCTGCAACATATTCCTTTAGGTAGCTTTGTTACCCTCGCTGCCTGAGAATCCTGGCCTCAAGGAACTGAGAATTCCGTTAAGTGGCGAGGTATTAGACTACGTAGATCTGTTCGGGGTCGCCTTAGATAAGCGCTGAAGGCCCTCCTGGGCTTGCGCGACACCTGGGTCAAACGCAATTCTCTTGCTCAAACTTAGACTCTCCTCAAACTTACGCCTAGCTTCCTCGGTATCTCCAGTCATCGCCGCGATATCTCCAAGATTGCAAAGTGCTACGGCACAAGCTTCGTCGCACTCTTCAGTTCTATCTTCGCCCTGTACTTTCTGCGCTGTTTCTTGAGCTTGCTGAGCCCAAGCGCGGGCACTGGCTAAGAGTGTAGACCGTGTGGGACGAGCAGTCACATTGGATTCGCTACCCTGAGAGGCCTGTTTGGTATTTGTTGGTGTGTCGATGGGTTGCTGTGCTAAAGAAATGGCCAGGTTGTTCACTTTTGCGAGATCTTTAGTCAGCCCGAAACCAATACTTGCTGATAGGAGTGAAGGGAAGTGAAAGAAGGACAACGTAGTATATGCCATGTTTGGACTTACTTAGAACGGCGGTGTGGCAGCTATTCCGGGGCGAAAGTGATACTGCCTGCAGGAAGAGCGGTGCTGAGAGGTAGTGTTGGGACTTGGACTCGTAATGATTTCCTAACGCTAGTTTTGGTCAGCGGTGCCTTACACATCGTAAAAAGATGGTTCGAAAACGCGATGAAGACTATCCATACCTTCGAGCGCACCCCCGATTTGCTCCGGGGTCATCCAATCACCTTCGCCCTCCTTCACACCTTCAACCTGGCGCCTCTGTAATTCCTTTAAAACAGTCTCAACGGCCCAGACTAAGTGTTGGCCAGCGGAGTCGCCTTGAAGAACATGTTCGTCGGAATAAAGTTCTCCAAGCTTAACACTGATTCCAACTAATTTCCCCAGGATCCTTGTCCGCTTGCCCCATAGATTCTCCGGCTTCGTATCCGTTTCGGCCTCGGCATCCTCTTGTGTAGGGGGTTGAGGACTCGGAGAACCAACCAGCTTCCCTGACTTATCAACTTGTCCATCTCGGACGCTTTTCTCCATTACTTCAACCCATTTTTTACAGTCTCTAGCAAGAGACTCCAACACATTAATAGCATTCCTATAACTACCAATCTTTTCAAACCAGGCGGCAAGTTGTATTTTGACTCCCATAACTTCGTCGGAGAACGGATCGAGGCCAGCTTGCGAACATTGCTCCAAGGCGCGTTTATAGTACTTGAGGGCTAATTCCGGGTCCGGCGCATAGTTGCTATAATATAATGCGCGGCGAAGAGACTTTGCGATCTGCGGCGGGAATCGAGTGAACTGCTTGGATTGGAAGTAATTGAAATATGCGTAAGCCACGTAGACTGATATGCCGGCCACACCGCATAGCCTTGACACAGGCCCGTCGCATTAGTAAACGATATCCAAATCGATGTTATATTAGAGAGGCCCTTACAAAAGAATAGCGATAACAAGTTCTTCTGGGCTTTGGCGAAACAAGGTACGAAGGCTCTGGCCCCTAAATGCGCTGAATAAGGGACGAAAACTTAGACCCTGCCTTAGAGCGCGAAGGAGAAGCTTCGACGGCGGTAGAGGCGGAATCTGGCGATTCGGTTCATGCGAAGAGGACTGGCGTCGGCATTGCTGAAAACTGCGAATTAGAACGGGCCCCGAGGGCGATACACCGGCTTGTTGTAATTGTATCGGGAACAAGGTAGTCCCTTCAATGCGCCTCTGGTGAAAAGATCGAGCATGGAGGAAGTATCTGCGAGAAGATATTATCACGGGAGTGCGCGCAGCAGATAACATGATGAACGACGATCGCAGTGTTCCGTCGCTATAGACGCTGAATAGTTGGATGAAATGTTTATTCCAATCTAGGTCTTAAGTCTCGCAAATATCAGGCACTAGATGACGTTGCCATTTAAATGGTAGTTCAATATCTTCAATATCTTAATGACGTTTATTTAGTTGTATGCTACCTTTTTTTTTAAGATTATGTACAAAATACCGAAAAAATGTGTAGTAGTAACGTAATTTTCTTGACTGGAGCCTCCTTCTACAGCACCTGGCCGATGACGTAAATTACCAGCTGACTGCCGGCTAATTACTAGGCTGTCAGCCTCTCTCGAAAATTAATGGCGCAGTCTTAGCATTCTCCCTCAGATTCAACACCACGTATTATATTTAAAATAACCACATTAAAAAATCGTAAAAATTTAGAAGAAAAGGTTATATAAATCTTTTACCATTTATCTTTAGAAATCTCTTTTTCAAAACTTTCTATCTTTAAAATTGGTAAAATTATAAATATAGTAAGTATAAATGTTATAATTTTATACATTTTATTACAAAAACACTTAATCTTTCGCCGCATTTTTATAGTAATAAAATAATAAAAATGATAGGTAGATAAAATAACTTCTTGCAAATAAAATAATATATATTATTATTATATTTGATTTTGTTTTGCTAGTATAATTGTTGATTATTTAAGAGAGGTTTATATGCCAAGACCGCGCCATTAATTTTCGAGAGAGGCTGGCTGTTCAGGGTCTTCCCAATTAATTAACCCCAATTGGTCACGATATGAGAAGTACACATGAGAAGTACACAGTACAACTGCCTCGGCTGCAAGCGTTTCCATATGCGCGCATTGGCCAACTTCAACATCGGCTCCTCGTTGCATCCGTCGCATTCGTCACATTCGTCAGTCTTGTTCTTGCCAAAAAGTATGACGGCTGGCATGTAATTATTGCCCTTACACCATCAATCCATTTCACTATAAATCCTCACTATAATATTACATATTACCCTTATCGTAGCTTTGAGAGCCATTTCATCTATCAAGAAATAATGGCGGGCAAGTTTGAACCCAAGGTTCCCGTAAACCTAGATCCTCCTAAGGACGATCCTATCTCTGTCGAAGAACTAGCGAAAGCAGACGGTGGGTTGCCATCTATACAGCATCTCTATTTAGACGACTATGCCGAGTCATTTTTATCCGCAACTCGGGGAACTATCCCACAATAGCTATCAATTATCGGGGATAGAGAACACGGCGCTAACACTCCAGTTTAGGCACCGAGGGGCAGAAGGCGTATGTGGCTATTAAGGTATGCACATTCATTCTTTATAAAACATTCATTTACATCTTCTCACATGAGATTATTAGGGCACAGTTTACGATGTTAGTGGAAATAAGGCATATCGAGAGGGGGGCTCTTACCACGGTATGTGAAAGTATCTCATTCCATATCCATAATGCCAGAGCCGTGCCGCACAGCATGACTCCGTCGCTTAGAATTCCAATGCTATTGTAACAAGTTGGTTTTTCTTGTTTGCTGCCTACTAAGTGTCAACCGGCGCCTATGTCCCACGTTGAGCTGCAGCTTTATCAAGCGACTTGTATAGCACGATAAGGGGTAGCATGTTTGCTAACTAGTTCAGTCTTCGCCGGAAAGGATGCGTCTCGTGCGTTGGCAAAAACGTCAGTAAAACCCGAGGACGTAAAGCCGGAATGGCAGGACTTGGATGAAAAGGAAAAGCAAACTCTTAACGACTGGAATACCTTCTTCTCAAAACGATATAATGTTGTTGGTGTTGTTCAAGGCGCAACGAACCTTGAGTAGGTTGTCGGAATGGGTAAGATTTCCTGGGGAGATCTAGCATATAGTTAGCAATAGAATGGCTTGCGAGAACTTCCTCGGGGAATATGAGAGTTCCGGTCCTTGTTACCTGACATACAACTGGGGTATTCGCTCGTAATTTTGTCCATAAGGCTTAAGATACGTTCTCAATTCTTAAGTGCAAAACTTGCGCCTTGTCGCACGAAAACGTTACTAGAGGGAATGGTGGGGGGGCAGATACGGCTCTCCGTGCAAATCCAACGGCCCTATCCTCCAGCAGTTCTCGATCCCTATTTCAAAGAAATCAGACAGAGGGAACCGGTAAGTGTAAGTTTCCGAACTTCCCGCGCCATGGAACTACAAGGCAGTCCTTCCAAATTAATTGTTTAATTAATACATTTGTATAGACGAAAATAATCTACTCCTAGTAGGGGTTAGCCCTATGACATTATGCTATTTGATTCACGCATTCTCCTAGATAAGGTAATGGTTACTAGGCAGGTTGCTTTCGGTCCTCCATAAGGAGAATCTGATACACGATTACGATAGTTACGCGGTTCACATGCTGAAAAGAGAAGAAAGTTTACAGTTGATACAAGGGTTTACTTCAAGGGAATATCTGTAACTCTGTGAGGAGAAGTCTTCTTAGTAGTCAGCCGAATAGGTACTAGTATAGAGATATGTGTCTTGCTCGCATAGTGTTGCCAGTAATTTTCAAATATTGAGACTACCTACCAGTTGAATTCAGATTGCTTCGCTACCGTTCGCGTGGTGAAAGGACACAGCAGATTATAGTTCGCTAGGTAGTAGCTGTAGACATTTTGGTTGGATAATATGGTTACGTCCTACTTGGAATATGACGCCCGGTATTCGAAGGTTACGAAGTCTTGGGATACTAACGCATTGTGATATTTAGAGGAGCTTCTAAAAATTTAAATGGGCAACAAATTCGCAAGAACGCTCCCAATTATACAGAAACGTCTCACAGACAGTTGTCTTTGCATGTCTGTCCCTCCTTTCGAAACACTTCGCCAAAGTTCGTAACGGGTAGTAAGCAGCATACAAAACTTCCTGACTCACTGCATCCTCTACTCAAGTAATCCAAATAACACTCCTCGGGGCTGCATGTGAGCAGCTATCCCGCGTTCTAGACCGTGGTAGTCATTTCTCGTTATCCCCGTAGCGTTGTACAAAGACTCCCCGACGTCTAGCTAGATGCGTAGTATGTCGTGCGTAACTCGGGCCATATGGCTCCCGTTTGCGTATATTTTACCGTGCTCGTTGCGAAGGGGCCCATATCCTGCCATCCACGAAGCGTAAGCCGCTTCTGATACATTCATCGCAGAGCTGCCCCTCCTGAAGCCATGAATCTCGAAGCTTCTTTACTCCGAGACATATATGATTCGGGTCGTTACGCGCAAAATGGCAGTAAGACTTCAACCGGCAGACAGAGTGGTTGCATTCGAATAAGAATTCATCGTAGTCGCACATGTCTGCAGCTAAGAAATAGATTCTGAAGGTTAGCCACCATGGTGTTATTAGCTGGGTTAAAACAAATACTCTTAGGATGGCATGTGCTCACTTGCGTTGGATTTGGCTATGAATAGATAGGACTGAAGATATAAAGAATTAGATTAGCAGGTTTGCAAACGAAGCATTTCTTTCATACCTTGGATTATGAAGTAATATAGACTATCGTAGTAATTTCAAGCGAGCGAAAAAAAAGGCGAGTCGATCTTATAGTCTCACCTTACGAGACGCCGGTCTTCTTTTATAGGGGCTATGTTTGCTCCCTTCCAAAAGATATCCAACCATTTTAGTAACCTAAGGACGAGGGGCAAACACATCATGCTAGCCTCTGAGGAGTTCTCTCTTCTAATTGCGACGACGACGAGATCTGAGCTGCCCGAATTTCACGCAGCTTGCCTCCACAGGAGGAAACTCGCATTAGCCATATAGGTTGTCCACATAGACCTTATTGTTATTTCTTATCGAGTACCGCCAACTCTGATCTGTCATTTTTCTCTTCGTTGTACGATCGACATGTCAATGTCAAAGCAAGATTATGTGGTAGACATGGCTTGCATCTAGAAGGTAGGTCGGCTCCTACGTTCTAACCGGGAGCCGCATAGTCTCCCCACACTACGTAATAATAAGAGATAACTGGCGGCAGTTAATGTTAGCCTCTACTCTATTCAATCGTAAAAGCTGAAAATCGAGGTTAACAGAAATCCCTATCAGAAACTTTGAGAGTATGGAACCTTCCCCCACCCTCCCCTAGAGAGTTCGATAGGTGCATCTCTAACCGACCATCTCAGGATCTGGGCTTCGAGATGTCTGCTACCGTCAGTTATGACAATATCCGGAAACCCTACAACCTGGCAAACGGCTAGTGGCTGCATTGTAGCCGGGTGGATTGCTCGGGATACTTGATGTTACACTACGAATCAAGCCTCGAGGCTTCTTTTAGATGGCACCTTTCATGGATACATGGCGCTAATGTTGGCCCCTACGGCGCGGCCCGACGTTAGACTGTAGCAAACAAACCACCATCTCTTGGCATCTAATCTACGGTTTGTTGTGAGGGGGATGAGTATCCTGAATTCCATTTACGTACGTTCAAGTACGGCAGCGGATCGCTACCGAGATTACGATCTCGGGAACCAACGACATCTAGCTCCAATTAGTTCTGCCGGGGAACCACGGAATCAGAACTATCTAGTATGTATGTATGTGAGTATGTATGATCGAAGATGGGTCGGATAATTGACAGCCTTTGTGGGACGAGACTAGGTACCTGTTTCTGACTCCTAGCCGTTGCTGCAATGATCCGCTTTGAAAAGACCAAACGCTATATAATTTTACTATGAAGAAATAGTTATTATTAGTGGTGAACGTTGATGAACAAAATACCTATGTATAACCGATCCATACCTACCTAGGTAGGTATGTAGGTAAGTAACTATTCAAAACCCTGGCTGCCTGGGTTTGGTTTCGTAGGTGTAGTTAGTCCCTTTAAGAGTATAGTTTTATGACGATAAGCTGCAGATTGACGTAGCGCTTGAATTTTAAAATCTTAATATTGTATATGTATTCTACATTAGGTAGTTGTATATAAGTCCAGTCTCGTTTGCGATATTTACATACCTTACTCATTACGTCGATATGATGATCTAAGTGGGATAGCTAAGTCCTGCTAGCATTAGCCACAGTGTTCGGGTTCGGAGGAGGCTGACCCCATACATACGTGCCACACCACGCATCTCACCAATTATTAATGCCCGTGTGTACACCGAAAATTACCTACCTAGAGGTACCTACCTACCTACGTGTAGCCCTGGACTGAAGGTCTTT